GAAGCCCTCTGCCTATTACCTGGGTCTTTAAATATAAGCTAAATAAGCATGGGATCCTCATCCAGTTTAAGGCACGGGCTATGTATTTAAGGGGATCTTTAGCTCTATAATAACAAGGAGACCTACATAGCAACCCTAGTAGGGAAGTTATTTAGGGTCCTGATATTAATAGCAGCTAAATTTGACCTTAAGACCCGGCAGCTAGATGCAGTCAACGCCTTCACTAATAGCCCCCTCGACGAGGTCGTCTATATCTGCTATCCTGATGGATTTCAAAGGACCGGTTGGCTGCTACTGCTACAGAAAGCCCTGTACGGGCTCCGTAAATCTCCCTTACTTTAGCAATGAGACCTCCTTTAAACCTTTAAGCAGCTAGGTCTTAGCCAGCTTAATGAAGATCCCTGCATCTGTAACAACAGCTAGATTACAGTCTTTTTCTTGTTAATAATATCGTCCTGCTGTATTGGAAGAAAGATTAGCTAGCTACTAACCGTCTAATTAGATAGCTAAAAACCCGGTATAAGATGCAGGATCTAGGGCATCTTAGCTGGTTCCTCGGCGTTAGGGCTCTAAGGGACAGGCTAGCTAGAAAGCTGTGGCTCTGTTAGGACTCTTTTATGAGAATATTGCAGCTAAGTTTAAAGTTACCCTTACGGATTATTTCAAAGGAAACCTTCTGCTAGTAAACAACCTAATCTCTAGTCCGGTCTAAGCAATAGCCTCGCAGATCCACCTTTTCCAATAGAAGGTCGGATCTATCAACTATACAGCTATTATTACAAGGCTAGATATCTCAAAGGCTGCTTTCAAGCTAGCCGAGTATTTGATTAATCTATCAGATTACTATTAACGTATAGCTAACTGCGTTATCAGCTACCTATATGCAACGCAGTATCTAGCTATTCAATTTCAAGGGAAGGATTATAGGGACCCCGGGGCCTCTAGGGATGACCTTCCTAGAGACCTTGACATCCCTAGCAACCCTGACTTTCCTAGGACTTTAAAGACAGCCATAACAGCTCAGTGCGGCATTAACCCTACTATAGATCCCAACCTTAGGATAGCTTCAGACACATCCTTTGCAGATGATCAGATAAGCCGGAAATCGTCCCAGGGATCGATCTTATTCCTATTTGGCAGACCTATTAGCTAGAAAGCCGGGAAATAGGATACGGTTACAACCTCGTTAACAGAAGCCAAGCTCCTTGCCTTCACACATACAGCTAAGGAAGCCCTAGTAACCCAACGGCTCTTTAATTAGCTAGGCCTTTAGCTGGACTAACCTCTTATTATTGAATGTAACAACTAATAGACTATCCGGCTTGTAACTCTAGAGACCCTAGGATTTTCCGGCTTATCTGATCATCTGCAAAGGATGTGTCTGAAGCTATCCTAAGGTTGGGATCTATAGTAGGGTTAATGCCGCACTGAGCTGTTATGGCTGTCTTTAAAGTCCTAGGAAAGTCAGGGTTGCTAGGGATGTCAAGGTCTCTAGGAAGGTCATCCCTAGAGGCCCCGGGGTCCCTATAATCCTTCCCTTGAAATTGAATAGCTAGATACTGCGTTGCATATAGGTAGCTGATAACGCAGTTAGCTATACGTTAATAGTAATCTGATAGATTAATCAAATACTCGGCTAGCTTGAAAGCAGCCTTTGAGATATCTAGCCTTGTAATAATAGCTGTATAGTTGATAGATCCGACCTTCTATTGGAAAAGGTGGATCTGCGAGGCTATTGCTTAGACCGGACTAGAGATTAGGTTGTTTACTAGCAGAAGGTTTCCTTTGAAATAATCCGTAAGGGTAACTTTAAACTTAGCTGCAATATTCTCAATAAAAGAGTCCTAACAGAGCCACAGCTTTCTAGCTAGCCTGTCCCTTAGAGCCCTAACGCCGAGGAACCAGCTAAGATGCCCTAGATCCTGCATCTTATACCGGGTTTTTAGCTATCTAATTAGACGGTTAGTAGCTAGCTAATCTTTCTTCCAATACAGCAGGACGATATTATTAACAAAGAAAAAGACTGTAATCTAGCTGTTGTTACAGATGCAGGGATCTTCATTAAGCTGGCTAAGACCTAGCTGCTTAAAGGTTTAAAGGAGGTCTCATTGCTAAAGTAAGGGAGATTTACGGAGCCCGTACAGGGCTTTCTGTAGCAGTAGCAGCCAACCGGTCCTTTGAAATCCATCAGGATAGCAGATATAGACGACCTCGTCGAGGGGGCTATTAGTGAAGGCGTTGACTGCATCTAGCTGCCGGGTCTTAAGGTCAAATTTAGCTGCTATTAATATCAGGACCCTAAATAACTTCCCTACTAGGGTTGCTATGTAGGTCTCCTTGTTATTATAGAGCTAAAGATCCCCTTAAATACATAGCCGTGCCTTAAACTGGATGAGGATCCCATGCTTATTTAGCTTATATTTAAAGACCCAGGTAATAGGCAGAGGGCTTCTAGCAGCTTCGTCTTTAGCCACGACTTTAAAGGTCCCTTAAGCCTACAGGCTGTTCATTTCCCTATGGGCAGCTTCTTTAAATTAAGGTCTAAATCGATAATTTTCAAGGTCTCTAAAGGCCCTAGGCTCTAGAGGGAGAGCCCGTCTATGTAGCTTTTCCTCTCTTCCAGTGAAAAATGCCGTAAAAAAGCTAGCTGGGCTGTGGCCCTGTTGCTGTTGTGAGCTTCTAGTCGCTAGTCCGTATATCTCTTCATGCCTCCGGCGGCGCCGTCTGGCCTGTCTCTATGGGCTAGGGTCTCTGCTAACTACTGGGCTAGCTGCCGGACTAACTACCGGGCTGACCTCCGGGCTAACCGCCGGGCTAGCTAGTAAGCTGGTTGCCCTTGGAGTTATATAGGGACCTTCTTTATTAAAGTCAGAGGTCTCTAGGTCCTTGAATTGAGAGGTCTTAACACTAGGGTCCTCAGCAAGGTCAGGGACATTAGAGTCTTCAAAGCTTTGATCAGGGCTATGATTAGGGCTCTGTTTAGGGCTCTGATCATCTTGCGAGACCACAATCGTTGACCTGACGTCTTCGTCATCTAGGAAATCGGTCTTAGAGTCGGATTCAATATAGTCAGAAAGCTAAAGCTGCAGCAGCTCTAGCTGCTAAAGAGGGTTAGGATGATCCTTTGGATCGTAGAGGATGCTTTTATTAAAGGTTATATTCCTAACTCTTCAGACCTCAGACTAGCTAGGGACCCAGGTTCTATATATGTTGCTGGATTTATATCCAACTTAATAGCCGACTTCTATATAGGCTAATATCTTTAAAGACCGTTTTTAGGTGCCCTGTAAAGCTTCCCTAGTTAGGGGATAAGCTCAGCATCTATAGGCCTTAAGATGTATTAGATCTAGCTGTATTCTTCTGCTATAGCCAGTATCTTATCTGTGAGCTTCCAGCTAGTTGTAAAGCTATTTAAAAGGGGTCTTCTAGTTGCTGGACTGCTAGGGCAATCTATTGTGCAAATAGACAGCTATTTTCCAAGTCTCGGGCTAAAAATCGGCTAGAAGGGAGGCTCCTAGCTATATCGCCCTGGCCTTAGTTCCTATTACCCCTCCAGATTGCTCTATAAAGCCATTTTAAGCAGATATATAGGGAGCTGTTAATTTATCTTTAATTCCTCGGTCCCTAATCCAGTCTTTATAACCTAATCTTAGAGCCCTATTATTATCTCTATAGATTATACAGATAGGTAGGTTATATTGTCTTTAAGTATAATTTTTAAAGTTCTTAAGAATATCTAGAATAGCCTCTTATATTAAGTTAACTAATAAATAAATAAAGATAATTTCTATAAATTAATCCTTAATTAAAATAGCTACCTTTTTACTATTATAACTAATAGATAGGCTGAAGATATTAATATAGATATATTAAAACAGCCTTAAAGCCCTAGACTAAGGGCTCTAGTAAGAGACTATTTAGACTACCTTAACTAGAAAGCAGGTTTTATAGCTAATCTTAGCAGGTCCCTTAATCTTAGTCCCTATTATCTACTCAACAAAATACTCTAGAGCCGGAGTATTTAAATAACCTAGCCTAAAATACTAAAGCTTAGCTTTCTATATCTAAGGCAGCTTAGAGTCTTTAAATAATAAAAATACTAATCCGGGCTGCTATTGCTAATTTAATGAATTAATATTATTAAATTTAACAACCTACTAATAATATAGCTATATTATATAGAAGAGGGTTTATATTCCCTTAAAAACAGCCTCTATAGCCAGATTTTAATTATATCCCTTAGCAATTAGGATATTAAGGGAGATAATATTTATATAGAAAGTAGAAATATAGGCTACTCTTAGTAGTTAGAATAGACTATTCTTTATTTGAAGATAAATACAGCTATAGCCTAGGATTTCTATCTAGAAGCTGCTAGTGTAGATAACTTCAATCTCCCTAGAAGCCTAATATCCTAGGAACCTTAATAGGTTATTATAGATATATGTGTCTAACCCGGAATCTAGGATAAAGGAATTGATTAACGGATAGGTTGTAATAGCTAAAAATAATAATAACTGCCCGGGCTGCTGACTGAGCTTCTAACCGGGCTGCTAACCCAGCTGCTGACTGGGCTGCTGAGCCGTCTCTGAAGCCGTCTGCAGGTCGGGCTGCGAGACTGGCTTTTGTGTGGGCTGCTGTCCCGGCTGCTAACCGGGCTGCTAAGCCGTCTCTGAAGCTATCTACAGGTCGGGCTGCGAGACTGGCTGTTGCTGTTGCTGTTGACCTCGAAATAGGGTAAAGCCGGCGCCGGCAAAAGCAGATCCTCTAATTTCCTTATCTTCAGATGTATCTAGCTTATTATCAGGCCTAGCTTCCTTCCTCTGGGCTTTCTCGATAGCCCTGTCAACTTATTCCTTAATCTTAGGCTCCTCGAGCTGCTTGTTAACCTTAATCTTGATGTCTTCCTTGGCCTTCCATCCAGTAGGTCTGATCCAGCTAATCAAATAGTAACAGTCAGCATAGAAATGCCATTTTCCACACAGACAGAGGGGCCTAGAGGGGCCGGATCTAGCGGGCCTAGGTCCGGAAGATCCGGAGGACCCGGGGCTAGCGCCGGATCCCTCGGGGGTTCCTTGGAAGCTAGAAAAGCTGCTCTTGCTGGCCTTTAACGGCATTAGGGTCTGTTTTTCGAACATATTGCTAATCTCGATGCCGTTAGGGATTTTCTCCTTCCATCCCTTTTCATTGCCGCGGGCGATGTTTTCTATCATTTGTAGCTAGAATTTGGAAAAGGCCGGATTGATTGTGCTAACTGCTTAAAGGAAATACCGGGTTGGTCTGATTTCTTAAGTATTCAGAAGGCTGATTTTCTTAGCTTCTATTAGGACCTTCTGCTAGCTTAGGACCTATTCCGTCAATTTGGTCCTATCTGGGCTCTTTAGAATGCTCTAGAAGCATTCCAAGGTCCGATCTTCTAGATTCCAAGAAGTCGGCTCGACCATATCCTTTAAAAGGGATAGCTGCTTAGCTAGGTCATTCTTAGATTCGATAATGCTATAATAGCTACCGACAGTCTTAGTTATATAATGCTGGATGGAAGTTAGGGCCTTCTACTTGTCCCTGTAGACTTAAAGCTTAGTCTTATATTAATTGTAAAGAAATTCCAGTCTTCTAAATTGATTGGTATTTAGGTCTTCTAGCCCTGCTGCCCCCGGCTTAACCGTCTTAAAGGTCGGCTCTATAGGGACAGCTAGAACGGGCTTATCAGGCTTAGAAGGGTCCAAATAGGCCCAGACTTCCGAGGCAGTTGTATGCTTCTGGATAATGCTAATCTATTGTTTTTAGTTACCGTAACCCTGGAGGATGGTCTGGGAAGAGCTTTCTAGATCTGTTGGATCTATTGGGTCTAGAGATAGCTACAGTAGAGGCTATTAGTCTGACCTGATAGAGATCTTAAAAGATGATGGAAAAATCCGTCTTAAAGGGAAGGAAAAGAGAGCTAGCTAGCTTGACAGTCTGCCAAGTGGCTAGGATAACAGCTAGTCAGACAGCTAGTCAGACAGCTAGTCAGACAGCTTGAAAGAGGGAGCCCGGGAGGCTTAGAAGAGAGGGCTGCTATAATAGCAACCTAGAAAGGAAGGATGAAATAGATAGGGATGATGATGATTACTTTGTCAAGTCAGAGGAGCCAACCGGGCTCATAACTGTTGCATCTAGCAGATAGATAGGATTATATATGTGAGAAGCTCTTGCTATTCTTCCTATCTAATTGAGGTCTACTAGGTTAGTCTTATAGATGAAGATGACCTCGGATGACCTCGGACGGCCGAGAGGCTCCGGATAGTCCGGAGTCTTTAGCTTCAGCTAGCTATAGGAAAAATCAAGGAAAAGCTAGGACTATCATGAGATCGGTGACGAGGCCGATGACGAAGCAGGTGGCGATGGACGCCTATGATGAAAGAAGAAAGCTTCAATAGCATGATACATCCGGAATCCGATATCCCGATATATGTGACACATACAGTAATCTCAAACAGTAGGGATAAACAATAAGTACTACACCCAGCACCAGAAGAAATAGTAGCTGAATAATAAGGTTGTTGTCCACCGGTCTCTGCCTGAAGCTTCCATTTAACCCCTCTAACTTCAACCCTGCTATCTGTAGATAATAGGGTCAGTCAACGACCCTATTGTCTGCAGTTAACAACCTTACTGTCTGCAGTCAACGACCTTGAGATAGTAACCTTATTCCGAGCAATAGGATATAAGGGAGGCTGACGTCTCCCATCATCAAGAGACCAACTTCCCTTCTGACACTCATCCCATCACAACCAATTTCCAACATGGCGAATTTCACTCGAGCAGCTCTTTCCAGGGATAACCCGTTGTATCCGCATTGTAGATCCCAACTCCGACATGATCTCGGATTCCCTCAGAATCTATAATTTGTATTATAAATCCCGAAAATCTCTGTAGCACACACAATTGACAACACGTAGCAGAGGATGTGTGGTCATTTCCGGGTTGTATTTAACTTGGTACGATGCACCTGGTGGTGATGGAACACATTTAACTGTGGGCTTACTCTGTGATCATGTTCAACTAGCAGCTGGGTGACGAAAGTTTCACCTTAAGAGGGTTCTTAACGGATGAAGGATTGCCAATATACATGTATTAATCACTTCTGTATTGAATATCAGATCTACACAAGCAGCATCATGCCTTTCATGATCCTTGTCGTAGAGTCTAACATCCAAATCCACCGGGATTCCTCCAACCTGTGAACCTAAGTAAACGATTCTTCAGACTTCTTGATAAGTCACCACCTACGCCACACTTGGACTATCCTAGCTTGTAGCGGACTTTAGTCGTGCCCGATAAAGTCACCGGCAAACCGCTCTCAACTGCACCCATAATTCTGGCTTTGTCATAGAATGGAATACCTTCATCGGCTTCACCTGGCCATTCAGGCCCCACACACAATTTTTCTCGATATATTCCCCCTTATCAAGTTCCAGATCAAAGTTCCACAGTAAGTGGGATGCAATGAGGCGCATCTCGAGGTAGGCAAGGTTTCTCCCGATGCATACTCTTGGCCCCGTCCCAAACGGCAGCGAAGCGTTGAGGCGGTCGTTTGAGAACTTTTCATCCTCTCCCAGCCAACGCTCGGGCTTAAAGAGATCCGGCTCGTGAAAGTTCAAGGGTGAGTGTGTCGCTACCCATGGGGCGACAGCGACAGTCGTCCCCGCGGGGACATAGTAGCCGTCAATTGTAGCACCACCAAGGGGAACGACACGTTGCTGACTCGCCGGCGAAGGTGGAAAGAGACGTAGGGCTTCGTTGAGAGTCGCTTCGAGGTATCGAAGATCCTTTACCTTATCCCATTTGATGTCCTCTTCCGTCAGAAAAGCTCCTCTAATTTCGCTCATCAAACGTTTGTACACATCTGGATGAGTGGACACAAAGTATGTCCAGCCAGTAAGGGCTGTAGCAGTCGTGTCTGTTCCAGCACTGATGAATAACGACATGTTCAAGATGATTTCTGTTTGAGAAAGCGACTTCCTGGATTCGTTGTTGAGAATGTGATACATGAAGTCTGCATGCTCTCGGTCGGGATCTGCCAGTCGGCGAATAGTCTTCTCACGTGAATTGTTCAAATGAGTCATTCTCCAGGTCGTGGCCTTAGAAGGAACAAGAAGTCGAGTAATAAGCGACTCGAGCCGTGTACCGACACCAGAGAGACGACGGATAGCCTGCGTCCATGTAGCTGCCACAAACACATTGATAACAGATGTAGACCACTCTGTATCTGATGCCTGATCCAAACACCCAAATGGCTCGGCAAAGCACAGATCGCCCATCAAATCGAATGCCAGGTAGGTGTCTGTGTATTGTCAGTCGAGGAGGCACCAACACTCATACGTGGGAGAGGCTTACACCAAGCTGAGAAATCCACTGCTCGCTTCTCGGATGTCATTGTCTTCAGGACGGTGAGGAATTTGTCGATATGAAGGTGAAGTACACTCTCAAAATGTAACAATGCGCTGTTGGTGAAAAGATATCCCAACGCCCTGCGTTGTCGAGCGTGCTCTTTGTTCACAGCTAGGCTGACCCCAGTTTGTCCATCTACACTTCCCACGGCTCCCAGGAAGATTGGGCTCTTCTCCATGTTTAGACCACCTTTCTGCAAAACATGTCAGCTTCCATACTTTTGAAAGGGGTTGGCACGCACTCGAAGGCCATAGATCTCTTCTCGAGCTTCTACGCTAATGAAGCCAACTTCATTGGGAGAGACTCGCACTACTGGGCCATATTTCTCATGCAGTGACCTGTAGTATCTGTGTTGGTTGCCAGTCACCAATGCCAAGGAAGCAGGTAGCTCTGAGACGCTGTTTATCCAGGGACCAGGCACGTTCCGAAGAGGGTGAAAGAATCGCCTTTGGATAATTTGGATCAGAAACCCAAGAACAAGCTAGGAGCAATTAGGGTTTTTCCCCCTTAGTATAGACTGTTGACTTACAAGCATGCCAAGCGTCGCAATCACTGACGTGGCAGAGAACGTATTCCTCATCATTGTCAACATTGGTAGCGGGAGATTTTTGCGTATGTTCTGAGAGATGTTCAGTAAAGATTTAAGTGAAAATCAGTATTGTTGTAACAAATGCGAATGGCCGATGCCATTCTTTCTTGGGGAATTCTCACCTAGTCGCTAGGTTGGTCCTTCTGAGGCCATTCTACTAGCTGTACAAAGCTAGGTGAATCCCATCTTTTTTTTAGAACTCGGCAATGGCAATTTTCGTCGGCAATTAAGTTTGGATTCTTCAGACAATCTAGTTAGTGTTGTCTACGTGCATCCTTGTTGAGTGATCGCCGTATCACATTTGATGAAGCGCCGGGAATCTTCAGATTCAATGCGCTCAAAATTGCTCGCCTTACGCCATGAGGCGTCTCCGCAGGGGTGTCACCATCACACCGGCGGCTATTGCGGGAGTTGCAGTGTGCGACTAACCTACCTATGCCGTGAAATCTCGGCAAGTTCGCATGCCTCTGGGGTAAATGGCTGGGCTCGAATTCCGTCTTGGTTCAATTCGGCACTATTTCTGGCATCATCTGCATGTAAGCGGAGCGCGCTAACTCGTGCGTAATTATCGAAATGTTACAGTAGTAGCCACTAACTTGTGTCGCAAGGGACGTAGTACAGGAGAACGAAAGCATGTGGATTAATATGCTCAAACGACCTCATTTACTCTCGCGGCTCTTGCGATGAATTCACGCATAGACTCTCCCGACTTTGCACCACTGAATGCTGATCTAGTCGTGTTGATTGACCTCACGATGTAGGCCACAAATATTGACCAATTCGCCATGCATCTGCCCAAAATAGGAACTTCACAGAGCCGTTTCACCATTTCAACAAAATACATCAGCGCAGCCATGGCGGATACCCAGGAGTTGGCCAAAGGCTATACCCTCGTTAACAATACCCAATACGATGCGGGCCTGTTTCTCCTCGAAAAATTAGGAATTCTCCCGGGGACTAGCGTTCTTGACGTTGGTTGCGGACCCGGCAACCTCACGTCGCACATTACAGAGATCGTTGGGGCAGATGGCACTGTGGTTGGCGTTGATCCCAGTACGGAGAGAATCTCGCTTGCCCTCGAAATCAAAAAGGCGAATTTGTCCTTTCACGTCGGAATAGCCGAAGACCTGTCACGATTCCCGGCAGCGAGTTTCGACGTGGTCTTTGTGAACTCTACACTCCATTGGGTCCAGGATCAGCCAAAGGCAGTCAAGGAATTCGCTCGTGTGCTGAAGCCAGGGGGCCGCCTAGGCATTTCTGGCGGATCCGGTGACTATGTCACTGCACAGGAACGAATCAAGGAAGATGTGCTGTCGAGAGAACCCTACCGAAACTATCCGGAGCAAAGCCCGCCAAGATTCCTCAAGCAGCGCGAATTGGAACATCTCCTTGACGATGCCGGATTTTCTACCAGAAAGATCGTCATAAACAAGATCGCCAAGGCAGTTAAGGACGCTGAAGCAATGATCGATTGGTTGGATACAAGTTCCTCTGGGAAGACGTATGGTGGCATCCCTCTGGATCTACGTCCAAGTGCAAGGGAGGAAATGAAAAAGGAGTGGGACAAGATTACTACAGAAAATGGAATCCAAATGGAGATGGAGCTGTTGGTCACCGTGGCTATCAAAGATTGAGTACTTTTAGTTAGACTGGGTAGATGTTCACAAATTGTACTTGAGCTGCCGGGAACTTTTTCCTGCCAGACTTAAAAGTCCCTTGATTTGATCCTTGATGATTCTAATTCGACACTGGCATTCCCCAGTCGGCATTTTTGACAGAAACTCAAATGTACACCACGTGTTGATCTTCCTAATTAAAGGATGGGTTACGTGCATCCGTAGTAGCACTTCCACCATGCTGGAGCGTAGCAGCAGCCTCAAAAGGAATCAGTGGGTGTCTGATGTACATGTGTTCGCCTCCTTGAAGCGCCGCTGCGAGCCACCACCTTCATCCGACGATCGGAAAGTAGACTGAATACGAGACATGAAACCAAGACGAGGGAGTTTGAGGCAGTTCTTCCAGGGTCGTCGGCTGTACTGTGCCGAGACGATGGTGCAATTATAACCGGCATCTTAGTTTCACCGTTCGGGGCCCCGGGTTGTTTGAGCGGGGCTATTCCCGGGATAATTAAGAAAGATCGAGATAGTTTGAGCAAATTATTTGCCGAGATTCCTCCATGTTGCCTTCAACAAGTGCCGAAATCGATGGTGCAACGTCCCTAAACCATGATCGGAGGCTGGCGCCATGCATGCTTAAGTTAAACGATACGCGCTTGTCCTGAAATAGTTTTAAAAGATTCGCCTAGTTGCGGGTTCAAGGATGCCTCGGCGTAGCGTTGTTCTGCATCGGCCCGCAAGAATATCGTCTTAGCGTACTATTGTCTCGCTGCGGATCGCAAAGATTGCTATGATTTCGCAATCTTCCTTTGATCATTCATACGAGTTGCTTTTGTCATCTGGATTTAGGGCCCTTTGTTGCAAAATGCTGCCTCCGTCAAGCCCAAGTAAAAGCACATCCTCCCCGGCTCATCAGCCACGAGTGGCAATACGGGCCGAGGAATCAAAAGCAAAAGTCGACGAATGCCCCGATGAAAAGAATGGGGGAGCGAGTGCAAGCCATGCTTCAGCGTTGTTGAGCTCCGGTGATGAGACAGACGGTGTAGCTGCGCAATCCGAATCTCACACCGATTTCATTGTGTGGTGGGATGAGCCAGAAGACCAAGATCCAGAAAACCCTCTAAACTGGTCACCATGGGTGAAATGGACCAACATTTTGACTATTTCTGTCATTAGTTTCCTGGTGTAAGTGTCTCATATTCCCTACATCTGAGTGACTTGGCGCACAATTTAATCTAAGTAGGCCGCTTGTGTCGTCAATGGTGGCACCGGCTGTCCAGGTAATTATGAAAGATTTTGATACAACCTCTACATTATTTGCGACTTTTGTAGTATCAATATTTGTCTTGGGCTTTGCTTGTGGACCGTTGATACTTGCCCCATTAAGCGAGCTCTATGGGCGTGTGGTCATCTACAACATTACCAACTTCTTGTTTCTAGGCTTCACTATTCTGTGTGCTATCTCGCAGAACGAAGCTATGCTCTTAGTCTTCCGCTTTCTATCAGGGTTCGCAGGCGTAGCCACAATTGCGATTGGCTCAGGAACTATCGTGGATCTTATGCCGCGTGAGAAGAGAGGTAGGGCTGTGTCAATCTGGTCCGTGGGCACAATCCTCGGTCCAATGGTTGGCCCCATCATTGGGGGTTATGTGACTGAAGTCGCTGGCTGGAGGTGGATGTTCTGGGTCATCTCAATTGCCGTGAGTTGTGACCCCGTTTTTGGATATAGGTGTTTGTTCTAATCACAATTACAATTAGATTGGTGTTGTGGCCATCATCGCGTTCTTTGTCCTGAAGGAAACATACCCTCCTGTATTGCTGGAAAGAAAAGCAATTAAGCTCAGGAGAGAAACCAAGAATCCCGACTATCGATCTAAACTCGCCTCCCAAACTACTGCTAGGGATCACATTACACGAAGCATAATGCGGCCTTCCAAAATGCTAATCTGCCGTCCGATTGTCACTATCATGTGTACATACGTTGCGGTCCTATATGGCGTCCTCTATCTGCTCTTTGCGACATACTCGTTCGTCTTCAAAGATGTCTACCAATTTTCAACATTTTCCACTGGTCTCGTTTTCATTGCTGGCGGCATCGGTACCTTGGCGGGTGTTTTCTATGTTGGTCATTTCAGCGACAGAACCCTCAAGAGACGCGCTGCCGCCGGAAAGACGGTCACGCCAGAGGACCGCCTCTCCCTCATCATCACATTACCCGGATCCCTCGCATTTCCCGCTGGTTTATTCATGTATGGCTGGAGCGTGGAGGCACGAGTTCACTGGATTGTTCCGCAGATTGGAACGGCCATTACAGGGTTCGGGTCTATCTTGATCTTCATAAGCATCCAGACTTACTTGATTGATGCATTCGAAGGATATGCAGCCAGTGTCATTGGTGCCAACGCAGTGCTGAGAGGTACTGCTGGCGCGCTGATTCCGCTGAGCGGGCTAAAACTATATGATGCTTTGGGGTGGGGCTGGGGGAACAGTCTACTGGGTTTTGTTGCTCTGGCATTCGTGCCTATACCTTGGATCTTTGGAAAGTACGGTGCTAGGATCCGCAATTTTAAAGGCTTCGAGCTCCAAGTTTAATGATCAGAAGGTTCACTTTTGTCTAGTCAACGCTACGAACAGTTATCTTAGAGGCATGCGGTTACCACAACTGTTAAAAGAGAGAAACAGGCTCATAGACTAAGAAACCACACGATGAGAGAAATCGGTTTTCCGTAAAATTTATGCCAACATAGGTCGCCTTTCAAATTCTGTCAACGCCAAGTAGTTCTACCTAATTCTCCTCCATCACAGTCGAGTTTCCTTCACTCCGAACATGGGGCTAAACCTTCCGATCAGTTCGTTCCGCGTGACATGATCCAACTTGAGCTTTTGCAGATTCCTCCCAGTTTCCAAGTAGTTGATGCCTGTGGCCATTTCGACGAGAATAATCACAGCCTTGATGGGAGACGAATCTATCCCGAGCTTTTCGGCAAGGCTGTGCCAGGAAACCAGGAGATCCGGAACGTCCTCCGAGATATTTCGGTTGTCGAGATCACCTGGAGCTTTGAGTTGGTTGTGTGGTCCCGAATTTTGCGCCAGCTCTACCAAGCTTCTGAAGCCATGGCCGTAGCACTCATTCGAGACTTCGACGGCACTTTTCAGACGGAGCCCGAAAGCGTGGCCAATTTCGATTCGTACCCGGTCAACAGCCAGCATGGCGTTTTCAACGGAGGGCGTTAGCCCGTCACGATACAGGAAAAAGTCGCCGTCTGTACTCTCGATGCGACCAGCATTCATCAACATCATCAGTGGATGAAAAATACCGTTGATATTCGACAGGCAGACTTCGATAATGCTGCTGCACCACTTGAGTCTGATTGGGAAGATGGCTTGTATCATGTCGCAAACGGCCGGATTCAGTTGTCTTTGCAAAGCCGCAATGAAGACGAGATTCTTCTTTCCTAGCACAACCAAGCCCTCCTCATCCATCCTGCATGAGTATGGCGACAGGTTGGTTTCCATAATACAACCGACCTCCATCTCAGCGTCTTTGATGAGAGAGAACAAATTTCCTGGCACTGCGATAATGGTATGTCGATTCAGTGTGTAGCCCTTGAGGTCTTGCAGCACTGTCTCCTGGCCAGTTGATGGGACGGTGAGAATGATGATATTTGAGAACTCAATGGCCTCGCTCATATCAGACGTGAGCTGCAATGTTGCGAATCCTTCGAATGCGCCCCTGGCTCTCAAGTAGCCTTTGTCCTTGACATTATTCGCATGGCGTAGGTGAGTTGGGTGGGAATACACCAATACACTCGTCCCGTGGAGTTGGAGATCGGCAGCGAGGGCAAATCCGGCTGGTCCAGCGCCGATGATAGACACTGTATGCTGCATGGCGGTAATGCTTGGCGATAGAGGAAATGCTTCAGCTGTTGATGTGAGTCGGTTTGTATGGCTGATTAACTTCTCTCAAACGAGACTGATAGTGTGGAGGAGCAAAGGAGCGTTAAATTTAACAACACGGCGGGTTTAAAGATCATCACACACTCAAAACAATAGCAGCTTAGGTTAGGGGGAAGAAAAGGCCTAGATGCAACGCCTGAATACACGTCACAGGGACTAGGGGTACCTGCAGAGGACTACTGCAACCGAAGTATCACACAGCTCCGTCCGAGCGTAGTCTCGCCAATCCCTGTCGGCTGGGGTGTTCCCGTGGATGAGCAAGTTCGCTCTATTTATTGCGGGTGAGGGGTTTAACACATCGATTCGTCATCGGAGGCGCCTCGTTGAGCATAGGGTCGACTGGGGTATAGTTACATCGTTTGAGTCCTATAGAGGTCATTTAAATCGGTTGAATGTGACAACTATGTGCCGAATATATCGGGCACGCGAGGAGTGGCGGTCGCATGCAGGGTCTGGACTCAAGTATACGATCCCATTTGCTCATACTGAGTGATTCACCATCTCGTACGTTTGTGATGAGCGAGCTCGAAGAAGTGAGAAATTTGGAAGTTGTAACGGAGAAAAAGATTAATTGGTGCAAATAAATGTGTGTCCAGAATGGAACTATGGAGCATGAATTACCAAGCAAAAGCTTCTTCAATCAGATCGACTCTGTACCCATCCTTGACAGAATTTACAACCTGCTTCGTAACTTCATCCGCCATTCCACCAGGTCCACATACCAGAACGGTGGTATGCTGGCCGTGTTCCACAGATCCCTTTAGCACAGACTCGATTTTCATCCTGCCCATGTTCAAGGCTGCTGACCTCGACGAAGTGACGTTATCCGCCTTTTGGCCTTCATCAAAGGATTCCGGCTTTCCAGAATTTTCGCGAGAGCCTGTGCACCAAAAGGAATACTCGATGTCTTCAGCATCAATGAGGAAGTTCTTCTTGACATGGTCGATGAAGCTCATCTCCCTAGCAGACCAGGCAAGAATGAATCGCTTTGCTTTCTTGATAACTCCACGGGCCTTCTTTTGGCTTTCATCTGCTTGAAGAGTAAAACTGGCGTATTCCTGTACATACCCAAGTATGTTTGTTATGCCAACGCCCCCGGCAATGCAAAGAACAGTGTCGGTAATAAACAGTGGGTGGAGGGTTGCCCGATGACCTGCGTATGGGCCCTCGGTGAAGATGGACAATTTCATGTTCGAGCCAGACGGAGAGAACAAGAGGCGGCGTCTGAGACTAGACGTCATGCCAGAACGTTCGCGGATCATGAATCGGATTGATGGGCGATTCTGAGCACGAAGTTCGCCTGAAGACGCTCCTCGTTGCGTTATCGTTGTGGGGTTTAATGGAGAATCCTTGACCATATTGACCTCCTTGTCGCGGCTGCTGGAAAGAGAGGCAGAAGCCAAACCGATGGGCATAGTTTGGCCTGGTTTTGTCCAACCCGCAACGCTGAAGGGGTGACTTTCCCAGAATTTGCCCAATTCAGGAATGTAAAGAAAACTGTGCTGTCCGGGACCGAAACTCCACGGAACGCGTGGGAAGACAGTTACCTGCATGACATTGGATCCGGGAACTGCCTCTACAATGGCCTTTGAGTCACTGAAGTCATTGTAGTAGGCGATTCGGAGCAACCTTGCGAGTCGGTCGGCAGCCCAGAAGGCGAAAGCAATGTAAAGCCAGACCTGGTAGCCGTAGTCATAGCCGAAGTGGGGGACGATATGATACCAGCTTCCAATCAAGGCGAGGATTACGAGAACGATGTGGAGTATCAAGAAGCATTCGTAAAATTTGACGCGAAGCGGGAGTATTGCGAAGCATGTTGCTAGACACAGGGCAATTGTTGCGATGATTCCCCACCACTGCAAACGATTAGCGATTGCCCAAGCACATAAATGGTGACGCATAAGCGCATTTAAGCTTCTAAGCCGTATGTAGACCGACTACAGGTGGGAACTGGGGGTTGGAATGAAAAACTCACGTAGAAAGATTCTGCAGCTTTCGCGGCGTAGGCTGAGGCTCCGTCGTATCCCGGCTCGAAATAGGCCAAAGTGTAGGCGATGGAGTGCACAACGGCCTGCAAAGCAGCCACTCTTGCGGTCCACCGATGCAGGGTCAAGAAAGTCGTCTGACTCCATCCCGTGAGAGCAATCAAGAGATTGTTCCGGCCGGCGAACAAAATGGCAATGCTCATGTTGACAAGGCTAAGGGTGCCGGTTCGGTTGCCGACGTACTCGCACATCTCGAACTGTGGGGAAAGAAACCAAGTATTGGGCTGAAAGTTGCGGAATGAGACGCTCGAGAATATTATGTTCAGAATGATGTAGATGGTGATGAATATGCTCAGGGTTCTGCCGGGTATGTATCCCGCGTGGCCGGGGAGAGCTTCGAGGCGTCGAGAGCCAAACAAGGCGGGTAGGAAGATGTATCCTCGAAGTTTGGACGCGAATGAGGACTTCTGCAATAGGTTTTTGAATGTCGGGAATGCGCTCGCGGTTTGGGCTATGACGCCGCCGGCAATGCAGATGCCGATGACGATGAAATATAGGATCACCCTAGAAGTGGTATGTGAGCCTCCTGTTCAGGAGGGAGGAATTGGTTAACAGAGCACGTACGAATATCTCGTGTGAAGGTATTCGGATCTCGCAAACTCGCCCAGAGTGCCATGTGTCGCGTAGTACAGGTCTTTGTTCACCAAGTTGGTGGAATTGAGCCATACAGCATCCCCAGCCAGCTCTGAAGTGGGAGCCTTGGCAGGTAAACTATCCTCGAACGTGGGCGTGGACGCCCCAGCAACTGCTTGATTGCTGAAGCACTTGGCCTGCTTCTTGGCAGGATATCCATCGGCGTTGCAATTCTGCTGAATGCAATACGCCATTGTCTGGAGCCAGGCCTTGTTAGTAGCATAGCAGTCGGCGCTGGTGGTGCCCATCATATCTGATGAGTCTCCCATGTCCATGCCCGACATGCTACCCTCATCAGTGAACGTGGTGCAAGTCAGATAGAGGGAGGAGAGCGAATCATGACATGCTTGGCAACATAGGTCCTGGTACAGCGAGATTCCGAAGCCCACAATGCCATTTTTGTGAGCGCTGGCATTATGAACGAGGCAAAAAAGATTGAGAAGAAGCACAGTTGAGGCAATCATGACGGGCAAGCTGCGCGTCGATTGACTGATGGAGTGGTTCCATGGACTGCACCAGCAGATAACTTTGACAGCTAGTTTAAAAATAAAATCCACAACCAGATCGCCAAGAAGTACGTTTTAATCATGTTCGCGACCTAGTGGATTCTGGAGTGTGGCGTTAGGTGTGGGTAGAAGAGTGGTATTGAGCAAGTTTTGTCTCGCGATTTCAGGGGCATGGACAAATCATAGAAGCGGATGCAGGGAGAGAGGGGGATTGAGCTAGTTTCGCATCGTCGCTTCGGCGTCGTGTCCAATCATGATCGATGTATTTGCGTATGGCGTGGGGTTGAGCAGATACAATTGAACTATTATTGTCCGCTCTGGTGTAGCTAGATTCTTTTTGGTGTAGGCAAGGTGTGATTCACGAGTCTGGAGCAACCGTGGCGGTGGTCTCGGCCTTCTGAATACCTGCCTGAGCTCTGCCGATGGCATCATCCGACTTGGAGCCATTGCTAGTTTTAGACACATCCACAGGGCTGCGTCGGTACCACTTTATCATTGACTTGTCTCATCGTTTGGGGGCTAGAGAATTAAAATGTTTGACATCAAAGGCGAAGTGAAGGACGGGCGAAACGGAAAGCAAATTAGTTTAATTGCTGCCCTGAGCTGAATGAAGAGGGGCTCCTTAAGTCATTGCCCTAGCTTGGACGTTCCATTCCCGTAGCCGTTGCGACATGGGGTGGGCGTTAGGTACAGCATGCAATGTTGCTCAACACGTCCTACCTGTAGCTAGGTATATACCGGCAAATTGTTGACTGGAAGAGAGAAGAGAGGGCAAACCGTCTTTCTCTATTATATCGCATTACTTTAAGGAAATAAATACATCATTGTAAAAAATAATGTTAAATATTCAGGATCCAAGGACTATTAAATAGAATTGGAACTGGAAATTTAAATTAAAAAAATTGCAAACAAGGTACTATTTAGGTATTGATCTTCTCTATATTAGGTTATCAAAATTTGTGAACTGGTAATACCTGATTCATAAAGTCGACCACCGTCTCCCTAAGCGTTGTAAACGTAAGCGAGGGGAAGTCCTGCTCCATGTCCGTCATGTCCATGTTGATATGACCTTTAATCTCCTGTAGTCCTGTGGAGACGGAATCCTTGGAGCTGTCTGGTACATCTCGCCGCATGATCTCTGATACAAGCTGATAATTGAACTTTTCCGGAGAAACTGGAATGTATCGCTTTCCTCCCGATTTTGGGTTGACCAGAGCTTGAACATGGATTTCTGCCAAATCTCGCACGTCGATCCAGAAGTTGAACCGAGCAGGTGGCAGGGGATTTGATGGACCCCCTGTTGCAACTTTCCACAATATGTTATTGGACTCGTTTAAATCTTTCGGCGAGTTCAGAGTCCCTGAAATGGGTCCAAAGATCATCGACGGACAAAGTGTCACCAAGTCAAATTGGGGCTTTTCCGTCTTGACGAAATTCCACGCCTCTTGCTCCGCGAAGACCTTTGACCCTCGATAAGCATCCTGAGGAGTCGCCGCGGGGTCCTTAGCCTCACTATACGTGATTGGATTCCAGTCACTCGAGGAATATGTGTACGGGGTGCTCTCTTCCCGGCCCATGTCAAGAACGGCGCCGAAGGAAGATGTCATGACGATTCGCTTCACTTCGCTGCCTTTACTGGCCTCAAGTATTGACCGGACACCTTTTATCGCTGGAACAATGAGCTCGTTTTCTTTATCGGCCACTTGGTAGTTCAGTGGCTGATTAAGACATGGTCAGTTGATCTTCATTTAAGTGAGTCGTGGAAAGGGCGCTTACGCTGGCAAGGTGAATGACGCCGTCTATGTCCGTCATAGCATCTTGAAACACGCCGGGCGTTGTGAGGTCGTCAATATAGTAAAAGTCTAATCGGTCTGCAAAGTTCTTTTGCGAGTCTACCATCCGTTGCGCTTTTGTTTTTGATCGGACTACAGCTCGAACTTTAAAGCCTTTCTTCAGGAGGCATTCCACGACATGGGCGCCAACCAGCCCAGTAGCCCCAGTTACCAGGACGTACCTAATTCACTTAGCGAAATGCGGGGCATTGCTTTGGATGTGAGACTTACTCTATGGTCATTCTGGCAGATTCTGTGGTAGGATCTTGATGTCCAGTGTGTGATGGGTTGCAACTGAAGATTACCGCAATCGAACGAGTCTGGGACGGAGCCGGGAATTAGCGAGATATATGAAAGACGATTGAGCTGATGCAAAGCTCGCTTACATATCATGATCATAAGTATCTGATTCTGTTTGCTCGATAGCGGTGCTCGATTAACTAGCGTGCCCCAAAGGGAGGAGCTCCTCCGTGGTGGAAGACTCTTATCGGGAATACACGGTGGTGATGTCTAACTCGAAGGGGCATAAGATCTGTCACTGTGGGGATCACCCATGTCCCTTGCTGCTTTAGATTTGAGATGGGATAGAGTGGAGCGCAAGTGAAGCTATAAATATGGCAAGAACTTTTCAGGTGTAAATAATTCACTGCTGAATTACTTCCTTTGAATTTGTAGCTAGGTGATGGGTTTGGAAACGTCAATAACATGCCACACTAAGACAGCAGAACCAGTGGCCTTCAAGGTTCTCGTTTGTCTTGGTGGTGAGATGGGCATAGTTTGGCCCAGGAGAGGGTTCCCCTAATAAGAGGCGCTATAGTTATTATAAACCAACTAATTAACAATATAAAAGGTTGAACCATGTGCCTATTTACCAGTGGGGAGCGGACTGGGGCCGACACAATAGTTAGCATCAGGGAAGATGGTCTGAGGGTGTCAAACGTGGATAAAGGCTACATATATTAGAGATTAGGGGTTATGTGCACAAGTCATTAGAGCCAGTGTGCTGAAAGTTAGTTGATAGGCGCCCCAAAGATATTGCCTAATGTGCAACGGTGCTTGTGAGCTGGCCGCGGGTGAGGACGCCGAACATGGAGCTCCTCCGGCCAACCGAGCCAGCTCCGCCATCTGCATCGACAATGCACGCTAACTAGACATGGAGGAATGCTGTGGTTTGTGGAGGTACAGATATGAGCTCCTCTATATGTAGCTGACAGAACATCTGATTAGACATCACTAGCTGGAGAGCAGTCTACGTATATGTATCTACACCCGCTCCCTTGTCCTCTTCCACATCCACCGTAGTCTCGAATTCGAATCACCTATTTCAAAATGTCGTTCGGAAAGATTTACACCTACCCTAAGGCCCCGCGCTCGACTATGGTCTTGTACATCGCGGAGCTACTAAAACTCGACGTTGAGATTGTCACCGCTCTACCTATCAAGATCTACACAGACCGTGGTGGTGTTGGCGAAGAGTATCTGTCCAAATTCCATCCTGGAAAAGTGCCCGCGCTGGAGACTGCGGATGGATTCTGTGTATATGAAAACATAGCTGTGTCATGGTTTTGTACGTAGTGTTGGCCCTTTGCTTCTTCTTCTGCTGACGTGATGATGTGTCCAGTGGCTAAGCAGGACCCGAAGACTACCCTGCTCGGCTCCGGCCTTCGGGAAGAGACGACCTGTCTGCGATGGGCATCCTTTACCGATTACGAGCTACTGCCGCCTATTATGGCTTGGATTAACCCAATCATTGGCCGGGCTCCTTCGAGTCCCGAGATCCTGGCTCAGTTAGAAGAAAATTGCGAGCTTACAGTTCGAGCTGTGGAGAAGGAAATTTCAGGAAAGACGTTTCTCGTCGGCGACACCCTGACTATTGCAGACCTGTTTGTCATCTCTGGCCTAGCAAGAGGCTACCAATTTGTAAGTTGTCTCAGTCTAATCAATGCAGCTGAAGGATCTAACCTTGAGCTCAGGTTTTCACGAAGGCATGGGCAGCGAAGCATCCTATCGTGCACGAGTATTACATGAGATTGAGGTCCGATCCCATTTTTACCAAGATTCTTGGAGAAAATGTGATCCGCGATGAGGCTGGTGGAACGTATCCCGATTATGATGGTTTGTAGATGATTATCTTGGCAATTGTTGAATAAAATACAATGATACCTATCTATGATGCTACACTACTTCACGTTGGGTTTCTTGAAACACGGCCACCATCCATGATCCAGTTGGCCAAGTATCTCTCAATGAGAATGCCTTTGCCGCCCAGTGGAGATATCGAGAATCGGAACTGTTTCCAATGATGAAACTTTGTCCACCAGAATCGACAGCATCCATCAACCTCGCCAGAACCACCCGAGCCAAGGAGGTGGAGATGCTCTCTTTTATCGGTAGCTCTCCAGTCAGGATCTTGTGATCGACACTTAATGCCATCAAGCGGACGACGCGCCATCCCATAATACATGCCTTGAACCCCAACATCGTCATGAAGGGGTCTTCCTGGCAGTGGAAGGATATGCCATCTCGGATTGGCGATGTCGTTGTAGGCGTGTTCATGAGCTCAATCAATTGCTCCAAGTGGTCAACCTAAAGACCCAGTTATGGGATGTCCTCATGGATAACTTCGACTTGAACTTACGATGCGAATGAAATCCCTGTCGTTGTATACATCCCGATTATCCTTTGCTCGAGGCTTTCCGAGTTCCCAGCACGCTATTCGATGGTTAGAATACTTTGCAAACTCTCTAATCTTCAAACACTTACTTGATATCGCTGTGGGTAGGCCAAGCTCTACTATCCCGGTCGTTAGAAGAGCATCCTGGTGTGTCAAGGTCATGGCCGTGTAGTGCCATGCAACCCAGACTGAATGCCAGAGAGTTTTGTTTCCCCTGTCTGGCTGGGTGTTTTCGTCAATCCCAAATATCGTTGTGTCGTCTAGAAGATTCAGAGTTTCAAGTTTGGGGATGAGGTCTTGTGGTTTGTCAGTCATGACTATCGTGTCGTTGAGAAAATCGGAAACTACCTGCTAAGCTGTGAAGGGCTTGAAATATCTGTGTCCGATTCTCCTCTGATAATATTGAACTACAAGAATATTAGTGATTGAAGAACACTATAGACGGGTAACCAACAGGTTATGTCTCGTTGATCCGAGATTAACATTGGAAGCGAAGAAGATGCTAGCCATAGTCATATCCCGAATCATCATTTGCATCTGCATGATCAATATGAGGGACGCAAAAGGCGAGTACCAGAGAAGCCCAAGAGGTTGTCCTACAGCGCGATTGGGGTGGATCAAATGCAACAAGCACTCGTAGAGATCTCCATGGGCTGGCCGTGGGTCGGGATTTCCTTCATAGTCGTCCTCTTCATTCATGTTTAGCGAAGAATCCTGAGCTTGAACAAGCAAACTCCATGAGGTGGCATTGGCTGCCGACCACAAGTTATCCGGGCAAGGGAGTTCGTATTTTAGCTCAAGGGCAGATAAAAGCGGTCTCATGTTGCAGGTGATTGCCATTTGAGAATCCAGATAGTACAGAGAGTACATGACGCTGTCGGTATTAGGCTTCGTAAAAATGATGACAGTTGATTGTCTCTACTCACCGCTTCTTGGACTCGCTTTCGATGAATGCTTTCCATCTGGTCTCCTCTGTATCCAATTCGCCATTCATATTCATAGCAGTATCGGGACTACCGCTTTGAAGTGCCGCACCATCCTGAAGCATTTGATACTCACGCGCTGCGTCGACGAGGTTTCGATGCATTTTCAAGGCTCTAGGGAACAGCTTGTCTTGACAGCTGTAGATTGCATAATATTCGAACAGGATATAGGCTTGGATGACCCAAACCTCTCTGAACCTGGAACGGTCTTCTCGGGTCTATTTATTGTAAGTCTCTTGAACAAGGGTCTGGAGAGTTTGTAAGAACGGACATATTGGTCGAGGGTCTTCAGGCCGGCTTTGAAAAGTAGCATACTAAATTTGTGACCCGGAGCATAGTACACGGCGCCAATGCACGCGATTGCTTGAAGCAGGGGCTCTCTTGTGGTTGCTGTGTCAATACTTGGCTTGTGCAAGGCAGGGAACGCAGGATGAAACTTTTCGAAATATGCGGCAATGTACTGGGGGAGCTTGAAGAGCCACGAGACATCGTGGGGAGAGAAGGCTTCCTGGGTTTGTTCTGGTATCTAGGCGATGGTCAAATTAGACGGAGCATCGATGAGGAATGTTTCAATGTTCTTACATCCTCAATAGGTGGGTTTGGTGGTGGAATAGATTCGACTGGTGATTTTGGTGAGATGGACCTTTTATGCGATTTCTTGATGTGTCTCTTCCTCAAATCGCTGGATTACCTGTCAGTAAATGGACGGGGAGATGGCAAGGCTCTGTGTCTGACTCACCTTCTCGAGAATGAGACATCGCAGTGTGGACATGGAAACGGTCTTTGGTTAGATTCTCGATGAACTGCAAGCCAACGCGTTAGTGGAGATACATGAATTTCTATGCTGCCGCTCAATGTACCTGACCGCGTATGTCGATTCAGATTTTCCTTTTGTCAGTGTCAGCCATGTCGCGTTGAAAGCTGGCACGCGACGTCATACAAGTCGAGTAAAGCGACTGGAGCAAGCTGGGCATGCAAAAGGCCGCAGAGTCGCATTAGGAGCGACGGTGATCGTGGAGGAAACCTCCATGGTCGGCGTCATGGTTTCGCCGCGTTGGATCAGTCGATTACGCTGTGCTTAGGCCTTGGATCAGGAGACGTTTGATCAGGAGATGCCAACAATAAGGATCAATATCCCATCCCGTACGTGAGGGGAAGCTGCGCTGGAAGCTCTCTCGCGACTAAGAACCCTGTCGCCGTTGGGTTGCCAGCTTCTCCGGCGTCCGATATCCGATGTGGATGGCCTGCAGAGCATCGGGGTGTTGCAAAGCTGCGTCTTCTATTGGCTGTCTCAATCGACCGGGGCATCGTGTGTCATTGTTATCAGAGCAGATGCTCAATAGCCAATGGCGATGGCGCTATGAGGATGGAGGTGGCGGGGCTCCTCCCATGTATCTCCATTGCTGTAGATACCGAGGATAGGACTAGAGATAAGAGACACAGTTGCGACGTGGCTCAAGCGATGGAGGCCCGGACAAGGATCAGCCTGTCTATTATAGCGTCGACGATTACTACGCAAATGCGGGAGTACCACGGGGCTACATTCAATGGGGAAACATGCGAAAGATACATAAATGACCACAACGGGCGAAGGCGGATAAATGCTTCACATCCAAACGCCCTGATTTCAGGGCGTCGGATCTAAGCTCTCAGCGCTAGACCTTCTTGTCGACGTCCGTCACCTCGACATCCGCAACCTTCGCATCCGCAGCATCAGCAATCGCCAGCCCTTCAAGAACCGCCTGCTCCTTCTTGTCCCGCCTCTCGTACCAGACCATAACGGTGACCCAGATGGCGAGTAAGCTGCAAATGACAATCATGCAAATCATGCCGCGCTAGGGGAGGAGTTAGCTGGGACTGAGTCGTAAAAACGGGACAAAACGAGACGGTTGGGCACTAACAGTAAACTTTGGCGCCGCATCAGCGCGGTAGAAGATCAGCGGCCACCAGGCCTGGAACAGGTTTCCGGAGAAGTTCATGGTGCCAATGACAACCGCTCTCATTGCCGGAGGCTTGCTGCGGAGAGTGTCGTTTGCCCACGCAAAGAATGTCGCCTGACAGCAGTAGATCGACCCTGCCCAGTAGTAGGCCCCAAAGTGGCCGGCTGTTGTGGTGCTAGGGACGAGGATGATGATGGACGTGGCGATGCCGACAATAGCATTGTAGTATCCCGTGATCCATCGCTTCCCGTAGATATCCGTATATGAAGCCCACAGGAGCGTCGAGACAATGCCAACCGCCTGGACTCCCGTCGGGTAGTTGTTCAGCTGGTATACCGTGTATGTGATGGTGGGGTGAGCCTGCATGTACAGGTTGAGGAGAGACTGGGAGCTGAATGCCTCGGAGCAGTTGCCAAGGATCCAAAGAAGGGCAAATGCATAAAAATACCACGAGTTGAAGACGGTCTTGGCGAACTCCTTGTTCAACACTGGCGGATCCTCCGAAATGGGCACGCGGGCAATGGCCAGCTGCTTCTCCTCGGCCGACAAGTACGGCGCCGTAGTTGTGGCCGGAGTGTCGGGGAACAACACATACCCATAGATAGCGACGGGGAGAGTGATGATGCCGTCAATCTGCAAGGAAGTAATAGTCAGTGGCGGATCTCCCTGGCAAAGTGTTGAGCCAACTCACAATAAACAACCAGCGCCAGCCTGGAAGACCGTGCAGCCCGTTCATGGACTTGTGGATTCCCGACTGGAGAAGCCCACCGAACATTCCACCAGCCAGGCCAGAGCCAGTGAAGATGGCGCTGCGCTTGCCCAGCTCCTCCTCGGTGTACCACGATCCAAGGATGAAGTGAGTGCCGGCAAACACGCAAGACTCGGCGTATCCCTGGAAGAAGCGGATGACCATGATGTCCTCGGGACGCTTCGCAGCAGCCGTGCACATTGTGAAAGCAGCCCAAATAACAATCATCAATGGAAAGAAGATTCTAGGTCGAAAGCGAGTGAGCAGCAAGTTGTTGGGGACAATTCCACTGCGTGCAGGGTTAGATATCGGTTCATACACCTCAGCTAGCGATCGATGCAAGCAAACTTACATCATATATCCCGTCTGGTAGATCGAGTTGATCACGGTGAGCTCAGCACCCTTGAATTTAAGGTCCTCCTTCATTCCCGAGACATAGGCCTGGGTAATGTTGGATCGGTCAAGGTAATTCCTATACAGTCAGCGAAGAACCTTCCCGCCACTTTTCTGATGCTCACATGAAATATGCCAGACAGCAAAATGTCAGAATAAAGACATCAAGCTTGAACACCAGCTTCGTCTCCAATGGGGACCTGGGGTTGCCCCGGAAGTACTCGTGCAGCCTGGCAAACATCTTGTCGGCCTCGAGAAGAACTTGGACTGTGTGCGCGGTAGTCAGTGCCAATTGCTGTCGAGAGGTGCTGTGATATCTTCGTTCTCGTGTCCTCGGGCCAGCGTACTTATAACTGCATCCACGCGGTGTAGCTGCGAGTTCTGGATGCTCCTATGCGACCCAAGTAAGGAACATGGGTTGTCTCAGCCTCGATAGGGAATGAGTTCCAGACCACGTCACAGCTGGAGGCGCTCCTCTCCGACTCCCTGGATGCTTCACCCCAGACAACGCCGGGGGACGTGATCCGAGCCGTTAGCACTCCCTGCGAGCGAGGTTTAATCCGGGGCAATATGCGCGGGGCATGCAGGACGGGCCAGGAGGAGATCCTTGCTCCAGTAGATCGGCTGATAAAGCCGCTTGTGCGCTCAGGAGGAGGATTGCATCTGGGCGGCGCTCCTCCCAGGTCAGCGCACGGTACGGTGAGAGTTTGGGACTATCTGGACTTGGAATCAGGGAACGGGAGATAGCCATGCTTAGTATCACACCACGTCCCAGCAGTTGAACCCTCCATCCCGACACCTATCTGCGTGTCCTTTCCGTTTGCCTAGTAGCTTGTTCATACGAGAGATAGCGGTGGAGAACTGGAAGATAAGGTCAATAGCTTCGGGGCTTTGGCCGAGATCCACATCACAGCATCCAATTAGCGCTTCTAGATTACTGGGGATCTGTTGTGCCTGCAGTGTCAGGTTGAGATGGTGCTCACAAAGGAAGGTATCGAAGTCGATATTATTGCCCCCAAGTGATACATGTTCTTAGATTAAATGAGATAACAAGCCTCCTCGGTCATCGTCCCGAGGGATGCCAAGAGGCGGACAGATACGGTTTGGGAGATGGAGGGTTGGATCGCAGACTCTACAGGGTAGTATCCCAATTATGCTTGGATCAGTCTCGCGCGTCACCAGGTGGAGGAGAAATGTAATCTCAAATGCACTATTAGACACGGGCGGTGAATGGTACTTGAAGACACGAGGGATTATTGCGCAGAGGCGTTTGTTTCAATATTGAATGCATCTCGTATCAAAGAATGTTGTTCCTCCACAGAAAACCGTAATACACTATCTAACGCTATACGAGTCGGGTCCTCGGCTTGCTCCGACCGTCGCATTCAAACAACTCAAGTCTTGACCGTGGGAATCGTGTACTTCTCCCTAGGAACATTATCGAACTTGCCAAGACTCGCGTGCCCCTCGGGATCGACGTACTCGCCGGCAAAGAAATCCGCGTGTTTCGACTCATCTCTGGGCTTGTCAATGTCAAACTCGTACCGCTTCCAGCCATGCTTCCTGGCGTCCAAGTAGTCAGCCATGCAGAAGATTCTATCATCCATGGGCGTGTTAGCCCCCATGCGCTCAAGCAGCGGGGAGTTCTCAATTGGCACAAGCTCCCTCTCGTCAGCCGGTCGGACGAAGTAGATGACGCCGATGCGGCGGAGGTGGCGCTGGTCCATAGGGGGCTGTACGACACGGTGGATGGTGGCCTTGAACAGACCGCCAGTCAAGCGCTCCAGCGCCTCGCCGAAGTTGACAACGATGCCATGGGGCTGGTGCTTGACCCATCGGTACTTTCCAGTGTGATGGCAGAGCACCTGCAGGGCTGCGATGGGCTGGGAAAAGAGCAGAGTAAAGGTGCCCCAGTCGGTGTGTCCAGACAGGAAGATGTCACGGTACTTTTCACTCTCCTCCTTTGATCGAGGCTCACACATCATCTGAACTGAAGGTTAGCCATTGCAGTCACTGAACAGTCATTGATGGATCTCACGTAGCGGATGTATTCCGTCTTGGAGCCACCAGGAGCATGCGTGGAGAGCACAGCCTCCTCCGGGACCTCGAGGATCATGGCCACAAGCTTCAGCAACTTGATGAGAATGTTGGTTCGAATAAAGTGCATCACCTCGTTTGTCTCGGGCATATACGGGCGCAGCAGCTCCGGGTGCGGGCGGTTCTTGGGATCGTGAACGAGGATGTTGTAGTGGTCTAGTTGCTTCGGGAAGCCGCCCTTGTGTCCGAGAGGTCCGGCGGGCTTGAAGCCGACGTAAAGGCCGCGAGCATCTTCTTCGGGCGTGACTGCAAAAAGAGGGAGTTAGGTTGTGGTGAGAATGATTATTGAGGGACTAACCTTCATAAGGCTCCTTGTCATCCGAGGACATGGTCATGACGCCGTTGGCAATCGTCATCTGGCGCTTGTAGGTTTCGTCCGAGATGCCATGGTTGGTGAGCGTAAGGAAGCCGTATCCAGTCGCGGCCTCGAACATTTGCTTGGCAAGCTCTTTTCGACCGGCAGGGTCATCAAATTTGGACAGGTCAAGATTGACCAGATCCACGTAGTCCACTAAGAGTCACTCATGAGCTGAAGTCATTACGTATGGTCGGCAAATTACTCACGGTCTTCCTTGGTGGGTGTCGGAGGAGTGTACTCCGGGAGTTGTGCGAGACTGGGAGCCATGATGGATGGATAGATTGAAAGCTTGAATACAGGGAGGGGATTTTGCAGTCGGATGAAGTGATCGATGGGACTTTCTCGTCGTGAGCGAGTTGTTTGTTAGGTGGTAGAAATAACGACTGGACGCAATGATAGTTATATCTGTCAATCGAGACCGATTTCGCAGTGTTTACGGCTGAGGCATTGGAACTTCAGGCGGAAGAGTGGCTTTGTCGGAGGAGAAACGCTCTCGAGTGCAGGTGATGGGCACAAGAGGAGGGAGGAGCATGGTCGCGATCCAATCATGCTCGTAAACAATGAGAATCGTGGAGCTCCTCCCGTCAGGCCAACTTTGGAGCTCCTCTCGCTGTGCTCCTTTAGATGGCCGGAAAAGCAAAACCGCAAAGCACAACGTCACGAGGACAATTGCAGACGCATCAATGACGAGGTAATATGATGCATCAAATAAGCAAACCGGCGCGATGGAGAGCTTCGCATCACCGTGAAGGCAATCTTTTGATGCGCGGATTGCAAAACGCAGCTTCCTCCTCCTGACGCTAGGGTCTTTTCTAAATTTAAGGTATGATACTATTGACGAGATAACACTATTAAATGAGTTCAAGCAGGTCGCCACGAACTCTGTGGGGCACGTTCCGTATCAGTCCTGATCTCGATGGGCACCTGTGGAGGTGTCGACAATTGATAGATATGCATGGGGCCCGCTGCGATGCTACACGAGCATCACATGGTCTGTTTAGTAATCTGCAAGGTGATGAATTAGGAAAGGATAGGAGTAGTTAGCTGTCCTGGTCTTGTCCGAGGCCCAGTGTAGATTTGAGCCTGACACTCGATGTCTGTCTCTCTGATCGATTTGCAAGTTTCTAGAGGTGAAACAACATCTTCAGTACAGTTTTGCTTGGCTACATTATTTAAGGACCGATGGAGGGATAGCGGGAAGCGATTGGAAATCATAACTTTGCTCTATCAAATCTATAGAAACGAATGATGCTAATCCTGCAACCAATCTCAAGCCGACTCACCCATTGACTGAATCATGTCCACTGTGCCGTTTGCAATTCCCACAAACTGATGCTTGGTCTCTACCTCACCACCTCCACCGAATGAAGTTGAAGCCCCCGGAGTGCCCCATCCGCCGCCACCAGGAGACTTGATGACGATTCGGTCACCGGTTGCCATCATGGCCGTGTTCTTACCTCCCAGGTTAATCACTCGTCCACTCTTCTTCACCCAGAGGTTCTGGCCCTTTCCACCATCTTGGCCACCTTCGAGACCATAAGGAGCATACGTGCGGCGCTCGCTCAGGATCGACACCTTAGTCGGGATTGAAAATTCCAGTTCGCGGATGATGCCATCACCACCCGGGTGGGCGCCGGCTCCTCCGCTGCCTTCTCGAAGACAGAACTTCCGGAGAATGACTGGGTATCTTCTCTCCAAGACCTCGGGGTCGGTGATGCGCGTGTTTGTCATATTTGTGTGCACGCCGCTGGTTCCATCCCAGGTCGGACCACCGCCAGAACCACCGCAGATGGTCTCGTAGTACCCAAAGCCGTTCTCCTCGTCGTCAGTACCGAACGTCAGGTTGTTCATACAACCTTGGCTGGCGGCCACGGCCTTGAATGCCTTGAAGATGACATCTACCACGCGCTGAGATGTCAGAACATTGCCAGCGCATACCGCGGCATCTTCTGAAGGTTGAAGTAGCGATGCCTCGGGAATGCGGATGTCGATCGGCCGAATGGCACCTTGGTTGAGAGGAATGTCCATGCTAACCATGCAGCGAAGTGCGAAAATGATTGCCGAGTGGCAAATTGCTATTGGCGCGTTCCAGTTCCCTGACATGTGTTAGCACTTGGCTCTTGATGATCTCCGTGACTCTTAATGATAGGGATCTCACCATAGGCCTCTGGTCCCGTGCCCTCAAAGTCGAAGATGGCCCCACCGGAAGACTCGTCGATACTCACTCGGAGCTGAATGGGAGTACCATCGTCCATGTAGTCAACTGCCTCCAAAGGCTTGCCATCTGTCGATTTGTAGATTGTCCTGAGCATATCTCGAACGGCTCGTTCAGCCGCGCCTTGGATCTCCTCCACTGATGAAAGTCAGTCCCCGGTTTCTTATTTTTAATAGAAGAACTTACTATAAAACTGCACAACCTCAAGGCCATAATCCTCGATGAGGCCATGGATCAACTGGCTACCACGGTGGTTCGCCGCAGCTTGGGCCTTGATGTCTGAGATGTTGTCTTTCAAGCAGCGAGTTCCTTGACATCCTGGTGATTTAGAAGGTGCCATAAGCAACTCGGTGAGTTCCTTTTCCTTGAACTCGCCTCCCTCAATCACTTTGAAGGCCTTGATGACTGCGCCTTCCTCCCACAGCTCTTTCGAGTTGGGAGGCATTGATCCAGGAAGAATGCCACCAATCTGTGACGAGTTAGTATTCCAGCCTGTTGGATCATTTCTTGTGACTTACATCAGCATGATGGCCTCGTGATGCTGTCCAGAAAATAATCTTGGTTCCTTCAGTATTGAACACAGGTGTAATCACGGTAAGATCTGGCAAGTGAGTGCCGCCACAATCTGAAAGATATTACATTAATGCTCAGACCCCGCCGTTGATGGAAAATTAAAACTCACCAGGAGCGTTGGAAAGAATCACATCGCCAGGACGAAGTTTGTCTCCCCAGTGCTGGATCTGCCACTTCACAGCAAACGCCATACTACCAATCTGTCAAATGATTAGTCTTTACTATCGCACGGATCCGTGGCCGCCTCAACTTACCATTGCGGGAACATGAGGTGCATTTGCCACAAGTCCACCATCCGGAGAAAACACCGTGCAGGAAAAGTCCAGTCGCTCTTTGATGTTGGTGCTGACGCTGGTCTTCTGAAGGGCTCGGCCCATCTGTTCGGCCACGCCCATGAACCGGTGCCCGAAGATGGAGAGTTGGATGGGATTGGCTTGTTTAGAGGACAAGGTTGCCTTGCTTCCAACTTGTACATCGATGACGACTGTGTTTGAAAGGATGGTGGCTGTGGCCTCCGGGACGATGACGATTGTCTGCTTGTCGTCGATGATCAAAGCAGGGCCGCGGATCTTGGCATGGGGGCTCAGCTCACCCAGAACATACACTGGAGTCTTGCCCCAGCCCAAACCCTTGAAATAGACATCCTTGGTCATATGAGCCTTGGTGGTCCAGACAGCCTCGGAGGATGCCATCTCTACAGGCCACGGCGTTGTGGGATCCGTGGGACTTTGTCCAATTGATCGTACTCGGCAGTCATCTACAATGACGTCGCGCCCAGTGGGCAAGAAGCCGAATTGACTCTGGTGAGCCTTTTCAAATTCGGCCAGATATCCTCCAGATCCGGGTTTGTCTTGGATCATGAGCGCCGTGTCACTTCCATGGTACCGCATGTTGAGATACCGCTCCGACACAATGCGCGACTTGGGAATCTGCTGTGCCAGCAAAGCCTCGATTGCGTTGTCTTGGAGCTTATCCAGCTCGGCTGCGAACAAGGCGAAGTTCTCGGGGGAGTAGGTAGCCGCAGATGGGCTACGCTCTTCTTGAACGACATCCGCAAGGGCCATTCCGTGTGCCGAGAGAACGGATGAGTACTTGTGGATGAGGATGCGCGAAATCCCCAGCGCAGTGGAAATATCACACGCGTGCTGTCCGCCGGCGCCGCCGAAGGATGCGAGATTGTGAAGACCAGCATCGTATCCCTTGGCTTCGGTAAGAGTGCGAATGGGCCGACACATGGATTCATTCGCAACGTCGAGGAATCTGATTAATGAGTTAGCAAGTGTGGTAGAAGTGGGAACCATAATCACCTACCCAATGGCTACCTCCTCCACGGATAGCTTCTCAGTGACCTCTTTATTTATCTCGGCAGTCATACTCTCAAATAAACAACGACTGGCATCGATATCAAGTGGTAAGTCCTCATTTGGGCCAAATATCCGGGGGAAGAACTCGGGACGCAGCCGTCCGAGGATGAGGTTGGCGTCAGTGACGGTCAACGGACCGCCCTTTCGATAGCATGCGGGTCCTGGGTTTGCAGAAGCGCTCTCGGGTCCAACCTTGAACATGCCACTCTGCCAGGTCAGGATGCTTCCGCCACCTGCAGCGACGGTGTTGATGTCTAATTGAGGACTCTGGACGATGACGCCGGCAGTGGTGGTCTCAAATACCTGTTCCAACTGTCCAGTATACCTATATACGAGTCAGAATGCAATGGTACTGAGATTATACGACAATTTTACCTTGAAACATCTGTACTCGTGCCGCCCATGTCAAATCCGATGACTGGAGTTCCGTCCTTCTCGTCGTAGCATGTCCTGGCATATCCAACAACGCCACCCGCAGGTCCCGAGAGGATAGATCTCAGCCCAGACAGACTAGAAAACTCAACCAGTCCGCCGTCGCTCTGCATGAACTCGCAGCGACAGCCACTAGTCCTAAGATCTTCGAAACCAGACTCGAACCCGCTGATATAGCGTTTGATCTCTGGGGTCAAGTAGGCATCCGCTGTTGATGAGTTGCCTCGGGGAACGATCTTGACCACAGGAGATAGCTCCGCACTGAGCGAAACGTGGGTGAATCCAATGGCTTCGGCAAGTTTGCCGACGGCTAGTTCGTGGTCGCGGAAGGTGAAGCTGTGCATTAGGCAGACGGCAACAGATCGATATCCTTCATCATATGCAGCTTGAAGAGACTGCTTGGTGGATTCCAGGTCTAAAACACATCAGTATAACGCTTGGTGAACTTTGCATCTGACATACCCAAGGGCTCAAGAATTCTGACTACTTCACCAGTAACACCCTCCACTAATGCAGAGTCTGAGGCAATATCGATGGGTGTGGGTTTCTTGCTCTCTGTCCATGACTCCAGAGTCACTCTTTCAGCGACCTCGATGACCTTGGAATACAAAGTATCGGGCTTATTAATTGCCATGTCAAAAAGTTTTGGTCTTGACTGGTTTCCAATATGAAGGAGGTCCTGTCGTAGTGGTTAGGAGCTGTCGTTCTAGGGTATAATTGCAACTGACCTTTAATCCCTTGGTAACAACGAAGACGGTGCGCTCGCCCTTTCGTTCAAGCAGTGCATTTGTGGCTACCGTTGTACCCATTCTGATGGATTCTAAATACTTTAGCCTCACGTTCACCATTTAGTGCGATGGAAGACTACCTACCAACACCCCTCAGAGATATCTTTTCTCCCCTGGGATAGGACCGGCCAGTGGCCTGTTCCAGCACCCTACGAATTGCCTCCACGGGAGCATCGGGATAGTTGTTGGGATCCACAGAAAGAAGCTTGATTAAAATATCGTCGCGACCGGGAACGGTAGCGACGCACTGTAGTGAAATGTGAGCGATCTTTGCTTTGAAATTTTGATGTGGGGTGGCCATACGTCAGTAAAGGTACCTCCCCTGTCAATTGAGATTCGGATCCCGTTCGTTCGTTCCGGAAGAGAACCCATTGTGATGTAAATAGCGTTGAGCTTGGGATATGCTCTGATTGGGAGGTGGGGAGCGAGAAATGACTTCAGGGTTGTATACGCTGGAAAACCAGGTGATACAGGGGTGATTATAATGTCGAAGCTGCCCTGGGTATCGCAATCGCGAAATCTAGAAGGGACAGTTTGGAGGGTCTCATCCAGAGAGGAGCCTGATCCCGGTGCTCCTCCGTCCTCTTATGCTACACGACGGCCTGCAGCCGAGCAAACGCCAGTATCGGAGCAAACGTCAGCGTCGGAGGAGCAAAGCCGCTCGGTGGAGGCCGATCTCGATACGTGTCTGCGGGGGTCAGAGAGATGCTCGGCATTTGCTCCGTCCCTCCACTTCCTCCACCCTCCACACTCCACCACACGGAGCTCCTCCCGCTTATCAAGAGATTGGTGACTTTGGTTAGCAGCAGGATGGTGTAAAAGCACGATTCAATTGGTTGGGGGGCGTCGCACTGGGGTACAGGGAGTTCGAGGCTGCTCCATCCCTCCATCCATATTGCAGGAAGCGCTGTGCTTCGGATGTTGCTCATGGACATGGCATGATCAGAAAGTGGGATATGCATTATATAGAATCAAGATTGCATTTGATAGACTAATTACTGAAGACTTCTATCAAACAATTGTACGCACAGCATCATCCAACGCCTGAGCTACATACTTCACATTGTCATCGTTCAGCCCCGCAATTGAGATTCGCGATGTATCTGCCATGTAAATGTGGTATTTGGCTGCAGCACATATCATTAGCTGACGTACTAAACCAGTAAAATAATAATAGAACTTACTCTCGAGATAACTGATCTGGGCGGAGCTGATTCCCATGTATCCAAACATGCCCGATTGACTGATGATGTGCGACCAATCCCCAGGCGTTTTGAGGCTTTGCAGTTCGTCAAAGAGCTTCTGGCGCATGGATAGAATGCGCGTTGACATAGTCACCAAATCCTTCTTCCACTGCTCGGCGATTTCCGGCGTGTCCAGAACAGTCGCTGCAATTCGGGCTCCATACACTGGGGGATTGGAAATGGTTGCTCGCTGGGAATTCGCCAGGATTGATCCAACTGTGCGAGCTGCATCTGCCGAGTTGGCAACCATGGCAGTGAGTCCGATGCGCTCTCCGTACAAGCCCATGCTCTTGGCAAAGGACATGCAGACGCAGGCTTCGAGGCCGAGGTCCTCGACAAAATACTTGATCGCCCATGCATCCTCGTCGACGGAGCCTGAATTGAAGCCCAGGTACGCGGAATCAAAGATGGGGAAGATATTCTTCTCCTTGACGATTGCCGCAATCTTCTTCCATTGATCCCGAGACGGATCACAACCAGTCGGGTTGTGGGCGCACGCATGCATCACCAATGCAGACTCGTCATCGGCAGCTTGCAGGGCTTCCACGTAGCGATCAAAGTCAAACTTTCCATCCTTGTAGTACGGCAAAGACTTGACCTCAAAGCCAATGGAGCTAAATAGCAGGCTGTGATTTGACCAAGTAGGATCCGTGATGTAGACGGTTTTCACACTGCAGCCTGCTTTCTTTATTGTGAGTCCTGCAAGTAGGAGGGCTCCTGTGCCCGACACCGACTGGCAGGAGGCCACCAGCGGGGATGTTAGTACTGTGTATTTTTGATAATATTCTTTACAACATACCCTATTTTCTTCAAGGGCCTTTGTCCCGTGGAAAACAAGCCGGACGGCTGCGTCACGAAACTGCGGAAGCCCCGCGATCGGCAGGTACTCGTGTCCGGCGTCGAGCACAATCTCCTTTGCCATTCGCACCGAGGGCAATACCCACGGCTGTCCATTCTCATCGCGGTAGGTTCCCTGGCCCAGATTGACTTTGTGCGCGAACGTATCACCGACATATCTCCTCGTCACGTCGAAGATGCTGTCCGGGGGGACGAACTGTCCCTTGGAGAATGCTGAGACTGGTTGAGTGGCGCCCATTGTGACAAACGGAATTGAGTGTATAGGTGTCGAAGCGGACAGCAAAAACGAACTTCTAAGGAACCGCCTTGGAGTATACTGCACGACGGACCAAATGGCACGGGGCTCACATTTGTCCGGTGCCTGAATTACTCCGCTTGGCGGAGCACCACATGCGTGATCGGGAGCGATTCGGATGAAGCCGTTGGCCACAGTGGGGTCGTCGGTTCTTTCGCCGGCTGGCCATGAGATAGAAAAGATCCGACAACGCTCTGTTGGATCCGGCAACCGTCTTCTGGTCATTGAAGCTTCAATTTATCCAATTTTACATCATTAATCATGGCACCGACTTGTCCCCCTCGAGGAGTCTACGCTCCCGTCGTCGCCTTCTTCAACGAAGATGAGACTCTTGACTTTGGAGCGCTCAAGGCCCACATCACGCGCCTCGCTAAGGCCGGCGTCGCTGGCTTGGTGATTCAGGGATCCAATGGCGAAGCCCCTCATTTGTTACATTCCGAGCGACAAGAAGTCATTGCTACAGCGTCTTCTGTCCTTAGGGAGAGCGGTATTCCCGGCGCTGTCATCATTGCTGGATGTGGTGCCCAGAGCACAAGAGAATCCATCCAGCTTTGTGAGGAGGCCAAACAGGCTGGAGCTGATTATGCTCTCGTCTTGTCCCCCAGCTATTGGAGTGAGTATACCCTTCAGGTTTCATCTAGTCAACACAAATTAACCTCATATCCAGCTGGAGCCATGCAGAAGCCAGTCATCTTCAAGTTCTTCGATGACGTCGCCAAGGCTTCCCCAATCCCAATCCTGCTTTACAACTTTCCTGCCGTCACCTCCGGGATTGATCTTGACTCCGATATCATCGCTGAGCTGTCAGCCGCCAACGCCAACATCGTCGGCTGTAAATTGACCTGCGGAAACCTAGGCAAGCTGCACCGCGTCGCTCATGATCAGCGAACGACGAAGCCATTTGCAGCATTCGCTGGAAAGTCAGATTTTTTCTTGCACGGACTCGTCGCTGGCTCAAATGGCGTGATTGCTGCGGCGGCGAACTTGGCACCAGCGGTGCATGTTCACCTCCTCAAGCTGTATGATGAGGGTAAGATCAAGGAGGCCCAGGATCTTCAAACCCGCCTTAGCCAAGCAGACTGGGTCTTGGTGCAGCTGGGTGTAGCTGGCTTGAAGGCGGCATTGGATCGTTACTATGGCTATGGTGGAGGGCGAAGCAGAAGGCCGCTGGGTCTGGTCGCCAGTGCCAGGTTTGAGGGTGAAAAGGATACCATCTTGAAAGGCTTAGTGGACTTGGAGAACTCCTTGTAAAAATAAAATAAAATAGATCACTCGATTAACGGAACCACTGCTTCATTCCGACATCCAGTTTACAGTTTTGGATTGTTTAAATAGGATTGAGTGTTATTATTTACATACACTAATTAAACTGCCAAATGCGCACATCACTTTATGCCCCCTCCTCATTTAGGTACGTGAGGAGACTAATACAGAAGTTAGATTAGTCCTTCATCTGCCTCGACTCTTTGCATAACTTGTTACTCTTGCTTTTTTATAATCGCCTGTTTACAAGTAATTGCTTTATCTTAACATTTGAAATGCTACCCTTATTTCATGATGACATTTGGAACAAGTCACATTGTCTCATGTTGAATCATCCATTGCACTGCAATCAATCAAGAGCCCAATCTCAGTCATCCAGGACTACAGGCTCGCCATCAATCTTCTTCCAAATATCCTCACTCTTAAGTCTCATCCACCACTCATGAATAGCAGGGTGACTGGCCGCCCACTTCTTGGTAAACACCTAGAGTTGCATTAGCTGGGTCTTCAAGATGTACAACAGGTCAGGTCAGGCTCTTCGAGTCGAACACTTACGAACTGATAACCTCTGGAAATGGCAGCTACTACAAAGAGATCGGCGAGAGTCAAAGTCTCTCCGACAAGATATTTCTTGCCTGTCAGTGCCTTCTCTACCACGCTGACCATAGCCTCGCTGTTCTTCTCAACAGTGGCGAGAATTTCCGGCGATGAAGGGGACTTGCCGATCTTAACGATGGGACATAGGTTAGCATTTACCAATATCTAAGCCAAAAAAACTCACCACCGGGTTTATCCAAGCCATGATCGGAGGTAGTAGCTCGCTGTTGGCAAAAGATGCCCACCTGAAAAGAGGTTAGAAATGTCCTCGAGAACCGCCCGCGGGGCTTGGAATAAATATATCTACTTCAGAGCTGTGGCTTCTTCCTCAAGAGATGAACCCAGCAGCTTGGTGTTGGGATCTTGCTTCGCCACTAGTTCAATGTTTAGCCGCCATACTCCAGGGAGTGCTGGTAGAGAGATACACCTACAGTATACAGAGACAGGGATGCACTCATACAGTGTAAATCCATCTGGGCGCTCTAGAGCCGGAACCTTGCCAGGAGGGAATTTTGACACTGTCGTTTGAGTATTAGCAATGGCGTCTACATGGCGCAGTGGGTCGTGAGTGCATACGATAATCCTCCCCCACTCCGCCCTTGCTTGCGTCGACCTTGATAGGCCACGCCTCCACATACTCAATATCTAGTCTGGGACTCGGTTAGACTTGACTGGATTCAGGTGGCTGAGGGGGATGTACTTGTTGTATTCGGCGATGTAAAGGCACATGGTCGCCCGAGGGGCCTTGGGATACCAGTAAAGCTTTCCGAAAGACATGGTGAACGTTTGTACGGAGTGAAATCGAGAAGAATAATTGAATTGGCGAGCGAGATGTGACGAGAGCGACTTGAAGAAAAAGTCTGGTTATAAAGTCGCACCCGCTCCATTGCCGCGGGGTTTCCTCCCGCCTTGTCGAGATCTCGACTCGGAGGAGCTCACACTGCCGTAGATTCGAGACTCCACCTCACTGCGGAGTCAATTTCGCTAGTGTTGTTACTGGGCGCTGTGGCTTGCCGGAACGTCCAAGGGTCGACTGCCGTGACATCTGGAAATGGATCTGGATGGAGCTCCACATGGGATCTGCGGAGCCCAGCATCGGAGTGCATTATCGCCAGAGGACGGTGCAGGTAGATAAGCGGAGGAGCTGCTGAAGGGAGTTGGTGCTTTGTACAGCCTTTCTACACCAGAACACCAAAAGACAAGTAATATTCAGTCCAGAGCTGAATCCTAGCAGTCAATAAACGTTTCGTGATCTTCATTACAAGCAAACGAGGAACAATGTCCCACGCACAACTTGGCTGGATCGGGCTCGGCTCGATGGGCATTGGCATGTCTCACAACCTTCAATCGCATCTTGCTACTTCAGGAGCCCCTGCGCTACTATATACCAACCGCACTTTGTCGCGCGGAGATGCACTCAAAGAGAACGGTGCGGTTCCTATCGAGACGGTAGAGGAGCTAGCAAGCAAGTCCGACATCATCTTCTCTTGTGTGAGTCAATTCAGATCCTGAAATGATGCTTAACACTAACACATCTCAAAGGTCAGCAATGATCAAGTTTTGCAAGATACAGCGCGTGGTATCATTGCGTCCGGAAGTTTGAAAGGCAAGGTGTATGTGGATTGTTCGACTGTCCACCCAGACACGTCAAAAGCTGTCGCGAACCAAATCGCCGAAGCAGGCGGCGAGTTTGTAGCAGGTAAATAATTCAATTCTGCTAAAAAAAAAAAAAAAAAAAGAAGAAAACTAACGTCCTACAGCGCCGGTTTTTGGTGCATCGCCCATGGCAGCGGCGGGCAAGCTCATTTTTGTCACTGCTGGCCCGACTTCAGCGACCGACAAGATCGCTCCCTACCTCAATGGCGTTATGGGTCGATCCGTCATCTCAATGGGAACTGATGTTTCCAAATCCAGCCTGCTCAAGATCGCAGGCAACATCTGCGTTATCTCATTCATGGAGGTCCTTTCAGAAGCCCATGTCTTCGCCGAGAAAACTGGGCTGGGCTCTCAGGTGCTTGAGGCCATGATTGCCGACATGTTTGGACCTACCATGGAAAGCTACTCAAAGCGAATCACAACGGGATTGTACGCGCCCGCCCCATCGGAGAAGGCGGGGTTTGATGTGCAACTTGCGGTCAAGGATGCGAAGCATGCTCTGAAGTGTGCGGCGGATGCTGGAACCAAGCTGGAGGTTAGTGAGCTGGCCTTGAAGCATATGCAGGAGGCCAGAGTTCTGGAGCCTGAAAGGCCGTTGGATAGTAGCTCCATGTACGGTGCCATCAGAAAGGAAGCTGGGCTAGATTTCTTCTCGGATGCGTGCAAGGAGCGGGATGCAAAGTGATATCGCCCGAAGAATAGCAATTGCAGTCGGTTGGATGTAGGGTAAGTCGCGATCGCCAGCTTGGAGTTTGCTGTATCGCCTTTTTAATTCGGTACAAAATAAACCCTCATGTCTACATATTGTCAATTTACCAGACGAAGCATTGAAGAGCGCCTAATTTTCGGACAGTTCCGTACAGGAATAATGTCATGGAGAGTAGAAAGCGACCGCGGTGAGGTTTTATCTTCAGCTACTTCCTGGTATCGACTATCAGCAAATCACTATACGAGAGCCTATTTATGAGACACCATCTCGTCGGGCAACACGACTCATAGTGTCACATCAGTCCAGGGCTGAACATCTGCAAGTATTCTGGAAGCCTAGAATCTTCCCTTTATCCAGTCCTCGCATTCGTCCCCTCCCCGCGAGCTGACGCTGGCAATGTAACCTCGTGCATCCGCCACTTAAAACTAAGCTGAAGCTGACCAGTAGCTCTGTCGTCCACTGCCTACAGCGCTGAGAACCTAATTCTATAGCGTTATCGCTCGTGACAATAGCGCTGTAACTAAGAGGGCTGTGAGATTATCGCATTAGCTGTCTACCGCAATAACTGTAGCTGCAAAATCATTCATTTTACCAGGCCTTCTAATCTAAAGAAAGCCCGTATTATTTACAAGCTCCATTATTCCCAATTTGAAGTATCATTATCTCTGGCAAGTTGTTTGGTAACCTCGTCCCGTCAAGAGCTACCACGGCTCTGGAACTCGAACAACGACAAGGTGTGGGCATCTTGAGGCGACGTCTGTCTCCAGATGGAGCTGAAGCGAGAACATGATAACAGGCTGATTTTTGTCTGAATGACCAAGACTGATAGACCTTTTCCGCATGACCGCAGCAGTTGCTGCATATCTAGCCAAGTTTGAAAGCTCAATGATAGGCGTTATTTGGTATTGGGCGTTAACTATCAACAGCCACGAGCGACATGCCTCCAATGAACGACCAGCGATGCCACCCCTCTCGGGCTGTGCTACGTCACATGAGTGCGCCTCGTCTGCGGCCTAGACAGCACTATAAAGGCGCACTGCCCTTGGTGCTAATAACCAATTCTCAGCTGAACCAATCTCTCATGGACAGGCCTGCCCACCATGGAAGAAAGATACATCTACAGGCCCCTTGATAGGGATAATGGCGAGATCCGCCTCGTCAAACTCGAAATGTCGGCGGATGACGACGACATCAGCTGCGAACTCTTGACAGTTCCGCTGGCTTCTGCTCCTCCCTATGAAGCCCTCTCATATACATGGGGATCACCACTCAACAAACACAAGATATCAATAGACGGCACACCTTTTCAAGTCACGGGAAATCTCTTCGCCGCACTGCAACATCTGCGAAATCCAACAAGCCTACGCGAAAATGTCCCCGTTCGCTACCAGGAATCGCACCGTCTGCTGTGGATCGATGCTATCTGCATCAACCAGGAGGACATTGATGAGCGCAACTTCCAGGTCCGGCTCATGTGGCATATTTATGCTATCGCGGGCCAGGTGTCTGTCTGGCTTGGCGAAGAGGCCGACGATAGTGCAGTGGCGATGGAGATGATAAGGCTTCTTGCGAAGAACTATGATATTCAGGTGACCAAGGCTATTGAAAGGATCCGAAAGGAGGGAGACCTTGAGAGGGATGTTGAATCCATGCGTCTATTAGACACATCTGAGGGCGAAGCTTCAAGCCAAGATACTACAGATAAGAAAGACGGGGAACAACAAACTTCTACTCAACAGGGAGTGAAGAACAAAGATCAGGGCAGCGGGACACAAAAACAAGCTCACGCAATCATGATGTTCGACAGACCCATCATAACCACATCCCCCTTCAACATGGCCTCTCAAAGAAGCATAACTCGTCATCTGGTCAACCACTCGGACGGTGAAAGCAGCACCTCGGCGTCAAGACCAAGGCGGCACTCGGAGCCAAGCACAACCGAGAAACTAAGCCTCGGTATTAGGAGCGAGGAAGAGGACACCTATGCACCGATGCATCTACTGCTCATGCTTCACGGCTCTTCCTTTGGCAACCACACCAACCCGCAGGATCCGTCCGAGTGGGTTGCCGTGCAGAAGCTCCTTGAAAGACCCTGGTGGCGACGCGTCTGGGTGATTCAAGAAGTGGCTGCTTCGAGGGAGCATCCTGTCTGGGTTGGCTGTGGCGAGTCATGGCTGCCGTGGGATGCCTTCATGGAAGCTGCTCTCGGCATAGAGAACATGAAAGGCCACCCTTTCTTTGAAAGAGTGAATAGGCTGGGTGAGGGAACGAAATGGATTATCGACAAGGCGACTTTAAAAGTTGCTCCCGATGGGAATCAAGAGCGCAGGGATAACTGGGGTGGACTGGTGAACTATCTTCACTTGACGAGATCCTACAGCGCCACGGATCCTCGTGACAAGGTATTTGCACTCCTAGGCCTCGTACCTCGACTCGGCATCATCCCTGACTACAAAGAACCGGTGGAGCAAGTCTTTGGAAACCTGGTAAGGGAGAGCATACGCGCGACCCATTCCTTGATGATGCTCCTGCTGCAGCGAAAGCCACGCCGACTCACGCTTCCTTCGTGGGTACCGGATCTCTCGACCGAGATAGATGGCGAGCTGTTCAACGGGGGATGTCCGATGGGTTTCTACAGCGCGGATGGAAATAGCTGGCACAACATGGGTATCGGCACCGTCCCTTGCCGGCTTGTGGAAGATGATCCACCGAATCAACTCACCGTCAGTGGGTTTATATACGATAAACCACTGGTGTTGGCAGAGACGTGGACATCAGGAAAGGACGAGCGGCAATCTTCAGCATACAAAGTCATCCAAGACTATTCCAAACTACTCGAAGAGACTGACGCCCAGCACTTCCCCCGCAAGCCAGGGAACCACCGCCAAGAATGCTTCTGGCGGACCCTCATCTGGAACGCCACAGAAGGGGATCGATACCCGGCACCTGATACCTACGAAGCAGGCTTTCAACGATTCAAAGGTGGCAACGACGTGCTCATTAACTTGTCAAATCCATCCACGGATGCAGCCGACCATCAAAAGATTGCGCCTGCAGACGAAGGGCGTGAATTCTACAACGCTCTCGTGAGGCATGCGCTGAACAGGCGCTTCTTTATCACGACCAGGGGGAACTTGGGTTCTGGACCGGCGGATATGCGCGAGGGCGACCACATTTGCGTGCTATTGGGTTCCAAGGTGCCGGTGATTTTGAGGGACGTCGAAGAGAGGCCCGGATATTATGGGTATGTCGGCCATGCGTACGTGCATGGAATCATGCATGGGGAAGCGCTGGCGTTGTTGGACTCGGAGGCTGATACGGACAGGGATGGGTCGAGGTGGATTGGGATTCGGCCGATTTGTTTGATTTGAGTATTATTTGGTGTAGGGATTTCAGTATTATGAGTGTTTGTCTCCGCGCGTCCCTCCTCGAACTCTCTACCACCGTAAGCTCTTCTTTTTATTGAGCCGGGCACCACTCAGCAGTTAGGGTACCAGTCTGGACATGGCAATGACCACGGGTTACCATTGCCGATAGAGCGCCCGCAAGCGGGCATATTCTACTCACGAGGCCACGATTTCAAGGTCTCGTCTTGAGCGGCTGCTGGACAGACAGCGTCGTCAACAAGAGCCATCACATACCGACTTCTAGGCGAGCTTAAACCAACCACAACACATCATTCATGGTTCCCTCACTCAAACCATTTCCGCATCAGATGGTTTATAGTTCAATTGCCATATCGATTGATTCATTCAACTGGTCACGTCTATGTCACAGAAACAAGCTCTGATATGTGATTCTTGGCCGATGCGGGGGTCCAGCCAGCCACCATGTGTATTATTAGTCTGCCACGAGTCTTTTCCGTGCCAGCCAACTTTGACTGAAATGTGAACTTTTCCGATAGTTCCACCATTCATATTATGATTTATTAGTAACAGAAGCAAAGCCTGAAATGCTACCGGTATTGTTTCCGGATGCGGCGTCCTGTCAGACACCCGGCTTTTTAGAGTTGAGCTGTTCGGCCCGTGATGAATTATTTATGGCTAAACTTGTAGCATATAGCAGACTTCAGCCAGTTGTCTGGAATGTGATTGTAACAGCTGCGTGGAGTCTTAGTAGCTATTGCTTGCTAGGATTGGATGCCTAATGAACGTCATCGCTATGGTTACGCGGTGCATCAAGGTGATTTATAGCAAAGGGTGTTTAAGATTTGGGTTCTCTGAAACGTAGACCAGTCTAGAATATATGAAGTCGATTGACAGCTGGAATGCCGAGTCTTTATGGCATTCCAAGGCTCACTGGGCTAGCTAAGAATGCATGAAAAAAGGCTCAAGTCAGATCAGAAAATCTGCTTCCAATACATATTTATTGACTGCCCAGCTTTCATGGTCTTTTTTTGCCACACATTATCCTTATTCATCCTCCTCGTTCATCCTCCTGGTACAAAAAACTCAAACTCAATCAAAGCTCTCATTCCTGAACTACACCATGGCCACCAGTCCTTGGCCATCGAAGTTCGTGGGTGCACACATCTACCTGCCGCAACCAGGAATAGAAGGTGATTCCTGGGACAACATCCCAAACTCGTGGAACGATATCCGCTTCGACGCAGTCGATGTTCTCTTCATCAGCCCCTTTTTCGTCAATAAGATCGACTACTCGATCATGCTGAGCACTGGTGATGATGGTACAACCTCTCTTGGCGGACGCTTCGAGTGGGTGATTCGAGCGGCTCGCTCCAAGAACCCCAACATCAAAATCATCTTGGAGCAATTCTATGGTTCTTGCGAAGGCGGGGGTGACTACGGCATCATCAGCAACGCTTCCGAAGTTGTCCAATACGCCAACTCTGTGTCCAACTTCATCGAAACTTACTACAATCGAATGCTCCCTGCCCTCGATGGGCCTGGTGAGGTCTCTGCTCGAATTGACGGTTTGGATGTCGACGTCGAGAAAGGCAATTTGTCATCAAACCTCCTATCTAGTATCCTCACCACTCTTCGCGGGAGCTTTGATGAACTCAGCTCCAAACTGAGTGCTCCCAGACTCACTGTTTCTATCTGCCCGGCATGGCCCACTAACCTCAACGCCAGTATGGCACAGTCTTGCGATTATGTCAACATGCAAAACTACTCTGGCGGCGAAGGAACAGACCCAAGTGTCTTTCTACAAGCCATCCCTGGCCTCAGCGAGCAGCAGCAGTTGTCATGGGGATTCGCTTCTGAAATGCCCAGCGTCAATACTACCCAAACATTTGCCGCCGTGAAGGCCAAAGCTCAGCAAATTATGAATGGGCGCTTCGCAGGTACCTATAACTGGCGTCTCAACTCTACCGACTATCCCTTCGAGAACGATTTCCAGGTCTGGCTGTACAACTTCGTTCATGGAGCCTCCTTGCCTGATGCGAAGCCAGAAGCTGTCGTGGCCCAGGGTTGGAACAATGATGGTCAGGAATAAGTCAAAGTGATTTCGACACAAGACCTCATCTTGACTTGAATTATTTTGAGACCTGGGTATCATCCATATCAACAGTCCCAGGCACAATCCCGATGGGTTCAAGCACTCAATCATCAATTACTTTTCTTTGTTGCAACATTGTTCATTTTGCAGTCGTCCAATGTAATGGGTACCGTTACTGCCAGTTGTGACCGCCTGGTGTGATAGGCGGTTAGGGACACTTGGGCTAGTTGGTTGCTAGTTGGGTTGTCTCTACCTAGGGTAGTCCGGATAAGGTTGAAAGGGGAGGTCGGAGCCTACACAGAGAGGAAGGCAATACTTTTACTTCAGAGATTCTTCCTTGAAGTTGGGCAGACTGGAAGGTCTCGAGACGACTATGAAGGCTATTAATTTGCTGCTTTTTTTTTTGCGAGATTCATTTGAGTCTATTTTAACCATCACTGCAGTCCTTATCCAACCTATGTCTCCCACCTCCGTTAAATATCGGGCTGCCGCGGGCACTAATGAAGCCTTGCCAACGGACCTTCTTGCAACAGACCTGATGTTCTATCTCATTAGATGCTTACTTATCAGGAGATAGAGGCCTCAGATCTATCCGACCCCATACACATACTCTGGTGCAGCTTCGGGCTGACCAGCCAAGATGCCTGTGTGGCGATCTTCTATGCATCTCCCTCAAAGCAAGTTAATGAGTTATGTGTTGTTGCTGTCCCTTTCTGCTGCTAAGCTAGTCTCAACACACGCCGCGACAAATCTCGCCAATATGCTATGCTGGTGGATGATTTGCACTGCCGGCCTCATTGGACCAAAAACACTCGTAATATGCTGAAGCGATGAGTGAAGAACTTAGACACAAATGTATGTGCTACACCTTAATAATAGCACAATGAGTAACCTTTTAGAATCTGGCACGGTTTAAGGTCATAAGGGAGAAATTTGACCCCAATGGTATCTACAAGAGCGTAGTTGGAGAGATCCTGGGCCTGTACAGTTGAGGCTGGAGGGATTCACGTTCGTGGCCAGTCGAGACTTGATTCTAAACGTAGACAAAGATAACACAATGCCAATAGTTTCGACCGAGAACATTGTGTGACTGTGCATTTTATAATTGAAAAAAGTTTGTCATGATTGATATCCTAGTCAAAGCTAGACGGCCAAAATAGCGACTTTACCGCTGTTGTGGCGCACTGTCAAGGTGTTAGCAAGTGTATGTGATGAGGGTGAGACCCGTTGTCCAATTCTTCAAGTCGTTTACCCTGATCAAGGTGAAAGAATGGAATGACTTACAAGCCGAGGCAGGGACCCCACCAATAATCGAAATCAGGGTCAACCGTCGGTCCCTGTTTTGCATACACGACAAATCCCACAGGGCACATGTCTGTTAAGCCCTGACAATATAGCTCTGTCGCATCATCGCTGATGAAATAATTGGTGCACTCAAGCTCGGGCTCAACCTTGTGCCTGAAGTAGGCGCAGCTCGGATTGCCATAGCAGCTCCTGCAACACTCGTTCACAGTCAGACCGTTACTTGTCTCGCCAACCACATCATTGGCCAGCTGGTTCATCCGATACATGTATCCAGCGTCTTCAGAGACGTCATCGCAAGGGTCGGCGGTTTCGATCACGATTTCAGTGGTGGCTGTAGTGTCCGTAATTGTAGTTGTGTCGTGTTGCGTCGATGTGGTGACCGATGTGTCAAATATAGTCGTCAAAGTGTGAATCGTTTGAGTGACGGTCTGGATGACGGTCTCGGTGGCCTCGGGTGCACATAGGGTTCTTCCGCCAGTATATTTGGTGAATGTGACGGTCCTGGTAACGGTCCGAGCCTGGCTTTTCTCCACGTAGGTCGTCTCGGTGCAGGGAGACTTCTTGACGGTGACGGTAGCTGTTTGTGTTGATTGGTAAGGCTGGGTTGATGTGAGGAAACAAGCTGAACGAAACAAGTCAGTACTACAAAGGATTCAATTACTTGGGACGGGGTAATGTACAGCATTCTTCAGGCAGGGGTGCACGACGATCGTTGCGCTTCTTGATGTCGCGCAAATCGACGCATCGCTTCTTTCGGCGAACACCGCAATACGGCTTTACCCAGCTCACAGTGGAAGTACTGAGCTCAGTCCTACGGGAAGATCGGCATTAGTGAAGATGGTAAGAATAAACCGGCAGGTTTTACTTACACCGTGCTAGTCGTCCATGTTGTTTCAAACTCCGTCGTTACAGCCGTTGAAGTTGCCGTGGAGACTGTAGTGTCAATCACCGTAGTCTCGACGATTTGTGTCGATGTAACCGTTAGTTTAAGTGTTGGCTGCGTGATACTAAGTAGATCATTAGATGGTTCGATGTAGGTTGCACTGGCTGCTTACGGCGGCCCAGCTTTTGTGATCGTCTTCTCGATTTTCTTGGTAACCTCCTGTGGATAAATGGTTCTCGTTACAAAAGCAGTGGGTTGAATCGTGCGGGTCGAAGTGATGGTCGGCGCTACAGCTTGACAAGTTGCGACTTTCATCTTCTTGGCGTCTATTGACCAGGAATCAGTACTTCGCCTTCAATCTTACGTGTGTTGCCAAGATGCAATCTCCGAAGGGAATCATACCGATGAGACCAGAGCATCTTCCAGCGTTCCGCGGAGACACATACTTGCACAGTACCGTTGGATTCTTGCAGGTCGGGATAGAAACTGCCGATGCTGCAGCGGCTAGCACGAAAACAAGCGTTGGAAGCTTCATTTTGTCGTTGAAGGACGGGATACTTAGCCTTGAGTATTCTAGAAAAATGGCGACATGGGATTAATTAATATGATGGCCTCGCTCGCTTGTCCTGAGCATCTAGCTTCACGAATACGAGGCTCGCTTCGGCTACTGCACCTGTCAAAAACGCCACTATCGAGCGCCACCAAGCTACAACGGCTTTGGTAGGAGGAACTTGGCCAGAAATGAACAAGAGGAATTGCTATGTCAATGAAACTAGCTAGAATGTACCTCGTGGCCGGACGGAGGGGGTGTGGTTCAGCTGTCAATAGTCCAGCCACAGTGACTGCGGGTAGATTATCATTGGATAAGCCTTATCGCGTCAGGTTAAGGTCCCGATTGACGTAGACTTGCATCGTCAGGTGTCTCTGGCCTCTCAGTTACAAGAAGTTTGAGTCAATGTATCCAATGGCCAAGCTTAATATGAAGATTCAACCCACTAGCACTCCACTCCTCCTTGTCTTAGCGAACGCAGGAAAGATACGCTGGCTGAGCCTCTTGACGCCCTCAACTCACCGACATTAGACGACGCGCATCAAGGATAAACAATGAAAACAATCGCCTATTAGTCTCGATCGATAGCGCGATCGATAGCCTCGAAAACATGGCATCATCTCCACATGAAGAGGGGTCCTATTCCTATGAGAACCCCTGTCTGCCGCCCACATTCCCGATTTGAAGACACTATTGATCCACTCTTTGAATATGGTTAAAACTGAAAAGTTTTCCGTCTACGCTTGTGGATCCTTCGGCTGCGTGATCAGGTAGTTTGATGCGCTGGCTATTTGACCATGGATCCGTGGGACGAGACGGGGAATAGAATCGAAGTAGGCGAGAATCCCATCACCTGTTGACGTACTTTAAATTGACCACGTCACTTACTTACAGCTCTACTAAGGATAGATGCGCGTTGGTTTGGGTCTTTTTTGTCGACAGCTAGCCTCGGTATCTCGGGACACTTGATGTAGTGGAAACCTTACTCATTTGAGTCACTGATCGTCTGGACTTAGGTATAGGGTCCATAATTTTGTTACTGCAGATCTTTTTATATTGGTTTACTTTGTCCCCCTTCGGAGTACCTGCTGTCAAGAACTTCGTTCAATCTTGGAACATTTACGTTTCTGTTCAGATTCAAGATACAGGGCTACATCTGTCTTTGCACCTATGCCCCCCAGCATCAGCTGTATCTTGCGTGTTCTGCAGCCGAATTTGTGCTTATGTTCTGTCCTCTTTTAGATTCGTCTTGTTCGTAGAATTCAAGCCTTGCTAGGATGGAAACTGATAGTATCTCTTGTGTAGCAAGGCCTATCAAAGCGCCGATGCCTGGGTCTTCACGTTACAAATCACACGTTATGGTGTACCCGACATCTCGTATCCATTATTGCATCCTACAATTAGATTTAGAGATCCGTCGGCTTCACCTGCTGCCAAGTTAGTACTTATTGATAGTTGATTAGACAGAGACATGCTTCGTGCATTGATGTAGCGATGGCGGGCCATTGTTCTACCGTTGTCCCCCACTAGGAGACAGATCTTGAGCCAGACTGCTGAAATCATAGCCTATTTTCTTTGTGCATTAACTTTGTATAACATGTTCATTAATTAAATGCATAGCGTTTCCTATGTGATTGGACGCCTGGTGAATGTTTTCTGCCGGTTCCGACCGCCGGGTCTAGAACAGGCTGTGTTACCAACTTGCAATGCAGCCGAACAACTCGGGGGTCAGCTGAAGGCTTCGTTGTCACCTTTTTTTTTGCTTCTCCAAAAAGTCGCTCATCTCCTTCTTCATCTTCGGCTTCTGTGCTCTCGGGACGCCGCTGCTTGCAGAAATGGCCACCGTACGAACGAACCTGGGCCCGCTGACAACCCCGTTCACATACCCTGAGAGTTGTAAGGTCATTGTGCAAGGATGCTCAGCCTGCTACTGGGGCTGGCAAGGGCAGACCTGTAGCGACAATGACCTCAACACGTAAGGCGTCCAGGACAACGTGGAGTGCTGGCCGGATCGTGCAGACTCTGTGAAGCAAACGAACAAGGAACTGCGTGGCTGGGGCTACTACTCACCAGGTATCTCGTGCCCTGCAGGGTATGAGAAGAGATGCTCTGCCACAGGAACCGCCGATGTGTCTGGATTCACGTTCCAGTTCCCTCTGTTAGAGGGAGAGACCGGTATAGGATGTTGTCCAACGTACGTTGTTTCCTATTTTCGAGGATCGGGACTGACTCGCATGCAACCAGTGGTTACACATGTAAATTCGACTGGGATGTCGATCGCGCACACACATGTTACAGTATTGCCACTACAGGATCGTTCCCAGCAGTATTTTGTTCCTCAGGCAAGAGCAACGGCTTTAGATATCTCGAACTACCAACGGCCGCCATCGTAACAGGGTCAGGCGAAGACTCGGTCACGGTCATCAGCACCATGATCCTCAACGCACCTTTGTTCCAGCTCATCCACCAATCGACGGACATAGCTTCGTCCTCCCACACAGCCACGGTCACTGGGCAAAGCAGGATCTCTGGCACTGGCACTCCTCCCAACAACTCAGAAAATGGGCTGTCGATTGCTGCCAAAGCTGGGATTGGCGGGGGTGTCGGCGGTGGTGTTCTTCTGGTCATCATGGCTATTTCATTCTTCTTCTGGAAACGAAAAAGAGCGCGTGGTGCCGTTTCTACCACCGCAGGTACTGTGCCTTCACCTGTCCTTAAGCAGGAGCTCCCAGCTATATCCGTGCCACGACTGGAATTGAGCACACCTGCAAATTCGCCTACGGTCCGAGGCGAGCTCGCATAAGAGGCTGGAGCACGATGATAGCCTCCCGAGTCGCATCCGTCTTCTTCAAGATAGGGACGGAAACTTCGTATCGATATCGGAATTTGGATGCAAGCGTTGGGGTTGCTGCGGAATGGTGTTCTTTCAATTTTCACCTATTTGAATGCTCTGTATGTTTATTTGTAGGAACTGGGTGGCTGTGGAAACGCGCAAGGAGCCTTTAACATTTATGTTTATAATTATGCCATTCTAGTAGAGACAATGGTAAATTTGTGACCCTGCTCAGATATGTGTACCTGAACGGAATCATTACTCGGAGCAAGCGCTATTGATGACAGCGACAGACAGATAAATAATAGAAGTAAGGGAATGGGACTATGAGAGGGGTTCTCATAGGCGATGACTTGATCCTTGATTATAGTGTTGCTTCTGAAGTGATAGTCGAGGTCATTGTTGATGGTCAAAACGTTATAAGCGCGCTTATGCCGATGATAGAAGACGTGTTCTGTCAGTCTGGCAACCCATTGATCTCGACGCATTTCGGCGTTGTCTGATGCGGTAATGTATTTCGGTATGTCTCCAGAGAGGAAGCTGGGCTAGATTGCTTCTCAGACGCATTCAAGGAACGGGATGCAAAGTAATATCGCGCGAAAAATAGTAATTGCAAATTAAAAAGTTTACCCAGGTATCATATCATAAATCATTTCTCAAACATTGTTTATCGACAGCTATCTTTCAACGGAACTTCACCGCAGCGGTTGTCTCCACACACATCCCAACAGTCCTGTCCTGGATTGACCAAAACGCGATGGGTTTGGTCACCGTTGCCATTTGTCCAAGTGACATGGTACTGCTTGCTTGTATCGGAGTCTGCTACGCCAGTAGCCTTGTAGCCCGCCTGGCAGAAGCAGTAGCTACTCCCGAAGCTCGGTGCGCCGTCGAGAGGGTTGAAGAACTCGCAGGTCGCACGGCCGCCGCAATCGCCTGGCACACACGTTGCCGCGCAACTTGCGCCTCCTGATGGACACTCTCTAGGGCTTCCGAGGCCTTGTCGTGCAGCGGTGAGTAGGAATTCCATGAATCCTGCTCCAGCCTCCAGTATGCTGCTGTGGAACTGGTCATTGTCTGGATAGAAGGGGCAATTGCTGTCCGGTCCAGCGAAGCCAAACTCGATAGTAAAGCTGTACAGCTTGTTCAAGTCGCTGTTGACCATGCTTCGACCGAATGCGTAATCTGTAGACGCGCCAGAGGTTGGATAAAGGAACGAAGATTGGCGCGCATCGTAGGGTCTGTTTGCAGCGCCTTCCATGCCAATGGCGACCTTGTTTGCCGCGATCATGGTTGCGTCCCAGTCTGGGAAGGTGATGTATTCCTTGTATTCAAGCCCAGGGGTATCTGGAACTTTACCGCGTTTGCCGTTGTAATCTGGATTGGTGAAGGCTTGGTTGGGATCAAATGCCTGGTTGGTATCGTCGCCCCATGGATAGAGCACCAAACCAGCGAAGGAATGCAAATCGACGTGCCAGCGTAGCTTGGGGAACGAATCCATCACCCACTTGACGTTGCGCGTCTCTGGTTCCGAAAACGCACTCGTGCCGTGGTACGTCAGCTCGTTGGGATCTGAAGATGCCAGTGAGCTGCCAAGCCCAGGCGCAAAATCTGTCTCAAAGTCCCAGAGGAAGTCGAAGTTTCGATTGAGGTCAACGGCGCCGCCCGGGTTGCGATTTTTGCGCCAGCAGGAATCCGTAGCTTGATCATAGGCTACGCCGTCTGGGTTGACTAAGGGCATGAATACAATCCCCGTCGACAAAGCGGTAAGCACATCATCGTGTGTGTATACCATATTGCCATACGTGAGTCCTGTGCCGAGACTCTGAGCCCAGAGAAGGTCGGAGATGAAGTAAATGAGATTGTCTGGGCCACCGCGCTCACGAGCGTGTATTCCTGCCATCAAGTAGACTCGGTAGGCATCGTCACAATCCAGACCGTTGCCGACTTTGCCCCCAAACATGGTAGCGCCCTGAGATGTTGCGTCTGGGGCAGTGAACATCTGGATTCCGAACTTGTTGACAAGGCCTTGAACTGCAGTTTGGATTTCTGCAACGTTCATCAAGCCTTCGATCTTGGCACCTGCGGGTTGAGAGCCAAGACCTCGGGGCGCGACGGCTCCGCCATTGAAACGATCCCCAGCATGGATGTGGATGGTGGACGCAGTAGAATTAGTTCGGCGTCTGAGCTGGGGATGATCGCCTTCGATCTCTCCATGCAAAAGACAGGCCTGGGCTGTGGCAAATATGCCAAAAAGGGCGCAAAACTGAGCAAGATGCATGTCTGAGGGTATCCGTGATGGCTCTAGATGCTACAAGACATTGTCCAAACTGGACCTGGTTGCCAGGCTGATTCCTCGCTACTTATAGCCTCAATCCTGCGCGGGGAAAATTGAATAGTCCTAGATTTAGGCTTAAAATATGCCTCGAAGCTATGCTGTGAACCCCCATATTCTTTTCCATTAGCATATCCATAGCCAGTTATATCGTCCTGAATGTCATTTGTTGGTCATGCGGTGAGGGACAGCCTCCACGACCAGCTGACGAAAAACAAACAGGCTGCCGCGTTCTCTTCTATTAGCGCAATATTCTGCACGATTTCTGCTAAATTGCTTTCATCCTTCTATTCTTAGGTTGTCTAAGCCCGGCGTGGCTTGCACCCAGCCTCGGAGCTGAAATGGTGCGAAATCTACTCTTCTCCGATTGGACGCTTTGTTGATGCTGTGCCCGCACACATTGAAAAGCGGTCAGGTATTTATGTCAAAGCTGAGACTTTGCATGAAGATTTGCGTTTTCTACCACGGGATCGGTATATTCGTCTGCCTTGGCATTAGTGCTGGCAGGTAGGAGGGCGCTTTTAAGCAGGCCGACTGAGCAACTACCGAGCGTTGCATGAATTCGACCGATAACTTAATTCATGAATTTTCTGCATTGCTAACGATGAATATTACAAGCTTGGAATAATTTAGTCTTGAAAGAACTGGTTCTTCGGTCGAGGAAGCCCAAGATGTTCTCGCAGTGTAGTCCCCTCATAATCCCGACGGAAGATGCCTCGGCGTTGCAGCTCCGGGACCAAACGGAGAGCAACATCATCAAGTCCTTGTGGCAAGAAAGGAAACACAACAGTGAAGCCATCTGCAGCCTCCTCGGCCAACCAGGTGCCCATGGCGTCGGCAACTGACCCAGGCGTCCCAACAAATGCAAGCCCAGCATAGCCTCCATATCGCTGTGCAAGCTGCCTAACCGTCAGCCCCTCCTCCTCAGCCAGCTTCAGAACTCCTGCTCGTCCGGTTTTGCTTGCGTTAGTTTCTGGGATATCTGCTGGGAGTGGGCCATCTGGATCAAAGGTGGACGCATCCGTGCCGAGCACGACGGAGAGTGAGGCAATGGCGCTGTCGTAGTGCACCAGGCTGTCCAACTTGAGGCGCTTGGCTTGTGCATCTTCGACTGTGTCGCCAATGACAATCAGGGCAGCGGGCAGGATTTTGAGGTGATTGGGATCCCGTCCCGCAACGATAGCCCTGCCCTTGATGTCGGCATACAGGGCCTTCGCAGCTTGTAGGTCCTTCGGCGAGCAGAAGACTGCTTCTGCCGTTTCAGCAGCGAGCTGCTTTCCAGGCTCGGATTGCCCTGCTTGAACGATGACAGGCCAGCCCTGGACTGGGCGTGCAATATTGAGTGGCCCTCTGACTTTTAGTGCGTCGCCCTTGTGATCCAAGACATGCAGCTTCTGCGGGTCAAAAAACACGCCGCTCTCTCGGTCACGGATAAATGCGTCGTCGGCAAAGCTGTCCCAGAGACCGGTGACAACGTCGTAGAACTCGCGAGCCCGCTTGTAGCGCTCGCTGTGTTCCAAATGCTCGTCAAGGCCAAAGTTTTTGGCTGACTCGGGATTCCCAGTGGTGACAATGTTCCAAGCTGCTCTTCCATTGCTGATGTGGTCCAAAGAAGCAAAGCGGCGGGCGATGTGGTATGGCTCGTCGTAGGTGGTCGAGGCTGTCGCGGCAAGGCCAATCTTCTCCGTAACCACGGATAGCGCCGATAACAGAGTAAAGGGCTCAAAAGAAGTGACGGTATGGCTACGTTTGAGTGCCTCGGTTGGCATGTTCAAGACGGCCAGGTGGTCGGCCATAAAGAAGGCATCGAATTTAGCATCTTCCAAGGTCTTGATGAATGATTTGAGGTGAGCTAGATTGAAGTTGGCATCTGGATACGACCCGGGATATCGCCATGCGCCAGTGTGTAGACTAACTGGTCGCATGAATGCGGTGAGGTGCAATGATTTGGAGTTTGCCATGGCGTCTGTGTTTTCGATTACAGCTTTCAGGATATGTCCTCGAGGAGGAATTTTCCTCCTTGTTTTGGGGACAAGACATTATTTATTACAGTGCAAATTACCGTCAGACTTACAATTAGTAATTATTGTAGAGGAAACGCGATGACGACAGATGTAGATGCTAATCACGACATCGGATACGTGCGGGGCGTTCGGTATCGATTCATCAGCACAAGTGAGGGGTCGCTTTCAAGAATGATGTTTGTTATCAAAACTCCGGCGGTGCCGATGAAGCATGTCATTGATATCATCTGAGTAAGAGTAGCTGCCTAAATCAGTAGCCCAGACTTTTACTATAGCCACTTAGAATTGATCACCTTCAGGCCTTCTAGGTAGCATATCTAAAAGCATTGATCTCCCCAGTTTCATCCTCTCGTTTCTGAAGCTCGATATTCTTCCTCTGGCACACGAATCTTATAATAAGACACAATATGATTGATAGACCACAACCGGCAATAATGATACCGCCGCCTGTCTGGTAACGGGGCTCCTGAGATCGCAGAAAAAAGTAAGGGGTGAACCAATGCGAGACAGATGAGGCACAGTTCGCGATGGCAATCAGAGCAGCTCGCTTGGTTCGTGGGCGAGGGACGACGGCTGTCTCCCACGGAATGTGAATCTACACATGGCGTTAGTTGATGAAGCATTAATCGCAAGGGAGTGCATCATGGCTTACGTTGAGAGCGACAAACGGGCCACTGCACAGCAAGACCAGACTGAAGTATCTGGCACCGACATTAAGTGTGCTGATCATGATAACAGCACCAGTTATAGCGACAGCCATGGGACCGATAATGTGGAAGCAGTGCTCAAGGTATCTTCCAGAAGACCACGAGACAGCGAGAGTGACAAGATAGGCGATGACGTATGGCGGCGCCTGAATGAGATATGTGATTGTCTTGGAGAATCCAAGAGTGTCCATAATCTTTTTACATTAGTCTCAGGAGCAAATCTGAAGGGCAGAAGATTTGACATACCGAAGGGAGGAAGTCCTTGAAAGATTGACCGATGATGATTGCGAAGTGGAGAGCTGCAAACATCCAGGTAAAAGGGTCCTTCACTGCCATCCAGAACCCACCCCAGTAGTCACCCTCGTCGTCTTCCGAAATACCTCCAGCAGACACGAGCATGCGGTATTGTGCCATTTGGGTCTGTTCTTCAGTGAAATATCCGTTACCAGTGTTGTTTGGGAAGTTGGGTAGAGTCCAGAATCCCGCCACTCCGACGATAATGCTGACGATTCCTACAAGCAATTCAGATTGTATCCAGCATGGGGCGGTTGGGGTTTACTCACCTTCCAAAAGGAAGAACCATCTCCAAGAGGTTAAGCCGGCGAGGCCATCCATGTTGGTGAGAATAGCGGCAGCTAGTAATCCAGAGAAGACGTTGGAGATGATATTTCCAGCATGCCAGATAGCCATCCGAAATGGGGCCTCTTCTTTGGTGTACCATGAAGAGGTGATGAGCGCTACTCCGGGGACAAACGGGCCTTCGGTGAACCCGACAAGAAATCTGCAAAGCATGAAGCCCCAGGGTCGGGTCATGAGGGGCATGCATATTGTGACGGTCGACCAACCCAACATCATCATTGGCATGATTAGGCGAGGTTGGCCTTTGGCGATGATTATATTCGCTGGCACTTGAGATATGATGTACCCAACGTAAAACAGGGAAATCCCGGCGGACCATTCAACGTCGGACATGTGCAAGTCGTCCTGCATTCCAGCGAGTCGCGCATTGGAGACATTGATTCGGTCGAGGTAGCTGGCAGTGTCTTGTAAGCAGGTATTTTTTTCAGTGTCCGTGACTACTTACTTCATGAGGAGCATCATAGTGATGGATGGCAAGAACCACCAGTCCAGCTTTTTAAGAACAGCTTTGTTCAAGCTCTCCAGTTTCTCGTCCGAGGCGTCAGCGAGAAGCGGGTATCGCTGACGGAGAGCCACGAGATCGAGGCCATTGTGGGCTGCAGTTTTCTCTACGTGGAGAACCGCTGGACTCTTGGCGGTATTCGAGTCTGCAGACTTCCTGACTTCAGTTTCCGTCATGTCGGAAGCGTCTGCCTAAGACTTTTCTCTGAAGTATCGCTTTGGGGTAGGTCGGAATGCCGGCTCTTGCTAGGGGGTTGTGGCGTAGAACTGGTTGCTGAGATAGAGTCCTGAGGTTCGAGGGAACTTGAACACCATTTAATAGCAATTCGAATAACACACCGCTCTAGCAGGTTGTAAGATATAGACCCCGGATTTCACTGCTCCACCCCATGCTTCAAGGTGTGGTAGGCGGTTCTGGTTCGTGGACACTGGCACCGTACCCCCGGATTTCCCCAGATTGTCGTAATCTGTGCGGGGAAGTATTTCGGAGGTCATCCGCGAGCTGATGTGGATGTTTCGGACCCTGCCCGCAATGGGGCTTTCATAGCGTCGGACCCCGGCCGCGAAGAGAGCCCAGGTGACTTCATATTGAGGGGGATTGGAGATCAAAGTCGCACCATATTAACGGTGGCTGACCGACTGAGATTGAAAGCGTCAACGCCAGGTCATCCAACGCTTGGCATCATCAGGGGTTCGGCTTCAGGATCGGCAAATACACATCACGGCATGAACTTTTTTCCCGCACCACCGGTGATCCAAGCCGATCTATACGTCCGTATACCGGACGAGGTGAGGTGTATTGGACAAGAATCGGAGTGGAAGGGCGGATTCGCGAGGGACTTCAAACACATTTTTCTCGAAGGCCCTGTAGCTGACGCTGCTGGGAATCTCTACGTTGTCGACATTCCATACGGTCGCATTCTCAAGATCGATGTCGAGAGAAAAGTTACAGTTTGTTGCAAGTGGGATGGAGAGCCGAATGGCTTAGTAGGGACCCAGGAGGGCGATTTGCTTGTGGCAGATTACAAACAGGTAACTACATGTTCTACAAAAAAGCGGTATGATGTGCGAGCTGACGTACCGCTGTGCAAAGGGTATTCTTGCATTCAACCCGTTGACAGGGGAAATCAAACCGAAGCTTACAAGGAAGAATCTGGAGAGATTCAAAGGCCCAAATGACCTGATCTTGGACTCCCAACAAAACCTGTACTTTACAGACCAAGGCCAAACTGGCATGACTGATCCTACTGGGAAAGTGTACCGCCTTTCCCCCGACGGGAGATTAGACACCTTAGTGGACAACGGTGCGTCTCCCAACGGCCTCGTGCTGTCCCTGGATGAACGCTTCCTTTATGTCGCCATGACGAGAGCGAATCAAGTATGGAGGCTTCCGCTTCACGAAGACGGGACAACATCCAAAGTAGGCGTGTTCTTCCAGTCATTCGGAAATGCTGGTCCGGACGGTCTGGCACTAGACGAAGAGGGCAATTTATTTGTCTGCCATCCAAGCCTTGGGTCTGTGTTTGTGGTGGATGCTAGTGGTATTCCGAAGGCCCGTATTGTCAGCGGTTCACCAGGAATTAATTTGACGAACTGTTGTTTTGGTGGCCCGGAACACAAGACCTTGTATATTACAGACAGCCTGGAAGGCAATATTCAGAAGGTCGACTGGCACTGTCGAGGGGCAGTGCCAGCACCCAAGCTGAAGTCGTGAGGTTTCTAGGTCCCAGTCACTGGGGAATTAAATAGTCAATCTACGACATCAATTCTGTCATGTCTTCATGAAATATGTTTGATTAATCGAATTAATACTTTGCCTCAACATCTGCATCCGTTGCCGTACGCCGCTTAGCTTCCTCTATTAATTAAGCGCCCCACCCCCGCTTGTGAGGCGAACCTGTTACTAAGATGTGGTGGCCCCCAAGATCTCCATTCAGTTCCATGAGCTGTCACCCCTCACACTTCCAAACTTCTCGCCGTTTTCGAATGCCTCGCCATCGCGGCAATCAGACGCTGCGGGCTTTCATGTGGCACTACAATTGAGATGTCCTCAGAACCTCAAGTAGACGAACGGTTCAGACAGATCCCCGTGTGTCGACGCTGCCGGCTGCGTAAGATCAAGTGCGATCGCGGCGTCCCCAAGTGTTCCAACTGCACCAAGTCAAGCTCGGCATGCATCATTGTAGATCCCATTACATCGGAGCAATACCCTCGCGACTACATCCGGCGCCTTGAAGATGAGGAACGGCAACTGCTTGCGAAGCTCGAGACCTTGTCGCCGCAGGATCCGCCTCCGATAGCTGATCCACCGCGTGATGATGAGACGCCCAGGAGCTTGACATCCACAGTATCGACAGCGCGCCCTAACGGCTTTGTTGGAGACGGGAGTGGATTAAGGCAAGTCAAGCTACCTGTCCATGTGGCAGTGGACCGTTCTCGACACAATCAGACACTAACCATCGGCGTACAGCTTCCTCCGTCACATCTTCTCGGATGCAAAGTGGCAGGCATACAAGCCGCAGATCCTCCAACACCTCGCAGAGCGACCCCGGCTTCCTGAGTTGGATGTAACTGCAAATGTCCAGCCCCCAATGGAAGAGGCATCTGCACTTTTAGATAATTAGTAAGTCTAGTCTCCCGACAATTTGCAATGCTAACCGAGCAGTTTTCGCCGTTTCCACATAAACCATACCTTTCTCCTACGGCAAGGTGTTTTGGACACATTCAGCAGAGTATATCAGCCCTTGCCGTCTCAGACTCCCTCCGCTCAAGACTACTTTCGCCTCTTTATGGTCTTTGCTCTCAGTGCCGTTACACGATACCGTAAAGGAGAGAGTAAGGAACATCCGTACGGTTATTACCTTGCGGCTCAGACACATATTGGGGGTTTCCCACTCATAGGCACTTTGGACACCATTCAGAATCTTCTTCTGGTCACGCGGTTTGGCATGTACCACCATGTTGGTAAGACTATGTACTCCCTCCCTTAGGATCCTCATTTAATCACTATTCTAGGTACATCCCTTTGGGAAATATCACGCTTCTGCATGCGGCAGTGCATCGAACAGAGTCTACATGCTCGACCTATACGTCCATTGGGGTTGCTCGAGGAACAGCACCAACGCCGTGTTTTCTGGGAGTGCTACATCCTGGATCGTTACAGCTCTGGCGTTTTAGGTCGACCATTCGCTATAGCCGACAAGGATATCACTATAGAACTTCCCATCGACGCAGCCGACGGAACGATTACGCAATCTACGGGAGCAAATTCATTAGCAAGCATCGACATTCGCACTGGATCCCACCCAACTGAGCTTTCTGTATTCATCTTTCATATCAAATTGCGCAAAGTCACCTCGCGCATTCACTCGGAGTTCTACGCCCGTCGCAGCATACCCAGCAGCAGTGGAGCGGCAACCCCTATACCACACCGGTCCTCATCAGGTCACATCTACGTCAAGTTGTATCAGTTCCTAAACGAACTCGACTTGTGGCGGCAAGACGCTCCAGTCTTTGATTCACCTCAGTCCCTATATGAGCGAGTAGAGTGGTATGACTTCCTGCTCGAGAAGGAGAAGCTCCTGTTGATACGAGGCGCTATCCACATAGCGCCGAGACGAAATGGCCAGCCACCAGACGATCTACTCGTCATGTGTCTAGACAGTGCGACACAGATAATCGAGTTGTACAACCGTATGATGCAGATCAAATGTATCACCTGGACTCGTAACTATTTCCAAGTCATATTCACCGCTGGTCTGTCCATCATATATTGCGTCTCAGTGGGCGTCCACAACGAGCGGAGCCGAACTGGCTACATGCACCAGCCTGTCATAACACTTGCCTTGTGCAGTAATATCTTGCGAGGTTTTAGACAGGAGATGCCTGACGCAGGCAGATTCGCCATTGTGTTCGAAATTCTGAAGGACAACCTTCTCAAGGACACCAACATTATCTCAACGTTGAATACTGACCAACCTGATGGAGGTACAGTCTCCCATCAACATGTTTCGCAAGGTCATGAGCTCTACGAGATCAATTTGCAAAATAGACTGCCAGACTCAAATCATCTAGCGGCGGCCCTTGTCGAAATGGACCATTCGAGACAGAACATGATGGATACTCTCGCTCCGCCCCAGACTCAGACAGAAATAAGATCACCACTCTCACAAATACCCGATGACAACGGTGCGCTATCAAATTTTGGATACATCAACATGGACTTGCATCAAGACGAGATTATGGATTGGCCCACACTTACCGATGAGATGATGGAACAGCTAGAAGCCGGACTTGGAGAGTATGCTTGGGGCTCCATGGATACTGACTTTCACACCTGGGATTTTTAATATTCTCTGTTGAAATGATCAAGGTTGTGACATATGATACTCGAGGAAATCTAAATAAGTGTACTTGTCCGCATTCATGGGTCGACTCTTAGCTCGCTTCGCTCTTGATGAACTCATATAGCCGTTGAACTGCCGCAATTGCAGTCTCCATCTGCGTCTGTGAAGTTGCAGCTCCGATATGAGGCGTGCTCAACACCCGTTGCTCCCACAACGCTCCATATTTCTCCTTGGTTGGCGGCTCTTGCTCGTGGCAGTCCAAGCCGGCACCCCAAATCAAGCCTTCTCGCAGACCACGCTCCAGGTCAGCCTCATGGACAATCCCGCCTCTCGCCGCATTGATCAGGATGGCAGTAGGCTTCATAAGACCCAATTCTCGGTAGGATATCAGGTTGCGAGTCTCTGGTATTAAAGGAACGTGAATGCTGAGCACGTCGCATACTCGCAAGACTTCATCAACGGTATGTGCGCGTTGATGAGGAATATCCGACCAAGCATCAGGTGGCATAAACGGGTCATATGCAATGACTTGGGCATCGAAGGCTCCTCGGAAGATTCGAGCCACCGCCTGCCCAATGTTGCCCATGCCAAGAATGCCTATCGTCTTGCGGTAGATGATCAAGCCTGAGCACGTTTCCTTGGGAACAACCAATCCTTGCGATTGCTGTGCGACAATGCGGGGCACTTCTCGAGCGACAGACATTGTCAAAGCCAGCACCGTCTCAGCAACTGCTTGGGCGTTGACGCCAGGTGTATTGAAGATCTTGATGTCCCTTTCGGCACAAGCTTTGCCGTCAATCTTGTCGATACCCACGCCTTGCTTGCCGATGGCCTTGAGGTTATGACACAGCGCGACATCCTTGGCCGTGAGATGGGATGAACGGATCAGAAGATATTGGGCATTCTGTCTCCAGTTGGCGTGTCCTGGGTCTCCAGGAAGGATGGCGTTGAACCGCTCTTGGCAGTACTTGATGGCTTCAGGGTGGAAGTTATCGAGCAGATACACTGTGGGTTTTTGAGTGTCCACGGGGCTTGAAGCTCTGCTGTCATCTAAGCGGCTTGGGGTCATTATGCTGTAATGATAATTGACTCGGCTGGGCAAGATGATTGAGGTGGTGTGGTAAGAACAAGTTTAGTCTGACTGAAGGACCTTTATTAAATGAAGGGAAGAAAATTGAATACCGGAATTGTGAAAGGGAATCAAGGCATTTCTCCCCATATTTTGGGCCTTATTATCTTCAACGCTTCCTCGCCGAATCGCAACCAGGTTTCATTTTGACTCTGGGGTAGTGACTCACACAATCTCGGTGGAGGTCCGACGAATGTCACGAATCCATCCGCGCGCATCCACCGGACATTCTCCGCGAATGTGACGATGTGACGGTGGCCGTAGGACATGCGGTCATAGCTCGCGGCTTTTGGTTTCGGCATTTTTTATATGCGGGTTGCCGGGCGAAGGTCGTCGTGGGGATTGATTCCGATGCGGAATACGGAGGGCTCTTTCAAAAGTCTTGTCCTAAGAAAAAGCAACAATTCCTAATCAGCTAATTATAATTAGGCTAAGTACACTAAGTACTTCCTACTTCTCATAAGCCCTAAAAGGTAGCAGATTACAGCACACCATCATCCACTAGATCCTGGCCACCAGCCTCTAATACCACTGAAGCTGCAGAATGTATAGGGGATAGCTTAGGGATGCTGTCACAACCTCTATGTATCTCAGGTAACTGACAGGGTACAGGGATGTAGTGTTGCTAGCGCTTGGACGAGACTTTTGAAAGGGCCCTCCGTACGGTCAAGTCCATTTCGCCACGAAACGCATTGATCCATCTCGCACCGAACCAATCCAACTGAACTTCTGATGAAGATCACCACACAAATGGTAAGCAGACAAGTCAGAAATATTACTAGTGCAATTTAAATTAAGTAGAATATGATGCCACGAATTTAAGAACCATGGTTATTTATGTCTATGCCATATCTAATTACTCTACTATCACAACCTGCCAGATATCCATCATCCTCCTAAACCTTGCCGTTTGTCTGAGATCCAGTGACCCTGGCATTTAGCTGTGCCATTTCACTAGCTCTCTTGGAAGCTCCAGCCATAACAAGAGGGCCGTCAGTCGCAGCCATGACCCATCTAGCACCCATGGCGCAGAACTTTTCCACCAGATCCATGCGAGCATGTAAACCTCCGACGCCAACCCACTTGCCGACCTTGTCACAGGCCGCAATCGTGCGCTTATACGCCTCAGTAACACGAGGGTTCTCGTAGTCACCTGGGATGCCCATTTCTGCCGTCAGGTCATTAGTACCGATGAGGAGCGAGTCCACCCCATCGACAGCAGCGATCTCGTCGACGAGTTCCAATGCCTCCAGTGTCTCAATCATCGGGATGACCAAGGTGCTCGCATTGCAGACGGGGTTGGAGACCTTGGCAGGCAAAGAGCGGAATTCGAAGTGCGGCAAGCCATTGGTCGACGATCGGCAACCGACAGGCTGGAACTTGGCCGCAGCAACAACATCCTTGGCGTCCTGGACGCTACGGATGTGAGGGACAATCACGCCAAGAGCACCTCCGTCAAGGATCCTCGAAACGAAGAAAGGGTCCTTGCTTGGGGCGCGGACAATAGGAGCAATGCCCGCGTAGAGGGCGGAGATGCAGATTTGACCGGTGGTGTCGAGGTCAAAGGACGAGTGCTCCATGTCGATGAGAATGCCATCGAAGCCTGCTGTCTTGGCCATCATGGAGATCTCAACAGAACGGACTAGTTTGACGCTCAGGGTATACGCGACTTCGCCCTTTACCATCTTGTCCTTGATGCTGTTTGAAAGGGAGGCAGCCATCTTGGGTGATGGACTGAGACGGAATAAAAGCGGAAGTATCAATGAATGAGAAGTTGGATTATTGAAGACGGCTTATGCGGTGCGGAGAGGAATTGGTTGGAGCGTGAGATCCAGTGTTAAGAGGAAACAGACAGGGTGATACAGCCTCATGACTAAATCCTTGAAATGGACTTTCGACCGTTTATACATGAACATAACAACTCTCGTCCAAAGCTCAATGCCGTGTTTACCAGGGAACCTCCCATTTCTTCCCCTTCAGGCCTAGCCAAGTCTGTCCTTAGCGCAAGTCTCGACGTTGATTACGGAGTAGCGGGATTAAAGATCCATCGGACCTCCGCCGCCATGCATTTCGGACCTCGCCCGTCAATCCCCGCATTCTTCCTTCTGCACTCTGGGAGTCTTGGGATAGTAAGTCGTGAGCCAGTCAGACAAATCGCACCAAAGCGTTTTGATTGCCACGGCGGGTTGGGCCTCAATGTCTATAGAGGGTATCACCATGAGTGACCAGGACCGAAATGATCGCAGCTCAGTCTCGTCTCAGGAGCAGATGACCGTCGGCGACCTGATGCCACAAGCTTGCGAACGGTGTTGGAAGCGGAAGCAAAAGGTTAGAGATTTCCCATTCGCCGTGATAAATAAATGATGCTGGTCTGATACAATTTCAATGCTCAGTGCGATCGTCGCAAACCATCATGTCTCCAATGTAGAGCATCGTCTTCTCCGTGTATTGAGCGTCGCCTTGGTACTGTTTTGGACCCGGCCGATCCTCAATCTCACCACAGGTACTCATCCCAGCTCACCATAGAATCTCAATTGCAAAGCCTTGCTGATGTATGATCACTTAGTTACATTGAGTCGCTAAAGCGCAGAGTAGAGGTGCTCAAGACTCGCTTGGAAGCTTCGTCATCAACTGCTTCTGACTATCCCACCGTCAGGTCTCATTTCAACTTGGAGGAAGATCGCAGTGCGACCCCTCGTCATTACCCCAATACCCGGGAAACACAACTTGGGGACAGTGAAATTGCTCAGGGCAGCGAATCTAGCGACATCCCACACGGTGACACGCTACAAACCGAGATGGGATATCTCTCGCTGAGTGCCATGGACGAACTCACCTGGGAACAACCGTTTTCTAGCAGAAACATATCATTCTATACCCTTGTCCAAGCAGTCACATGCGTGTCTGGAAGCAACCCGTCGGTATCAGACAGCCAAAACGCGGCAATCTTTGGCCCTCTTGGAGACTTCCATCGCGGTCTCTTCCGTCAGGGTGTTAGTCTAACTACTGTCGGAACAGAAGCGCCATTTCAAAAATTTGTTGATCTGGTCAAATACGTTTTACCGTTTACACCGGTGGAACAACTCATACTTGACTATCATGAGTTGCTTCAAGCGCATGAAGACAAAAATGTCAGCGACCTAGTCGTGAGTAATCCTGGTAAAATTATTCTCATCCACCTGGCGGTCGCCACAGGGGTTCTTTTGTCAAAAGACCACCGTTTTATGGAGAGCTACGCGACAGCTTTGGCCTTGACGGCATATCAACTCGCTCCACGAGCCATTGCCCAATCGGATGATTTGGGTGCCGCACAATGCCTGACGATGATGGCAATTTTCTCCATGTACAGCGCATTTGGAGGATCGACCTGGCATCTTTTGGGCCTTGCCACAACACGATGTATTTCGGGGGGGATGCACAACGCACGAGTATCGGATCCTGAGTCGGATGATGTGAAGCGAAGAAATAATAGTCGGACATTCTGGACCCTCTATGTGCTCGATGTGTGAGTCTTGTCATTTCATCCACCTAAACGTCACTGCGTCTCTAATAATTTGTAGACTGGTCAGCATTTCCCTGGATCGACCTTTTCAGCTCCATGATGAAGATATCACGACCACGGTATGTCCAAGTTGAGCAGGTCATTATAAAAAGGCATCAAATACTAACACATATCTGTAGCCTCCGTCCATCACCAACACTCGAGAAAATTCTGATGAGGTCCACTCTTGGAACGTGCAGCACGCCATGTTACTTCACGATGTGCGACAGAATCCATCCAAGGGAGTGCTCTTCCATTTTAGCAACTACCGCTATTGGAGAGAAACGGCCCCTATAAACAAGTCCAACCAGTGCCACACTTGGCTTGAAAAGTATCACTTTCGCCGCCTCTGTTGCCGAGTGGTTCTGGCTGTGCTACAGATTTCCGATTCATCACAGCCAGAGAAACTGATGCCTATGATTATGGAGAATGCAGAGCAAGAATTTACTGGTTTTATCGCTACGCTGGAGGACCAAATTAATGCCGAGGGTTGCGCCTTTACTACATTCGATGGTATTGACGTCTTCTGCGCCGGGGTCGCTTGGCTTTACCTCCTCATCCATCGCCACCAGATCCCTCTGGCTCTGAAAACCGTTCAAACTATCTCGAAAAGCGGCCAGAGAGTGTTACGAATACTGGCTGTTATATCAGAACGGCATCGTTGTGCACAAAGCTTGTACGGTGTACTCAACACATTCTCCGAGACGGTCCAAGGCGAGGGGGATTGGGCCAAGGTCGAGAGCCTTGTTCTTGCCTCCGAGATGACGATTCCGCAAGGGGTACAGAAATTAATGCGGAGTACAATCAACCTAATCCATGAAGTCCCCGACTCCGTTTATTTGGCGCCCGACGCACCGTGAGCTAGGCGAGACTATAGGGTCATGTCTATCGGACCTTGGCCGACTATAGATCACGGCTTGCTCTCCACTTGATCGGGGATGAAGCCCATTTGAGACGTGTTGCGGGGCAGACTCCTCAAGATTGCCAGATCCTTCAGGTTAGTAGAGCGCGAATCGACCGGCCAAGTCATAGGAGATTTCAACGCTTCATCATATCGGACCTCCCCCGTCCGGCAGCGATTGTGCCGGACAACATGGCGCTTCTCCATGTCCCAAACCCTTACCCCGCTTCTTTCTCTACACCAAATTCGAACTAACCAGAGAATCCTTGATTCTGCGGGGCTCAAATGGGACGATGTTGTGGGCCATTGGAAGTGCCATCATCTCGGACGTGTTCCGGCTACGAAAGGTGGACGCCCCGAGTCATGCTTCTCCCGGCCCCGGATTTCAACCCCAGTCGTGCTGGGGTAAGCACATCAGGACTAGCTAAAATTTCCAGCTGAGTCTTCAACATCGGACCTCTCCCGTCCTCTCACCCCAGATTCAATCCCCGTCCATGTGGGGTGATACCTCAACACTCGCCCGACGCTGATACAGACTGCCGAATCCGGGGCAACCGTTTGTGATTATATACTTGCTTGGAAGTTCTCCTTCTCCAATCCTGTTCCAAATCATCCAGACGTGTTTCTGTTCAATTCATCAGCCATCCCCTCGCCATCTCATTGAAATCATTCACAATGACGAAGAAACCAAGTCTCATCAAGGCTACCAAGGAAGCCATCAAACAGAGCCCCCGAGAAATATTCAACTTCTATCTCCTAGCATGCACGTGCATCTGGGGCTTCTCTGGCGTAGCCAAGGGCTTCGATGAAGGTATGCCACGTACCTAACACCACATGAACTTAGCATGAACTGACGTTGATTGCACAGGCAACATTGCTTCTGTTGTCATCATGGACGTCTTTAAAGAACGATTTGGTCTCGAAAATCAATCCGAGGATGAATATGCGGATACCAAGGGCTGGATTGTGGCTATTGCCACCGCTGGCGCCGTCTTTGGTTGCTTGGCTTGCATGTGGCTCACTCAGCGGCTCGGAAGGAAGCTCACATTCCAACTCTTTACGATTGTCTATATCGCCGGCGTTCTTGGCCAAACTTTCAGCAACGGCAATCTGACAGTTCTTTATGTGACGCGAGTCATCACTGGTCTTGGCATTGGGACAACTACGGTCTTGCCATCAATCTATATCGCAGAGGTGAGTAAGACGGACTCTCGTTAGCATTTTCTGTATTATCTCATGCTGACATCGACTTGGTAGATTGCTCCCCAGTCTATTCGCGGTCTCCTAACACTTCAATACACATGTTGCCAGCAACTCGGCGTCGTATTTGGCTTCTTCTTCAACTACGGCATCACCAAGCACCATGCCGGCACCAATCTTCAATGGCAACTCCCAACCGTGCTGCAGGTCGTGCCAGCCGTCATCTGGGGACTTGGTTCAATCTTCACGCCTGAAACTCCGCGGTTCTTGCTCATGAAGGGCAACCGGTCGGAAGCTCTTGCAACATTGGTTCGATTCCGCCAGCTACCAGAGGATCACCCATACGTCCAGGCCGAGTTCCAGGGCATTGAGTCGCAGCTCAACCACGAAATTGAACTTGTTTCCGGCTCGAGCACACTTGATCTCATCAAAGAGACGTTTGTGGATCTTTCAAACAGACGCCGCTTCATGCTCATCTTTGCTTGCCACGTCTTTGGCCAATGGTCTGGTGCAAACGCCATCACGCAGTACAGCCCGACAATCTTCGGGTACCTGGGAATCCAAGGCACAGAGACGCGCTTCCTTGCTACCGGGTGTTATGCTATCGTCAAGTTCTTGTCGGTGCTGATCTTCGCCATCTTCGTCGTCGACTTCGTTGGCCGACGCCGATCACTCATGACGGGCATTTCATTGCAGATTGTGACTCTTGCATATATCGGCGGGTACCTGGGCGTCACAAATGGCTGGAGTCCGGAGAAAGTAGAAGGCAGTGTGTCCGCATTGGCTGCCAGCCGTGCGGCTATCGCTGCTATCTACCTACATGCTATTGCATGGTCGATCGGCTGGTTCTCTATCCCATACCTCGTTTCTGCTGAGGTCTTCCCTTTGCGAATTCGAGGAATCAACGTTGCCATCCTTATGGCTGTCCACTGGGCCAACTACTTCGGCTGCTCACGAGCCATGCCCTCTCTACTCGCGGCGACCGACCGATACGGCGCATTCATATTCTTTCTGTCGATCTGTTGCATTTCTCTTGCTTACGTTTACTTGGCCTTGCCGGAGACCTCGGGAAGATCTTTGGAGAGCATGGACCGACTCTTTGATCAGCCGTGGTACACTGTTCACAAAAGTGCATACCCTAGCCCAGATGACCTACGGCCAAGCGCTACTTCCGTCGATAGTAGTCTGAAGCCCCATGAAACTAATAGTTCTGAACACGTTGAGCGGGTTTAAAACTTAGTGGTGCTTTCTTCCATCTGGTAAACAAGATGATCTGAGAATACATGTGCGTTCTCTGATAGGTATTTAGTCTGACCGAGACAATAAGATGCTTAGAGTTAGTGCAGTTCCGATTCCTTGTAAATTGTTTATTATGTGACTTTAGCTTACGCGTTACATTAAATCTGATATCACAACAGTTCTGATGATCAAATGAGTCTTCGAACCTGTTACTGCCTTCCCGACGGGTGGCCAACAACTCAGGCCTAGCTAACTCGTCCCAGGGTGTTACCCAGCAAAAGGCCTTCGAGGATTTTTAATATGGTCACCATGAAATCATTATCAACATCAATCGCCCAGACAAGCATGATCCCCAACTAGAGCTATCCCGAGAACCGAAATACCAGGAGGCGTCCGTCGACACAGCCAAGGGCGATAGTTGATCCCACAATCGAAAATTTTGAAGTCCGATACTCTGATGGGAGCCAGAGGAGGTTCCGATCATTGTAAGTTATCCAAACACCATTTTCACTGATTCCATATTGATTTTGCTGATAAGAGGGGGACAGAAGACCAAGCGGATGTGCGATGGCGACTGGTTGAGTCGGGTCGCTCAAATCGAATGTAAAAGCATCAGTCAGAAGATATATGCCGGTCTCATCAAAAGAGATGGTTTTAGGGGCCGTGATTAAATCGATCATTGCCTTGAAATCGCCCGCTACTGAATCCCAGATTCTAACACTGTTGTCAGACGCCGACGCAAGGAGCTGCCCATTAGGCGAGAAAGCCAAGGTTGCAGCTGAGAGAAAGTGCTCCGCCGTAAGTGAAATCAGTTTCCTACCCGTTACAGTGTCCCGGATGGAGATACTGTTTGCATCCAGTGAAGCCCAACGCCGGCTGTCTGGTGAGAAAGTTACCGGATAAGTTCCCGGATAAATTAGATGGACATCGTACTCCGGTGTGACGTTGCAGTTGCCAGCAGCAGTATCCCAAATTTCAACCCAGGGTCCACGTGAGACTGAGAGAAATTTACCATTGGACGAGAACAATGTTGACCCTCCCCAATATTTATCACCCTCCTCCTTCGCCTTGAAGCAACCGGTTTGAGCGTCCCAGATCTTGACAGTCTCATCCTCCTCTACCGAAGCAATATACCGAGTGCATGGCGATAGGCTCACTGACCGAAAAGGAGCACAGATTTCCTCGACCGTTTCCTTTTCACAGCCACTCCTGGTTATATCCCAAACTCTGACGTTCCCATGTAAAGATGACGATGCAAGATACCCGTTATTGGGCGAGAATACCGCTACCACGTGAAACGGAGACAGATGAGATGCAACAGTTGCTGCGCATTGACCAGTTTTAACATCCCAAATATCGACAGAGCGATAGCATGCTAGTGCGAGATACTGACCGTCAGGAGACAAGGCTAAGGGTCTCCTATTGTCAACGTGAATTTCTCTTACACAGCAGGATGTTGTGATATCCCAGACCATAAACCTGTCATGCTGTTTGAAGGCCAAATACCGCCCATCAGCTGAGAATGTATAGGCAACCCAAGTTCCAATTCGGTCAGGGGAATGGGAAACCTCAACTACGCCCGTTGTAAAATTCGAGATGATGAGTCCCCGTATGTTTGCCGATGCAAGGTGCTGTCCGTCAGGTAAGAAGGCTAGTGCCTGGGATTTGATGGCAACGGCCGGGAGGGCACACTTCCTGTCTCCAGATCTGGTATCCCAGATGCCCGCAGAAGATGCCGATGCAAACAATGTGCTATCAGGAGAGAAAGCCAATGTACTCCAATTTGTGTGATAGTCCATGAGTCTTCTCGCACTGTGGCCCGTTGAAGTATTCCAAATACTGAAAGTGGTTTGGGATTCCCACGCAAGATACTGGCTATCAGGCGAGAAGGCGATTGAGTTGGCCTCGCCGTCGTGATCTGCAATTGTCATCTTGCAGTGGCCTGTTATAGCATCCCAGATCTTGATGGTTCCATCGCGAGATCCTGATGCAATAGACTTGCTATCGGGGGAGAAGGCCACTGAATTGACATAATCGCTATGACCTTCGAGTGTGGCCTGACAAGCATCCCAGTGGTTTTCGATAGCTGATGTCGTCACAAGCCAATCTGGGGCGTGTTTTTCAAATAGCTTCCTGGTGTTGCTGAGCCTAGGACTAAATATAAGGGCTGAAGCATATGCCTGTAAAGGCGCGTTCGCAATCGCCCATCCGTGTGATTGGATAAATCGGCGTGCATCCCAAACGATGTTGAACAAATCGCGTCCTGTCGGGACGTCCTATTTAAGCGACACATTAGTACACGCGTTCCATGCAATGATGCAGTGAATCCACCTACGAGCAATATCTCGAGCTTTGTTATTGCAATTATCCCTTTTTGTATGTCTCGGAGAAGGCTGAGTGCTTCGATCCAGTAGAGGCACTTGTTCTGGAGAAATTCCTTCACCATTTTGGCATCAATGTCACCAAGGTGATTCTGGAGTGGTGGGGTCTTGCGCAATTCGGCATCGCTCAGGTGGTCAACCCAATGGGTGCACGAGTATCTTGCTGCGGCTAAGGGGTTTGGCTCAGGCTGACGTACGTCGTCGATGGAGATCCCCCAGTCTCGTAAGTTGTACATGTCATGCCGTAATGGCACGGTGAGTACTTTCGAGTCCATGCCGGAAAATAATCGGCGATGCCTCAGTCGTGAGGAAATCCTTAACTGACTGGTGGATGAGATATACGTAGTCGTCTCGGATGGTAACAAATGAGGCACACTGTTCCAGCAGAGATTGTAAGTCATCAGACACGTTCGTGGGTAAACCTGACACCACACGTAGCTCGCCCAAGCTCAGGGGGCAACGGTCGCCGTTGCAATGACAAGGCAACAGAGGTTACTCTCTTCCCGTTCCAGTTCCTGAATACGACTCATCATTTCACGGTAGAGTGACAACAAGTCGGATGGCTTTTCCTTGACAACTTCAGAAACGTTCCAGCTCTTGACCTTTTCAAGCTCCTGTGCCACAAGAGCCACCCAGAAGAATGTCCCATCGGCCTTTTGTCGCATTTCGAGCCTGACTTCGTCTCTCAAAGCCTCATTGCGTTTAAGAGGGAAGAGCTTGGAAACCTTGTAGTCGATGAATGTATCGATGGCTTGCGTCACATGCTCGGCATTCAGTTCAAGACTAAGTCTTGTCCGAGGGTCATCAAGAAATAGCTGTCGCACTATGTCATAGTTGTTCCTACTCGACACAATCCATTTCACCTTGATGGATGCAGATCTAGGCTCGGTGATGAAGCATAACAGTTGTGAGAGATCTGTCGTACACTCGTCCAGGGCGTCGATCATTAGATAGCAACCTCGTGTGTGGGGGTCACAGAGCATATCGCTTAGAATCTGAGACAAAGTATAGAATGCGTTTGCATCATCGAATAGTCGATGCCCTGTGTCGTCCCATCTGCGCTGGATATGCGATATAAGGGACGGTTGTTGCTCTGCTAAACCGAAGATCAGGCCTCGCAGCACGGCTGAAGCCTGATTGAGTCGGGAATCGGTGTTTTGACAGAGGAAGAAAGAGACAATCCGTGTGTGTGTTTGTGTGAGTGTAGATAGTTCATTGATGATGCCGCACATCAACATTGTTTTGCCCTTGCCGGCGTCGCCCTTGATCCAGAGGAACTCAGTGGTATTGTCGTCTCGCCATCGCTGGAAGTGCTCGTGGTCCAGAACCCATCGATACGATTCCTTGAGAAGACCACCCTTCGTCTGCTCAATACGCCTCTTTTCTACGGCCGGGTGGACCCATCGGGGGTCGTCAAGACATCGGTTGCGATTCGGTTCGTTGTAGTTGACTTTGTTGTTGTTTCCCCTTGGCAGGAGAAACAACCGAAGCGTTAGCGACCCAGCTGCGATTTTCCGATCATTCTTTTTTGGCTTTTTTGCTTACCTGAGTTATAGTTGTAGTTGTTGTTCTGCGTCCCACCAGCATTGTTGTTGTTCTGGGGCCCGGAGCCCGTGTTCGCGCTGAATATGCCCGCGCCGGAATTGTTGAAGGAGGAGCTGAATGTAATCTGGTGTTGCGGCTGAGAAGACATTGTGTGTACTTTCAGGTGGTTCGGTTTGCTTTATCGGATCGGCCTATATCATTTGGACGTGCATCAGCGGCTATGAAGCAAGCTAGAATGCTGAATTCTTCTGGATGGATGCAGTAGGACAGATTGCCTGACGAGGCTGGACATGAGGGAATTCTATATTGCGCCACACATCCATGCTCTCCCCCGCTTCTGTAACCGCTTCTGTAACCAATTAAATCATTTGGAAAAAGTAAGGCGAACCTGGCGAACCAACGTCCACTTAACAGAGGCTGACGTCCCAATGCTATGTAGATTAGCCGCTCAGTGTCTGCTTCAATATGAGTGGGGGCGGTGATGAACACCCCAAAACAGCGCATAGCATTTTCATCAAGCCCAATTCAGTACACGCAATTTGACGAACAGAAGATTTGATCCTCGTTGCCCGGCCCGTAGTCTGAGTTACAAGGTCATGGTAAAATCTATTTATATGGCTGCATGTGAGGCAGCTGGAGCCCCTCCACTGGACCATTGAACTGGATGCCAGTGCCATTGTTATTATTTTGAGGTGCGTAGCTAGTGTTCACATTCATCCAGCCTGCTCCGGAGTTGTGAAAATTGTACTGGCCGGCCACGTCATCCGGGAGCGACGGCGACAGTGCTGATATGTGCTCGAGAGATTTCTTCAACTGTTCCAACAGTGATGCAGCAACCTCGCCACCGAAATCTGGTTTCTCCGCCAAGCCAACTACGAATCTGAGGATGGCTTTCATCAGATCTTCCACCCGATCTCCCTTCCCTGCAGCATTGCGGTATCGTTCTTGTCTGGGTCCATTGCCGTCCGGAACGACTGCGAAGAATATTTCATCTATTCGAGTAGCGTTGTCCCTGCAACCTTCTATTGCTGGCTTGATTTCTTGCCAAAATGATTCGTCGGAGTTGCAATTGGCAACGTGAAGTTTGATGCCCTGTAAATAGTCCTGTACTGGTGCGACAGTCCGGAACACCTCGTGAAAGGCAGGAGGAATGTCGTTTGCCTTATCAATGTCGCCACATGTATCCGTTGTGTTCTGCAATGCGAATAGTGTACCAGCAATAAGCTGTTTTACTTCAGCGGCATCATTACCCGGCATTGTTTTAGTCTAGACAGAATGCCAAGATCCTGCATTATTTAATCAGACAACCGTTGCTTCTGGGAATGGCACGATATACTCACGGCTTTAACGGCTAACAAGTGTTACCCGGAGGTCTCTACTTTTAAGAACAGATTAATTTACTTTAGGTGATTCTACATGCGCAAGTTGCTGCATCTTATGGGCCAGTGGACAACTCACCCTGCAGGCGCCTCTTGAAGGCGAGCGACCACCTAGCACATCCATGTCCAATCAAGTTATCTCGGATCCACAATCTCACTCACCGAGAAGAGGCAACGGTTGCCTGCTGTTGGGTCGCTGCGCCAAGCCGGTGAAAATGTTCCGGATCAGAGGCCTGTTTCAAGCCTACACGATGGGTTGCGGACTTGCAGTGACCGGGAAATATTATGTGCATATTCCAGTGTAAATTAACTGAATAATACTCCGTACAAGATACATATTTTCGTATATATTGAAGAGACACTACATAGTGCACAGTCTTGTGATACGAAATAGAGCTAGGATCTAGTGACGGCGAAAACACCCCGCTCTCATGCGATTTCCTATACAGCCTCATCTTTCTTCTCCCCATGCCTAATTTGACCGGGTTTTCTTTTTGTTCGACAATACCATTTGCGCTGTGATTCCGAGATTTGATGTTGAACCATCTGGCATAGCAGCGGTTCCCACGGCTTTTTTAAAGGGCTCAATCCAGCAATACATATTCCGTCATGAGGAAATTCAAACCCATTTTTCGACGCAAAAAGCCTCAGCAATCAACAACCGGCGACCCCGTGCTGCCGAGTTCGCACTCATTCCCTGGGACAAAGCCGGTCGAGTCATCTTCAAAGCCCAGTCCACTAGCTTCCTCATTCCCTGATGGAATCAAGGTGTTACACGATTGTCCCGAAGCTACAGTCGATGTGTGTTTTGTTCACGGGTTATCTGGCAATCGCGATAAAACTTGGACAATCCACGGAGAGGCTGCATCATGGCCAGAGATACTCCTGCCACTAGCGCTTCCTAAGGCTCGTATCATAACGTTCGGATACGATGCGTACATGGTACGAAATCCAGTTGCGTCATCGAATCGGTTAATCGATCATGCCACGAACCTTTTAGCCGATTTGACATCAGACCGGGCTATTCACAAGGCAACGCATCGCCCCCTCATCTTCATCGCCCACAGCGTGGGCGGCATTGTCTGCAAGGAATCCATTATACTCTCAAGAAACAACCCCGAAGTCCATCTTCGTAGCGTGTTCAATTCCCTAGAAGGCATCGTATTCATGGGCACACCACACAGGGGCTCATGGATGGCCGACTGGGCTAAGGTCCCGGCTTCAGCTTTAGGCCTTGTCAGGTCCACCAACAAGTCACTGTTAGACATTTTGGATACAAATGATCAGTTTCTCGAATCAATTCAACTGATATTTTTGGCCATGCTACGAGAGTTGCGAGAAAGCGGCCGGAATCTTCAGGTCACATGCTTTGTTGAAGAGCTACCTCTAGCAGGGATGGGATTAGTTGTACCCAAGGAATCGGCCACCCTTGAAGGATATAATTCGGTTACAATTCACGCAAACCATAAAGACTTGGTGAAATTCAGGTCTGCGGATGACCAGGGATTTAAAAGGCTGCTTGCAGAACTTACCCGATGGGAATCACAGATCAGGTATCTAGTGTCAACGACACGAGACAATTCATCTGCTAATAGCTTCAAGCACGAGAACCAGCACAAAAGTTGCTGACACCGACTCTGAGAGCAACGTGGACAATAGAGGAGCATCTACACCACGATATACTTTCCACAACTCCGGAACTGGCTGGATAAATGTGAACACGGGCAGCGCACCGCAAAACATTAACAACGGCTCCGGTATCCAGTTCAATGGCCCAATCCAAGGGCTCCAATTGTCCCCTCCTCCGATTTAAGTCAGGGGCGGAGCAAATGGTCAAGGTGCGCCAGCCCAAGTTGCTCTCCCCGACAAGCGGTCGACAGTGCAGCCAGGCCTGGGTGGAGTGATGACGCAGAGAATAATCCAGCTGGAGATGGCCTCGGACATGGTCGTGGAGAATCGACAGCAATTATCAGAGCCTCAGGGACAGTCTGGCCTACAAAAGCCACCGCAGAGAAACGGCACGGTTGACTGGTGTGTGTACTGTTAGTTCGCAGCCCCACGGCGACATAGCCACCGGCAAAACATCTTCCCACAGGAGGAAATCAGAGGCTCAAGGACTGAAGATGCAACTGCCGAGCCTTGTCCTTATCGCAGCGCTACCGATTAAGCATCGAGAATCTTATTGCCGCCACACCGCGTGATTGCCTGTTGGTGGCACAGAGCCTAGTCAATAAACAGGTAGACTCGTGAGTAGCCGAGAATCCCCGCGAATGGAATCATCCACTAGTTTCAGCTTCATTCAGGCCCGCTCTCGTATCTGAGTGATGGGCGTCAATAGTTCCCCCAGAGTAGCTGAGCGCAGGCGCCACAACGACCAACGTGCAATGTGGATTGGCCAGACTTGTTCAGCTCCAGGCCGGTTTTGTTATCTCCCAGTACTCGCAGGTTGACTCGAGGGACGAGACCGTGGGCTAGTCTTGGCATGGGCATGTGATTGGGTTGACGGTGCCAATATTGATTCAAAATGGCGCCTGCTTGCTTTTTCACACCTTATTCAGTGGCAATTAAGGTACTGCATTAAGTTGAGGCCCAGATTCAAGGGGGCTCACAGCTTAGCTCGAGCCTCCCCGCGTTGTGCTGGAAATGACTCGATTTACCTGTCGCGCTCAGCTCGTCCAACTCCAGTTCTCTAGATTATAGACCTTTGCGGCTTTGATTTCCTTCAGACAAGCTCGATAATGGCTATCAACTCCAACTTTTACGTCAAACCAGACTATGTCCGGAGGGGTGGCTGGACCAACTGGAATGGCAATTCGGTGTCGGGCGGCAAGATCACCATGGGCAAGAACTCGGCAGACCTGGTGGCCATCTTCATCGGTATCTTCATCGTCTTTGTTGAGGGTGGTCTATGGACACTCCTGACTCTCTTCCTCTTCAAGTGGAATCGACGTCGGCGACTTCGCCGTCGCGCCATACAGCAACAGGGAGATTTGGATGCCCTCTACCACCAGGAAATGACGATCCTCCGCAATAGTGACAGCGCAACAGCCGTTGCCTCAGCCTACTTGAAGCTCTGGTCTACATGGGGCATCACCAACTCACGCGTCGCGTGGCGCACCCTACCGCTCATCCTCCTCGCCGTCCTAAGTTTCTTGTTTTTCCTCATCGGGGTGCCATTCATCGCCGCCTTCCAGCTACTCGAAAACCAAGGCGACGAGGTCCTACTCAAGAGTCCGAATTGCGGCTTCTGGTTAGCGAGCCTGGCTGACGATCCAGTCGCCGGTTTTAATGCGCTGAGAAACCAGTCCTGGGAAGCCGTCACCTACGTCGACAGCTGCTACGAGGGCAGCGCCGAGTTAGCGCTCTGCGATCAATTCCTCCCACGTCGGCAGCTGCCAGTGTTCAGTTGGACCAACGGCGAGTGTCCCTTTGATAAGAAAATCTGCCTCTCGAAAGACAAATTCCCTGCTTTTGTCATGAAGACGGAGGTACTGGACTCGCACACGGATTTTGGAATCAATGCTCCAAAGCACGAGAGGGTCAAAATGCAGCGAACCACGACGTGCGCTCCGCTCGATGTTTCCAAGTACACCAAAATCCACAGTACTGACATACTGGGCGAGAAAATGACGTCTCTCTACTTTGGAAAGACGCCGTACAGTCCGCAGACGTATAATGTGAGCAGCCTTCAGTTTGTAGCCAAGGGAAGCTACAACCTTGAGTAAGTCCTCCTATGTATCCCACATATCTCACCTGATTAACCAATGCTTTTCAGTGTTGTCACCAACTATGTGGCAAATGGCACTGCCTATAGTGCGACATTCGAGCCTATAACTGAGCTCCAGCGCGACGACGCCGACACGTCCATCATTATGCTCAACAACAACGGCATTCCAATCCCGGGCATTAATGGGCCATGCAGTGATCCCTTCTTCTCTGCAACTGAGAAACACCTGAGCTTATTCCCCGATTACTACTTGCCTGACAACCCCGTCACTGCCATTGGCTGCGTTGACCAGTACGAGTTCGGGAACCCCGTTTCCCGCGAATGGACTAAGCCCGCAAGCTGGTCAGACGCCACCAGTAACATCACCTTTATCAAGGGTCTCTCGAGACGTCAAGCATCTGCCTACATCTCGATTGGCTGGTCATCGGGGCAGGTAGGCATCGGGTCCGACGTCGTGATCCTTGGCGCCGAAGTCCTCCGAGCGAGGAAATATCCAGGCCTGGTCGCTGGGTTCCAAACTCCGATCCCAAATGACCAGTGGAAGAAGGAGGTGGAATATTGGTTTAAAATAGGACTCGCAAAGATGCAACTTCTCCGCCTCAACATCGCCATGGGCCCCCAGGATCCAACTATGCCGGGCATGAAAAACATGCTGCCCGTGATATCCGCCGGCAGAGACGACATGGTGGATATAATCTGTTCCTCGCAGAAGATCCACAACACGGAGTTCAAAAATTTTCACCGTCTCGGCTTCATCACGCTCGCCGTTATTGGCGGCCTGTTCATTCTTCTGCCAACACTCGTTACCAAGCTCCTCATGTCGCGGCTGAGGCATCGCGATGATTCACTGGCCTGGGCAACGTATGGCCAGCTGCAACTACAACGGATGGCGACTTCCGGCGCTGGCGTACAAGGTTGGAAGGGATGCGACCACGACGTTCCGTTTCTAGACCCAAGCAATGCTTCGGTTGGAGATATTGATGTCACTAACAAGGATTCTGAGGATAAACCGCATCCAGTGTGGAAAGGGCCGGACCATGAGATGAAGCCAGGCCACGAAGATGACAGGGACTCGGACGAAGATGAAGCAGCGTTCCTTGGCAGGATACCGACACACCAGACTGGTTCCACAGCAAGGGTTCCGTTGATGGCGGCATCACAGGAGGATACCTCGTATCACAGCACGTACAGGTGAGACTAATACAACAGAATCCGTCATCATTAGCTATATCCTATCATATTTATGTAAGATGGTGCTTGACCTTGAGATAGAATAGTGGATGAAGTTACGTGAACAGTTTAATCACGAAGACATTTACGACACAGTCGCATATCGTGCCAAATCCAACCTTACAAAGAGAATTGGCTTTCAGTTCCCCAGTTATATCTCTCAGTATCAATCATGACTTTCCTAATCACTCAAATCATAGCGAATCACATGCTGGATATTGGTATTAGTCGACCTTGTTAAGAACCATCTACTGCTCAGAGCACCCTAGTGCATGATAAAAGACCATCATTGCCCAGTGTTTGACTTCGATTCAATCTTTAGTCTCTGATCCCTTTGAAGTTCTACAGGAGTCCGTATGTTCCGTCGAGCTTAGACCTGCGTTGCCACGTCATTGAACCCTTTGCTTGTATTCTCCCGGGGAGATCCACCATCACTCGAGGCAACATCCTCCTCCACAGTATCCAAATCGGACGCCGGCGGGACGACCTTTTCGCTATTATAACGTTAGTCGCGCACTTGATTCCAAATTGATCTTAGGACTTACCCGTGGCTGCCAAATAGGACCCGAATAACCTGTGTCATCAGAACAAGCAACACCACCATAACTGACGAGTAGACGTAGCCCTTGGGGAACCGGGGAGCTTCGACAGTGGGATAGGTGAACAAAGGAATCCAGGCAGTGGTAGAGGTGGCGATGGCAGTCATGAGAATCAATGTCATTGCACGTTCTTCGTTGTTGTGCCTCAAAATTGTGTTGGCCCAGCCGTAGAGAACGGAAGAGACCGCAACGGCAGAGAATGTGACGCTGAATGCAAACCACTTCGCTGCCTCGGGCACGTTCCAGATTGCAAGAATGACCAGGCCTGTAAAGTTGACCGCAGAGGCCAGAGTGATGGCACCCGGCCTACCAAGCCAGAGGTCGGCACTGAAGTTGATGAAGAGGACGAAAAAGATGCCGAGGCCGGGGCTGATGGCTGCCAGTTGGTTCATGGTCGTGGTATCGTAGCGGGCGAGGCTCTTGATCCAGAGCAAGAACGCGGCCGAGTTTGAGCTGGAGTTGAAGAACAGTATGTCCCAGAAAACCAACAGATAGAAGCGCCGGCTCGTGAAAACACGACGGAGCAGCGACCATGAGAATGGCGTGCTCTGGACTTTTGATCCTGTTCGTTCGAGTCGAGCCTTGGCAAGGGCAAGTTCGGTCTTGTTGATGACGAGACGATTGGGCTTGTTCGGCGTCCCAGGCCAAATGAAGTATCCCAAAAAGGCGAGGGGTAGTGTAATGACTGCATTGATGATGAATGCCCAACGCCAACCTGCCAGCCCATTCACCCCGTCGAGGTATTCTGTTGCCGCTCCTTGTAGCAGACTCGCCGTCATGGTACCGAGAGTGAGTCCGATGTAGAAGAAACCGCCACGGCGGCCAATCTCGTCGCTGCGGTACCATGATCCTAGCACAAAGTGTACCCCGGGGAAGTATGAAGCCTGGTTCTGGAAGTTAGCGTCATCTCGCTACCGAAGCGGCACTCGACAAACCTCGAAGAGCGAAACCATGAATCGATACGCCGCGATTTCTCCAAAGCTCTGTGCACGATACTGCAGCAGTGTAAAAAGGCCCCAGAGGAGGTCAAGAGTGGGGACCAAATAATGCATGGGAACTCTTGGGAAGAGATAGATGAAGGGCAGTAGGCCGACGACATTTCCGACCACGAAGACGGTTTGGAATTGCACCAGCTCATTCCCGTGGAACCCTAGCTCTTCGGACATGCCCGACACATAGGCATTGTCTATTACTTGTCAGCATGGAAAGTACCGCGGAGGAGCATTGACTCTTACTGATATTGGTTTGGTCAACATACTTGACCCAGTAGATGATAAATGCATAGGGCACAAGGAGCAAGTCGAGCTTAAAGATGAGTTTCTTTTCTTGCGGGGTGTCCTCTGGTGAAAACCAGTGGTACCACCGCCTTGTTGGTGCGCCAGCCATTGTGTCAGCGTCTGTCGTTGTCTCTGTCCTGCGACTCCATGATTGAAGAATGGGAGACAGGCCAACTTATAATTTTCGTAGATATTCCTAGTCTAGCATTTTGCGGATTGAATCACAGGACCCTCCCCTCTCGAGAATGATAGAACGAGTCGTCACGTATGCTGGTAAGCACCTCACTTCCGAGTGGGGGGTTGTGAATTATTATTTCCGTACGTAGAGCCGGCCACATCCCACCTTGAGACCCGGTTTTCAGAAGACGTTATCTATAGTCCTTGATTTCGGGAATAGCTACCTCGATATGGCTTGAGATATCTGGGCCGGTTCTTAATGGTTGGGTGAAGGTGATGATGTAATTTGGCCCGCTATTGCGCCATGTGAACTAGTGGGACACTATCAATTCTTGGTGCACTACTCCGTAACTTAGGTGGAAAACGCAAGTTTGGCTCTCTTGAGAGTCTGCTGTTGATGCCTGAGGCGATCTATGAATACAACGGTATGCATTAGTAATTACAGGCCTCCATATTGAATCCACCTCCCCCTTGCTAAAACAGGGAAGCACGTAGCTCAAGTCGTTGTCCAGCAGGCGAGGTTCCAAGAACTCCTAAGGTTCTCATTTTCAATACATCACCGTTCAGCTCACCATTTCTCCGCAGCGATACTTGTCCAAAATGTTTTTACCGTGACTTCTCGTTCAGTCTTGCTCGGGAAGAGTGACCCTGAGTGGCACTGAGTCCAGTTTGGGTTTCACTTCTTCGCCCCCCAAGCCGAACAAGACAAAGAAGCTAATATTAGTATGACCCTTGGAGTCCAGTACTCTTTTATGCACATTTTTCACCGGACAGAAATTCTGAACGGTTGACGACCAAGGTATTGGCGAGGATACCGGAACCCTGACGTGAACGATATGTATTACATACCTCAGAAGGCGGCCACCAAGAAAAGAGAACAGCACATGTGCCTAACATTTGGAACAGGTCAGTTTATGTAACGACGTGTATAATACTAACTGTTCAAATCGGAAATCACAAGGTCGGCGTCATTGGGTTAGAACCCTACAGCCATCCACCCAAAGTACTCAAGCCAGCTTGTGACGTTCTCTTGAGATGACAAGGAGGCTACCCCAGTCAGGATTCTGTACAACAAGGTGCAAGTCCGTCTTAATATGAGATAAATACCAGTTCATCCAGAGACTGTACCCAGACCCAACGCCACGATTGCTAACCACTTGGTGGGTCCTAGTCACCATTAGCTAGAGTGCATCTACCCAGGCGAGATACTAGACTTCGAGCCAGAGACGTCGCACATCGCGCCAACATAATGCCGTCTCACTCTTCCGGTTAACTTTTCAGGTATACTAAAGTAAATTATGTTTTGTTTGGATACCCAAATACTCTGCACGACTTGTGTATAAGCGGAAGAAGCTAACGCCGTTGACTCCAAAGTGGATCCGTGACCGTCTCCCCTTGCGAAAATTTCAACAAGAGCTGGCTAATCCACATTAACGAGCAAATTTTCCATCAGCAAATAGGCGCAGTGGCAGAGTGGTCTAATGCGTATGACTAGAAATCATATCTCTTCGGAGGCGTCTGTTCAAATCAGGCCTGCGTCGCTTCAATCATCTTTTTGCCATTTCAGCCACCTATCCTGTCTGTATCGAGTCTGTCATCCACATACCTCGAGCTTCAGATTAAAACCACCGGGTAACTCTTTTTTTATCACCCGAGCCAGGGTTTGCATTCTTTCAGTACTAGTTAATTAAAGTGCTCTGGCATCGACGTCGGCTCTTGCTGGCCTTGTCCAAGGAACAGGCGTTGTCGCATCCTCAAAATAAGGTAGGTATAGAAGCCAACCTACATGCCATTCGCGAAATCAAATTGCAGCATCGGGGTTTCCGCAGTACACATATGAGGTGCCCCAGCATCTTTAAATATTTTTACTAACCTATCCTTGTCTGACCTGGACACAGCGAAGCATTTGCGACGAACACGGTCCATGGTCTCGCTTAACGGCGTTCAATACTAAGTTCACAATAGCCAGCATAAGTTCGTTAATATCGCGCTCTGGTTTTGAATCATGAAATACCACAGCAATAAGCCAATACTCCCTACTGCAAGTAAGTCTCAGAAAATATATACCCTTGGCTTGAGTCGATTAATTGGGATTTTGCCATGTCCTACCCTAGACGAGAGGTGGCTTTCAAAGTTGCATTCCTCTATAGGTGCTCCAGTGAATCGAAAATTTCGACAGATAACAGGGCGTGTGGTCTAGGGGTATGGCGTCCGCTTCGCATTGATCTAACAAGTAACTTGCGGAAGGTCCGGGGTTCAATTCCCCGCTCGTCCAATTCTTTTGCCGGTTGTGACTGGATTTGTTGCTGTTAATTATTTTTGTTGCACAATACCATTGCATCTTGGTAGCGCGGCTTTGAGGAATATTGTGGTTAACATACGGAACTGGCAAGTGAGTGAGTGGGTTTCCTGCTCAACTGCCAGGTTGGGGACCTTCACCTATGGCAAAGCCGTCATGCAGGTCTTGCGCACATAATGATCATGGTCTGCATTCTACACTGGTTTGATATCGTGCTCAATTGCATTTCTATTCAATTTTCGTGTGAAACGGGCAGCCAGGACCACTAAACTCGGTTTTGATATACTTCGAATATGCAACATCAAGGCCTCGAATATTCTCCTTTCGCATCCGTTTTCCATTGCCATCCAAGCTCTCCAGACCGGTAAAGAAGGAGACTTTGGGGTCCGGTAAAAAGACCTCGCCAAACCACATCAACGTCCGGACAACGAATATGATGAAACCTCCGAGGATGGGATTGACTGGTTTCAACCTCATGGAACTGAGCGTCGTGGGGAGAGAGAGTGCTAGAGGGAATGATACACCCAACCAGCGAAACCCGGGAGGAAAGTATCGGAAAGCAAATTGATTGAAAATGGCTAGCCCGACGTTGCGAGCTCGTTCGTCGAACTCCCGAGGAATTTTCTCATACTCCTCACAGAACTTCATGCAGCCGTCAAAATCAGCAGGGTAGCCGCCCACAGGAGTCCCTCCCTCGATCGTGAAAAGAGGAGTCATGTCGCGCCAGAAATGATGGGCCGCAGTCTTCTCCTTGTCGGAAAAGCCAGAGAGGCCCAAAAGAAGCCTGAGTCGATGCATCAAAATAGCACTGAATGCCAAGGTGTAGATGTAGTCCTCGTTGTGAGAAAAGTTCCCAGGATACTTGCGAGCGAGGGAAGTGTGAAGATTGTTGATGCGTTGTACAGCGTCCTTGCATCGTTGGTCACTCGGGCCGTAGTACCACCACGTCATGTTGTAGTTTTCCGTGTCCTCGACTCGCTGGGTTCCTTTTTGAACGACCTTGCCGCCGTCCGAACGCCAAACAGCCTCGGCTCCATGGCTGGTAACGACAAAGTTGGGGAACGTCAAGGAGTAGGTAAGATTGTTCATGAAGTCGGACAGGCGATAGCATGACATCAGCCGCCACATGAGTTCGTAATCGGTTTCTGGATCGAGCGAGTTTACGGCTTTGTTGATCCAGTGATACTGGTCTTGGGAGAATTTCGCAGCCATGATTGACAGTATAGTTGGGTTTGGAATTGCACTAGTAAAAAGAAAATTGCTTGTATGAAGAAGTGATGATTGTTGATGTCTTGTTGTCGGAGTCTAGGAAGCAGGCGAGTGGTATTTATAGCGTTATTACTTGTCCAATATTCCAGATAGATCAGAACCGTCCTGTCCTTCATAATCGGAAACAATTCGGAGTTAGAGTGGATGAGAAGGGAGCCCGAATATCCGCTTAATAATATTTTGCGATTTAATCCTGTATGAGACAGACTCCGGAGCGCTGCCGATATATCCCCAAGGATCGCTCGGAGGATCTACCCTGCCAACTGCAGAGTCTCTCCGAGACAGAGCAGTCTGAATCATCTATTGGAGAAAACGCAGCGCTAAGGGAGCCACATCCCTTTAACGGCAACGTCGCCTATAGAAGGCTTAGTAATAGGAGTTACCGATTCACGTTGACTATCTGGCTAGGTAGTGTTTAGCTTAGTGTCCACTGCGCCGGCTGGGTTTTCTGGGGAAAATCCGGGTCATGACCTTCCCGTTCTTCCGCTCTCCGGGCCCGAAGTGATCTAGATAAGGCCATCTCACCATCCAAAACGAGCAAGACTAAGTTAGTACTCAGATCTGGGGCCTTGCGGGGAGCCTGCGTAGTCTGTGTTCCACAATACTTCTCTCTTCTCAGTAGGAAAGATGACCAATCCTAAAACCGTCACCTCCGATATATATCCACACCAAAGCCTTGGGATTCAGTCTTATCGCTGAATGCAACACTGCCTTTATCTTCCTCTGACTGATACACCCATCCCGTGGGTTAACAGATTTGAATTGGATTGGATTAAAAGTAAATCGCAATCATTTGCTGCTCGCTATCGGTATTAATTGAGGTGAGTATTATCGGTCAACATTCTAAATACACAGACTGGACGCCTTTTAAGAAGCAGCACCGGTTGCCTCATCAACAATCTTCCACGTGTGCTCCGAAACCTTCTTGATCTGCTCCTCAGTCCAAGTGTGCTTCTTGGTCACCAAATGACCGCTGGCGTCAATGCAGCTCCAAAACCTGCCCTCCTTCTCACCCGCAGCTGCGCAATTGTCCGTCCCCTTGAGCAGGTTCTCGGCACAAGTGTCTGGCGACACGCCAAGTAAAGTGCCCAAAACCTTTGAACCAGCCCGGAGATACCATGGGAGCGATCCGAAAAGTTCGGTCTTGACAAGCCCTGGGTAGGCATGCACATAATGACGTCTACTGGCCTTGTCTCCCTTTTGCTGCATAGCATATTCCTGGATGATAGCATCGGTCATTGAGATACAATGGTTGGCCGCGTTGCCGAGACTGAAGTTTTTCTTGAGGTCCAGATCGTCCCAGATGAGGCCAGTCGGGTTTCCACGCACGCCATCTAGTACGAGGAGGACCTTGGCGTCGTCCTTCAAAACTGGGGTAAGTTCACGAACCAGCAGTTGCTTGCCATAATAGTGAAGTGCCATTTTGCGGTCTATTCCCTCGGATGTCTCGGTCCTCCCTGCTGTCGTGAGGATGCCCTGGGTGAGGACGAGGAGGTCCAGCTGTGGCTCCTGTGCCGACTTGTACGCATCTGTGTACTGCTTGATTGAGCGCATTAACGATGCATCTAGTGGGCGAAACTCCATATTGGCATGAGGAATGTCCTTTGGCTTGTTGCGACCGCTTATAATGACGGTAGATGACGTAGAGGCGGCGGCGAGACGGCAGGCGATTGCGAAGCCGATGCCGCTCGTTCCTCCAACTACCAGAGCTCTAGTGGCCATGTTGCCTGTGGTGAGTATACGTGAGAGATGTGGGGTCGTCGTTGGGTGTGTATGGACCCTTTTTGCTGATGTGAGGGATTTGGAGAAGCATTTGGGAGACACCGGAGAGTCTTAACCAGATTCTACGACGGGAATCGGAATGCTTGAAACCCCGCGAGCTAATCTACAGCCAATAGAGAGTAGCTTTCAGCGTCTCTGTCTGGAATTAACGGGGTTAGCGGGAATATGAATATGGCAAAGTTCGCATTAGTCAACTTTGGATGTTAAGCTTTCAACCTTCCAACTGGTCGGATCATGAGATATCCCCCGCATGGCTTCCAGCTCAGGTTTGCGTACTACTCCATATCTATACGTACTATTATGTTATGTTTCAGAAGCACATGATAGCCCCCTATTCTTCCGACTAGTGTGTGCCTCAGGCAGCCGCCCCTATTGACGTTGAGTACGCGATGGGTCCCCTAGCCCGGGGAAGCACTTGGGTTCGATAGATTGGAGTGGATCAAACTTATTGATAGAGTTTATAGATTCCGATGATTGATTCTCCAGCCTCTCTCCCGCCTGGGATGGAACTTTGTATCCAGCATCAGTCTTGCATGTCGACTCCTTGTTAGTTGCACAGCAGTGGATAATTTTAAAATTTAGGCGAGATCCGATGTCCATGTACAGCCCCTATTAAAAGGAGACATCCCCTTTACACCCCAAAACAGTGCTCCCAGTTCCATAGCAGCAGCACAGGAAGAAACGATATAGGTAGCCCCGGTATCGATGGATGACCTGTCTTGTCCGATCAGTTGGGACTGAATTGTTGCCACTGCCAACGCAGGTGGGGACACGACCATGCAAAAGCTTGTGTAACCACCAGTTCGCAAATTCCCCGGTAGCCGGGACTAAATATAAATCGACTACAAAAATGCAAATGGTCTTCCTTCCCTCGGGCTTCTAGAAGCTAAACATTCGTTGGCGGCCGCGTCGACGGCGAGCGTGTGGGGTTTCGTGATTCAGAACCCCTACACGCTGCGGGGGGCGCCGTGATTACGAAGCGATGAGGGGCGATGGGGGTGGAGAAGGGAAATGAGAGGGCGGAGCCTATTTGATAATAGTAACTGGCTGAATGGCCCAATGTGCGCGGCTGTGTGTCATTGTACTGCGTAGTAGGAGCCTACCTGCTTCTTCCGGAAACATTCAGCGGCGGGAGCACACCATATCGAGCAGACACGACCAATTGAGACTGCTGACGGCCACCATTGCGGGTATTCCTGCAGGGCTACGTAGGAGCTACGTAGCTACGGAGTCATGATGAAGATGATTCTGTGGAGTCGAAGCCGGTTACAGGTGGCGATGGGCTTGGCCGCTTTGCTCGGCATCGACGGCAAGTAATCCCTTGTGCATAGGCCCCTTGTACAGAGGCCACCGTAATACCACATGATCACGAAGCTGTACGTACTACTGTACTTTATTCATTTCAACACTTCTGCCTGTTTGATGAACAGCAAGGATCCCGTTGATCCGTCGCTTCCATCCTGCATCTAGCTCGCCGCTAACAAACCAAACTGGCCCTTGGCGAACTCTCCCTCCGCTAAAATAGGAAGCCGCTTACTTGCATGCCGAGATCAACAAAATGTCCATTCTTCTCACGGCCTTTGCCAACCCTGACTCGTGCTACGCGCGCCTTGCACGGGCCAGTAGATTGAAAAATTCGCTCACTCGCCATCCATTCACAGAGTCGTAGTCGGTGGGTCGCCCCCTTTAATAAACCGAGGCTCGCCTGTTTTCCTTGCTCGGCGAGGTTTCAAGCTGTCACATTCAGGCCATGAGCCACCACGACTTCTCGCGTTAGTGGAGTGCCTAGTTCCCCTTTGCCCTAACTGGTAATGGGACTTGAAAAAAAGTGCCGTGCGTAGGAAAGTTTACCGAAAGCTCCTAATTACATACCAGTTGCCACTGTATCCCCGACTCGCGCCGAAATTTATCTATCCCCTGAGCAACTTCGGCCAACAAATAACTCGCGCCTGTTTGAAAATCCCAACCAACACCGTCTGCACTCGGCAGAACCTTGTTATCTCGGACGCCATATTGCAAATCAGCCGCAATGCCTGCAACGCAGGAGAACAAGATGAACCGGTCGTCGACCGGCTTGCTCCGCATGACGGATGACGACAGGCCATTCTCAAGGGTATGTGCAGTCATTTCTGCTTAGAAATGTACCTAAAAGGATCTCTCAAGCCACGATGCATAGTCGTTGCCGGTAGTAGAACTGCTAACACAAGACCTGGCAGGATTTGGAAGATCTCTTTTCCACCCTCATAGTCAGTCTGATGCCGTTCTCGGCCCATCGCGTCTGGTTCACAAAGGTCGAATATACCTTCCTATCTGAAGATGCTATCCAAAATCTCGGGTCGCTCAAGTTTTCGCAATCAAACCGCATGCCCAACCCCAAGGACCCTTCTCGTATTGTCACTACCACGACAACAACCACCTTTTCCATGTCCAAAGACATGGGCCGTTCTCTTTGTCAGCTTTTCCTCAACGCCCGATTTATTGAATCTGCAGATGGCAAGAGCGAGCAGCAGTACACCATGAGGGGTACCGTGTGGCAGCTTACGCCCAAGGGGATTGTTATACTGGAACGATTTTGCTCAAAAAGTGGCGTGCAGCTGAAACAACTCGTAGAGTTGACCAATCTGTTTTCGATCCAACTGATAACTCTGGAAAGGGATGCGGAAACGGACAAATTATTCCAAGACGAAAGTATCGTTCAAGTTATTTTTTCCCGGTTTGCCGGGGCCAAGGGACAAGGGAGCCAGTCACCTCCCGGCACAGGCGAGTCGTCGTTCTCGGGTGACCAGAAAAGTTCTCCTGGTGTCAAGGTAGCTGCTGAGCGCAGGGTCAATGGAAGACTATATCTTAATACCTTTACTGGCAAGGCTGGTCTTGACTGGCTTATGGAGAACTCTACCACCATAGATTGGCAAGAGGCAATCGAGGTTGCCAGTCTGTTCGTTCGGCACAACCTTGTAGAGCAAGTCCTTCAGGATCAAGACCTCCCATCTCCATCGGATCCCAAGCTCTTCCAACCATCCAAGGGCGCTTTGTACAGGATTACCCCGCGAGGTAAATCGCCTGTCAGCAGTAACCCGAGTAGAAGTGGCTCTCAGAACAAGAGAGAGGCAGCTTCGCAGCATTACAACTCCAAGGACTCCAATACCCATAGGCTTGATAAGATTCTATCCGATCCTACTCTTCGCCTTCTCTTCCGAGAGAACCTACGAGAAATGCACTGCGAGGAGAACCTTTCATTTTACCTGGAAGTCGACGGGTTCATTCGGAATTGCAAGGCGGCTACCCGAAATCTTCAACAGTCTACCGATGAGGCCTCTTCCGACAAGGCAAAGGATCTGTTGGCGTTATCGTACGGCATTTACAACGCGTATCTAGCTCCTGGCTCCCCGCGCGAACTCAACATTCACCACCAGCTTCGCAAAAGCCTAGCAAGCCGAATGACAAAGGTAGCAGCCGAGGACAACACCATAGCAGAGGTTCTGCGTGAAGTCACGTCGCTGTTTGAGGATGCCCAAAGTGCAGTGTTTAAGCTCATGACCAGCGTCAGTTTACTCATTGAAATTTCAGTCTCGTGGGTTATACTGACAATTGCAACAGGACTCAGTACCGAAGTTCCTTCAAAATCCAAAACATGCATTTCAAATAGCAAATGCCGGGCTGCATTAATGAGAAAGGTTAGACATGGCTTGGGACAAGTCGGCGTATACGATTAAACGGTTTTTTTTTGGGCGGGGACGTGGGAGTAGACTTTTGCTTTTTGAGAATGCGTCTGGTGGTGTAGATTAATTTGACTCGGACGAGTGCCGGGTGCGTTTTTAATTCATTACTACTATGAATATATGTTCTTGACTCTACCTCGGCAAGTGTTATCTCCAGACATCAAGTATGGTTTCAGAGTCGGCTTGAGCTCTCTGGCCATTGTGTTCAGAGTAAAGTAGCAGTGGCATTGTATGATATCGAAACTTTGTGTTGGATCGTTCCACAAGGTGCCAGCCTTTAACAAGCAGATATCAAGTTCACAAAGCAGCATAAGTGGCCGAGCCTTCAGTCCTCTGTTGAATCGGCATCCAATTTTCAATCTTGTAAGCATTTTCTCTTAGGAGTGGAAGCAAACAAGCCAGCTGCTACCATGATCTACTCGAAGGAAATTGTTTGGTCATTCCTTTTCAAGACTCCATTGAGGGCTCGAAAAGTGGACCATGCAAAGCTCGTATAATCATCATTCCAGTATCCAAGATCGTCGGTTGGAGCTGAACTAGACTAATAACGCTTGGGTGGCTATATGACTCGTCTTTCTTTTTCAAGATCCAAGTCCCATATATCTTGACCGTCCATTAACTGCCTAGATTATCGCACTACGTGGTACGGATTATTACGACTCGTATATGGACCTTTACGATCACAGGAGAGATGGAAGTCCCATTGGCGCCTTGAGGAGGACTCATGACACTTTCAGTAACTCCGACAACAACAGATACCAATATGCCAGTACGTTAAGTGACAGTCAAGAAGCGATTGAAAACAGAGGTCTTTGGTGACTGAATGTAGATTTGCCCTGCAAAAGGCATTCAAGCGCGGCGCGTTTTGGCCTTCATTCTGGATTTGAGATCAAGCTTCCTTGTAGCAATTTATGCTAGGTAATTCATATTTTCCTTCGATTTTGCCAATCTCAAAGGATGCTATGCTTCAATGTTTGCAATATGTCGCGCCCAGACACGAGCGGAATACTCGTATCTCGGCAAAATCCAGAATCCGACGCCAAATACGACATCCGAGCGGGCGTCGCATCGGAATCCCAACCCCAGTTCGAACACGCATGCGGATCCCAGCTCATTGGCGGGGCCCAGTTCATCCTCGAAAGCGATCGTGTTCGCGTTCATCGTCCCAGCATCGAATCCGACGTCGCATGTTGGAATCATCAAACCATGACGGCGGTCGGTATTTAAATTAGCCTGGCCACCCCGTTTCCCTTTTGGAATCTCAGATCTTTGTGTCAAGATCGCACCTCATTTTCGTTGTGTTGCTTTCAAAGGCCGGTTTTCTTCTCGCATTCGTTTCCTTGCTTCTTTGTATAATATGAGTCCTTCCGATAGAGCTCCCGTGGACGCTGGTCCTATTTCACGCGACCGTACGTATACGATTTTGCGACAATAGACCCTTCACAGTCCCCAGTTAACAAGTACAAAGCCACACCCGTTACATATGACGAGCGGATTCTCGACCCGAAGCCGACATGTCCCTCCGATACCAACTACGACGATGCCGAAAAGGGCCGGATACAATGTTCAGATTCAATCCAACCACAGAGCTCGTCGACCTCACATCCCTATCAACCGTCTCATTCGGAGAAACCAGGTTCTTCCCAAAGCGAAGACCAAGCACCAACCACTACTCCCGACGAAAATACAGTCTGGTGGGATGGAGACGATGACCCGCAAAATCCCCAGAACTGGACGAAGCTTCGCAAATACAGCAATTGCCTCTTGATCAGTCTCCTTACTTTCATCGAGCCTCTCGCCTCGTCCATCTTCACGCCAGGAGTCCCTACTCTGATGCGTGACTTTGAGAGCAGCAACACGGAACTAGCAGCATTTGTCGTCTCCGTCTATGTTCTCGGGTTCGCGTTTGGTCCCATGGTTCTGGCTCCGCTTTCCGAGATGTATGGTCGTCTTCCTGTCTACCACGGCTGCAACGTCCTGTTCCTCGCCTTCACCGCCGCTTGCGCCGTGGCGCCCTCGCTCGAGTCTCTCATTGCTTTCCGGTTCCTGGCGGGCACTTTCGGAGCTGCACCCATGACCAATGGAGGCGGCAGTATCGCCGACATGTTCAAGCCCGAGGAGCGTGCCGCCGTCATGGCTGGACTCAGCATAGGTCCCTTGCTGGGTCCCATCATCGGCCCTGTCATTGGCGGTGTCCTGACCGATGCCAAAGGATGGCGGTGGGACTTTTGGGTTATTACCATCGTTTCCGGAGCGATTGTTGCTGGCATGTTTTTCATCATGCGAGAGAGCTATGCGCCAGTTATCCTGGAGAAGAAGGCGAGGAGACTACGGAAGGAGACTGGGAACACACAGCTCCGCTCCAAGCTCGATGACGGACTCTCCTCCACGGATCTATTGAAGCGATCAATCGTTCGGCCCATGAGGCTTTTGCTTTTCTCTCCCATCTGCACCATTTTTGCCGTGTACCTTGCTGTTGTATACGGCTATCTCTACCTCCTCTTCACCTCAATAACCTATGTTTTTGAGGACATTTATGGTTTCAACACAAAGACCGTCGGGCTCGTTTATCTGGGACTCGGTGTCGGGTGCATGGCCGGAATGGGTTTGTTCGCATGGGATAGCAGCAGGGAGATCAAAAAGATGGCTAGTACAGACGAGATGAAGCCTGAACTTCGTCTCAAGTTGTTGCCCGCAGCAGCCGTTGTTTTCCCCCTTGGTTTCTTCATCTACGGATGGACAACAGACTACAAAACACATTGGATGGGCCCAATTGTTGGACTTGTCCTTATCGGCATCAGTAAGTGGTTTTCCCAAAGAGCTAAATGTCGTCAAGCAGTCATCACAGAAATCTAACGCTTTTTACTTACAGGCAATTTGATATGTTTCATGACAATCTCCGTGTACCTAGTGGACGCTTACGAGCGATACGCTGCCTCGGCCCTTGCAGCGAACACCATTTTCCGATCGATCGCAGGAGCGCTTTTGCCTCTCTGCGGCTTGAGGATGTACGACGTACTTGGACTGGGCTGGGGAAACACCATGCTTGGCTTGATCGCGGTGGCGCTCATTCCCATCCCCTTCCTCATTAAACGCTTCGGTGAGAAGCTCCGAAAGAAGTACGAGATTACCGATCTCTGAATTTCCGTCTTTTTTTGTTCCATGTTGCATATAGACCGTTATTAGCTACGGCGCACGACGAGTATACGCTACTTTCTGCCCAGCTGGTAATGTGACATATTTGAGTTTATATTTCGCATCGCTCTTAGAATATGGTTGGGGCTTGGTTCTTTTTCTTGGACACAACTACAAGAACGCATTTGCATTGTATCTCATCTCACCGAGAAGTGGTCTGCATGACCAACTCCGATCATTACCTTCTCGATGTACATATCTATGTATTATTTATTAATAGATCTTGGCCATAAATTGGTTCAGGTATTAGGGGGATCCATCTTGTTAACATCGATTTCATCCCTTAATGACTTGAACGGCCACGCAACCCACTCCTTCCATTTCTCGTCCAATGTGGTTTCAACGGCACCCATGACTTTAGCACTCCATCCCATGTTGATCCAATTATTCTTCTCAAACGTTCTTGCCAGCGCGGCATAATGCGCTAGAATAATAAGTGCCACCGGATGATTGGTCTTGACCAGATCCATAAACACTTGGGTCAGTGTTATCGGCCAAAACCAGATACGCTGTGCCTGCTTTTCCGACTTGTCGCACATGCATGCTGCATACGTAGTCCGGAGAGTCTCGATTGCAAGCAAGCACGACGACTGGGTGTTAATAGCATCGAATGAAGGATTGAGATCGCGCGCAAGGTCGTATAATCGGTCCATTTGAGCGTGAAACGGGCCTGTTCTGTCCACCGGAAAGACCTCCCACTGCTCAAACAGCGGTGCCAGCGGGCCGTCCTCCCTCCATCCGCTCGGTCTCGCGTCGCAAATGCTTTTAATCCCATGCAGAAGTTTGAAGGACTGGGCTATCTCAGCAGTAGAGACAGGTTTGGCGTCCTGATGAGCATCAGAAAAGGTGTAGATGTTCCATAGGAAAATAAAAGTGGCGAGAAAGAAGAATGGTTCAAAGTTGTCATCAGAAATATCTCCCAGCCGCGTTGCGAAAAACTGCAGGGCGAGGCCTTGGTAATGGGATGATATTATAAGGTATTCTTCCCGCTCATCGGGATGAGTTTGAGCGTAGTGCAGAGCGGATACAGCCAGCAATCCATGCATCAAAAATTCCTTCTTATCTCAGCTTAAGTCCAAGACGGTCATGGGGCAGAAGCTTACATGAGAAAAAGCAGCTTGGGGAACAGTGACTCTCCATATTTCGCTGGTACACGCGTCCGGCGAGAAGATGTCACTCGAAGCAATAGTGTAATGGTGAACCAGGCGCAAACTCTGCATCCAACTGACTGGGAAATAAGAGAAAGGTTGCTGATTGGTCCAGCCTATTGTCGTCGACGGAGAGGCGTGTCCGACGGCTGGTTGTGTAATGATAGAAAGCGACGGTGCTTCGATGGACTGCTGAGGTGTACTGGAATCCAGAGGTGTGATGGACTCCCGAGGTGCGGTGGACTCGTGAGGCGTGATAGATTCCCGTCCTTGAAGTTGAGGCGAAGGAGTTGAACTTTCTTTTCCGGCCTTTGAGGCACTTTTAGTCGACGTCGACGACTTCTTTCCAGTGACCTGTACAAGACGTTCTACTTCGTCTGCCGGCAGAGTTAAGCTGCAAACGACATCAAATCGTACGCAGTTGGTACACGGACGCAATTCATCGCACTGCCATTTACCAGGGCATTTAGCATGAGTGCGGAGGATCAGGCGACGCACTTCTCATTCGGCGTGTCCTCACCTTCACATGGCGTGCCTTGCAGCGGAGACAGCCCTTTCGGGACTTTTTTTGCCCGAGTCGCTTTGACGGAGTTCGCATTTCCCCTCAGGATGGCAAGCGGTGAGAAGCCGCACGCCGAGTGAAAGCTGACGTATTGCACGGGGGGGGCCGCGAATTAGAGGGTATATTGCCAGGTGAGGTGGCCGCGTTCGGGTTCGCGAAAGGGGGAAACGCGAGCGGGTTCGTCAGTGCGGAGGAGAGGGTCAGCTCGAGTATATATTGGGTGGGCTGACCTCGCGCCAGGATGGAAGCATTCGGTTATATGGCCTAACTACATGGGACGCCCCAGATCTGGATCATCTGGTGACAGGGGCAGCTGGGCTTCAAGTGGTCTGGCAGCCGAGGTCGACGGGTTCGGGAATAGCAACACTCCGAGAGCCCGACTTCCCAATCGGCCACATGATTTTATCCGGGCCAATTAGAGGCCTTATTCAGAGCTTAGGAGGCTTCAAAAGTAAGGATTTCTATTGTCACGCAATGCTGTCTCATCCTGGTCATCTGGTGTCCGCGTATCCGTATTTACTGACTGAACAAAGTGCCAAGATTTAATCCAGGGTGACGTGAGTTGGGGACACCTAGATAAGGTGCGGCCCGCCGACAACTTAATCGACATTTGTATGAGCGCTTGTGGGTCTTGGATTGAAATGGATGCTCTCCCCATCACACAGGGCTCGCTTTTCCAGCATGACCTCAACGTGTACTGATCTTTGTAGATATGATTTTAAAATTTCATAAAACTTCCACCCCGCAAGACCGTCTCCTGGGAACTAGAACAGTCACTTGAAGTGAAATATCTCCTCCGCCAAAAGGCCTTGTCCAGAAACTTGAGTAGCAGTACCGCCCATAAGTCCCTCTACGTACGACTCGCCCACAAATAGCCAATGATCACCTTCTCTTCTTATGCAATACGGCACACCACCACCCGCAAGCACTGAAACTACGTCTCCCTGACGGGTACTGGATGGTCCCATCCCCATTCGTCCATCGGAGATGATCGGTAAAGCCCTTTCAAACCCGAAATTGCGTACGATTCGTAATTCCCTGCGATGCCTCCAGCCGATGACTCTCGCAACAGAGACATTACCTTCTTTCTGTCCATCTGTAATGCGGATAATGAGACTGTCACTGCATCATCGGCCAACAGTTTATGCAGGTACGCGAGACCATCTCGCAAACTTTGATCCCAGCCTCGCCCAACAAGGTAATGCTGCTCGGCTGTTGTCGCCTTGATAAACTTCTCCGCCCAGCTAAGCCAAATATTTCCCGGTAGAAGCGAGAGTGCCTCGTCGAGGATCCGTGCCATCTGCACGTCGAAATGCCGGTCAGACTCGGCGTCTCCCAAAGCCTTGATGTCAAAAGAAACTACTCGACTGACGCGTGTTAGTCTACTGCCACGCAGCTGAAGACTGGACGTATCATGTTGCGGTTCGAGCTGAAGGTCAAGGCCGGATGATGTGGCATAGTGGTTGGGAAAGCCGAGTCTAGCAGGCTTGGACATGTCTCCATAGTGTATCCACGAGAGGCTTGTCGAGATACCTTCGTTGAAGACTTTGAAGTCGCTCCAGTCAGGGCACCAAGATGCCAAGTCCAAGTCATACTCCCGCTGCCGTCTCGTCGCGCTTCCCATCACACCGCGAGCACGAGTGAGGACTGCAGGTGACCCGCCTAGCCTCAGCAGGAGATAGACAACCTTTTGGTACAAATCCGTCACCTTGACGCTATAATCAGGTCTCAACTCGTCAGGCACATTTGAGGCATCTTGACATTCAGCGGCTAGCCCCAACCCGTAGACTTTGTCTCTTTGGTCACTGGCATGGAACTTGACTTGCGTGATGGACATGAGGGCATCCAGAGGCCAGGGCGTACGGGCTCGGTGAATATTGGCCATGGTATCCACGTTCCTCAGCTGCTCGGGTATCTGAGGGAGTCGCATGTAGCCATTTCTGCGCAGCCAGGCCACGGCCCAGCCGAAGCGACTCCAAGGGTAGCGGTGTGCTCCATGCAAAATGACTGGATCTTGTCTTGATAGCGCAACCTCCTGGACGACCCAAATGCGCGAGAACCATCGCAACTCCATAACTCTTCTCAGGTGCGCCCACGCATCATCATCCCATGCGGGCAAGCCCGAGGAATCATGTGCAGATTGCGAGAAGGTCCGAATAGGTATGTTTGATGGGTCAACGGCAGCCAGATTCTGCTCTCGGAAGACGTTGTAGATTCGATGGAGTAGTCGCCATGCAGCGGCGGAGGCAGCCCTGTCATGCCCAAGCCAAATGAGTGTTTTGACTGAGTTCCGATAGATGCATCTCATCAAAGCGACTCACGACGATCGTTCAGCGAAATTGCTTTGGTTGATACAGATGCTGTCGATCCATACGTATTCGACGGGTGGGTCGAGCTCGGTGTTTGTCACGCTCAGCAATGAGAGTCTCCGCGCGCAGGCGACGAGGTCGATTCCCAAGACGAGCTCGTGGCCGTTGACGATGACTTCTGTATGGGTTTACTGACATGGCCAGCTGTGACTGAGCGCATAGTATGGAGGCGCATCGTCCAAGTCCACCACTTCGAGGCTTCCAAGCTCCGGAGTATCGGTGCTGGGGTTGAGACGTAGTAAACGAATGTGGTTGGACGAGAGATGGTGGTGCAGACGGCTAACATGTTGATTGGGGGCCATTTAAATGGGAATCTCGCGGTACCACGATGGGCAGAGTCAGGAGAAAGTGTGAGTCGAGTATTGGAGTTGCAAGGCCCGCAGCTCGAGGGCGGCCCTTACATGGTTTACATAGATTGACCAAGTACGCCAAGTTGCCTGGTACCACGGTTCTGCCTAGTCATCGCCTCTCCAAGATGGAGGGAGGGTGGCGTATCACGAAGTGCGCGATTTAACGCAATATGCACATTCAATATCCTGGCTCTTGGCAACGTGACACAAGGAGCTGGCCATCAAGGACGGCACAAAAGCCAGGCTGCCTTGCGCCTCATTCTATGATCTCTTTGTTGGCAATACAATGGCCTCCTCGTCAAGCAAGCCAATGATGGATGCGTCGACATCAACAGCTTCGGCAGGGCCTCGTGTCTATGGATTGCAGCAGCTATTTCCAGAGCCTGACGACGAAGCTGCCACCAGTCTGAAGGAGGTCGAGTATGACAGGGCTGTCGATTCCTCCATTACTCCGCCGGCTGACGCTCCCCAAGCATCGTTGTTATTCATGGTCTGGGTGCTCGATCATCAGACACCTGGATTGCCTGGAAAGTCGACGGCGACAGGCATTCTGGAGACGTCAACTGGCTCAGCGATCCCGACATGCTGCCGTCCAGTATGCCCACCGCGAGAATATTGGCCTATGACTGGAATGCGGACTATGACAAGGGCGCTTCCAGCGACATTTTCCTGGGTCATGCGGACGCCTTCCTTACCGCATTCACGTGGATCGCAGTCGACGTGTGGGTTGAGCCATGGGCCTTTTCTGAAGAATGCCTCGGGGAAGGCTAACTATCGGGCAGTCGAAGCTGCACTCTCCCGTTATCTTCATCGCCTCTTGCTTCGGTGGCTTGTTGTTAGCAAAGGTATAACTGCCATTCCAACCCTTTGTCCAGCGAGGGCTTCGAGGCAATCCGTGGCGAAGCTAACGTGCGCCCTGTCACACAAGGCTCTTGTCAGAGCCACCGAACAATCGCATCCTAGGAGGGAACGGAACCGACAGACGCTCAACTCGGTCATCGGTCTCATATTTCTCGGTACGCCGTTCGTATCCAGTTGGGAGATGGGGAGGAAGGCCGCCGAAATGCGACTCAAAGCGGCGCGTCTTGCCGCCGCAGAAGAAGGAATTCAGTATTCCACCGAGCTCGTCTCCTACCTGGCGCCTACCACTCCCGACGTCCCAAGTCCTTTGGATGAATTGGTGCAGCGGTTTCGCGAGATGGTTGCCCATTCGGATTTCAAAATCCCCGTCGTTTGCTTTTACGAAACAAGACATACCAACTTCTCTGCTTACAAGTCCAGATTGCCAAAGAGCGATGGACCAACAGAATTTGATGGCCCGGGGAGTGGTATTGTACGATAAGGCCATAGAACAATGAGAGTCTTGCCGAGTCCGTTGCTAACACGTTGTAGGTTGTTGGCCGCGAGTCGGCCAGCCTCGCAGGTGCCGATTGCATCTCTCTGGATGTTAGACATAGCATGTTGCACAAATTCAACAGCCCCGAGAACGATGGTTTCCGAAGGCTGGCTGAAAGGCTAGCCTACTTTGTTTCAAATGCCCATAACATTCTAAAGAGTGGAGGTATATTACAAATTCTACACGTTTGTTTAAGGAGTATCCGCTCACAGCATGCGTCCTGCCGGTTACAGAGACGTTACCCTTCAAAGACCTGACAGGCCAAACAGGTGATATTATAAAAGGTCAGTTCTGTATACGCCCTGCAGTCGACCTAGAAGAGTTGTAACACCCAACAGCCGCGTCTGAAGTCGTTGCCTTTGCCAACATGACTCGTCGATGCACCGAACTAAATCAAGTCCGCGTGGTCTCGAGAACGGCTGACTGGCTCCCTGATACCGACGAATTCAAAGCCTGGGAGTCACAGGCTCTGCGAGGGAGTCCTTTACCTCTTCTGGTGATAGAGGGCAAAGCAGGATTGGGCAAATCAATCATAATGCACACGACCTTCGTCCACGCTCGATCACGCGCCTCACTTGGCAAAGACATCTACATCCTCTATTGCTTCGACGCAAGCAACGGCAGTCCATTGCAAAACTCCCAACAGGGCCTCTACCGTTCTATTCTTTGTCAGATTCTTGATCAAATCACCCCTTCTGTGATGACATCCCACCACGTCCGAGGTTGGAACGAAACCAAAAGCGCACACCAGGACATCGTCACGCTGAAAGACAGGATTCTGTGGCTTTTGAGCCAATCAGGAGCCGAAATTGTCAATATTTACGTTGACGCCCTTGACGAATGCATTGAAGACAAAGACGAAACAAGCGCGGCTCTTGAGATTCTCGAATTCTTCAAGGCCATGGGGGAGACAGGTGCTCCGCTTCGGGTTTGTCTGTCGATCCGTGATGGAAAACGATTCGGGTCCCACTTGAACCCGACGCAAAAGATCAGCATCGATCAAAGAAACCAAAAAAAGTATCCATTGATACATAGAGCACAGGTTGAAACCCCCCGGGACTTTGGAATTTCGTACGGCCCTCGTCCACAACCTGTTAAGCCGCCCCTCGAACATGTTTCAATGGGTTGTACTGGTTGTCCGACGCATCGACGAGATGACAAACCGGGGGGCTTCAGAGGAGGAAGTCATGACAGAAGTCGGCCGTCTACCGAAAGAGTTGGAGGCCCTCTATGAGTCATTTCTAATGCGAATAGATCCTGAAAAACGCGGTGAGGCAATGACATTGCTTCAACTGGTCCAAGTTGCCATGAGACCTCTCAAGGTGTCAGAAATAATGTCGGCGCTAGAATATGCCAACGGCACCGATGACGGACGCAAAGAGTACAGTCCCATGTCTCCGCAACAGCTGGCCGATAGAGTTCAGTATCTTTGTCAAGGCCTCGTTGAGACCCAGGCCAAAGTCGACACAGAGTACACGTACGAGGAAGAGGTGCTGGTGCAGCTCACGCACCAATCCGTGAGAGAGTTTCTAGAACAGAGAAAGCAGTTGGACATCAATTTGCCACTGCAGTCAGTTACTCAATCTCATCTCAGAGTTGCGAGACTCTGCATGCGCGCGGTAAAGCTAGATGATGCCAATTCGTCGTTTTTGTCGTATGCATCCCAGTTCTGGACCATGCATGCTCGGAAAGGTGACGAAGCCATCGACGACAGCTTTGCGCCGCCCTCTTTCGTCACAAAATGCGGTCGTCGCAGCATTATTGAGCAGTGGAAGAGGTGCGTTGTTAAGCAAACGCGGATCACCTTTCTGGAAAACAAGGAAGATTTCCCCAACACTAGAATGCTGAGAGCCGGGGAGGAGAGCCTACTCATACTGCTCGCCTTTGAAGGCTGCAAGGGGCTTATGATTAGACACTGTCGTGATTGCAGGAAGGGTCCCGATTGTCACGGAAATCCCTCTGTGCTTGAAGCCGCCATATTTCTCGCGGCATTTCGAGGCTGGTCAGAGGTAGCCAAAGCGATCGGGCATCTCGCGGAACAAAGCTCGGTGAAGATTGACATTAACAAAGCTTATCCACACAGATCACAAACTCCTCTGTTTATAGCAACCTTTTTTGGTCACGATGATGTCGTCCGGGCACTCTTGGGCATGGGGTGTGAGATTGTGGACAAAACGAACAATCCCCCCCAGCATCCGTTTCACACCGCAGTAGAACATGGCTATATTCATATTGTCCGTTTGTTCCTCGAACATGCTGGGCACGACGTCGAATCTTTACTTGCTACTCAAGATCCGTGGGGTTACACACCTTTCCACCGAGCGGCCGAGTCAGGCAGATGGCGAGTGTTTGAAGAGCTTCTAGACGCGCTTCTGGAGTGCGTGCAAACTCCAAGCGAAATCCTAAACGTCAAGTCGGTCGCGTCAATGACCGCTCTTGACTTGGCAGCAGCTGGCAGAGAGCAGAGACTGCAAAGGCCCCGGAGAGGCATCAGCGTGCAAGACTACGACTGCATCATTGCAGAGTTGGAAATACATGGACGCAGATCCTCGTAAAAGATGGGCCTGTTCGTGCAACGCTTTGAGACTTTTCATGTACGGGCCTTTGTGCCTTGTTAGACTGTACACAATCCGACAACCTTTCTCCTGAACATCCATCAATTTCGCGAGTCTTGCACTTACAATAGCTTTTCGACATATTCCGTAGTATCTATCAGCTCTATCTTTTCTTACTCCTTTTTTTTGGTGTTAAAAATGTGACTAGCAGAGTAACTGGCGCCATAACAGACGGGCAGACGCAGCCTGATGCTGGCGTCAACGGGCGTAGGTCGGGGTCGCAGCGAGCCAGGGTGTTTGTACACGTGTGAAGGAGTGAACTTGGAGATAATTGGACAAACTGCGGAGAAAACTTGATCGAAGCCGGCAAATAGGAAGAGCGGACTGTCGTCTTGGCTGATTGAGACTGCGCGCTGCTGACCACAGCCATCCCGAAAGGCCATCAATCATGATCGTGGAATTCCAATGCTGACCTATATTTATCGACGTGGCGTGTAAGTAAGGTTTCTATACAGAGGTCAGATAAGGCAATTCGACGCGAAAAATTAGTCGATTGGGACGCCTCTGCATATGCAACCCGGTGCATTTGTTTCAGCCTCACTTGAATTCCACTGCGCCTCTGCACTTTCCTCTCGTATTCTCCACCTGGTTACGTAGAAGGGCGTTGAATTTCTTGTCGATCCATCCTAAAACTATCTGCGGCTGAAATCTCGACCCCTGCATGACAGTTGCCTTACCTTTGCCTCGTCGCAATAACGGGCTATCAAATCTCTTCAGCGCCTGTCATGAACTGCCAACGTTTTTAAATTGCTTGTGTTGTAATTTCGTTAACCAGGACGACATACGCGGCCTAGAATCACACATTCGCTCGGAACCATCTTTACCTTTCTCATGCGAAGTTCTCTTTGACTGGATGAATTGGGTCTGCTGTGTGAATTGCAGGTACAATGGTGTCTCAGAACTCGACTGCCGAAAGGGCCAGAAGTGAGTATTAATTGCAAAATCCGTCACATTCATGCCCAGAGCACTTACGAATTCTTCTCCTCCATATAGAGGCGCGACATGAGCCCATGCATTGGCCATATCGAGGGCAACGTTGGAAATCTCGAGAAACGTGCCATTCCTACTTTTGAAATGACGGCACCACGAACATCTCAGAGCAGAACGAAGACTACATCTGCGACTCCAACGCTACCTACATTCGACGTCGCAGTAGTTGCGGTGACCGCCACAGATGATGATCTGGCAGGTACTACGGCTCCTGCGAAACATGATGCTGCTAGCGCTGGCTCCAGCTTGCGACATCGATCTAAAGCTTGGGTCCTTCCCATTCTTGTCTACATTGCTAGCAATTGCTTCTGAAACATGGAGTAACCAAGTCAGCGTGCCTCAACTGCAGCTGTCCATTTCGACTATTTAGAGCAGGCCAGGGAGGATGACAGGCCAGGGAGGATGACAGGCCAGGGAGGATGATGCGAAGGATTCCCCGGGCCAATCTCATCCGTGGACATCCTCATGGGCTACAACCAGGGCGGGGATCAGCCGGGTTGTGATTCAGGTAGTAATTGTCACGGCGAATGTGAAAGCAGGCTTAACACTTGAGGTTGTGTCAACCTTAGCAGCCCATTCGCAGGGCATGGCGTTGACTCATACAGAATGAAAATCAGTCCTATGGGAAACCAGGCTGAAGGCAAATCTCGACGCGTCTGAGTTTCGCCCGTGGGCCGGTGTAATTTGAATCAATCAGGACGACTTCACAGAGAAATGGATACATGTTGAACTGATGAGAGAAATCTACACTTCGGCGGACTTGGGTTTTGCCTGGCCATCTTCGGACGACCAACGGATCATGGGAGCTTTTGACTTGCTCCACGAGGTGTTTTAGATCATCAAATATCACTGGGAGGCTAATGGCGACCAACTCCCGTTTTCGTCCCAAGTATGGATCCAACCCTCGGTTTTCGATGACAAGGTTGTCTCGCTATCATCGACTGGACCTTATCGGCGACCAGGTCCTGGCGCACACTAACGGAGTTGCCGGTTGACACTTGGGGTCGATGGATGCCCAACTATCTAAAGATAAGAAAAAGAGAGAAAGGAGGTCTTGCACACATGCTACCGACCGAACGTGTGGGAAGCAGCTTATCCCCTCTTCCTCCACCGGCTCTCGTCCGCACACGTGATCGGTCCAGTGACCGGATCACCAAGGGCTCAGCCTGAAGTTTGTGCTTCAATGCGAAGCAATCTAAGCTCATTACGGCAGGTTACGCCGGTAGGAGGAAGCCGGCCCACCATTTCCTACACTAAGATCATCCTAGAATGGGTCTTTACACCCATATCTCTTTCACTAAGTATCCGTGTGTGGGGTAATTTCTTCAAAATGAGGCATAGTTGTATGACATTTATTACTACTGTCTGCATCAAAGGCGCGTCCGGCCCGCATTGAATGTTGGGGTGCATTAGTTGATCTGTCGGTGTGCCCCCGCGTGCCCCCTGCATATACCCAGGGTAAAGATAACCAGCAGATATCATATTTGACAATCGCTTGAATTAGAAGAGTACCTAGCATCTTGCCCAGTAGGACAGGGTGGAGCTCGGCTTGTATCGCTGGGCGGGCATTAATTGATGAAACGGATAGTTCAATGTTTCAAGTCCCCTTTTTGATAGCAAAATTCGCACAGATTTATCAAGCGGAAGAGAGTATTGAGTAGCAAGCATCGCATTCATTCGCTTCACAATACCTTCTTACCAAATGGACTAAATGTTGTACAAAAATGACAATTCACCAACCTCCTCTTCATATCACTCAACGAACTTAATCACACATTTCACCGTACCACTCCTCTATTCTTCATGGGTAGGGGGTCCAGCATAGTTCTTGCGGCCCCAAACCCAATACCAGACACCAGAGATCACAGTTGCACCAACAAAAACAACCGAGGCATAGTTCATTGTGGTTTCCGAGACGGGCAGGGCCGAAGGCATGCAAAATAGAGGTATAACAAATAAGGCCCAGGCTGGAAAATCAGTAAGGTCGTTCTGGTAAAGAAGACATCGGAGGGACATACCAACAGCGACTACGTTGCTAAATAGACCGAACGGCCCAAGGTTAACCCGAGCGTTCTTGATCTTCTTGCGACCAGTCAAGAGGTTGATGGCGATGGGAATCGTGTATGAGGTAGTCAAACAAACAACCCCAACTCCGGAAAATGCGTTGAAGGCAGCCGATGAACCAAAGTAGACAAGAGCCAGGATAATCTGGACCGCCATGCTCAGCATCATCGCGTTGAGAGGCATATCGAGTTTCTTGTGAACAACCATCCACCACTTGGATCCAGGGACAGCACCGTCTCGCGCAAACGCCCAAACACAGCGCGACGCCGCGGTTGTGCATCCAATGCCGCACATGGTACCAAGGATCATCAGGGGAATTAGAAGGGCGAAAGCGATTCCAGGAGATCCCACTGCGCTCTTGATAATAGGAGGCAGTGGTTGGCTAGACGTGATCAGGGTCGAAATGTCTGGCAAGACAAAGACAATGGGGATGAGAAAGAGGAGGCCGACGACAAAGTTGAAAAAGACTGTGGCGACCAGGGCCTTTGGCATTTGGACTGAAGGTTGCTGCACCTCTTCACACATTCTGTATTCATTAGTCATGTGGATTCGTCAAGACTTGAGTCAACGTACGATATAATCATTCCGGTCGCCGAGGTTCCATAACCAGCTTGAAGCAGGCCAATGCAAAACGACCAGCCCGGAGTCCAGCCTGACGATGCCTCAAAGTGCGTGAAGGTATACTCCGCAGTGTGGCGGCCATGCTTTGCCAAAACCAGACTGGTAATGATGATAGCGAGTACGCCAGCAATGGTCAAGAAGATAGCAGCAGTCTAAATAAAAGTCAGCGTTGAACAATTACTCAAGTGCACAATTCTCACATCAAGGATCGGTAGCCAACGATTGCCCAAAGCCGATATGGCATTGCACAGAAACGTCATGCCAAGGAAGATGAGGAAAACCTGATAATTTTCCCCGGGCAATACCCCCTCACCGTTCGCAGTCTCGAATACATTGACGCAGGAGACGATGAATTGAGTGGTGCCAAACGTCACAGCCAGCGTGATGGTGATGTTGCCAACAAGATACATCCAGCCGCAGACCCAACCCGCGATCCGGCGCCATTGAACGGGAGCCAACATAAAGGCCTGGTAGTATACTCCTGCAAGACAGATTAGTAGGTTGAGATGGTTAGATCGGGATGAAGAATGAAGTACCCCCAGCAGTAGGATAAATACTGGTGATTTCGCCAAGAGAGACGGCAACACATAGAATAATGAACGATACAAGAACCCAGCCCCAAATAATGTTGACAGGACCGCCTCCTACTAAAGGGTAGTACATCGTTGTGGCTAAACCATATGGTATAGAGGCCAAGATGAATGCCATAAAGGCAATCTGTAAAGTCGATCGGTTGCGGGAAAGTTCAGGCCTGTAGCCAAGATTCTCAAGCAATTCATCTGCCAAGTCGGTGCCAGGTGTAGGCCCCTTGGCATTCGTATAGCTGCCATCGGAGCCATCCTCCTTCGAAACGGGGAGCGACATTTCGAACCGTATTCAGCAGACTGGACACGCGAGGGAAAATGTACAGGCGACAGAGTATTTTATGTACGAGGGACTGGTGATTTATTTCGCCAAAGAGTACCGACCAGTGTATGGACACTGGAAGGAAGGGAATGTCAACGTTGATGCGGGTCGGTTGATCGGCCCGAGAAGACTATGTAAGGTCGGGAGAGTGGGTTAGAGGGAAAAAGAAAGGAAAGTGGAGGGGAAACGAAGGATATAAATCAATGATAAACGTTCAATCCCAGCCCGGGTAATCGGCCTCAGAGTCTTGAGAACATTGGGGCTGCGAGGCCAACAGAGTAAGTCGGGCGTCAGCAGCCTCGCGGGAAGCTCCAGACGGTTCCGTTGGACAAAGGGACCTAGACCAGAGAGGGCAATCCTCCTCGAAATGTAGGACTTGTTATTCCACGCCTGGGCGTTTCTTGACGGATCGCACAAGCCGAAACAACGACTCCAGATAACCCACAGACACTTTCGCGGACAACTTCCCTTTTCGTCATAGCGGCGACGGGAGTATCTTCACCAGAGTATTTGGGCCTTCGTCAACGCCCAACTGCGACGTATGATTCATTCACTTGACATGATTTCGGTGGCTCTAGGTCAGCAGTTTTTATTTCTCCACGGGGTGTTCCAGAGAGCCGGGTTTCCTGGTTCTGCAACGTAGAACATTCGCCAGGAAGCGATCACCAGCCCGTGGAAGACGTCTTGATTCGGTTGTACCATGCTACATACAAGATAATCTTCAAACTGTTCTAGATTGCAAAGGAAATTCCGTCAAATGAAATTATATGCGGCTCAATAACACGATGATAAGCCTTCGTAGGCAAGTTGTCAGTGAGTAGGTCAAACTTTATGACTTCGCACGGCCTCAGCCAATCGAATACTGCCCGATACTAATGAGTGTTGGCTTCATACGAGACATGGTTAGTTGTACGGAGTGCTACGTAGGGAATTATCCCAATTCACCCCTGCATAGTCGCCCCTATCAGCACTACGTCATAAGGGTCCGGGGAATCCGGGAGCCTGCCGCGGGAGCCTGCCGGAACGTGGTGCAGGGGTGGAGAAGAACCATGATTATCACAACTCCACTCGTATGACTATGCATATCACCTCTTACGACCATGATAACGGTTAGCAGGTATGGAAACGGTTAGTATTCGGCGTTGCAGTCTCACCATATCCCACGTTGATTACGGAGTAGGTTATATCACGTCTCTCAAAGCAATTATGGCCGTGCTGAAGGCGTGAGCAGCTCCGGATTTGGAACGTTTGAGCATAACGAATAGGGGTAAGTCTTATCAGGACGACTCTGCCAATTCTCTACCAATGAATCTGTCTGCGTATATTGTCTCGGCATGGCCGGACCTTTAATATAGCACCCGAGCTGATGTAGCCGTGCACGAGCACAAGCATCCCGCCAAACCCGCCTTTTCAAGGACATCCTCGACACCGCTACGTCGGATGGGAAAGGAGTTGAAGTTCTAGATTTCCAACCCGGATTTAAATCCGGTTCTTTAAGACAAACATGGGAGCGTTTCAAACCTAAAAACCCCAGCATGGTGGACGAAGTCACTCGCTCTCGGTCTCGTCGCTGTTGATTATTTTTACGGAAAGGGTTGAATTAAATGAAGGGAGCGCCGGCCTAGCTATCAGATAGCTCTTTAAGAGGGAGAATGTCTAGTTAGTATTTCAGCGCACCTAAATATGAACATCTCTACTAAACAAGGGAAGGTAAGATTAATAAGTGGTGCTCCTAATGATTTCACCTCTTGCCAACCACGGTGTAATGTTAGGACATGACATGACGATGTACAAGGTCATAAAACGCGCTCTACCGCGAATACTGTTTATTAATACAATCTAGGATGTCAGTCATCTGTAAAAAGGATCCGAAAATCTATCTAATCTATCAAGAATGTATAGACGAAGGGAAAGCCTCCAAATTACACGTTCACCGAACGATCTAGGGTAGGCGCCATGTCACGACATCACTCGTCAACGGAGCTTTCAAGCCTCGTGATTGTTCACCAGCCTCCGATTCACTAACCGCAGCTTTCCACTTCCGGCCGTCCTTGCTCCCGTGCCCCTTGTTGAGTGTAAATGTGCTGATCATTGCGCTGAGGCGGCGATGGGCGTCCCTAGTGTGAGCCACCATCGTCATTCACCCAAGGAGGTATGCATAACTTTAAGCACACCGACATTTCCCCAAAGGCATTTGTTAAAACCACGGCTACGTCAAGAATGGTGGCACACTTTAGTATCACGGATGAGTATTAGTGTCGATTTCGGCCCTGAGCGATCAGTGCGTGGCTAAGGCTGTGCTTCAGCTGTCCTGAAGCAAACATTATTTGACAAGTCCGACAAACCTAGTACATCTACGGCATAGAATAAGGCGGTGCATGGTAGTCGTAGTTAATAAGTAGTGTCGAGGAAACAAATAGTCTCATCTGATCCAACCCCGCTCACGCTCCATTTTGACAGACAGACCGAGGTGATACTTTCGTCTTGTTTGTACTGATCAAAGACATTCGCTGCCAACATCGTGCAGCTTAGCCGCCGCTTCTTAATATCTTTAGTCATTACCGCAAATGTCGCCCTACACTTGTAACTTCGGGGGCTGTGGATATCGCCGATGCGTGCCCAGTTGGTACTGCGAGAAGCGTACGTATAGGCCACGTCGATGATTTGCTGATATTACCTGTACGCGTCCATCCTTTCCCACTATGTTCTGACAAGAGACCTATCTCTCGGATGAAACAGACACGTGCCATTATTTCTCCGGCCCGTGCAAGCAAGCAGTCGCCTTTGATACTGCTCAACGATGCCGAATGCGTAAGCCCCCTGATAGTATTACGATACAAACACAAGGGGAGGCTGATGTGCTAACACTCTTAGATAAATACACGATTCAAGGATGTCCAATGTCCAAGATTCTTCGAGCAGGGAGGCTGATGCCCTATTGCGCAACATGTCAGTCACCTCTTTGTTATTAATAAGATATTTCGAACGAGCGGCTAATGTAATGGCAGACTGTCCTTCAGTCCCGCAGCCGCAATATTATGACGACGATTGCTGCGTCATTCTGTAAGTAGAATACTGGGCTCACGATACTATTGTAGGAGTGGGGGCGATCATGGAGCACAATTCGCAACAGTCCGATGTTCTACTCGAGGTTTAATACAGTACTCCAGAACAAACCACCGGTCTCTTGCGTTGATTTGAATAAACATTTCCAAGATTAAATCTAATTTAGCTCAATATGCAAATCTTCGTTAAAATTAGACGAGGAAACAAAACATTCTGATTCCAATCCTATTCTTTTGAGCAAGCTTGCAGTTGAAATCCCATTGCATCGTGTATCACACGGTGTATTATCTAATCCCAGTGAGACTCATGTTGTATAACAATTGTACGTTGTACCAAGGTGTTGCGCATGTTTAGGTTCTCTGTAGCCATTCTAACCCTTGCAAGTCAAGACAAGAGTGTGGTTTCGACGAGTTCCTGAACACATTACGTTGATGCGCTTACTCTAGATGACGTTTTCTCGCCTTGTAGAAACCCAAGCCCAGGATCCAGATCGCAACCATGATAAGCGCCTGGAAAGGAGCAAAGGCAGCACCTCTGGCAACGACAAAGCCACTGACGACAAGGAAGAGGAAGTGGTTGACGATAAACGGCTTATAGGGCCGGTGCAGATCCGGTTCTCTGTAGCGTAGGAGAACAGCGCCGAGCACGGTGAGGAAGAAGAACGAATACTCTCCGAGACCGTTGAGGGTTAGGAGAGCTCGGAAGCTTCCGAAAAGGATGTAAATGGTGGCGAGGAAGGCGGAGAGAATGATGGCGTTTATAGGGGCGTCGGAGGTGTTCTCCGAGGAATCTGTACTGCCGTCGTGGTCGGACTTTCTCCCGACAGTGCCGACGACGGTGAAGACGCGTGGGATCCATCCCCTGTTGGCCGCAGCAACAGTCATCCGGCTGGCGACAAAGGAGTTTCCGAGAAGGGAGCCTGCGACGACGAGGCAAATCATGACGGCGGCGATGATGCCGAAGCCTCGACCTAACAAGGCGGTAATGGCAGTCTAGAGAAGCAGTGTTAGCAATTCTTGTTGGCCGAGGTCATGTTGGAGACATACCACAGCCACGCTATCCGTGGTGGACACAACATTCCACGGCAAGAGGATATAGTACGCGGCATTAGCAGCTAGGAAACAGACGATGGCGGTGGGGATCGAAGTATTAATGGCAAGAGGAAGCTGTCGCGCCGGCTCCGAGAGCTCAGCGGAGACGTAAATGGCCTGTACTGATGTTAGAAGGGAAATGTTGTGGTTTGGAATCACGCACCTTGTCCCAACCTGAGTAGGCCCACAACGCACCGTATAGAGCAGCAGAGTAATGGCCAAATATCTCCCACTGGCTCAGCCCAGCCCAGTCCGTTTCACTGCCATCGGGATTGGAGCTCTTGCGATAGGCAAACCAGTGCTTGGTATACCAGTCCCGGCCGCCAATATCGCGCTCGGGGCTTGCGAGCTGCAGGCCAACGACGGCAACGGCGGCCACGACGACAGCGGCGATGCTGGTGAACTTGAGGACGACAAAGTACGAGTTGAGCTGGGTGCTGGCCTTGGTGCTGATGGAGTTTGCAACGCTCATGACCAGCAGGACAAGGATGGAGAGGAGCTTGTGCGACAGTTGGCCGGCGCCATCCATTACACCGGCGGCCGAGTAGGCGCTCTCGACGAATACGATGCTGAGGATGGCCAGGGTGGCCGGCATAATGGCGACGATCCACGTCCAGGCCGAGAGGAAGCCGTAGACATCGCCATAGATGTGCCGAAGGTACGGCTGGACGCCCCCTGTCGTTGTGTCTCAGCAAGGGTCTGCGCCAGGACACGAGATACGAGATTACAAGACTCTCAACTCACCTTCTCCAGGAATTGCAGTGCCGAGCTCGGCAAAGGTGCTCGCGCCCGTCCACGCGAGGATGCCGCCGACGAGCCAGATGATCAGCGCGACGCCCGGCGATGGCACGTTGGTGTCGATGGACCCCGGCGACGTGAAGACGCCGCTGCCGATGACGATGCTGATGACGATGGCGAAGGCTTCGACGGCTCCGAGGTTTCGCGTAAAGGTGCCCTGCTCGAGGCGCGAGGCTTCGTCGTCGGATGCGCGCTGGTCCAGGAGGAGCGGCTGGTGCGCGGCGGCGTCGTCGGAGCGGTCGGGAGCCATTGTCGGTGACTGTGAGGAGGAGATGCCAGATGGTCATGATCATGATCCGTCATTACGACATTCGGGTAATTGTCGGCAATGACGTGATGTTCGTGGCGAGTCGCGTTCCCAGCGAATTCCATCGCGCTTCCAGAAGCGGGTGCTAAGTTAACGTAGTCTCGGAACCATCCGAATGGAGGCATAAACGTCCCCCTCCGTCAAACAGATACGTAGTACATACATGCCTTATTACCGACGGACCCTAATACCTTATTCCAAACCCAAAACTCGCTTTCGCCCTCGACCGACGAGCTCAACCTCGTGTTGGGCCAGGGCGCGACCCGTTTTGGAAATTGCCCCGTCGTCTTCTTGGTGGATTTGGATGGAGCCGTGTTTCGACTGTATTGAACCGGCCTGTGCTGAAACGGGTCGATGAAACTTCATCCCAGAGGCATGGAAGGGCGAGATATTGCACCAATGGGCTGGAGTGTAGGAGTTGCTGGCAGGTCTTGGCGGCTTAGACGCTGGGTGTATATAACAAGATGGTTGTGAATCTCAGAAACAGAGCATCACCATCAAGCTCTCATCCAGTTACTACCAGTTACCATCTTTAGCTCATCATGAAGTCCCACCCCGTCCTTCTTCCCTTCTTCCTGTACGCCCTGGCCGGCGTCCGGGCCGCACCCCAAGTCCCCCGAGCAGACTCCGCCGAGCCCGCAACCTTTACCGCCAACAACAACGTCGGCCCCGGCGGCAGCAAGTTCAAGGACTCCGACCACTTCCGCGTGTACAACGCCGACTCAGCAGCGGCGACGTCGGCTCTGGCTATGCTGGAGGGCGCCTACGACTGCTTCGTCACCAAGCTGGGCTGGCGCTCGTCCGGCCTGTCGTACAACGCGGATAACGACGATGGGCCCTGGACGAAGACGAACGTCTACTCGGTCAGCACGCTGGAGGGTGCTGCGGGTGTTATGCAGTCTGATGCCACCACCGGCATGGGCTATCTCGAGGTCGTGGCCCAGTACTTGTCCACGCCCGGCGTCACCGTCCACGAGTTCGGCCACTCGCTGCACTACCACCAGCAGACGTGGGTGAACCAGGGCCGCACCGGAGCATGGTGGGAGACGCTCGCCAACTGGGTGGCCGACACTTACACGACCTCGGACCTCTGCGCCGCCGCCCGAACGGCCAACGGCCAGACCACCAGCCAGACCGAGATCGAGCTGGCCAAGGTCATCGGCGACTCGTTCCAGGTCATCGTCGACGGCACCGTGGACTCGGGCAACTACTACCAGGCGTGGCCGTTCTTCACGTACCTCACCAACAACCCGGACAACTTCGCCGGGCTCGGCCAGGACACGCTGCACCAGCTGATGGTGCAGTACTCCAAGAACAGCAACGAGACGCCGCTGCACACGCTGGCCCGCGTGTCGACGAGCGCCACGGTCGGCGAGATTGTCGGCCGCTACTGGGCTCACATGGCCTACGTTGACATCGGCCATCCCCAGACCAAGGAGCTGTTCATCAACCAGCGGGCCAGCATCAACTTTGCAAACCTCGACTCCACGGGCAGCGGCTCTTACAAGGTCAAGAGCGCCCGCAAGCCCAAGTACATGGGCGCCAACATCATCCCCCTGAAGACTTCAGGGGCTGCGACCGTTGCCATCAAGGTCACCACCTCGGGCGTGTACACCGGCACCGTTGCCGTGCGCAACAAGTCGTCCAGCGCCATCCGCTACGTGACTCTTGTCAACGGCGCGGCCTCGGTCAAGGTTGCCTCTGGCGAGGAGGCGACGCTTGTCATTGCCAACACCCCGGCTGAACCCATTCTGTACGATGGCTTCAGCCTGTCATCTGCAGTTTCGGCTGGTCTGGACTACTCGGTGACGATTTCTGGTGCCACTGTTTAAGTGGGAGGTGTTATTTAGGGAGAGGAGGGAGACGTACATATGATATCATTGGGCAAAATTCGATTGTACATTTATATAAGACATAGATATTCATTTCACGAGCAAGGGACCATTTACATACCCTGATTTTACACACCTCCTCAAGTTGCCTTGCTGCGTGACTGTTGTTACCGATGCGCCCAAAAGCAATACCCCATCCCCTGGGTTAAAGCTAGATAAATCACCCAACTACACGTGGACACCCTAATAGAAATTCACTCGCCTAATCCGTATAAATTTTTATGGTTCTCCCCATGGCCTTCCTACACATTGGACACGGGGCCTGGAACGGATGGTCGTGCTGCCTCTGCCAGTTTGCAATGCATCCGCCGCAGAAGAGGTGGCCGCATTTTGTGACGGTGTCGGTGGGTTTTTCATAGCACATGCCGCATTGCCGGTGCAGCTTTTCCTTCTTAAGTGCTTCTCTTGCTGCGAGAAGGTCTCTGGTCAGGGCTGCAACTTTTTCTCGTTCGGCCTTGAGCTGCTGTTCCGGATCTGATGGTTCGCAGGGAGCGGGTTCGCTGTCTAGGACGACGGGATCCGTTTTTGGATCCTCAGTTGCAGGCTTGGTTACGGTTGACGGGTCAAGATTGCGGCTGGGATTGACTCCTTGGTTGGACGTTGAGCCAGCTTGTCCAGTCGACCCAGCACTCTCTGCAGTGGCGTCAGTCGACGGCGAAGTTGTCGTCCCAAAATTCGTCGGGTAGCCATAGGTCTGATAATTGTAGAAGGACTCCTCATCGCTAAAGTCGGACATGTCGGCCACGTTAAACGGTTGTGAGAAACTCGATTGGGTGGGCACAGCGAGCGATACGGCACCCGCACGGAGAGTGAGGAGATCCATGTCCGGGAGAACGCGGCCGGATCTTCTGATCGGAGACCGAGGGGGGGAATAATCTCGAGGATGCAACCAAGCGTCGTTCCTGTGCTCCTCTAGAGCGTCGCCGCTGAGGAATCCTAGATTGCACTCGAGGCATCTAAACTGGCGACGACGATGGACTGGGGAATCAGCAGTATGCTGGTCTAGGGAATGCTGGCTGCCAAACTCCCGGTCGCACAGGGAGCACTCGAATCGCAGGGGATCAGTCTCCTCCGGTGGCTCTTCTCCGTCCTGGTGCATCTGTAAGGAGAGGAGGCTGCTGAAGACGGAGTCGCAATCATGGCACCGGTATTCCTCGTCTTCGTCGTCCCAAGTCTCGGGCCGGTAGACACACGTGTGCCATATCAGATCGTGTATTCTGTCAAAGGTGACTTCGCAGTCTTCGCATCGGCGATTCTGATGCCTGGAGTTCCAGTGCTGAGCGAGGCCTTCCGTAGTGCTAAAGGAGCGGCTGCACTCTTCGCATTGGTAAGAGAGATGGCTCGCCGAGCTGCGGTGCTGGTTCAAGGCTTGGACACTGCCAAAGCTGCGGTTGCACACGACGCACTCAAAGCGCGATGGCCGGTGGATGCCAGAATCGACGTGTTGCTGGAGCGCGGCGGCACTGCCAAAGACGCGATTGCAGCTCCCGCACCGATGCGCATCATGGACGGCGGAATTGCGGTGTTGCATCAAGGCGTGCTCGCTGCCAAAGTTGCCATCGCAGTCGTCGCAGTCGAAGCGCGTTAGCCCATACTGCACCTCCAGCTCGCAGAGGAGGCACCGATCCGGACCTTCCCCGCTGGAGAAGTGGCGGCGGCAGACGCGGGATGGATCAGCCATGGCGTCTGTACGCGTGTGGATGTGGTGGTGAGAGTGTAGATGCTCTCTCCTGGTTGTGGTGTGGTTTTTAAAGCTTTCCCGATGAGCTCAGTCGGGTTGAAATGTTAAAAAAGAGCAGGTTGAATGCCCGAAAGCGTGATAAGGCTGCAGCCTCATCTGGCCCTGTGAACGCGAACCTTGTGATTTACGGGGCGCGTGGCGACCTGTGACTGGCTGTCTTAGATTACGCAGCCCATACATAGGTAGCCGCCACCAAATGTGAATCTACTCATACCTACAGCATGTTGATGCTCTTCAGCCATCTGTTTCAGAGTCGAATGAATGGCTTTCCTCTATCGTGGTCTTCAGTTTGTCTTCTGTGGACCGACCGCCCATCAAACACCCCACAAATCCTAAATCAGGATGCCCTGCACAGCCTGCCTTTAGCGACTCGGTTCAGGAGACATAGCGTGACTTGGGATAAGGGGAAATGACCCTGGCCTTTAACTTACTCTGACAGGGGTATGCGACTCTAAAGAAGCTAACGGTCCGTGTACCCTGGAATTCATCGCCAATCTCGTCTCGTCTCATGCTCGCCCGTGTAAATGCCGGTTGACCCCTGTACCGCCCACTTATTCCCAAGGCACGTCCGTGTCTCAGCACCTTGACACCACTCTTCCTCAATTCCTAGCACTGATAAGTGACCGCTGGTGTTATTCGCCCAAGTTTGAGGAGCATCAACAGGGTCTTGTTGAATGTCTCAGAATTTCATCGTTGACCATAAAGCTTGGACTCGGACCAGAAATACAGTACCTCAGCTCATGTTTTTATTCTAGCACACCTAGAATTTTAGGTCAACACTGACTTAAGAGCCAACGATGTTACTTTCGTCATCTAGGTCGCTTTATTTTCAGGTTTTTAGATTGCGTTTTATCCTGATCTATATGCATCCGGGTTTAAATTAATTCCCTCTCTGTTTTTAATTCAATCAATATTAATATTTTATATTTTATGATATATATTCTATCTGATTTTAAGAAATAAATTATAAATATTAAATAAAAAGTACCCATAAAAAGAATTCTAAATAATATAATTAAGATAAAAAATAAAAAAGACTTTAATAAACTAGACTGAAATAGAATATAGCTATTAAAGGTACCAAAGCTATAAAAGAAGACTCAGTATTTGTATATACAGTGGGTAGAGGAATGCCATAGGATCTCAATAATAGGCGGTCGAATGGCATATCAGACTCATACTGGTTCGAATTTCAAACTTCGCTAAATACCAAGGCTAGGGCTCTTCTGTTACTACAAGGTGCAGTATATCTGTTCATCTATTCACGATGGAATGCATCCAGGGTCTATGGCGGCTGCCAACGTTAGTTGATTCTCATGGCATGCCTCCTGCTCAACTGGATCCCCTCATAACCCCGAGGGACTTTCGCAATTATGTATCCCCCCTCACCTGTCTCTCACTCTCCCTTCCAACACACACTCTATTCACCGCCGAGCCCACCCTTTCCTTTTCCACAATGAAGCATCTTTCTCACAGACCAGCTTTGACCCTGTTAATCAAATTCATCACGAGTCAATTATCTAGCAAATCAAAGACTAGGCTATGGAAACCAGCAGCGTAAGATTGCAACAAAATATGTTGCCCAATTCAGTCTATTTAACCATACACACAATTCGATGCTTGATGGTGCTGCACAACAACTACTCATTCTGGATAATCACGATTTTGCGCGAGGACATTCACCGTGTTTGACTTTGATATTGTAAATAACCTTCCACCGAAATCAAGCGCACATCATCCCCAGCTATAAATAGTCTACTTCCAGCCCACCGTGATGTTGTCACTGCCTCCCTGGCCTACTATCAGGGCATTAAAAACCCATCCCTTATCTGCAACTCTATCACATTCACAGCATAAATAGAAACTGTAGCTGATTGAAGATTTCATATTCAAATTTGTCCATACATGCATTCGTTAATTTCATAAACACCCCTTCCCATTACAGCCTGTGCTCCCTTCTAAATACCTCCACGTGGCTCATCTGCGAGTCATATTGCTGGTCAGCCGCAACAGTCGCCTTAATCAGTCGCCCAAAGTACTGAATCTCCACACTTTCTCCCTCAGCCACCGTGTTGGGCAGGTGAGCAAATGCAAGGGGCTTCCCAAGCGTGTATCCAAACGCAGCAGTGGTGACATAGCCCACGGGTCGGCCATTAATGAGCACCGGCTCCTTGCCGAGCACCATCGAGCGGCCGTCGTCGACGGTGAGTGTGCGTAGCCGTCGGGTAGCTGACTTCCTCGAGCGCCCTTGGATTGCAGCGTGGCCGACGTATCCCTCCTTGCCCGCCTGGATGGCGAACTCGAGGCCAACTTCGTACGGGTCGTGCTCGGTGGTCATGTCAGTTCCCCAGAGTCGGATTCCGTTCTCCAGTCGCAAGGCGTAGAAGGCGGCTCGGCCGGCTGCAATCAACCCATGGGGCTGGCCGGCAGTCCAGAGGGCATCCCATAGACGGAGACCATTCTCAGCGCTGGCATAAATCTCCCAACCAAGCTCACCAACGGATGACCGCCGGATCGCCGTAACTGGGATGCCGGCAATGATTGCTCTCTTGACGCAAAGATAAGGCAGTCCCTTGTTGGTAAAGTCATCGGTACTGACTGCAGCCATGACGTCCCGAGAACGAGGACCCCAGAGTCCGATGCAGCAAGTTCCGCCAGTCACGTCGCGCACCTGCACGGATCGCCCAGGGGTGATCTTCTTTTGCTTGCGGGCTTCGTGGGTGAGGTAGGCCACGTCGGTGTTGCTGTTCGCGCCCACCAGGAAGACGTCGTCGGTGAGTCTGGCCACGGTGATGTCGCTTCGGAGATGTCCGTGGTCGTTGAGAAGCAGCGTATACGTGACAGCTCCTGGCTTCCTTGTGACATTGCCTGTGGTCAGACGCTGCAACAGGTCAACTGCACCGGGGCCGGACACCTCGATCCGTCGCTGTGCAGTCATATCGTACATGGCCGCGGCGGTTCGCGTCTTCCATGCCTCTGCCGCAGCGATGGGCGAGTAGAACTGAGCAGACCAAGAATCGCGCTCCACAGGCTGCCACTTGGCCGGCAACTGCTTGAGCAGCTCTGCGTTCGCCTCATACCACTCTGGGCGCTCCCAGCCGCCCGTCTCCAGGAAGTAGGCGCCAAGCTCACGCTGACGGCCATTGAACGGGCTGACGCGGAGGTTGCGGGGTGACTCTCGCGGCTGGAAGGGGTGCAGGATGTCGTAGACCTCGACAAAGTTGTGTGACGACGTCTCCTTGACGTATGAAGGGGTGAGCTGGACCTGATCAAAGCGTGACAGCTCGCACTCGGCGAGATCAATGGTAGACTTGCCCACGGTCAAGACTTCAGCCACGGCGCGTGCCACACCGGCAGATTGTGTCACCCACACGGCCTCTGCTACGTAGAAGTTGTCCAAAGTCGGCGCCAGTCCAACAAGGGGTCCGCCATCGGGGGTAAAGGACATGATGCCGTTGAATCCGTCAGCAATCTCGCACTCCTTCAGGGCAGGGAGCATCTCCTGGGACAGCTTCCAAGCCGGCGCAAAGTCTTCGGGAGTGAACTCGAGGCGCGACGGCATGTTCTGGTCGTTGACGTGTTTAGGAGTTACGCCCAGTGAGGCGGCCACGACGGGCATGGGACGGTGGTTGTAGAAGCCAATGCCGTACTGCTCACCGTGTTCGCGATAATAAAGATCTTGGTCCTGGTGGCGGAGAATGGGTAGTCTCGCTCCGTTTGGCAACTCGTTCCGGCCCTTAGAGGCTGGGACAGCGGTGGTCTTGACATATTGGTGTCCCATGGGTAGCAAGGGGACGCTCAAGCCGACCATGGCTCCCACCTCGACGCCCCAGAAGCCGGCGCAGGAGACGACAATATCAGCGGGGATAGTGCCATTCTGTGTTATCACGCCAGTGACTCGGCCATCCGCCTGCTCAATACCGGTGACGGGGTTGGATCCGATATAACGAACGCCGGCCTCGCGCGTACGCTCCATGAGCAACTGAACAGCGCGGGCGGCCAGCGCCAAGCCGTCAGTCGGAGTGTGCAGGCCTCCGAGAACGAGATCCCTGTTCAGGTGGGGATAGATCTCGATGCACCTGTCTGCGCTAACCAGGTGCGCCTCGATGCCCCAGGACGAGGCGTAGCCGTGTTTCCGCTTGAGCTCCTCGAGCCTCGCGGGGGTGGTGGCGATTTCCAGGCCGCCCACCTGGTTGAAGCAGCTCTGGCCGTCCTTCTCCAGCGACTTGAGCTTGTTCATGGTGTACTTGGCCAGCAGGGCCAGCGTCTTGGAGGAGTTGGTCTGGAACACCAGGCCGGGGGCGTGCGACGTGGACCCGCCTGGCATGTCCAGGGGTCCTTGGTCGACGACGGTGATGTCGGTCCATCCGCGCGAGACCAGCTCGTCGGCGAGATTGGTGCCGACGATGCCGGCGCCGATGATGACGACGCGTTGTGAGAGCGCCATGTCGAGAGGCTGTGGTGGTTTTGGGTCACGAAAGATGGACTCGGGTTTACGAGAGCCGCCTGGTTCAAACGCTCAACAGCGGAAAGATGAGATGAATATACTATGACAACTCTTTCATAGGCCTCCATTCAGAATAGGTTATGCCAACATAGTTATAGACAGACTTCCGTCTATCCCAAGCGTTGCTTATCTAGAACCCGGGTCTTGATGCGTCCACGTGATCGGAGGTTGAGAAACGAGAGCCGGACTGGAGGGCGCGTGATGGTTTAATACCACCAGAGACGCTTATCTTTGCTGTGAGGAAGCGGGGATTCTGCGGCGGTGGGGTAGGAATCCGCCCTTGGGATGCCATTGTTATCAGCGGCCAGACAAGGCGTAGCGTTGATTGGACTTGTCTAGACGTCACGGGAAAGCCTCGAGTTCTCCGGGGCAGCCTCAAGTTTCTTCGGGAGTGAGGCCGGGCCCGTGGCGTTTGTTAGCCGAGCTGGGTTCCCCGGAATGTCTCGGACCATGAGTTAATGAGTATGTTTCTTGAAATAGAAGCGGGGGGTTTGTTAGTGGTGGGGCGTAGAATCCTGGAATCCGCCTTTGGGATGTCAATTTCAATACGGTAGAGATTCGTGGGTATTTTCCTTTGTTAGTGGTGGGGCATCAATCCGCCCTTGAGATGTCATTGTTATCAGCCGCCACTCGATACGCCAGATAACGTATACCGAATGGCACCAAATAGCACCAAGTGGGCTGCAGAAGGTGGCAATTGATGCCCATTGGCGTGCTGATTGAGGGGTTCTGCGTCTTTGTGACCTCTCGCTTAACCCAGAACCGGCAGTTTTAGCCAACTCCACCAACTTGGCGATATCTGAAGCCGAACCCTTCAATCCACGTGATCGGATGCTCTTCCGGAGTCAAAGGCCGGCGCCCGATATAAGACTGCGAGACGGATAGGCCGTGTTGAGTCGCCGCAAGCAACAGCAACTCCACGATCTGATGAATAGCGACTTTTCCTCGTCTTTTCCTGATATCCCATACCCAAGTCCGTGCGGAGACGTCCCCGATACATACAAAGATCCATACGCAGACAACCGGCCTTGCGTAGAATCAGGAGAGATGGCGTCCACCAAGCCGTCGTACCTCATCGTCGGAGCCGGTGTGTTTGGCGTGTCCACCGCCTACCACCTGCTCAAGAAGTATCCCGATGCATCCGTAACCATGGTTGATCGGGACGCCTTCGACGCAGACAACCGCTGCGCCGCCTCGTGGGACTGGAACAAGGTGGTGCGCGCCGACTACGACGACTTCGTCTACTGTAAACTCGCCCTCGAGGCCCAGGACGTCTTCGAGACCGACCCCGTCTGGCAGCCGTACTTTACCAAGACGGGCGTCTACTGGATGTGCCGCAGCGACTACGCCCAGGACGTCATCAAGAACCACCAGAAGCTCGGCCGCGGCGACGACATCTCCGCCGTGCCCGTTGCCGAGGCTCGCAAGCTGTACGGCGGGCTCTTTGCCAACGCCGACTACAGCGACGTCAAGGAGGTGCTCATCAACAAGTCCAGCGGCTGGGCTGCGGCCGGCGACGCCCTGCGCGCCATCACCCGCGAAGCCATCAAGCTCGGCCTCCGCTACGTGACGGCCGAAGTCGAGACGCTGCAGTTCGACAACGCCGGTGCTTGCCGCGGAGTCAAGACGAAGTCCGGCGATGTGTTGACGGCTTCGCACGTTATCCTCTGCACGGGAGCATACACATCCAGGCTGTTGGAGTACAGCGCTGCGAGCAGTGGCCTCACTGGGCTGCGAGATGAGGGCAGGATTGTGGCGGGTGGTATCACGACGGGAATGAGAAAGGTCGAGGACCCAACAGAATACGCAAAGTTTGCGGCCATGCCTGTGGGCTTCCAGGGATACACCGCCGAAGTTGGTAAGTTGATATTCAACCCGTCAGACGAACCGGCCAGCTAACAGCAACAGGCGGCTTCATTGGCAGTCTTCCCCCGACTCCCGATACCCACGAGATGAAGTGGTGGGGACAGACCATCTTCAAGAACACAAAGGAAGTGTTGCCTGGCCGTCACATTTCAATGCCGCCCTCGGGGCAGGACTACTCGCAGTGGAATGTCTCCAAGGCCCTCAAGCAAGACATCAAGCACGCATCCGAGGTGTTTTACGGAAAGGAGACCGACAACTGGACGTTCGGCAAGCACCGCATCTGCTGGTAAGTCACCCCGTCTCAACCCAGCGCACAACCGACTAACACAAACAGGGACGCCTTCACCTCCAGCGGCGACTTCATCATCTCCCCCCACTCGGCCGCCAAGGGCCTGTACCTGGCGACGTGCGGCTCGTTCCACGGCTACAAGTTCTTCCCGGTGCTGGGCAAGTACATCCTGCAGATGCTGGAGGGCGAGCTGTCGGCCGAGTTGGCGCAAAAATGGGCCTGGGACCGCGTGCGGCCGGATGCGGCGCTGAACCCGGAGTACCCGCGGGCGGAGATGAATGATTTGTTAGACACGGTTGCGCGGTTGTAGAGTGTAGAGTACAGGGTCAGTTTCAGGGATCTCTTCCATAGAAAGGGTTGTTTAAGGCGTAATATTCATCCACATGTCTTGTTTCCATATATACTCGTGGTGCATGTTGTTTCGATCTACTAGGGGCTCTCTCAATCGTGATAGTTCGTTTATGTCATCTACAACAGGTTGGTATGTTGTGATCCTCAATCACATGGTGCGAGATTCACGGGCATGCAACCTATTATAGCATCATACTTCTCATTATTCTATGTGTCTACATGTCCTCCACAGGATACCCGTTCTCGCTATCAAGAGTCTGTATATACGTCTTCGTCTTCTCCCACGCCAGCGAAAGATTAAACCTCTCAAAGGTCGGGTGAGCACCCTCGACGTTGGGCTTCATCTTGTACTCTGGCAGCGTAGTCTTACCAAGCACATACTCCCAGCCCACCTCAGTCTTCTGCCTGTTGAATTCGCTATCCTTCAAGCCAGCAGGGTGATACTGCAACTCCGGCTTCAGCTTTTCAAACATGCTATGACGGTATCCGACTGTAGGATGGACTTGCTCGTTGGTCTCTCCTGGCGCGGCGGCAGTCGTGTAGCCTCCGGGAGTACGGAACTTAGAGCCGTTCAGCCCAGACAGCATGCCGTAGCTGTCGATGATGGTGCCAGTGCCCCAGCCAAAGTCTCGGCGGAGCGTGTTGGGCTTCTTGGACTTGGTCAAGGGATGCATGGCGGTGTTTGCAGCAGCCGACGCGGTGTGCACGAGTGCGCGACCGGCCCATTGAGCCCAGCTCAACTTGGCAGCCTCTTCGTCTTCCTTGGCGAGTTTCTCTCTGTACTTCTTCTCCTCTTTGTTGAGGTCATTAATGTGCTTCTGGCGAGCCTCTGACTCCTTGCGGATTGTCTGCTCGTCGATGGCGATGTAGGGGCTGATTTGGTCGAGCATCCAGGCGAATGTGATGTTGGAGGTTTCTATCAAGTCAGCGTTGATTCAAGTTCGGTCATGGGTTGAACATACCTTCCAAATCTCCCCTGTTCTCCAGCGTGTTGGTTGAGCCACCACCAATGTTGATGTGCACGCCTGGGAACCAGACTTGAAGAAGCTCAGATCGTTTTTTGAGATCCTCTTCCAGCTGATACATCTCTCGGCGGGCCTTATTGTAGGCCTTCTTGAGATTCTGTCTCTCTTGGAGAGGAATCGTCACATCATAAGCCTTGGAACGCCAAGCCTGGTCTGCTTCATCAACTCGCTTCTGCTGCATCTCCAGATCCTCGACTGTCGTCTCCTTCTCCTTCAGCTCCGGCAAGTGCCACAGCGACGGCGTGAATGGTCCGCGGTGCTCATCCATCGCCAGCGCTTGGAACGCATGCCTGACATCTGTCGGTGCGGTTAGCGGAGATTTCGGTAGCCACGACGATGGACTTACTCGGGTTTAGCTTCACGTTGTGGAATCCATGCTTGTCTGGGCCCCATCCAAACTTGACCCCGCGCATCTCAGGAATGCCCAGGGCGCCGACGGTTTCATATACGCCGACGACTTCAATCTCTCTAGACTCGGGTGTCCTGGCCCATTCCCCACGAGGGGGGTTCTTCCAGCCAAAGTCCTCTGTCCCGTAGGCGGCGGTTTGGTTCTGGTCGTCTTCCGGCACACCGTCGAGATAGTCGAACCATGCGTCGCTTCCATGGAACCTCTCGCCCTTGTAGTTCTTCTTGTAGAGCTCCCAGATCTCATGGAACTCGTGCAGTTTGCTGGGCTCGCAGATGCCAATATCCGAGATCAACCCGGCAATGGACCGCGCCGTGTAAGCGCCTCGCGAGAAGCCGAAACAGTAGATTTGGTCGCCCGGAGACCAGTTGAGCACAACAAAGTTGTAGGCCTCGATGATGTTTCCTTCCATGCCTGCGCCGATGAAACCCTCCGTCATATTCCCGATCCAGTTGGATGTCGTGGCAACACCGCTGTCGTACCAGACAACCTGCTGCCACGTCTTGCCATTTCTGACGTCGGTGCGCTTCAGGCTGCGGGCCAGTCGGGTCACGTTTGAAGCAGTGTGCTTCTCGCCCAAAACGGCAGACTGCCACGAGCCATCACAACAGATGATGATCCGCTTGGGAATAGACATGGTGATGAGATTGAGAAAGTGGTGAGGAATGCCAGAATATTGCTAGCCAAGAATGAAAATCAAAGACTCTGTTCCAGAAGCAGGAGGACCCCTCACTTATAGGCAGAATGTGTGTGTCTCGTAACACGTTCCACACGGCCAGACCATCTTTCAGCTACGCCGTCAGTCCAGATTCTGTCGACTTCTCGTCAGCTGGAACGCAGCCAGACGGAAACTATCTATACGCTATTGACTTAGCTGCTGCGGGCGGGCCGGTGCTGGAGCTGTGAATGGCTGCAGATTGACGGGTCAAGCCAATAGTCCCCACCACCATTCCGTTCTGGTGCATCTACAGCTTGTGAAGCTCCACAGTGACTCAAAACTATTGACACTTTTGGTCCAGAACAGATCTTATCTCAGCTATGACCTTTCGTCTCACCTTGAGCAGGATTGACTCTGGTTTAATCCTCAACCTGTTGGGCCTTTTGCATAGAGCTAGACAAATGGAAGAGGTCACGAATCATTGAGAAGTGACGATTTAACCATGACGCGGGTCCTTTGTAAGGCTGAGTGGTTTAGCACTAGATTGTACTTTGCGTAAGGCGATATTGCATGTTTTGTCCTGTTCCCTTGCAGCTAAAGTGAGCTCGCTTCTCACCTACCCTACAGCAACCCTGGACAAGCTCCATTGTAGTGCTTGTCGGGCACAAGGGAGTAATGCGACATCCTTTGCGTTTGATTCCTTCTCACGAGTACAGAAGAATTGCAAGGGATGGACTGCTCGGTTAAAGAGGAAATACAGGAGCTCCATACCTCTAGCCGTAGGGTTGTGCTGCGTCGGACTGCTTCTTTCAAGAGGACACAGACGTCACCCGACCAACAGCAAAAGGATGGAGGATCGACTGACTCCCCTGGACTCATTGAAACCCCCCTCAGGGACCCATTTCTTGCTTTGTCTTATTTTGAAACCTCGCAGCGCCAACCGCGCATTGTTATTTTATCATACCGGTCACAGGTGGCGGTTGACGCTCTAGAGTGGCCACTGCTAGCATTGCCCTATTATGTTGGAACTCAGCTTGCTGCTAGCTGTCCCTGCTCTTTCACATCCTGAGGTGGCGAAAAAAATTGGACCCGTGGGGGATTTGAAAGATGCAATGGCACGCGGTTAGCTGCCGAATTTTATAAATAATTTGCCCAAAACAAGCCTTGTGCGGCTGGCGACACAAGCATTCCAGTCCTCTTGTCAAGCGGTTATCAATCATAAGTAGATAATTATAATATATTTTTGAATTTTCAAACCGTATTCTACGTTGAAAAAGTGGCTGACTACTTTACCATAATTGGGAATTGGCTATCATGGACCGTCGGTCATTTGAGTAGCGTAGCACTGTTGATTAATCAAGCCAATAACCATGTCGTGACATCTGCAAAAAGTCTTCAACGCAACATGGAAGGTCAAAGTCTCTTTCCTCGGGTAGCGGTTCGGGTTCCACCTTCGCTGGTCCTATTTTCTCCTTCGAGGTGACCGCGCATTGTCCTGCATAACACCCAAAGCCATGCAGCCCCCCTAGCAACGGCAATGCGACACTACTTGCGTCAAGTCCATCGCCGTTTTGAAAATTGAAGTGGCGGCATTGAAAATATGATAAGGCTGAAACAATTAAAAAATCTGCTTTAAATCGACAGAATCCGGATGTTTGTTGTATTTTGGGGTCAAAGTCTGGGATAATATGAGGCACTCTGACATCATACCAACTGAGGGTTGCACTGCTTTACAAAGTTAGTCGAGAATGCGCTCCGTCACTTGCAGTACCCAGCGAGGCCTCTGGACGTATATCTGAATGGACCATGACGACGTTCTCAAACAAAACCAAAAATCGCCACAATGGGTCAATTGGACCAGGTTGTTTCAATTCCCCTCTGACTCAGACTTGCCGCACCAAATAGCCGGGCGGGAATGCAAATCCTCCGCATCTTCGGAAATGAAACGCGGCCCCAACTTGCAATCCTGCCCAACATGGCCCGGCTTCCCCAGTCACCAAATCTTAATCAAATCCCCTGTTGGTAAGCACACGCTCTGGCAGCTCCGCGTGTGGCCATGCCGAGGTTCTTGTGGTAATTACTTCGGGCGGCACAGACCAGAAGCCGTCGCAGCAAGGCAGGTGGAAGAGCCCAGGCTGTAAACAAGGACGCGGTAATACGAAGCACACCGGCAGGGATGCGCGTGACGGTTGCATTCCTCGGCGGACCCCTGGTGACGTCGTAAAGCAAACCTGTGTGTTGACTGTGTGTTGCCGGTCGGAATGGAGCAACCCGAACGATTGGGCACGAAGTGAAGCCGGGATAATCCCTGAGATCTAAGATTGCACGGAGGTTCGGGGGGGTTATGATTGGCCACACCCCCTGACATTAGTGCCGTGTTTTACCAGTTGGGCACGTTAGGTGTCGATATTGCTTATGCTGTGTAGATTTTTTCACTCCGGTTTTCAATACCGGGGCATTTGATATAAGAAGAGAAGGGCGGGCTGCGTCAGGCCGGGGCTCGCCAGCAACCTCACGCACATCTCCCGGTCGCCATTGGAATCGAGTCGCAGCTGGAATCGTTGATTCTCCCTCAGCCCGCCATGGTCCACGCCTTGACAGTCGCCCAGGTGGAGCAGGCGGCGTTCCACATCATCCGGCTCATCAGAAACACGCGCGGGTTGGAAAACACGCGGCTCGCGGTCATTGGCGACCTGGCAGTCTGCAAGCACTTGCCCCAATACGACATACGGCGCATCACGGTGAGCTAATTGGCCTGTGGCTGGCGCTGCGGCGGCTAACGATTGATGTAGAGCATCGACTTGATTGTGAGCAAGTCGTCGTCGCCCGGACGCGTGAAGAAGGAGATTGTTGGCCATCCCATGAGCCCGCTGGTCGAGAAGTCGGGAACTGTCTTCTACCGACACACCAGCGGCTGGGAGATGGAGGTGAAGCTCATCCCCGACTGGCTGTGTCCGTACCTCCCTGACTCCGCTCAGCCGGTGCGCGACGACATCGACACGCTGCCGTACCTGTCGCGGGAAGACTTGTTCGTCTTTACCGTCGACGCATGCAGTCTCCACGACAGCACGGCCAACAAGAAGCGGGAGGCGTGCGATGCCGCGGCGCTTCTCGAGTTTGCCTCGGAGCACTTTCCCCTGACGCTGGACGAGGACAAGATGGACAGAGTCGAGCAAGCTCTCGCCGACGTCGTCGAGTTTTCTCCTCCCGAGTGCGACAAGAGCTGGTGGCAGCGACGTCTGGGCCAACACCCCGACAAGCAGAGGTCGGCCCAGGAAATCTTCGCCGACCTTTCGGACAATCCGTCTCCCACGCCTTCGTCGCCTGCGTCGCCCATCTCGCTCAGCGGCTACTCCTCCGTGTCGCGATCCTCGTCTTACATGAGCGCCACGTCTGCGCACTCGACTTCATCGTCCATCTCGTCCATTCTCACCGCTGACGAGAAGCCGGATAAGCACGTGCGGCCGCGCAAGATGAGCATCACGGGGAAGCCATCGCGGCACAAGAGACACACGTCGACATCGACCGGCGGAGCTGTCACGATGACCACACTCGCTGCCACCATGAAGCGCCTGGAGCTGGAACGGCCAGCGTCGCCTGGCATGGCTTTGACAAACATTAGTTAATTTTTCCTTTGTATCAAAATGGGGAGAGGACAGCGGCTTGTTATTCCGGACGGTTACTGCTTGGGCTCGGGCTCATAGTCAGTGTGTAAACTAGTAGATAGATACCCATGCTGCGAAGGAGCAGAGATGTAGGATTTGTTAGACCAGTTTTGAAGATTAGACTAGAGCAATTTCAAGATACCCTTTTTATCGTCATGACAGTTAGTTTCTATCAAGTATCGAGTATCAAGTATCAACTAACGACCCACTTCACTTGTTGATACAATCTTCGGTCAATTTGGCCGACGGTACCGATCACACGGAGCCATGATAAGGGTGGGGCCACGTCTCCCCCGCATTTAGCCGCAGCTCCTCTGATAAATATCACTCCACAAGAGACCCCTTTTGCAGACATGCATGATGTGCCTCTCTGCTGGACTAATTATTGTAGATATTTCAGTGTGATGGAGGAAACGCGTCAAGTCAAGCGAGCGCGTCTGGCCTGTGAGCCGTGTCGGTGCGAAGACCTTTACGCCTTGTTTGAGCCAACTCTGACGTTATCATGAAGCCGGAAGAAGTCGAAATGTCCGGGCGAAAGACCGAGCTGTTCCAGCTGTCTGCGGCTGGGGCAGACATGTGCTTATACTCCGGCAAACATGGTTTGTAGCCGCGATAAGAGATATAAGGCTATAGCGCTGATGTTGTTTCTTAGGAGGATAGAATACACACCATCGAGGGGAAACTGGACCAGCTGATCCAACAGTTTAGGTGGGTTGCTCAGCTATTCGAGCACGGAACGTAGCTCATATTTTGCAGTCCTACTCCCGCAGCACCTAGCCCGGCAGCACAATCCTATCAGTCAGTCCCATCATACAAGGCGGTCCCATCATATCAGGCAGTTCCGTCATACCAGGCTCCAAATCTAGATTCTGCCGCCGGGTCTTTATATTCTAGAGGCGATAGGCGAGACGAAAAGCTCAGGTATGATATGATAAACCAAACGCAGATTCTTGCAATGCTCACAATTACGAACCAGCAATATAGGCCCCCAAGAGATAAGCCCGGACGACTTTGGCCAGTTGTATCTTACCTGGTGCCACAACCAACCCATTGCTCTGTTCAGACAAGATACATTTCTTGAATCTCTCCACACCCGGGACCCTGAGCTCGTCCTTGCATTGCAAGCTCTCAGTCTACGGTTTCCTCCAGGCACGCTAAGTCTTCAAAAGCAAGATCAGTTGGATGCCATGGCTAGGATGTCTCGCCGACGTGTCATGGATAGGGTTATAGAAGGCTACGTCGAGCTGTCAACGTTGCAGACCCTATGTATCCTGAGCATAATTGATTTCACAGGTAAGAAATCTTACCATGCTGACTATTCATGCTGACTATTCGGTAGATGGCAGAATCGTTCAAGCCGACCTAAACCTCTCCATGGCAAGCCACTTTGCACACAGTCTCCAACCAAGCAGCGCAATGAGCGATTCCGAAGAATGTCTCGACTGTCTCCGAAGCATCCTCATGCTGCAGCGGCTTCAAGGATGCATTTTCCCCGGATCTCGGCTGGCGAGCGTCACGCCAACGATACAAAACGGATTCCCCGTCGCGGGCCATGCCAAGTTCTGCAAAGCCCCCGAGCCAGCTGTGTTGGCCCGGACGTACGTGGATAGTCAGATGACGACTGGGATTCAGAAGCATACGAAGCTGGTCAGCGAGGTTTGGCAAATGGCCAGAAAATACGCTGCCTATCGAGTTGGACCGGATGAAGTACCGCCCTGGAACTCGCAATCCGACTACTCGTGTATCATGCAGGGCCACATGGATATAGATTCCCTCGTCCCAACAAAGTATCGATTTTCCTCGGAAAGATTCGGGGACCACACGGCGGAGGAACTGCAGCAGCGGCGCGACTATTGGGGGCCGTGGCTATTCATCCAGTTCATCTACGCAGCGATCCCATGCTTGCTCAACCATCCCTTTCTTCTATCCATGCGGCTTCGAAACTTCCGCCACACGATGCCGCAGTCCTTTATTTACCAGTCGTACGAGCTCATTATGCGCCACACGGGCTGGATTATTTACTTTATTGACCTCTCGGAAAAGAAATCCTTTGTGGTGTCTGATCCGTCGCTGGCTCATTGCGTCGGTATAGTTGCAACAATCCATCTGCAACACAGTTTTGTCGACGATCTGTCGCTTCGTGGCAAGGCCCAAGCTGGGTTTGAAAAATGCATGAAGTTTCTTCGTCGCATGGGGTCCATTTGGCCGAGCACTGCTATCATGGTACGTGGCTACCTCGGCTTTAGATCTTGACGTTGCCATGACTAACGACGAGGTTATAGGCTCAAAACTTACTGAAATTACAAGCCAGTATTGCATCGGCTCACTCACCTAGCTCTCGGGGCCCAGAAGACCGTGGGCTGGAGGGCGGCTTTTCCATCGACGCCCAACTCCTCTGGGATATCTTGATATACGAACAAGCAGGACTCCACAATGCGACGGCAGATCAGTCCATGTTTGGCGAGTCATTAAAATCCGAGAGAGCACATAGCGAAAACGATTTAAGTCTTGCCGCCGCCAATCTTGTCGGGTCTGCCGGCATCTCGGGCCACAAAACGGTGCCCGCCAAGTACATAGTGCCTCCATATGCCCCCAGCGAGGGCGGCACACCGCCGAGAATGACGGATCGAATGGTCTCGGATGTGGAAAAGTTGGTAGAAAGCAGGGCTTTTCAAGGACTTGGGGAGGTCAACGACCACAGCTTTCTGCAAGCTAGCGACTTTAACAAGGCTATTGAGAATTGGTGGGACGTTGATTTCTTGTAGTCAATGATGTTCCATTTTCTCAAACATGGTTCCTACCTGTAATCACCTACTGTTTCTGCTGAGGAGATCGGTAACAGACACTTGCTGCTAGAAGGGACCATCCAACTTGAGCAGCCACACATTGAACCATCGGAAATGCACCGCATTCTCTTTACATGTGATAAGAATTGGCGGACGGGGCACCTCAGTGTTGCATGACATCCAATGAGTTTCTGCTTATTCCGAAGTTCCGATCCGTCCAGACGCTCTAGTGTTAGAATCGGAATAATTGGAGAGGGCCAGGAAGAAAACACGACGGAATCCGGCCCGACGGGATTGAAAATGAGGAGTCGACGTCAATTATCATCTACCGAACCGCGGGGAAATGACCGGATATTTTCATGATTGGCTTAATCCCCAGTGCGTGCTCCCCCATGGGGTTTATCATCTGGGGCATGTTTGCGGTGCATCCCATCGTCATTTGCAACTGTCGACATTTTCATCTTCATTTGAGCTGTCGCGATGCTCGAAACGGAGAAATTGTATCTGGTGCTGGGTGCCATTTCCGCTTGGATCCTGGTTTCTCTCGTGCGAAACGTCTTCGCGTCCGGCGTTCGAGACCTTCCTGGGCCATTGTTGGCCAAGTTTACCAACCTCTACAGACTTCTTGACGTCTCCAAGGGGTACAATCATGTATCACTTGTTAAGCTGCACGAAAGCTGCGGCGACAACGTGCGATTCGGTCCCCGGGTTGTCAGTGTTCGGAATCCCAAGGACGTGAATAAGATTTATGGACTCAAGGGAGGATACGTCAAGGTGCGTACTGCATTCTTAATGAGCTTGAGGAGGGCCATGACTGACATCGGAATAGAGCGAGTTCTACGCTGTCCAGCAACAGCTAGCAAATGGAAAAGCGACGCAGACGCTGTTTACGACATTAGACGAGGCATTCCACGCCAGAATTAAACGGCCGGTTGCGAGCGCGTACTCGATGACAACATTGACCGATTACGAACCCCTCGTAGACCGAACAATCCTGGCGCTATTCCAACAGCTGGAGGACCGCTATGCTCGCCCCGGCCGCGACTGTCCTATATTTGAATGGCTTCAGTATTACGCCTTCGACGTGATTGGAGAGGTGACGTGCAGCGAAAACTTTGGCTTCATTGAAAAGGGATCCGACGTAGGCGGCATCATCGACGCGCTCAACGTGACCATGGACTACAACGCCTTTGTCGGACAGATTCCGTGGCTGGATCACTGGCTGAAGAAGAATCCCGTGTGGACGCGGATAGCACAACCTACCGGCGCAGTGGCCCAGTTTGCCCATAAACAGCTCCTATCGAGACTTGACGAGACGAAGGAAAAGGTATCGAGCGACAGCATCGAGTCGCAGAAGCGGGACTTTGTGGATCGATTTTTCCAGGCCAAGGAAACGCATCCTGAGATTGTTGATGATCGCCAGGTGTTTTCCTACATGGTCACAAACATGTTTGCTGGTTCTGACACGACGGCTATTTCTCTGCGAGCGATCGTGTACTACACGCTGAAGCACCCGAATGTCTATGCCAAGCTGCTGTCGGAACTCGACGCTGCTAAGGCATCTGGGCAGATCAGTATGCCTGTGACGTGGAAGCAGAGCCAGACCTTGCCCTATTTCGATGCTGTTGTCAAGGAGGCCCTGCGTCTTCATCCTGCAGTCGGGCTTATCCTGGAGCGAATTGTGCCCAACCAAGGCCTGCGACTTGAGTGCGGTACAGTGCTACCCGCCGGAACCATCGTCGGCGCATCGCCATGGGTGATGCACCGAGATCGGTCTGTATTTGGGCAGGACGTTGAAAGCTTCCGACCGGAGCGGTGGCTGCAGGACGCCACCGAGGACGTCGAGAGTTACAACAAGCGCCTCAAAGCCATGAAGGGTGCCGATTTCACGTTTGGAAAGGGACACAGGACATGCATCGGAAAGAATATCAGTTTGCTGGAGATTTATAAGATGCTTCCCAGTTTCTTCCTCAAGTACTCGGTAAGCCGAAGCCTCCCCCAAGCCGGTCCAAGATTTTGTTGTTGACAATAGATGCGCAATTACAGGTTGAACTTGCTGACCCGGAGGCGACATGGAACCTCAAGAACTCGTGGTTTGTCCGACAGGAGGGTGTCGAGGTGAGGATGAGCATCAGGGGCTCGAAATCTCAATGAAGTACTACACACCAGCAAAAGTGGAAGCCATTTAAAAGACAAAAATAGTTTAGGCCATATTAGTGTTGAAGAAATAAGAAACTAATTGTTACACATGTAGTTGGATCGTAATGAATGCAGTGTCTCGGGTCCGTCATAGCGCTGCCGAGATCTTTAACTTGTTGAGGACGTTGGCTGTAAACGCGTTCATCTTCCATAGAGAGTGGGGTGGGAATGGACAAGCACTTTGGATTATGGAATTGCGAATTATTCTCTTGGTGGGTTTACTGTCAGCTGTTCCTAAGTAGTTTACAAACAGAAGCATACGCAACCCATTCTAAAAGGAGTGATAATTATAGCTACTTCGTGGAAATGAACATGGCCCTCTCCAACCACCTTATTCAGGCCGACTCCTTGTGCTCAGAGCCACCCAGGGTATTCTCAGGGTCCTTGGCCGAAACAACATACTCATCCACCTCCTCAGTAAAGCCAAACTGCTTGCCCTTCTTCTCCGGCCCCAGGAATGTGACGAGGAAGACAAGTCCCGTACAGGCGCCAAGGAATGCGCAGATGACAATGGCGTAGTCGTATCGCTTGATGCCAGTGGCGGTGGGAGCGAGCGGGAAGTACTTCTCCCCGATGGTCGACTGGATCGTCGCGGCTGGGCTAGAGGCCAGGTTTCCAAGCTGGTAGGCGGTACCGACGACAAAGGTTCGGATGGGACCAGGTGAAAGCTCCATAAGGTGAGAGGGAATGACGCCGAACGCGCCCTGGACGAAAAATTGAAGAAAAAAGGCAGATGCGGCAACCGCTGTGGTGTTGACGTAGGTATAGGGATAGATCAGGGCTCCAGCACACACGCAGGAGACCATGATTGTAAGACGTCGACCGAAGATTTCGGAGAGGTAGCCGACGCAGATGGCTCCGCTGATGGCACCGAAGTTGGCAATGACTTGGGTGATGGTCATTTCGTTGAGCGTAAATTCGAATTGGTTGAGAAGCATCGTGGGATAGAAATCTTGCGCGCCGTGGGCCTGTTTGATGCTGGTTAGTTTGAGCTTTGGATGTTATAGTAATGGGACTTACCATGAAGTTGAATCCGGCCATGAGCAAGACCATGTAGACCAGTGTAAGCCAGTGGTGCTTAATGGCCTGGCCAGCCTGGTGAATAAAGCCACTCGTGGCAGCGGATGCATTCTGTCGTACAATCTCCCGCTCGCGATACGCCTGGGTCTCGGGGAGGTAGAATCTCCAGATGATGAGGAAGACAGGCGGGCAAGCGCTGAACCAAAAGAGCGGCCTCCACGCGTGGACAGTCGTGTTGACCAACGCACGAGCAAAGGCAGTGGTCAGGAGATAGCCGACGGGATAACCAGCTTGGAACAGACCGGACATGACACCACGAGCTGCATCTGGGCAGTCTTCGAGAGCAGTGGCCACGGCGTTTCCGTAGAGACCGCCCATGGCGACTCCAAAGAGAGCTCTGCACGCCAGAAACTCGCCGTATGTGTTGCAGAAGCCGGTGCCGAGTTCGAGAGCGATGAAGAGGACGTTGTTGAAGATGAAGGGCCACTTGCGGCCGAATCGATCAGACCACACGCCAAAGATGACGGCGCCGACCGATCGGAACATGAGCACCAGGGTGATTCCCCAGGTGATTTCCGAGTTGAGCTTGTTGAACTGCTTGGCCAGCGGCGTGACGGTCAAGCTGACGGTAAAGAAGTCAAAGGCGTCGATAACCCAGGCACACCAAGCACACTGACGTTGATTGTTAGAAGCGTTTCTGATGGTTGATGGATTGACTTGCCATGAAAAAGGTCCATTGCTCCTTGTTCAGCATCCGCATCGCCGCGATAGGACTGATGACCTTGTCCATGGGCGGCTTCAGTGTTGAGAAGCGGGATGCAAGATATTGGCCCGCCGACATGTTTGCGTCGGGATCCTCGCGGGGCGCCGCCATGTGCGCGCCGTGGTTCTTCTCTTGGTTGATAGACATGCTGAGACTGCAGGATTGTGAGTGTGAGTGCAGAGTCTGCGATGTTTCAACCGACGGACACGCGGCGTGGTTCATATAGCTCTCTGAGAACAGACTGACCAAGCCTCGCATGCCTCATCCAGAGTTCAGCTGCACGCCGGCAACACGACTCGCAGGTCGACAACTGACCAGCCATCGAGTCCGGGGCACCCCCAGATTCGCGGGGTAGGCAGCTAGCATGAGTTATTGGGGGCAAGCTAGTGCGGCCAGCCCTGCGATGGACTGATGCTAGGCGCTGTGATGGTGTTTAGTGACTTTGCGTGGTTTCGGACTATGTGTGGCGGACGAGATATGCCGGCCGCGATGGAGGCGAGACTCCACCCCCAACTCCCCACAAGCTGGGAGCTCTCCGCGGCTAGACTCGTCTGGGTAACTGTAAGCTGATGGGGAAAGATTCGTTCCATGTTCATGTGACTGTCTTGCTCCAATTGAATCTGGATCATTGCCCCCAGAGCTGCCCGGTTGCGGCTGCTTTCCCCACCTCGTGAGACTCCTCTCTCACTTATTAGAACAAGTGACGACATTTTCCTCTCACGAACCTCCCACACCGTAAATACAGACTCTATCTCCTCGTTTCTCCTCAGAAACAACCCAATTCCTCACAATGGCCACCCTCGCCGCCGCAGCTACCCCCGACGTCCACGCCCTCGAGCTCTTCTCACTCAAGGGCAAGAACGCGCTGATCACGGGCGGTTCGCGCGGAATCGGCGCCGCAATGGCTCATGCGCTCGCCGACGCTGGAGCGTCCATCTGCATTGCCCAGCGCGATGTGAGCAACATTGCTACGGCGGACGCGATTCGCGCCAAGGGTGCCAAGGTGGAGATTGTTGCGTGCGACCTCACCAAAATGGACGAGGCCAAGGCGGTGTTCCAGAAGGCGCTGGATGTCATGGATGGTCGAATTGATATTTTGATCAACTGTGGTGGTCTCCTGAAGCGAAAGGAGACGGTGTTGGTCACTGAGGAGGATTGGGACAGCGTAAGACTCCAGATTCCACTCCAATATCCCGTTTACTGATCAACGGCCAACAGGTCATCGATGTCAACTTGAAAGCCCTGTTCTTCATCTGCCAGGCCGCCGGACGACACATGGTGCCTCGAAAGGCGGGCAAGATTGTCAACGTCTCGTCCCTCAACGCCTTCATTGGCGGCGAGATCGTTGCATCATACGCTGCGTCCAAGGGAGCCGTGTCGCAATTGACCAAGGCGCTTAGCAACGAGTGGGCAAGACACAATATCCAGGTCAACGCCATTGCTCCTGGCTCCATCGCCACAGATATGTAATGAATTCTGTCCCAACGAGAAAAGAACCCTCTAACAACCTGCAGTAATACGGACCTTCGATCAGACCCTCAACAATATGCGGCTCGGATTGCGCGCTGTCCCGCCGGTCGATGGGGTGCCCCGGCTGACTTTGCCGGACCTGCGCTGTTCCTCTGCAGCAGTGCGAGTCAATATGTGACGGGCGAGGTTCTTGTGGTTGATGGTGGACATTTGGGACGGTGATGGGTGATATGGATGGAATAGTTATGATAAACCATGGAAAATTCTATAGATCAATTGATTTACGTATGGTACTCTGAAGCATTTTCTGTATTGCCATGTCTGGTCATGTCGAGGCTGTCCTCAAGCAGTGCAACAGCAAGAAGAGCCGTTGTCACATTTTTATACCCCAAAGATTTTATCGATACCATTATGACGACTGTTCAATTGCCAGCGAAATATCCGTGGCTGAGATACGCTTTCTTCTCACTGATAAAGACTGCGACTTCATGTTCAGCTGGGACTTTGCTATTGACACGGGAAGATCGAGCCACGGAAGGTTGAAGGGGTTGGAAACTTGGTCAAAAATAATATAAAAATGTCAGTCATCTTGTAAATCTAAAGAGCCCGTCTATATGCATCTATTCCTTAAGCTCCGGAACATCCACCCACGCCCGCTTCTCCCAGCTTTGGATACCCAGCTCCGTGAGTTGCACTCCCTTGGCGCCCTCCAACAGGCTGTGCTTCCACGGCTCGTCCTTGACCACATGGCGAAGGAACATCTCCCACTGCACCTTGAAGGCGTTGTCAAAGGCCTGGTAGTCCGGCACGCGCGACCAACCCTCGGAGTACTTGATGGGCGAGTCCACGTCGGGGTTCCAGGTTGGCCGCGGCGTCTGGCTCTCGTGCTGGGCTACGCAGTCGCGCAGACCAGCTACGGCGCTGCCCTTGGTGCCGTCGACTTGAATTGTCAAGAGGTCATCGCGGCGCACGCGGACAGTCCAGGACGAGTTGAAGTGGACCATGATGCCGTTCTTGAGCTCAAAGGTCGCGTACGCCGAGTCGTCGGCTGTGCACTTGTACGTCTTGCCCTCCTCATCGACTCGCTCCTTGACATGGGTCGCGCCGGTGCAAGTCAGCGAGTCAATGTCGCCGAACAAGTTCTGGATCACGTATTGCCAGTGGCATAGCATGTCGCTGATGATGCCGCCGTCGTCCTCCTTGCGGTAGTTCCAGCTGGGACGCTGCGGAGCCACGGGACCCTTGCCGTCAAACACCCAGTAGCCAAACTCGCCGCGGACAGACAGGATCTCGCCGAAGAAGCCGCTGTCGATCAGAGTACGCAGCTTGACCAGGCCGGGCAGCCAGAGCTTGTCCTGCACGACGCCGTTCTTGACGCCGGCGTCGACGGCCGTCTTGTACAGATCGTACGCCTGCTCCGACGACACGGCCGTGGGCTTCTCGCAGTAGACGTGCTTGCCCTTGGCGATGGCCTTCTTGACGGCATCGGCGCGGCGGCCGGTGGTCTGCGCGTCGAAGTAGATGGTGTTGTAGGGATCGTCGAGGCACGCGTCCAGGTCGGTCGAGGACCGCGTGATGCCGTGGGCTTGGCAGAGATCGCGCAGCTTGAGTGGGTTTCGACCGACGAGGATGGGGTCCGGCATGATGATCTCGCCGTTGGTGAGCTTGACGCCGCCCTCGTTGCGGATGGCGCAGATTGATCGGATGAGATGCTGGTTGGTGCCCATTCTAGTCACTGTTAGCACTCGGAAATGAATTGATCCCGACAAGAGATGTACCGGCCCGTGACTCCGTTCATCACGATGCCAACATTGTGGACGACAGGTTGCGCAGCCATTGCGATGATGAGGCACGATTCAAGGAGGGGTTGTGAGGTTGTCTGCTGGGATAAGTGCTTGCAGGTCGATTGGCTCTTAGAGTAGCTGCTGAAGAGGAAGCAATTGTCTCGTGAATGATCAAATCGTCAAGGAAAAGCGCTGGGATGCCCTGGCCTCAAGTATTTGACTGAATTGACTGAACTGAGTCGTGATAATCTGAAAACAGAAGACACCGGCATCTCCTTAATTTACATCTCAGAGTGCCCCTCGTTCCGGGCTTCCCCGCTCGGCTGATCATCCGGCCCCGCCTCCACAGTTTCACCTCCTCATCCCCAATTTGTCTCTATTCACATCTACGCCCTGGAACACCTGACGACTCTCGCTCTGACTCAAATGCTTGGGGGTTGGGGGCTCGCGAGATTCCGAACTTCGGGGGCACTCAGACAGCGTAAACAGCTCATGGGATCCGAGATTGCTTCCTCCGGACGCCCTCGGACTATGTCTCGGACTGTCTATACTGCGAGGTGACGCTCCCCCAACAGTGGACCCAAGCCATATTGGAGCAACTCTAGTCCGACCTGGGGGGTGGAGACGAGGATGGACACGTGCTTTGTGTGGGGTAAACTATCATCCTCGAGCTCCTCGGTTCGGCTGCTCGCCGAAAGCCGCAGGGCATATAATTCTCGCGTTACTCTGTGCCTTTGCATATTCATCAGACATAACATCTTCATTCAGCATTCCATCATAACTTCTATACACTCTACCTCATTCACCCCCAACAACTATCATTTACACTCAAAATGCGTGACGGAAAGAAGACTGTCCTGGTCATCAACGGCCCCAACCTCAACCTCCTCGGCACCCGTGAGCCTCAACTGTATGGCTACGAGACCCTGTCCGATGTTGAGACTGCCGGCAAGAAACAAGCCGAGGAGCTCAAGGCCAACGTCGAATTCTTCCAGAGGCAAGTCACTAACACCCATGCAATCACTGGCAATCTTGCTAAGATGTGCGTAGCAACTGGGAGGGTGCCATTGTCGACAAGATTCAAGAAGCCAGAACCAACGGGACTGACGGCATTGTATTGAACCCTGCTGGCTTCACTCACACATCTGTCGCCATTCGAGATGCACTACTGGGTGTGGAAATTCCCTTTATCGAGCTGCACGTCTCCAACATCCATGCACGAGAGGAGTGGCGCCACCACTCGTACTTTTCCGACAAAGCCAAGGCAATCATTGTTAGTACAGCTTATAAACGACCCTAGACTAGAATATGCGCTGACTTTGATGCCAGGTTGGTTGTGGCGCTGCCGGATACGGATACTCAATCGAGCATGTCGTGAACAAGTTTCCCCAGAGGCCCGACGTCAGCTCAAAATAGAGCCAAGTTGATGAAGAAAGTAAAGAATTTTATGAGATATCAAGGAAGATATAGTCCATCATGTCCACCATAAAATACACCAGTATAAATTAAGATTGCCATTTAATAAAACCTCTAAGACGGAGTGCCCACATCGGCTATGACCAACCCGTCCCGCCATAACCAGCATCAAACATACCGTCATTGAAGCTGATGATCCGGTCTACGTCGATGAAGTTTTGATCCGAGAACATCTGGGATATTGTGCTCAGGTCCCCATGAGGCACGCTGCCTTGGTGAAATGCGTCAGTCGAATTGGACTCCATCTCTGAAATCTCCGAGTTTCCACCTGATGTGCCCGCCGTGGAGAGCATATTCCTCAGCTCCCCGTGCTGGCCTGGCATCCTGGTTTTGAGATATCCATTTTCGCGCGCTCGAGCGGGCCGGGATGACTCTATTCTCGGCACTGAACTTGCATGCGATATTTCGGTCGTGTACCCAGACGGGTTAATTCGAAAGAATTCATTGTCGATGCTTTTTTGGTGCAGATCTCGCAACGTTTGAGCATACTTGCCAGCTAGATTTAGAGACTTTGGGTTGTCGAATCCAGACCATAGCCTCGACATCTCGTCGAGACTATTTAGAAGAGACGTAAATTCAGACGCCAGCGCGGAACTGGAGTAGTATCGCCAGTAGATCAACAATACCCGCGCGGATACAAAAACGCAAAACGCAAACTGATTCGCGACTGGAAGAGTGGACGGCACAGTCTTGAGATAGTTCCTGGTAATGGAGGAGACCTCCACAGCAGCGCAATGACAAGTCTCCGCGCTCGACGAGCTGGGCAGGCGAGCGCTAAAGGACCACGCAATCGGGGGGAAGGCGATGGGCTGGTGCAGGAGAATGATGGAAGTGTTGTGCGTGATGTGGGCGAGCGTCAGGTTCGGATCCATGCGGATCGATTGCCGCGCCATGTCGGCTTTCCACTTCTGCGGGAGGAACATCTTCCAGTGGATGAGACGCAGGTCCAGCTCTTTGAAGCGCGTGAGCCAGCTGCCGATCTCTCGCTGATCCCGCATGTTGACCTTTTGCTGGAGGAAGTACGTTGTGACTTGGCTGAGAGACTCTGTCGCCTCGACGGAATATGCAAAGGCGCCCACTGTAGACATGTTGATCGAAGGCACAGAGCCTGTGGGGGACACGCCGGACTCCATGGGCGTGTTCTTGTCGTCTTCTGGGCTTGTGTTTTGTCCAGACGTCCCGTAATGTGACGGCAGAAAGGCAATGGGGTTTCCGATCTTACCGGCAGACTTGTCCCAGATGTTAAAGTACGGCGTGACGACCGGTTCATCCTGCCACCAAAGACTAATGTCACAGGGCAGCCGTCGTTGGACATCGTTGGACGTCAAGCTGGTGTTCCAGCCCATGGTGATGGAGCAGAATCTGTCCAGGTTGAAGATGTTCCAGAATACTCGGCGCCGTTCCTCTGTTTCGATCCACACGCATTCGTCGTGGGGGGAGAGTGACACAAAGGGCTTGGATAGCGGTGGTCTTTCTGCCTCTTCGCTTTCGACGGTGAGTTGTAGGTATTCGACGGTTCGTGTTAATGATCCGATTACTGACCACGCCCGCATCTCCATGCCGTTTCCGATCTAGGAACCGTCAGCATTGTATCTGGGCGGGGATGGGAGGTAGCACGTACATCGTTGAATGCAATAATAGTCAAGGCCTGAAGGCTTTCAATGACGAGAGAGCTTATCGCCGTGGATATCACCCAGTTTCTCGCGACATCCAGCTCCCGTTTAGACAAGAGGCCGCCGGCGACGGTGTCGGCATCCACGTATCTCGTAGCGGCCACCATCATGGCCTGTAATATAACCAATAGCTTAGGCCGTTCCGCAGTGTCGGACAGCCTCTGATGGAACCTGGCTTTCTGCAGCATGGGGATCCAGGGATGCACATGACTAAAATACGTCTCGATGACAACCTCCATCACTGGATTGGGTGGTAGTGGCGGCATACCGCTCGCATCGTGTGGATCATGTGCATCGTGGGCGTCATGGACGTCGTGAGAAGGAGGTGGTAGATCCCCATCCGTGCGCCTCCGCTTCCGAGGAAGGGTTGGGACTTCATAGGCCGGGGTATCATTGAAAGCAAGCGATGTTTGGTGTTGGTCAGTTACACCACGGATGGACCTGTCGTTGAGCCGCTGGAGCTCTTGAGCGAGGAGCGACAAGATGCTACTTCCTCCGTTTGATGGAATGTCTCCACCATGGTGTCGCTGGTTAGGTTGTGACTTCAACTCCTCGATGGATGTCTCTAAGCTGTCTGTTGCCGTGTTAGTCAAGATGCATATGTATAACCACCCGAGTCGTACCTAATCGGCGATGAATATTCTCTATGGCACCGGGTTTCATGCCCGGCCTGCTCTTCTCTCCCTTGTACTCGCACTCACTCCCTAGCAACTCGCATAAGCACACCCTCGTAACCTGGGCTTGCGTTAGAATCAAGTTAGACTCACCAGTCTTACGGCATTGCTGGCAAACGGGCAGCTCGCGGGAGCACCGCAGCTTGCGCCGGCGGCAACAGTTGCAAGCCAGAACGGACTCGGCGCCGGCCGCCGAACCCTCAGCCTCTTCGGCTCGGGCGTTGAGCGTGTCCGCGTTCATTCTGCAGCGCAGTGACGGGTCAACGCGTGACGGAGCGGTAGGAGTTGGGATCTCGGGGTAAGTCCGCACCAAGTCTGGCCGTGTTCTGGGGGAAATGGGCGAGCCACATGCCCCGTCCCAACCCCGGTTATCGGCTTCAGGGATACGGACGAACTTGCGCTAATAAGAGCCTACACTAATACGACTCTGTATTCCTCTGCATTCCCCCACAGTCAAGTCTCCCCGCACGGAAAACCGAGTCAGGTGCGGCAGTGCGGACTAACTCGCTTCAGCTCGGGCTAACTTGCTTCAGTACGGCGTGCTTGAGAGGAGAAATGCACCTCACGCCACTAAAAATGTGGAGAGGATTATTCAGAGCGGATGAACAACACCGGGATTCTTTCCTCTGGGTTTGGGATGGGTCTGGATCCACCACCCCAACTTGCAATCGCCGTTGATTGGCAAAGTTATCCCAGATGTTGTATTTTATTGCTAGCATGGAGATACTGGATGAGCTTAGATGAGGTGCTGCTGGGGGGCCAACTCGCTTAACCCGCGTAGGTCTACCGAACACAATCCTCCTACCACTCATCGTTGTCGAAGAATCGCCTCCTCTTTACAGGGAGGTCATATCTCCAATCTGTCGAGTGAAGTATCGGCCTGACTCCCTAATACCCACTATGACGAACTTCTTTAAGTCTTAATTGAGGGAGCGATGCCACGGCTCACGGCCGAGGTAGAGCTGACACAAATGACTTCACAGAGCTTGATGCTGCCGCCGCCCCGGATTGTAGCCCCTCGAACACATCCTTGAGTGCTGTCTCCCATTTTACGGCTTGCTCTTCTGGCACGACGTTGCGCAGGATCACACAGCCTCGCTCATGGACAAGATCGGCAAACGCAGACGGCAGTTCATCGCCTTGAGATGAATTGTCGTTAGTGCAGAGCAGAAGTGAACCTGGAACATGAGCCTTGACGTCATTTCGCACATCTTCAAAGTCGATTTTAGGTATCATCAAGGGGCCAATTTGTTCAATGAGGTCGACTTTGGACTTAAGGATTTGCATAAGTCTGTCGTGTGAAGAAAGTGAGAGATCTGATTCAGAATTGTCGCGAGAAAGGCTTGCAGGAGTGTTGCTTTGGGCTATTGATCCCGCAGGACTTGAGTGCGAATAAGTCAGTATTGACCGACTGTCCGAAAGATAGGTGAGTCCCCACCACGCTGGCAAGGTGAACGATTGCTAATCGGGACGAATCGGATTTCATGAACAGCGTAGACGAAGAATTAGTCAACTGTCTGACCTGTCCATGTTACCAACATATACATGGAGCACACACGTCTCAGGCGCTCGATGACTGGCTTTGTTATTCAACTCATGCGTGTGATGATCCATTCCCGAGCGCTTCCTAGTAGTGCATAATGCTAGGTTGGTCTAGGGCTCCGCGGCTTGTTCGGTTCAATTTACTCGTTCCCGGCTTGCACAACACATCACCGGCTATTTCGATATGTCTGTTAGTCCTTCAATCCTTTGTTATGACTCTACATAGCAGATACGTATCTTTGAGCCGTTTGAGGGATTCCGGCCAGGATGATGTTGGTAAGCAATGCGAATTTCAGAAGGCAAGTTAATCATCACGACAGCATCAGTCGATTCTGTATGCAAGACATGGCCTAAAATTCTTTCAGGCAAAGATTTGATCTCCCTAAATGGCTTGAGCCTTAGATCATAAACTTATCGGTTCCCTCTCTTCTGAGAAGCTCTGCCCATCATCCGTCTTTCTCCCAATTTCTGTTCCGTGAACGCGACGCCGAGAGTCTCCCGAGCTCTGCAGTAGTTTCCTCCCTTCCATTGAGGACAGTTGTACCCCTCCGGGGTCCAAGACCGGTGCATCATGTCATTGGACTCCAGAGCCACTACAAACAAGGGCTAGCTTAGTCGAACCATACGACGGGAAAAGCTTACAACATGGATCAAGCTACCAGATTCGATGATCCTACGAGGTGGGAGGAATTCAGCAAGCCAGATACAAAAATTCGGCAAGTTATTTTACCTTTAACTATCCGTGGTCGTGAAAAAGCAGGCTAATCTATGTCACAGATGATTGGGGGAGGTATCCGGCCACGGCTCATCCGGCCACGGTCAGCATCTGAGATTCACAAAGTAAGTAAGAGATAGCACCCGCTGTTTAGACAAGATGCGGATGAATTGCCCTGTGGCCGATCAAAAAGTGTGCCAAACTCGGGGAAGCCTCTTAACGTGATGCTTCACGGCGGCGGATTCTGCTTAGGCAACGCGGGAATGGAGGCCACGAGCTGCATTGGCGCTGTCCGGGCTTACGACTGTGTCTCAGCGAGCCTCGCGTATAGAATGGCACCGAAGATGAAATTTCCTGTCCCTTGGGAAGTCTGCTGGGATGCTGTCTGATTGGTATGTTTTCACTTCTGCTATGTATGGGCAAAACGACCCCGAAGCTCACCAGAAGCAGCTCTCCGACAATGCTTCGTCGCTTGGGGCCGACTTGGTCAAAGGATTCTTTTTTGGAGGTAGATCTGCTGAAGACCACCTTGCAATTTCTCTAATATATAAGGCTCAGGATAAAAAAAAAACCTCCCTCCGATCACGGGCGTCTACCCCAACGTGACTCCAGCCCGAGCGCCGCAAGCAGTATCTGACAAGTACAAGCACCTTTATCGAAGCTGGCAGGTGCTGAGCAATGGTTTATCATTGACCTCCAAACAATTGATATGCACGATCAAGTCTTGGATCCTGAATTCTCATCTCTTCTTGGCAACCCTTCCTGCTTTGGACTAGCGGTGGTGGACAATAAAAAGGTGGTGTGTGTTTATGTCTCCGCTCAGGCCCATTATCTGATGGATCAACTATCACATCCCTTGCATTACGCTTGGCCTTACTGATACGCCGAATGTTATCCCACGGGCGCTTTTTTCCCCTTGCTTCTTTTCTCCAGCCACAGTGTCTCACAGTGAAAACTGCCTGTAGCCCAGCTTCCGGAGGGGCTCGGGTGCTACTGTGGGCAAGAATGAGGCCACGCCGAGGATGCCTTGGGATGTTGCCCCGATTTACTTCTAATGGCTTTCTATAGGCGCATTCTTGTGTCTAACTTTCAAGCCTGCAAACGTAAGGCTGCAACTATGTCATCACCAGCCCATGATGCAGAGAGAAGAGAAAAGAAAGACACAGGTACCTCTGAGCCAGCCACAACTGATGGATCGTCTTTGCCGAACGGCCAAGCCAGGTCTCCCATTGGATGCTTAGTAGCCAATAGTTTGACTGAACGGCATATGGTGGGGAGGGTATAGGATCCTGCAAAAGCAATAACCAACCCACCACTTACCGACAGACTGGTAGCGAGACAGGATAAGCACCAAGGTCGCCTTCATTTTCTTCTCCTCGATTCTCTCCCCCTCCAGTTCCCCTCTCCCCTCTCCGTCTCTCGTCTCTGTGTCTCGTCTTCTTTCCCTTCCCTTCCCACAACTTCAACGCCACCACCGCACTGTTTGCAACGTTCACGCCATGACCCAAGCCACCCCCACAACCGATGCGAAGCTCGCAGCTCTCTGGGAGTGCGTCGGACGATGGACCAACGACGTCCGCCAGATCAAATCCCCCCAGGATGAATACCAGCAAAAGTACGATGTCATCCGAGGCCGCTTCGACCACGAGCTTCAGCTATCCAGAAAGCGCACGATTCAACCCGAGAGCTCCCGTAGCAGCCTCGACACGCTTGTTCAGCTCGGCGCGGAGATGAAGGATCTCGAGATCCAATACAAGCAGTCGGTGACGGCCATGGAACGAGAGTACCAGGAACGACTGGACGCAGCCCACAAGAGCTTTGCCAATGCCATCATTGACGCCTTTGGGGACACCCTCTCTGGCTCTGGAATTCAAGATAAATTGCGGCTGGCTCTGATTCCTCGAGGGTCAACGGCTGAGACGGATACGGCCGACGAGGGACCCGACACAACACCAGACTTGTGTACGGACCTGGAGGCGAATTGTGCTCTAGACGATCCTACCACAGGTGGGACAACTCCAGAAGAGACTCCATCTTCAGGAGAGGCCGAAGTTCCTATTTCCAATCCCGAGTTCAATCCAGAGGAGAACACAGTTCAACCGACGAGTCCAGTCCCAGACACAAATGCCACTTCACAGATGGAGCCGGGCTCAGAGGCAACCTCAGCTCTGCAGGAGGATCTTCCACCACAGACGAATCCAGCCTCACAGATGAACTGGACTGCGGAGACGAATACAACGGAGGCGAATCCCAGCTTAGAGACGGATCCAGCTCCACATGTCAACTCGCCTGCACGGACAAATCGCTCCTTGGAAACGAATGTAGTTCCAGAAATGAACTCAAACCCAACGTCGAATCCAGCTTCCGGGACAAACATCGCACAGAACGAGACATTGAAGCAGGCCAAACGAGCACATGAGCCCAACTCGGTCACCGCCTCGCAGGCTCCAGCCAGGAAAGGCCTGGTGCGCATCCTTCCCAAACAACGTGAAGCCACCCATAACTACGCATCGACAGGTTGGACGCCAATCAACCCTCGAATGCCATCAAACGTCCCCGCAGTCGATCCCCATCCGTCGACGAAAAGACCCCCAGTCACAATAATCGATCAACAACAACAAAAACGCCCACGGCACGGTGATGAGCCGGAAAGGGTCATCGATTTTGACGACGTCTTCCAGGATGGAAATGCCCCAGTCAAGTACATCATCGCACAGTTTCCCCGCAGAACTGGGGATTGGTACATCCTAGAGTGCAAAAAGCACCGCAAACACTTTGTCCACGACCCCGTCCATGGTGCTGCTTCGCACCTCGCTAGTCGAAAGCACAGTATGACAAGAGGGTACACCACCGCAGTGGAGACGCTTGGCACTCGTGTCCTCAATTGCAACGACGTTTTGGCCGAGAAGAACAACGAAGTAGCAAGATGCGCCTTCAAGAAAAAGCTTGAACTTGCGCGGAGTAGATGTACCGAGCAAACCCAGCTGCATTCAGGAGATGAGGTTGATAGTGACCAACAGAGCCTCGGCACGTCCATCCCTAAACGTGTTTTCACTCCTGTCGTGGGCGGGATCTATGCTGCTCGTTACCCAAAAGTCAGGCATATCTATCCAGTTCTCATTCTTCCATGGGAAAGTCTTGACCTTTCTAAATGGAAGGCGGTCCTGTTGAGACGCACTCCCTCATGCTATCTCTTCGACATGGAGGTAGACCCATACCCACGGGGCTGGGCTGAAGGCTATGAGAATGGCGGCCCGTTGGCCAGCGAGAGACATTACCCTACCATTTACTTTGACGGTCGGCAGTTCCCCGAAGAGAGCTTTGTGGGCTGGGTTCGTGTCTCGAGATTCACACCCTTTGACCCCGATGACCCCAACATTGTCAACCGATCAAAAGTGGCCGAATTTCTCCAGAGCAAAGATTGTCGCCTCTCGTCCAACCAGCACGCTTCTCGAGAGCGATGCATCGTTATTTCGGATGATAGCGAGGATGAGGATCTGGGTACTGGCAACGTTATGGAACAAGAGAATTCCGAGAATGGGCCTGGTCGCAACAAGAGTACCAGCGACAACGGGGAGAATACTACGATTGGCGAACAAGGCTTCAGCCAAGATACAGGAAACCTCCCTGGGACGCAAATTCAGAAAATCCCGAGTTATGCCAGAAACTTGCTGCACCCACTTCCGCAGCCCACGACAGGCGTTGAAGGACAACGAGCAGAGAAGCCTGGAACTGCCGGTCAGTCGGGCCAGCCAACCCTGCAGTGGATCCTTGAGCGGCCCCAGGACAGGTTCATATCCACGAGGTTGCCCGAGGATGAGGAGAAAACAGCACTTGCACCGATGGCTGTCATGTCGACGACACAGGAGGTGGTTGGCGGTGGATGGCCATCATTCCCCATAGATGGAATAACGAATGCACCTGTTGATGTATAGGTACGACGCCGGAACACACAAGTCGACGGCTGTCGACCTCAGCAAGCCGAATTCCAGCCGAGGGCTAGATCCGGGCAGGTTTTCACGTCTTGTTCCTCAGCCTTGTCTACAACAGTGAGGCAGTGACTTCTTTGACCCTGTCATGAATGCACAATTTAGGCCAAGTCGTTGCCATGTCTAGTGTGCAGCCTGCGGCGACAACAACGCAACTAGTGTGGCAGGCGGTCTGGGACGTTTGGGCTAGCTGGTTGCTAGCAGGGATCTAAAAGGGATAAAAAGGGGAGGGACGCATTATGAACCTTGATTTAATTTCCCATTCGTTAGACTTAATGAATTTATTGCCTTGATTTTGAGAGATCGTTTTACGAAACTATCCCAAGTACAGCCACGATCCTTGTACAACCTCAGTCTTCCACCCCGCCAATAGACGGGCTACCGCGAGCCTCATCGATCTTTTGTCATTATTTGTTCTTGCGACAGACCCAATTAAACCTCCAATTCGAGGTTTTACTATTAGGAGGCATAAGCCTCAGATCTGCCCGACCACAAACACATAATCTGGTGCAGCTTCAGGCCGACCTTTAAAGACATCTACACGTCGCCATAGTACCGATGCATCCTCGGGGCTTCTTGTTCAAAGTCGGCCCTGTCGCTGGCATCTTGTTCGTACTGAACGAGTTGACCCAAACATCACGGATGTCGATGCAGTTGTAGAATGAGATGGTTGTGTGGAAGACCCGTTAAGTGGAATGAAAAATTGGGACACTGCAATTTTTAGGTTGTCGTTTGGCCACATTCCATCTCTTACGACTCTTACCTTGGTCGAGATTTATGTGCCCCGAAAATAGCTTAGGGCAACGGTTGGTCGGTGTCATCTGGTGTTGTGGATTTGGTTTGGAACAGACGCATAATCTGTAATTAAAACGGCAGCACTCGGCAGAGAAATTCCCCCCAAAGAAAAACCTGGCAACCGGCTATTGGCCTGTAGACAGGCAGGTTTGTGCTAACTTTGTGCTCTGCTTCTCGCAGCTTTGTTGGTAGAACGACAATCCCAAGCGAGGATCCATCAAGGCAGCATCCGGCAAAACGGCACGCACCGCCACGGGTGTGATGCGATGCTGCAGCTTGGTGGGCCGGTGGCTTGAACAAATTGTATTGTCCAGGGTGCCAGGAGCTCATTTGGTTCAGCTCATCGCTTTGAATTGGTGCTGTAACCAACATCAACCAACACAGCATGAATCCTAGCCCCAGAACCCATGCGCCCAGTCCCAAGAGATGTCAAAGTCTGGTCTGCGTTTAAATTGTCAGTCGCCTTCCACGAGGGTTGCATTGTCCCAGCCTGATCGATGGAGATGGATCTTAATTCAGCTACAGCCGTTGGCAATGGTGATGAAATCTAGAACCGTGGCGAACGCCCTGTTTAGGCGCCGAACAACTAATGCGCAGTAACAGTGACACAGCCCTGCTACGGCTTCATTAGGCTGATTCGAGTGCGCTGGCCAGGTTTCGTTACTCCACCTTCACCAATCCCACAACACGATCCATCCACTCGGCCGAGACAACCCTGTAAATGCTGCATTCCTTCGTATCAGTAGGCAGAAATCAGGGTGCCTGGAGCGGTACAAGCCTCATTGCAAAATTGTGACTAGTGCCCTTGCGTCGCTGTGTAGAATACTTATTACCGGGCCTAGAAGGACCATGCCAAGTTTTAACCTCGATCAATATCTGATCCATCTCGACATCCTTACCAAGAGCTGCATCCGTTCCTCTCCACCATGGACTTCAGAAGCCCCTTTACCTGGTACACCGTGCACCTCATGTGCATTCTGTCCCATTCCGCTCTTTTCCTGGCCGGATCCGCTGGAATTGCCATCGGAATCGAATATGATGTCGTGTTCTCAAGTGGCGTTGCTGGTCTAATGGTGAGTCCAGGCGACAACATTTATGCAACGAACTCGAACTGACAGGCCATGCAGGGAATGTTTGCCACGATTGTCAATGGTATTTACCTAGCAATGTATTCGCCACTTACAGAGCGCACCACCGCCACTACCGATAAGGCTTTCGACGAGTCTACCGACGAGGCCACCGACGAGGCAACCGAAGAGGTCCCCGATCAAGCCACGATCGAGATCCGCCGCTTCAAGAGCAAACTCGGGCTTGTTATTTTTACTCTTTTCAACTGCATTTTCACCATCGGTTCTGATTTCGCGTTTGCCGGAATCACGGGCGTGCGAGCGCATGAGCAAGAGAGCATCACGCTTGTTGTACTGTGTGTAATTGCAGTCATAGCTGGGTATGTTCTTCAAACACTACCGCGAAAATTGTATGCTGATTTGATATGTTCTAGAATCACCGTTCTTCTCGCCAATACAGTAGATGTACTCAGAATTTATTATCTGTTTACGGAAAAAGAGCAAGAATATTTTGAGCTAAAAGATATGGAAGTGCATGTGTAGGCTTTTAACTACATGAGTTGTGTGATGATGATGGTGTATAATATTGTATTTTCACATGTCAAGATATCAAGAGCTTCAAAGCATAGCTACAGTTTTCTTTTATATTTGCACATTTTACATCCTCAGTAATTTTGGCGCAATTTATTCTCTCTTTGAGAACCCTGCGACTGTTGTGTAACCCAACCGGAACCATGATAACAAGGCCTAGAGGGCAGCTTAATAGAGCATTAAAACTCAAAGAAATCGTGGATATTGCGCTGGCATCTGATCTCGCACATCAATATGCTCACCTTGACACCTCTTCGACGCTTGCAAATCCATTTGTTCGTATAGGGTAGGATCATCGGTCTAGCGTATCGGAACTCATCCCGACCGGGATCGCCGGTGCTTAATATTTCCCTTCTAAGACACCCGACACATCCTCATTCCGGGTCATCTACGGAGATCGCTTCCTTGGCCTCGGATATCGGTGATTTAACAACAGCCATAAAAACTGGCTGCGGTGCGTGATACGCTGATAGAATATTCCCTCGCATGTCGACAGTTGATAGCCTCCTCCCAAAATGGCCGAATCTACTCAGCGCGTGAACATCGTTCCATTTCCGTCAAGGCCTCGCGTCTTCATTTTGACCGACATCACCAACGAGCCCGATGATGCCCAGTCGTTCTGCCGATATCTGACCTACTCCAACCAGTTTCAGACCGAGGGAGTTGTCGCCTGCACATCAATATGGCTCAAGGACAAGGTTGCGCCCGAGAATTTGTTTCAGATTCTCGACGGATATGAGCCTGTGGTCGATAATCTCAATGCCCACGCCCACCCACAGTTCCCTTACCCGTCTGCGGATTATATGAGAAGCATCGTCAAGCCCGGGCCTCCGGTAAGTAAAAAGAAGCGTTAATTGCCGCATACGCTGACCTTTCCAAGGTATATGGCATGGAGGCGGTTGGAGATGACATTCCGCTGAGCGAGGGAGGCAACCTCCTGTTGGAAAGGATTATGGCTCCCTCTGACGAGCCACTCTGGGTCCTTGTCTGGGGCGGCACAAATGTGTTGGCGCAAGTGCTCAACAAGATCCGGGATCGTCCAGACGCAGCGACGCTACGATCAAAACTGCGCGTATACACCATCTCTGACCAAGACGACTCCGGCGCCTGGATCCGACAGCAATGGCCAGATATCTTCTACATCTGCTCTGTGCACGGCTGGAATCAGTATGGGATGTCTACGTGGGTAGGCATCTCGGGTGCCGTTGACCAGGACGGTCCCGATTCGTCCAAGGTCGCCAAGGAATGGCTCAAGGAGCACATCCAGGTCGGACCGCTTGGTGCTCAATATCCCGACCTCGAGTTCATCATGGAGGGAGACACGCCCACGTTCTTGTATCTGATCCAAAATGGCCTGAGCTTCCCAGAGCGACCTTCGTACGGCTCCTGGGGTGGCCGTTATGTTCCGGTCAACGTCAGCGCCAAGGGAACTGCGCAGTGTCACTATGCCGATACTTTCGACACTGTCAAGGGAATGGATGGCCGGATGTATAAATCCAACAAGGCCACCATCTGGCGCTGGAGGAGTGCCTTCCAGGAAGACTTTGCGGCACGCATGCAATGGACTCTGACGGATGATTTCACAAAGGCCAATCATCATCCTGTCGTTGCTGTCAACGGCGATATCGGGATCACTCCTTTCCGCCTGGATGCAGACGCCGGCTCAACTGTCACCATCGACGCATCAGACACGTACGATCCGGATGGCGACAAGCTTTCATTCAAGTGGTTCCAGTACATCGAGCCGAGTGCCGAGCAAACATACCACCCTCCTGAAGTATCTCATCTTGAGATCAAGACGCTCAACGAGAGCGGCAGCAAGGTCGAGGTGACGATTCCAGGGCCTGAGAAGTCTTGTATCCTCTTCCGAGAGAAGAAGCAGATCGAGCGTGGCCTCTTGCTGCACTTGATTTTGGAGGTCACGGATAGTGGAACACCCGCTTTGACAAGTTACCGAAGAATTCTTATTCAACCGGTCAACAAGAATTTCAAGTAATGTAATGCAGATGAGCTAGATAGATTACTGGTGAAAGCCAAATAGACTGTATTTCTGTGCTCACATTACGAAACGTGCGGTGCCTGGTACTTAGCGTCTCAGTTCGTGGCAAACTGAACGGCAAATGCACGCGATTAGTTTTGGCCAAATGTTTCATTTTGTTGATGTCTCGGTTCTGACGGAGTACTAGCAGCTGGGCATATCCTAGTCGTGATGCTTCGCAGATCTTTTGCATGTTCTGGGCGGGCACTGAAGCACCATAGCACTCCAGCTAATTCGCACCGAATGTAGTAAATGATAGATGTCCAAGTTTGGTAATTCCGAGCCTGGTCTCTTAAATAGGCATCTCCAGAGGTGATCTGGGTTTCATACGACCTTACCAAGCTTCTCCACAACTGATTAATTCGCGCTACGCCATGGATGGATCGACAGAGTCTCCAAATTGGCACTTCTATCCCCCAGGAAATGCTTAACCCCGGACCGTCTCTTGCTAGCGGGTCTCATCCCTCATTTACTGGCCCAACCCCGCACTTGAAGAGACGCTCCAGGATGGACCATGGGGCAGCATGTACGTTTTCGGCAATCCTAAGCACTCCGGTCGAGGAATCGCCTCATTCCCGGAAACCGCTAATGGAAATACGAGAACTACACGGCGGTGACGGGATAGTAGGCCCGAGCGGAATCCGGGGTTCTCCTGAAGTTGGGGAATTGTAGCATGGTTAACGTCGATCAATGCCAGATATAGATGTCATCAAACGAGTCAGTAAGGCTTTTGCGTCTTATAAATTCAACCGCTGACCCCCAAGCCGCCATTTCGACACTCCGGTTATGTCCTCACAGATTCTGCTTCTTCACTAAGACCATCCATCTTCAAATATGATGAGAAACAATGCCACTGATCCTGAGGATAAGCTCGGCGTGCAACAGGTCGAGGCGACTGAGGATGCACAACTCGCCCATCTCGCTGACCAAGAGGACCACGACACTGGCATCTGGAAATCTTTCGTGAAATATCCGTGGGCATGCGCCTGGTGTGTTTATGCCTGCTGGTGCATCATTCTCGTTAGTTTCGATGTCCAAGCTGCCGGTAGCGTTATCGGCATTCCGCAATTCCGCAAAGACTTTGGGCACAAGTTCGGAGACAGCTATGTTGTCCCAGCCAAATGGCAGTCTGCTTTCAGTGGAGCACCGGTTGCTTCGTACGTATTTCTTCCCTTTGCATGTATGGGAACGACTAGCTAACACCTGACTGTCCAGAGCTGTGATTTCCTCCCTCATTTGTGCCGAACTGGCCGACTGGATTGGCCGAAAGAACGTCCTCATAGGTTCTCTCATTATTTCCGTGGCTGCTGTCGCCATCGAGTTTGTTGCCACCTCAAACCTTGTCTTCTTCTTGGGAAAGCTCTTGAATGGCGTCATGGTTGGCGGAGTTGCAACAACCATGATCAGCTATATTGGAGAGGTAAGATATGGTCGCTCGCAACACCCACATCAAATTGCTCACTAGATTCGAAGATCACACCCTTAGCCCTCCGCGGCGTGTTTACATGTGGCGTTGGCGTGGCTTATGGCATCGGCCCATTAGTCGCTTTTATCGTCATCAATTACACCGGTGACGTCGAGACGCGTTGGGCCTATCGGACAGTTTTCTGTTGTCAGTGGGGATTTGCCGGCGTTGCGTTGCTGCTTATTCCTTTCATGCCTGAGTAGGTCAAACTGCTATACCCCTTTTTCTGTCCCCAACTAATCGTATCTAGGTCGCCATGGTGGCTCGTTTCGAAAGGTAAAAAGGAGAGAGCGCTCCGAAATCTCCAAAAACTCGGCTATACTGGCGAAGTTGGCCACAAGAAGCTTGCACTTATCGAGCTCACACTGGAACACGTCCGCACAGAAACCGAAGGCGTTACTTATATGGAGTGCTTACGAAAATCCAACCTTCGCCGTACCATTATCAGCATTATGCCATTGTCCATTCAGGCGCTGTCTGGAATTGCATTTGTGGCTGGGTACTTTACCTACTATCTTCAGTTGGCAGGCTACTCGACTACCATGAGCTATCGAATTCAAATAGCGCAACCTGTTTTATCCATCGTCGGCAATTTGATGGCAGCTGCCATGGTTGACAGGGTTGGCAGACGAGACCTGACCTTCTGGGGTCTTGTCATCCTCACTATCTTCCTCCTAATCACGGGAGGGCTGGGACTAGGAACCTCAAAGCCTGCCATCACGGGAACAGTGGCGTTCATACTTATCTATAGCTGGTGGTACAATGTGTCCATTGGTTCCACGGCATTCTCCCTCCTTTGCGAAGTCTCTACATCACGCCTTCGTGTCAAGACTATCGCTATTGGATATGCGCTGCAGAATTCCATCAACGTCATGTGGCAGTTTGTCATCCCGTTCATGTTCAACCCTGATCAAGGAAACCTGGGCGCAAAGGTGGCATTCATCTTTGGTGGCTTGTGCCTCTTTGCTCTGGCATACCTCTGGTTTTATCAGCCCGAGACCGCTGGAAGATCGTACCAGGAGTTAGATGAAATGTTCGCTCGGGGTGTGCCTGCCAGGAAGTTTAAGGGATACAAAACTGAAGCCCAGATTCAGAACGAGGCTGCAGCGCAGGGCTTGGAGAAAGGACTATGATAAAAGTGTTGAACTCTTCTATGATGCATTTACTGGAAGGTACAGTCATTGGAAACTTAAGTTCGACGATACTAGGAATTATTTGAACTACATTGCTACATACACACCGATGAGCATCAGCTATGTCTTCCAAGCTTGATATCCGCTCTCAACGCATTGAACCACTCCAAAGACAATAGTCAGAGCCAAAACCGAAAGAGCAACCCAGAAAGTGTACCACTGTACACCATTTCGTCTATCGTGCCAGAACTGAGATAAAGTCCTCGGCGTTGTCTCATCATATGCTTGCTTTAGAATGACAATGCGGTCTCTCCAGAACTTGAAATTCTCCATCTGGCGGTCTTCCATGTGTAGAGTTCCACATCTGCCCAGCCTTTTGTCGACAGTGTCGTGCTGCCTATCACAGAGCTGACGGAACCACGAGTGTTTCGATGACCTTGAGGCACTTGAAACACTCATTGACTGGGGGAACAACAAGGCAAGAGTTCGGAGGGTCTCTTCAGCCAAACCTCGAGGGAGTAGGGACTCTTGACTGTGAATATTTAGATACAGAGATCTCATATTGCGGACGGGTTAACTCACTTTTTGAGCCTCTGACACTCAAGAAAAGATACGTGAGAAAACACCAATACCTTGGAATCATCCTCAGTCACAAGCAAATGTTCGGCTAAGTTGTCAGTAAAGCTGATCTCGATGCCACCAATCATCTCAAGACTCCAGCCGTTGAACGACTTTGGAAGCTTGACGGCGTCGAAATTCATCCTCGGATTTTCGGTAAAATGAGCCCTAACGAGGCATCGTAGGGTGCCATTGTTCCAGGCTAGATGTCGGCGAGGCAGGAATTGACCCTTAACAGTCCCGATCCGTAGCATGAGCAGGATCCTGGCAGCAAGATCGAGAGAACTTTCACACTCCCCGTCGGAATTTGCGCGGCCGCAAATATTCTGGATCTCAAGTAGTAGATCCTCTCGAGACCTATCCGTTTGCAATCGCTGAACCAGCCGGTTGATATCCTCTGGTGCCTTCAAGGCAACAAATTTCCCGTCGCAATTAGCTGCTATGAGAACCCATTGGCGCTCATAGTACTCTCGGTAGGCAGAGTCATCTATCTCCCCAACCGAATCGCCGTTGAAGAGTCTGTCATTAGAGGAAAAGGATCGCCATAGCGTCTGAACTAACTCCTCGGACCCTATCGTTGCTGGTAACGTAGGTTGAATTGGGTTCATTTTATGAAAGGAGAGGATTTCTGGCCTAACGAAATGGACCTTGGTGCAAGCCTGAATACAAGAAGATCAGTTTGGCCGCACTTAATTAACTGCGTTGAACTTACTCTCCGAACGTGATGACTGGATTCCCATCGCCTCAAGATTTTTCATTTGGGCACCAGTGCAAGCTCGTAGTAATATCGGCCCAAACATGCACTTTGCTCGGTAAGGCGGACTTCAAGGCAGTGTTACATTTCGCCATTTGAGGCCATCCAGTCCACACAATAATCACAACGCTATCCAATTACTTCGCTGCCCCCGAGCGGGGCACATCTCGGTGTGTCACTTCGCCCTCTGCGTTGTCCAAACAGCACCTTTGTCATGCGGGCTCTAAAAAGTGACCCTACAAGCCCGACGGGGGTGATCTCTCTCCCATTTCCACTTTCTTCACAATTTTCTCGTTTCCTTCATCGAGCCGCTATCGGAAAGCTTTCCGGTCTTGGCTATCTTTCCTCATTCTACATCATCGAACCTGTTCGTTGCCAAGTCACGATGCCACCTCTTAGTAAATCTCAATGGCCCAACGCTGAGGAGTCGTGTGGAAGCGAGGTGCAGACAACAAGACTTGGGCGAAACCGGAGAGCCTGGTGGGCTCGGGGCCCGGCAATTGAACAGTTCAATCGAGATATCGAGCCAGAAATCACAGCCATCTTGAAGAATATCGACATGCAGGACGCGGAAATCAACATCCGCGTGTACATGATTGGAAAGAAGGAGGAGACCAGTCGCCCAACAGTCATGGTCTGTTGCGTTGACAAAGAAGTGCGTCAACGAGCGAAAGAGTCATTACGAGCCAGTTCAACACTCCGGAACAACCCTGGGTTTGCGCTCGGATCGATCGACTACCTGCTTGAGCAATTGGTACCTGGCCGAAGTTTGGCATCGAATATGGCAGATGGGAGTGTTAATCCCAGAATCGAAACCGGTCCCAATTCAGATCCAATGCTTGAGGTCTTCTCCACATCGCTCATCCCGAAAATTGGAAGACGTCTGTACATTACTCACCTTGGGACCATCGATGCCTACCCTTGTTCCACTGGTGGCGTGGTGGTTGAAGTGGGAAAAGAGCTTTTTCAACTCACCGTCGGCCATATCTGTGATGTACAAGATAACGGGCAACAAGTGACCTCATCAATGGACTCTGATGCTTGTTCAATTGACGGTCAAAGCGAAAGCGGAAGTGAAGCCGACGATGCACTCTCAGCATTCGAGCAGAATATGCACCGGGCAAGCATGTCTTTTTGCGAGATGTCTGATTTTGGATGTTCGGGAGACGAAACAGACTCAAGCACATCAACCACGCTCGAAAGACACCGAAAATCGACATGTACTGTCTACAGCGATACAGCCAGTCACAAATATCGTGTCGTGGATGGTACCCCGGAGTCGCCGCCCTTGATCAAAGTCGGGAAGGTAGCTTTACATTCTCGGGACGGAAACAATCCGAATCTGGATTATGCACTGATATCAATCGACGAACCCGTCTCTCTGCCCTTCAACGAAATCACCCTGAGTCGTGAAGACCACTCGCCAATTCTTCAAGTCCGCCAACTAGCTACCATTGACAATGAGGAGCGGCGTATCGTTTCAGTTACAAGCGCAAGTGGGGTCTTGAAAGGCATGTTGATCCCAGGAACAACTTTCCTAGCCAAAGGAAACCAACCCCAACCTCAAAAACTCCATGTCGTTCAGTTAGATGGCGTCGTTGCTGAAGGGGACTCTGGGGCCGTCGTGGTGGATGAAGTATCCGGAGATCTTTACGGCCATATCATTAGCGGATGCCCCGGGACCCGGATTGCATATATAGTTGCTTCATCAGCAACCTTCGAAGACTTGAGCACTCGAACAAACGGACAAGTATCAATCTATTCTTCGAGAAAGATTGATAAATCACCGGCACAGCCTGTTGAAGTTGGTCGGCGACCAACCGACACTGTCGAAGATAGACGCCGAGAGGGGGACGCTCACGACAGCGACATGCCACGAGATTACGACAAAAGGGCCTTACCATACCGTCGCGTCGGAAAAAGAAATCGCGTCAAACATGTTTTGCAACGAAGCCGTCGGAAAACAGGCCCAAGAAAGTCGACTTCCCCTTCAGGCCAATCACTTCTTCATGTGTGGAATCCGTGCCCCATAGATCCTGGACTTGTCCTCAATCCCGTTTCGTTTTCGGATGACTGGGGACATATCTATGCAATCATAACTCTGAATCATGCGTTCTTATCCCAACACGATAGTGAAGCTGAAGTGAAGGAGGTTGAGGATTTCACTAAGTGCTCACTAAAAGAGCTTTTTGGCCCAGTGTCTTGGAATCGTCAACGTCTCACCGCAATACTTGACGACTATGCCACGAGTGGGGGGCTTTCTAAAAGAAACTCGCTCAGTGAGCCCCTGACGGCCTCTGGTCTTTATCTTAGGCTTAAAGAACTGGTATGGCAACCCAGATATGCACTGATGTGTCCTAACTTACAAAATGATAGTGGTACCCTGAGAAGAAAGCCAATCAGAGCATGAAGTCGAGACCGGAACATTCAAACTCCTGCGGTAATGATTATATTAATAGGCGTTTGATGTGAGACCTGCAAAAGTTCAATATTGCCCAAAATACTGACTTGAGTATAGATTCATCACCGATCTCGACCGGTGGGGATTCACTGCTCTCGCCGCGACAGTTCCCACAAGTCAATCCAAAACGCTGAGCTCTGCTCTCATGAAGTACTTGATACCTCGGTCTTCATTACAAGTATCGATTCCAGTGAGCTCTTGTCCTAAGAAATAACTCAACAAATCCCAACTAATCTTGTCCCAAGGTAGTGGGAGTGGGATTCATTCTGGAATTTCACATCTCGTTCTTTTGCTGGCCAACCAGGAGAGAGAAGGCCGAAGACTCAAGAATTCGATCAGAAGGCAAACCATTAAGAAGATGCATGGACGTTTCCTTTCTAGAACCGGACTCTCGGGGTGACAGCACAGTGTATGAAGCGCAAATCTCCTGTGTGATTACTGGAGAAAGCAACTGGACGTGGACCGCCTACCTTTTTACGGACACCTATTTCGAAGAGGAAAGTCCCGATGATGTTACTCAATTCTTCGAGGATATGTCGGATGAAGACGAATGTCTGCTCAAGCTGGATCCCCTCACTCAGGGGACACGCGACACAGTCTTCCCAATCTTGGATCCAAGAGCGTATTTCCTAATTGTGCTACAGGTACGACTTCGTTGTGTCAACGAACACTGGCAGTTCTTGATCAATAAGTTACAACCTAGGATACGTCAACATGTGAGATAAATTTGACCGGTTTCATGAGGGGCTGAGCACCTAACAACAGGCAGATCTCTGACCACCAACCTTCAAAATTTGATCTTGAGAGTTCTCATAGCGATGCAATTTCTGCCTCTGAGTCATCTGCTTGGATTGCAAAAAGCTTGGATGTAATGAAGCAATTGCAGCACAACCTTTCCCAAACCGTACTCGAGCTCGACAAATTTATGCGAGACGACGCGGATTATTTTACCGATCAGGAATTTCTGACCGCGAACAATTATGCCTTAATGCGAACGTGGGACTCAATCAAGCACACTCGCCATGAGCTGCGTAGGATCGATAGCCGCTTAGCTCAGCTCATAGAGCACTGCGAGGACTTCAGAAAGGATGTAAGTCCACCAATCCCACGAAGAGTCATTGCGTTAACTGTATTCAAGATCAAGCTGCAACTTAATATACAGAGGCACCAACTGTCTATTACACGACCCGATAAGTGGACTTCAGAAATTATCCTGTTCGTAAGTGGCAAATTGCCTTTCATACCTGATGGTCGGCTTGAGTCTAATGCACCCTCCGCTTAGATATTTTGCCCTCTAGCTCTTGCATCTAGCTTGCTTAGCATGCAACCCTCAAGCTTTCCCTTCAGGAACCCGACCTTCAGCTCTTTCCTCGGCACTGCCGCTGTTGTTTCTGTCATCTTCTGGTTCACTATCATCATCATCACGAAGTGGGGTTCTGACATATGTCGCGCTGCCGTGCTTTTCTTGGATGACCTCTTGAAACCAACGCGTACAGAAGGCGTGCGGCGGGAGAGGAGAATCGGCAACGATAATGCCGTTGAGTTAGGGCGATATCCCTGAGTGATAATTAGAGTGGCTCGTGCATAGATTTGTACTTCTAGCTATCTTCGGTTCCGACAAGATCAAGCTCTTCCTGTGATTGCAATCCCTCATCACCGAGTTCTCAACAAAACTTCAGTCAGGACATGCCAGACGTTTGCCAAGTTTATCACCGGACTTGCTTCTGTCACCATCTCTGCGTACGCAGCTCAATGTGACGAAGACGCTTTCCGCAATGCAAATACCTTTCATACGGATCGTTGGTTGGGGCTTGGATACGGCAGATGTGGTCGACCTTCAATTTCTAAGAATACGGAGTAGCTAAAGACTCGAACAGCTATAGAATACACGCCAGCAATTAGGCTACTTGAATTACCACCGAGCCGTTTATGTCAACAAGGGCAATATGTATAAAAGTTGAGCATATGTCTCTGGCCACTCCACACCTAGCCATTCGATTCAATAGGAGCAGACTGTTTCTAAGAAATTAGGACACCAAGAGCCTACGTGGAATCAGAACTGCAATCGAGGGGATGAACTTCTAGTATGGTAAGAGCAACTTCTAATATTAAGTCACATTAAGGTATGTGTAGATTCGGGGAGGCTGATTACAACACGCTATCATAAACCGGTTCGGATAGTGGCTGTCAACACTTTCATTTATCCTTCGGCAGTCGCCCATTGACCGCACATCATTCCAGAACGCCATCGCTCTTGATACCAAGTAGACCACTGGTTGGGTACTATTACACCTTCAAATTGCAAAACTAGTAGACCAGGCTTCAGCACACTAGATCCTTTCCACCGAATCATAACGGGATCCCTCCTGCTGGTATTGCGGTTCATGATTTGTAGCCGGAGTTTGGTCCTGGTTTCGATGGTCCCCAAGCTCATGACCTGTCCCCAGCTCTTGCGGAGTGGCCGGAGTGCCGTCCGTTTCCTGTATTGCTATCGTCGGAAGGGGTGAGTAGGCTTGACCATAGCCTTGAGGGACCGAGCTGAAGTTAGGGTAGGCATAATGCGGTATCAACTTGCCGTCATGGTCTACTGAGAAGCCGCTGGGGTATTGTGGGCCGGTATTAGGTACGAAGGCTGGAGATTCTACACAACATGTAAGCCACGCTCGCCCTCCAGGTTGTGCGAAAGGGCCACGTACCTTGGTAATAGCCGGCTGGCGACTGGGCTGCAAGATAGCCCCCGGGAGAGCCAGTCTGCATATGGGATACCGCGCGCTGAATCTCCTTCTCGTTCTGCTTTCGCTTCCGCGGAGCCAACCAACACTTCCATATAAGGATCGCTAAGAGCATGACGCCGACGGCAGCTGATCCAGCAGCAATGCCCGCCACAGCGCCGGTGCTCAAGCCCCCGCTGTGTTTGTGGCCCGCCGAGGTCGTCGCGGACGCCGTACTCGTAGCCGTACTCGTAGCCACGCTCGTGGTCTTGCTCGTGGTCCTGCTCGCTGCGTACGCCTCGGGGTCGAGAAAGGCTTGCTTGTTTTTCGAGAGTGTCGACAAGACGGCGGGCAAGAGGCTGCTGCGCGGACATCCGCTGGAGCAAGGACTTACATCGCAGCAGCCGAGGAAGGGGGGGTCGATGTTTTCGCAGATCCACCAGACCTCTGACTGTCGACTGTCATCGCAGCTTTGTTTCGTGAGATCGTCGACTTTGTCGGCGTCGAAGGAGGCCGTCCGCAGCTTGCCGCCTTCACACAGACCGCTGCCGTCGGCGCAGGGGTCGATGGTGCAGCATCCTATGAATTCGTTCGCGCTGCCGTCGCAGATGTAAAAATCGCCGCCGTCCGGACAGGACAGGCCGAAGTATTGGATGGCCGGGGATTTGGCGTCGGACATGTTGTGATGGTTGAGGCAGGGCTCAGGGAAAAGATGCCGGGTACAACACGGCCGGGGAGACGAAGAGCATCAGCGCTTGAGAACAGAGGGGAGCGCAGCTCTTCGTTTGAGTACTCCAGGCAAACATGGCTTAGTGGCTTAAGGTGGCAATTCCATTCTGGCTATAAGGCTGGCCTCTAAGTTAGATGGCGGTGCCAATAGCCAACCTCGCAGGGGCACGCGGAGTCTTGGTGGCGTGGATGTCTCTGCGCGAAGACGGTAATAGGGCTGCGGTCTAGACTAGTTCTGCACTTTGGCTTTCGAGCAAGCCGAGCTGAACGCGCTTGTCTCAGCCACGGCCCTTTGGTGTGCATGGTCAAGTTAAGCATGTCACCCGTTGCATGATGGATCCAGCAGCTAAGATCAGGCTGCCGGGGCAAGGGATGCTGAAGAGACCACTACTGTGATTCTGGGTGTCGTTTTTTTGGTCCAACTCATTCACCAGAGTGAGCGTAGATATAATATAACTCCCCGAATTTTGCATAATTTCCTCGCATCTGTGGCTCTCGATAAAGCCAACCTACATCAAACCGGTCCAAGTCGAGAGCCATCTCAAGCTACAAGCCACCGACTCAGCCATCCCCAACTCCTCGCACCCACAGTCGCAGCGACATCCAGGACTCTGCGTACCCAGGACCAATTACGTGCAGCTATCCCACACCGACCCAACCCCCCGCTTCTTCCCTTGCGTAGCTGAGCTCGCGATGACTGGCCCTCGGCGCGTGGCGTAAGACATGGCGTTGAGGCCTGGACGCCTCTCAGAGCCCGCCGTTGCGGCAAGATGGGAAGTTAGCTGCTGGCTTGTTTGCTTGGCTGTCTGTCGGCTTCGGCATCTCGGCATCATACCACCTGGCTGACGCCAAGATCCCAAGATTCGTGCCACATGCAGCGTGCGTACGGGAGGCTTCTGTAAGAATTCGAAGAAGGCTCGGATTGGGGGCTGTATTCACCAGCGGTCCTGAAATGGGACGCAGCCCAGGGAATGTCTTTCCAAACAGGATGCGTCCAAGGTTTGTCCATCACTGCTACGCCATGGCGGGCCAAGAGATGCGCCATGATCCACGCGGATCCTCCCTCTAGTGGACGGTACTTGCCGGCAGATAGAGCCTTGCCGCTCTTGTTCTCGCTTGCGTCAAGCTACTGTCCCAATCCTGCCATATGCACTTCAGTAGCCAGACATTGGCTGCCTGAAAAGAAGCAATATGGGCCTGGCGGTGTTTCCTCCAAGTACGTGACGTGTCACAAGTCCTACCGCGGCGACTTTTTGCCCAGTCGGTCTTCCAGTTTCAATTGCCTCTTGAGTGTCCAGCATTGCGGCGCTGGAGCTGAGTCAGGGCTTCATCCTTATTCAATTGATCAGCGGCCCGATTGGCACGCGTGCATGCTCGGTCTCTAGCTAGAATGGCCGAGTATGTACGCAAGGGTGAGACGAGTGCGTGTATTTCTTTTCAAAATCCCCACGATGCTATGCGTGCCAACGGTCGCAACAAGTCGCGCAAGCCACGACTGGAGCTCACGGCGTCAATCCACAGAGCTGAACTCCGCCTCAACGGGGGATTGAGACAGCGACAAGGCCCCTGTACATTTCACCTCTTTCCAACATCAACTAGACCTGAATGTGGTGTTTTGCAGTTCTCCAAACAGGGGTCCAGCCAGGTCGGTGCAAAAGATCCAGTTGTTTATAGAACGAAAAGTTGCCGACAGGCCAGACGCAAGGATGCCTCGGTATCACGACGCACCAACGGATCATGCATAACACTGAGCTTGGCTCTCTAATAATAATCACCCAGTAGCCAGCTGGAGGCTTGGCTCCCAGACAGCTAGGCTCAGGGCTACGCCAAGCCACCAAATTGAGAGCCTAGCATCGCACTCGTCGATCACGTAACTAGCTGCGCCCCCCGGAATGCCATAGGGCCACAAGTTTCATTCTGGCTTGACGCTTCGACTCAGCCCTCGGCATCGCCCCATCCGGCTAAACCAGAGACGCTGCGAGAGACGGGCTGCCGCCATGGCTCCATCACCGGACGGGGCTAGATCAGGGCGGCTGATGGGGAGTAATGATCCCGGAGAGTCCAGACCCCGCGAGGCTGTCAAAGGGTCGAGGCGTGACGGCCGAGCCACGTCTTGGACGCTATCTCGTCCTTCACCGTTCATAGCCAGCCCTGTCATCGCATCGCGTCGCGTCGCGAATTCGCTGGATACAGTCCAGACACCGCCCGCCAAGGAGCAACGACCGTCTCGGTCTCCAACAGTCGCTTCCTTTCAACTTCCCTCGTTTTTATGTCGCATTCTCGCCATGCCGTCTCTCCGAAGCCAGCTTCTGGCCTGCCTCCTCCTCGGCCTCGTATCGGGCCGCAAGATCCCAACCAACGTCAAGAACTTTTACAACACCGTTGTGACCCAGGGCGAGTGCATTGATAAACTCGCCAGTGGCTTCCATAGCATTGAAGGCGACTCGGGCAGTAAGTCATCACGCCGAGCTGCGAACGGCTCTTGGATGGTATAATTGCTAATGAGTGGCATAGAGTTTTCGTACTGCGGCGACCATGTGAATGACTATAACGTCATCTACATCCAGGGCAAGAATGGCACTTTAGCTAACATGGATGTCGACTGCGATGGCATCCAGGGTAGCCAAGCCGATGACGGCCGATGCGAAAGCTCCGACGATACGCAGTCCATTACCTCATTCCAGGATATCGTCCAGGGATATAAAACAGGCCAAAAGGACTTGGACTCCAATATCCACCCATATGTTGTTTTTGGAAATGAAGGCACCAAGAAACACTGGCATAAGTTTGACCCTCGAGACTACGGCATTGAGCCTCTGAGCATCATGGCTGTTGTTTGTAATAATAAGCTGGTATGCCTGCAAACGCCTCGTTTTTACTCACTTACTCACGCAATATTAGATCTACGGCATCTGGGGTGATGAGAACGGCGACGACGGCACAGAGGCCATGGTCGGCGAGACATCCCTCTCTCTTGCGACGGCCTGCTTTGGAAAAGAGATGAACGGCAACAATGGCTACGACGGCAACGACATCCTGTACATTGCCTTCCCCGGCAGTGACGCAGTCCCCGGAGCTAAGGGTGCATTATGGAACGCGAAAAACTACACCGCATTTGAAGCTAGTATTAGGACACATGGTGATGTGTTGATTGCACGTATTGGCAACAACTCGAGTGGTAACTGCACGGGATCGAGCGGCTACTGCCATGTTCCAACAAGCAGCGGCTCGTTAACTGCAGTGGGCTCTTTATGGATGGGTGGACAGGCGCTGCTAGCTCTTATTATGGCGGTTGCTCTGATAATGTAATCTGTATTGACACATGCATCAGTGGTGCTTGTTTCGGTACTTGTGTCGGTGTGTGTCTACTTCACAGCCTCTTTCGTCCATCTTTTCGCCTACCTGAGGGCCTCTGAAGAATGCATGTTGCTGTAGGATTGTATCTTCGTCACCGGGATTTAGTTCCGAGTTTCCTGGAACAGTGCCCAATGGACTGTTCCCAACTCCAGGTGGATGACACCTAGCACAAGCGACCATACACTGTGAAAAAGAATAGTACGATCTGAATCATAGAAATCGTTGAAAAAGGCCTATGGTCGCATACGACGTGGTAGTCTCAGGCAGCCTGGACCTCAGGCAAACCCTAAATCCGTCGCCAGACAGACGTCACTTTGGATAGCAGCGAAGAATGGAAAAGAGGCCGTTGCCAAGCTGCTGCAAACATTGAAGCCCAAGAAAATAATCATAACCGCCGTCAAGACGACGAGCAACACCACTAAAATAACAGACTGGCCCGGACCAGGAAATTTGCTTTTCGCAAGCAGCTCGAGGCGGTAAATAGTCTGAAGGAGGCCGAATCTAGCCCACATCGAAGAACTCCTCCACCGCTCATCGCCCCATTGCTTCCAATAATCCCACAGACTATGTACAAAATAGATGGTTGAGTAGATTGAGGATTTCGACCTACCTTGATATGAAACTTCAAGGGACGATACTTCGGTTAGTCCCAGCAATAATACATCCCAAGGTGACAACGAAAATTGAACATGCTTTTAGGCTTTTGCATGTGATTCCTTCACCAGTTCGATTGAGCGAAGACCCAATCAGGTAACTGGGAACTGACTTTTGGCGATCTCCTTTTTCAAGGCATCACCATAAACTGATCACGTAGGAACACGCCACGCTACGCACCCTCCAGGCTCCCGTCTCATAGTACTTCATTGGAACATTTAGTTATTTCATGCTGTGCAAAAAACAATGCCCCGTCAGGTATCTGCCTAGTAAAACGGGACACTTAATGATCCAGCCTCTCAATGTGGAATCACGCCTCTTGCGGTTAGGGCGACTTTGGCGCGCAACCTGGCACATACGACCATAGCTCTTAGAAAATACGGGATCCCGTCCGCTCTCCCTTAGTCAAGCTGAGAAGCGGTGGATTAGTACTCGGGTCGGTGACGACCGGGGAATCCCCACTGTTGTATGTTTCTTTTTGGCTCTTGTTCCTTGTGGTTCTTTGTTGTGCTGTTCGACAGGTTGTGCAGGTGCTACATTATCCAACCCTTCGCTCGGTGACACCCAGAACACAGCTATAGAAATAGATACGTGTTTCTATATCTATGTCGCTAAAAGTTGTGATTGGAGATTAAATAATAGTGCAATGTAAGGAAGTATGCATTACAACATAAGAAGCAGGAATTGTGCGATATTCACTCCGTGTTGCTTAATTTTTTGTCCTCTGGGGTAGGTTTCGTCAGAGTGGCTGGAACGGTGTGTTCCTCCCGTACTAATGAACAGATCATTACCAACCCTCTTTCAGACTGAAAACAAGTTTAGTTTCTTAAAATATTCGTTGTTATCATCTGAAATGAAAGGGGTGACTGTTCAATTGGGTATGGGTCCTGAATCTTATGGTTGCGTTGATCGATGGTACCTCTCATCGATTTTTTTTATTTTAAAAAAAGAGCTTTCTAAACCCAATCGCTCCCTCACTTATTATTGTTAGCAGATCCGTACATCAGAGAATTATGTAAGTGCAGGTTCAGTCCAAAATCTATTTAAGATAATTTATTCATAGATAGTCGTGTAAATTAGGATATCCCATTATTGTAGAATTCAACTAATCCACCTAGAGTCTCGGAATATTCAACGATGTCGGGGATCGCACAGCCACACCATGCTTTTCGTCCTTTCTCGAGGACTTCTTACGGCCTTAACTGTTCCCGTCTAGAAGGCGGGCAGCTGAGTCTCGTTTGTAATTTTGTTACTCCCGTCGTAGGTTCCGTGGGTAATGCTAATCCCATAGGCCAAAACTACTACTGCGTGCGTCCTCCCAATCCGCAAACCGCTCACAGGTATGCAATCTTCCTTGCGCTTGCTACTGTGATGGTGATGACAGACACGCAGGAGTTTAATGACAATAGGTCTAGCTTACTAGCTTAGATACTACTTAAAGGCTGAGCCAGACTTTAACAAGGAAGGCATGCTTTTCCCATTCTCAATTAAAACTTTTAGAAGACAATTCTTGTTGCCCGGCCTATATCTAACTTAGCTGTCGCAGCAGCTTTTCTCGCTTCTTTCTTGACCTTCTTTATCCTATCGTGTTCAGAAGCATCTGATCAGATGCTTGACAATCTCTTTATATATTTTTTTCTCCCTGCTGGCTATAGCTGCAGGACCTTTCTTTGCTCATACTATAAGGTATCCTCGACTCTTGCTGTTGCGGGCTTTGTCCGCACTAAGTGCATCTCCCACCAACAAACTACAATCAGTCTCTATCCTAAAATAATCTAGGCCGGAGGTCGTACCATAGAGTCCACTAAACCATTGGCTACGGTAGATATATTACGCTCATACCATGGTGCACCCGCTGAACTTGACGGCTTTGCGGTAACTTCGCGATCGATGAGAAGGGGCTGTTCATGAACTTCAATTATGTTTTACTATTCATACGTATTCCAATGATCTTGTCCTGTATTAAGGCCACTGTCTTTTAAAAGACAAACATGGACATAGGTGCAAGAACAAGGATGACTCAAATGTAGGAACAGGACTGAGAACACATTAGCGTAGCAAAGAACTTCGAATTTTCATAATGCATAAAAAGTAACCGGACTTCATCAGGTTAACAAGTTTCAACTTTACGAGCTTGTGTCACACCCACCGTCACAGATCGGGAGAGCTGTTGGAGAAAACGGGCTAGCTACAGCACCACCGCCAAACCCATAACCCCGCTTCAAGATGCCACTCAACTTCGGCAACAAACATCAAAGCGAAGCTGGATTAAATTTTTATTCAGCGAGTCAAAACTCGAAGACGAGATGAAGTTGCCGATTTGGCAACAAATATTGAAACGAAGCTGGTGGCTCCGTCCAAATCAGTCGTGAGGAATGGCCTTTTCTTTCAAGTCTAACACACTTTAAGTCGTGCTCTACTCTCCGATCCAAGTTACGGTAGTAGCTATTGCCGGCAACACTGATTAAAGGTACTGATGAGAAGTAGCTTTCGTTTTTCCCTTGACATTCACACCTCTTACCCAAGGTCTAGTTTGGCTTAGTCATTTCGTCCGCCTCTGGTGATAACTTCGTCTGTCCCTTGTGCGGGGCCTGCGCTAATAGTAGAGGTAGCCCTAGTGCCCTATGGCTGGACGTGCAGTGCATAAACAGTGGTGCAGATGCTGATGATCTTTTGCGATTAGAGGACGTAAGAGTCCTTATACCAAAACCTGTCTTCGAGGACGAGGCATTCTTAACCTAACGGCACAGTACTAACATGGTGAATAGGATGTTGAAAGTAATTTGGATGCCACCAGTATACGACATCACCGTTCTGACTTGATGACCTCTGCGCGTATGATGGTCGACAGTGTGTTTGGCTACTTGGTAGAGATTCAAGTTCAGATTTAGAAATGTGCAGGACTGTCCTTCAGAAGCGATATCTTCGTTCGATTTGAAGCTGAACAGGGAAGCCATATCGAAGGAAAAGAGGGGAAATGTTGTGTTTGAGGTTTTAATGGCATGTGCCACCTCTAGGAGACCTGAGGTTAAACAACAGGCACAATGACAAAGATTTCTCTGAGAGTTAATATGGTTGGAATGATTCAATGCTAATTTATTCATTCATTACTTATTGCATCTTCAAGCCAACTCTGTCTATGCTGGAATTGCTTATCTGCTCTGGAATGGTTCGTAAGATCAGCATCAGGATCGCTTAATAGAATGCGGGAGAATGACGTAAATTCTCAAATAGGAATCATCCTAGATCTCTTTGGAATCTGGCTAGGGAGGAAGTGAACATAGTGATTGATCGACCGCTTGAGAAACAATCGAGTTGTTCAACAGAACGGTTGAATAGCTCCGACAGTTTCGTCAAAATTTTGACCGTGATGTTCACTGAACAACCTAGGGCTAGGTGTTTAAATATTTTCAATTTTCTCCCTTTCGAACTCATTTCCTTCCTCACTCTCATCGCAATTACGCTCGCACACTCAAGCACAACTCATACACTCGACTAACACCCAATCACTGATCCAGCACTCCCACTTACCCAATACCACCACAAGCCCAAACTTGCCAACTTTGTATTCGCAACATGTGTCATACCACTCACTACTACCTGAAGTGCGAGGACTGCGGTCTGATCGTCCCTACCCGAGACAAGGACAAGGATCGCTGCAGGGAGGTCCGCCAACGCAGGAGATGCCGCGGCCCATCCTTCTCATTCCAGTATGAGGCCTTTGTCTGCCAGGAATGCTTCGAGGATCGCTCCATTGCGCGCAGAAACAACTACACTTGGTAAATACCGAAAAGCTCTTGCTATCTCCGGATAAAAAGACTGAGTGGATTGACAAATCATGGTTGGGATATGAAGAATCGACTGAATGAATGATGGATGGATGGATGGATGATAGGTGGATGAAAGAAATGATGGATGAAATACGCAAAATCGCTGAAGGAATGGCAGATCAACTGGAGAATGAAGGAAATGGCTAGATAGGTAGATAGTTGTCAATAGAATCCTATTTGGCAGAACCCGAGGCCACTTGGAGTATTCGCGTGACCGAGATCCTGTTTTTCAATCACGATACCTGGACACATAGTTGAAGAATCGTTTTCAACGAACTAGATCCCCGTAGTATCTTCAATGTTGTATGTGTTACCATAATTTATGCCAACGCCCAGGGCTTATAGAAGATAGGTTACTTACGTGTCCAATGCATAGAGATGCATTGGAACAGTTAGCGACGCTAGCGAGCTGTTGTTTCTACTGCTTGTGATGACTAGTAGACATGTACGGAGCTCATGGTTAGAGGGAGCAGCTGGTCGAAGGTTTTGCCTGCTTTGATTCGACTCTTTTCTCTCTCTCTCGTGGTATGGCCGGGGCATGTCGGAGAGTGAGGCTGCGTCTATGGCGTTACCTTTGGCGCGGTCGGAGCATCCACTACTGGTCTCACTGGTCCTGCTTCGGCTCGTGAAAGCAATCTCAAAGGACCCAGGCTTAACCTCACATAAGATACGTTCACGAATATTCTCATCGATACTTCTGCGTACCAGCAGTAAACTTAGCCATGGCCGAGTTTACTCGGCTTCGTAGGCCCTGGATGGACCGAGGAGAGTTCCCCAAGTTACAACCACTGGAAGGATACTGATGGGTGCAGACCGCGGGACCAAGTATGTATTGCAACTCTCTACTGCGAGTTTTCCTTTTTGCGAGGGTATCTTTTTATCTCCAGGGCACATGGATATTGAAAAGTCGATGGGACGCTATTTAATCAGTCCCATGTAATCACGATCTCCGTTGCTTTTGTGATAGCACTGCCATCAGCACCATAATTGCAGCAAGTATAACCTCACAAAGCTAAAGGTCTCTCATTTCTTTGGTAATGAGCTGAGCGTGGAACCAGCGGCATTCGGGAGTGTGGAACCGTAGAATGAAGGTGATGGTTCCATGACCCCAGAGACTTAGCTTAGCTTTAACCTGGAGTCAGCGGTCAGTCCGAACGTGCAACACCATACGGTCAGCGGATCGAGTGGTTTCCGACGTTCATGGTTGATGAGGGACTAGCTTATAAAGTTTATAAGACTGACGGCGGGTTGAATTCAACATAGATTAAAGGTTGATGGGCACGAAGCTGCAAGCTCATAGAACCAGCACGCAAGACCTTGTTCTTCAAGTATTTAAAGCATCCAAGGGAGACAACAAACGAGTATACCTGCACCAACACGTGATTGATACGTTGTCTCAACCCCTCATTATCGGCTGACATCCCGTCCGCCTCACTTCTGTCAACCCGTAGAAACCAACCTCTCTCCTGCTTTTCCGCCAAACCTTCCTCTGGTTTACAATGACTGAAGCATTCGCCATCATCGTCCTCACGTCTAGTAGCCTAACATTCATCGAATTCGGCGGCAGAATCACCACGACTGTTCGCGCAATGTGTCTTGTTGCGGATGGTAGGAATCCTGAGGTCTAGGGGCTAGAGAAGAACTTGGAAGAGATTCGTGCAAGAAATAGACGGGCATTGAAGCCTAAATCTGCTGGCAAAACATCAAAAACAGAACTCCGAATTGCGGCCGCTTTTAACGAATATGACAAAATCGCAGCTGATTTAAGAAGACTCGTCAACAACGCGTAATACTGCAACGAATATTACAAAAATCATTTTAAAGCTCAAGACGGTGGGTAAATATATACTCCCCGATAAATCCCAAATCCTAAAAAGGGAACTATTCCACCAACTAACTTTATTATCCCAAGATAAGACTCGAGGAAAGAAATAATAGAATTAACTACTGAGAATAAGAATAAGAAGAAAAAAATTATAGTCATCTTTATTCAGATTTAGTATTTAAGCCAGTATATAATATCCCGTAGTATCCAAGTATTCTTTTTTGTCGTATCAGTGGATCAGACGGTCGGTCGGTCGGTTGCAACTCGTAGTTCGGCGTCGATCGTCGTCGTGCGGCATCGTTCGGCGAGGGAAATTATGTCGAGCATCGAATCGAACCCAAGTCTCCTCCTCAAGGAAACAGAGCGACCTGACCGATGGACCACGGCGCTTCTCTGCCTCCCCTAGGAGAAGGCTGGAGTAAATTACGTCAAGAAGCTGTGGCGGGTCTGAACCGTCAAGGTTGAGGTCATAGATAAGGAAAGTCTAAATCAAGGATCAGACTCGTCACCAAGCTACCCACGAGACCGGGTGAAAAGTTTCAGGGTATTGAAACGAGTCCTAGCTCCCTGAAATTTAAATGGGTAAGACTATAAAGCTAATCCTCTAACGGCCCTCTGTTCCTTTGTTTAGGCCGTTATTCTAACGACAAAGGCAAACATAACAAGAGCCTGTAACAAAGGGAAAGATAAATGTAAGAGTAAGATTAAGAACACACTTACTCGTGAACAAAGACCACGGGTTCTTGATAATGTGAAGGCGTCTTTGAAGTTGTCATTTTTGCAGTCGTTATGGTTATCTAATTGTACAACAAAGGCCACATGCGCTGACTCGAGACAGCCGCGGTCGGCCTTGCCCGGCTACTCCTCAACACATAATGCATAAAAGCCCTGAGTCTAACCCGGGTTTACAATATTCATTCCATGCTTGCATCACCCTCACCGTGAAGCGAAACCAACAATACCCCCCTTCAGCCTGAACTTCAGCCTTCGAGCTACATCATTCGACTTGCCCAGCAAATATCCACTCAACAAGTCAGAACTCGGAGATACAATAGCCATGTTTTCCGGAGACAACGCAGGGCACATGTCCGGCTCCAGTAAGAAACATCAAGACAAACCGGCATCACTCTTTTCGTTCGGCAATCCGGAGCGCGGGGGTGCGATTTCCAAGCCATCTGGTGTCTCTAGCACACCTTTTAGTTTCCTCGGCAATCCAGTTAGTGAGTATCAGGTGACTAAACATCCGAAAATATGTACCTGTAGCTCGGGACAGGGAGACGGCGTAGGCTTCGGTAAGAGCGATCAAAGCAAAGCGGGACGAGACTTCCCATTCAGCGGTAATTCAGAACGTGGGGATAAGATGGCCGAACCACCCAACCTCGACCTGAGTTCGAAGGACAGACACAACACGAAACCGCTATTCGGCGTCAATACAGATCGCCAAGAGGATACCTCTGCTTTCTTAGACCCGCATGGCAGAACATATGGTACAGGGTTATTCGGTGCCAAGCCAGAAGGCAGAGAACCCACAAAGTCGCTATGGGGGGTGGGCAAGACGCCCCAAACCCCTTTAAACCCTTACACTACCATAGCCAACGTGGACAAGACGCCCCAATACCCTTTCTCTTCCCTATTCGGCCCGCAAAGCAGAACCAACGACACAAGTTTATTCGGTCCCAAGCCGGAATGCAAAAATAACACAACGTCGTCACTCAACTCGAACACAATGCCCCAAAAGTGGACTCTGCCAGTTGGGAACAAGCCAAAGGACAGAAACAGCAAGGTTGGGGTATTGTTTCCAGGAAAACGCGATGATCATGTCACTGAGTTATTCAACTCCAGGTCAGAGTGCAGAGACGACACAAAGTTGGCACTTGGCTTGAACTCATTGCCTCAAAAGTATACTGGGCTAGTTAAGAAGCCGCCACAAGACAGAAACGACAACACTCAAGTGTCTAACTTGCCAGAAAAACGCAAAAGACATGTCCACTGGTCATCCGACACTGAGGCAGAGTGCAGGGACGACACGAGGCCATTATTGAGCCCCAACACGAAGCGCCAAAAGCTTACCCCTAAACACGATGACACAAGCTTGGAGGATATAGATCCTAACATTGACGAGGACGTCTGGTCTGTTGAATATGCTGCATCGGAAAACACGATCGTGAACTGCCCAGGAGGGTACACATTCCACATCGAGACCCCGCAGCACTGGGGAGAACATGTCATCATCACCACATCCGCCAGGAAGATCACCATCGTCAACCGCGCTGAAGCTCGAGGTTCCCTCCCGATCAGAGATTATAGGAATCCTGTGGACTTAGGCCGGTACTTGGCGCCTGACCGAAAGGTAGCCAACATTTGGGTTCGCGGTGCCATTTGGAAGATAGATCTGGTGATTCGCGAGGACGACTCGATTGAGTTTGGCTATCACGTTAGTGATATAAGTAAACGCGTCTATGTGAAACCTTTTTAGGAACGCGTTTATGCGTGCAGATGAAGCGAGATTCGTCGACCGGTCATCCGATTCTTATTTTTATTTCGTTCAATTGAGAACTTGACCATAAAGGTCCGTTCAAACGTCAGCTGGGTATAACCGAGTCCCTGAAGATAGATATGGTTTTCAATAATTAGTTACAAGGAGTATAGAACAGTACAGGTGGAATTAAGTATCAACGTTTGCATAAATCTGCCTCGGCTACACATACAAAATGCACTGCTTTATATATCCTGGATTTTCGAGTCGCTCATGTGTTCTACTATCGTCGCAACATGAAATCTGCCCAGCTTTGTATACTGCTATTCCATGTTTATACGCCTCCCAGTACTTTCCTAACGCGATCAAGTAGAAAAAAGTGAATTACCGTAACAAAACGACGGAGCATAAGGCAGCAGGTTTCTTGCAAAGTGGACATTTAAACTGTACCGAGATGTGTTTCTATTATTCTGGTTGAATTGCTATGAGAAAGCCTCGAAGTGCGTACAATCTTTGTGTGGAACAATTTATGACGTTTCACGTTTTCAGAACAGGTGCGAAAGATGCTTCGTTCATCGGTTTCGCATAGTCACTATCCGCCTTAATCCAAACGGAACATACAGCCTGCGCTTTTGTCAATTTCTTTGTCTTGCTGTCCTCAGTAAGCCGCCTTTTAGCCGTCACTACTTATTCTCAGCTTTCCTCCTCCTTCTGTCCATGCCATCTCCTCAGTCTTATCTACTGATCTCTACACCTACAACATACAGCAGCTGCATCATGTATCACTCTGGGCAAATGCTGGATTTGCAACTCGAAGGAGGAGGCTTGCCGATTTGCGTTTGCATTGAGGAGATATTACCACGACGCGAGAGGTGCTCTGAAATTGCTATGCATGTTCGGGTCCTTTCCTGCCCAGGCGGAGTCGCGCTACCTAGCAGAGCCACCTTGAAGCTCTACGATACGAACCATGTCTCAGAATACCCTCTCCCTCCTGGCTTTACCATGTGCGTTGCCGATGTTCTCCCCGACTTTTCCGACTGGTCTCCTACCCCTGGTTACGAGTGCATCGATGTGACGGCGGCAAAGGAATTTATGCTCCTCGCTACCGTCGATAAAGCACGGGTATATACGTCTATATCTAAACATGGGGAACGGCCGGGAGATTGGGATGGTGTCAAACACAGAGCCTATATTCATTCTCAGGCGAAACAGACCCGCGACTGGGAAGTGGAAGTTTACGACAGCCTGAGAGCGCATCAGGGCCAACACATCCGGCGTTTCTACGCTTCAGTCAATCACTACACTGACCCGACTAGCGCTGAGCCGTTTGGAGACTCACCCGAGCTCCTCACAGTACCAGGCGTCTTGGTCGAACGTGTGGACGGCTTTCGGCTTTGGGATCTTTGCACGCAAACTGACGAATCAGAATGGTACAGCGTTGTCGAAGGCGCGATCAAGGCGAAACAAGCATTTGTGAACCACCAGATAAAGCTGGCTAGCTATGATGCACAGCCGGCGAATAGAATGGGAGGCGTCCTTAAAATGCTGCAATCAGTTCTCAACATGATGGAACCGCCTGAGAGGTGTGAGACCCCCTCCCAGAAAGCGCGTGTAGACAAATTGGTTGAGCGTACGATGAGGGCAATTGGCAACAGGGGCCACGGATTAAACTACCACTTGCGTCCAGATAATATGCTTGTCGTCCGGGACAAGGCTGCAGAAGGGGGATACCGGTTTGTCATGGTTGACTTTTCGGCCATGGCGGAGAGTGTGAGATCAGGGATGGGCGATTTTGGGTACGAGTGAACCTAACAGTTGCAGCTGCTGAGTAGTTTCTTATGCGGCAATTTGATTATAGTGATCACGCTTAATTTGAGTGTAGAGCAGTTATAAATTGGATAGCCCGACTTAATAGATGTAACACGACTGTCATTTGTCTTGATCGAAGTCGCGATGTGACGATATTCCTACCCTGGAACACTTACTGATTGTGGCTAGTACATCTATATCATGTGGCTGTTAATCAGATTGCTTGCTAGCACGTGACCCAACTGACGCAATCCTTGGCGCTCTTGATATCGGAGGTGAGCGACTCACTCGTCATCGCCGCCTGTTACTTCGGGGATTGCCTACAGACAATCAACAACCCTCTCCGCCATCCATGTCGATGATTATTCATCCGGCCCGCTTAAAGCCCAATGGCCTGCTCGGCACCGCCTGAAGCCCCTCACAGGAAGCATGCCGCCGCCGCGCGAACAACGACGGTCCAACGTGCGGCGCGCCAATGTCACGGCTTGCACGAGGTGTCGATCGCGCAAGCAGCGATGCGACCAGAACCTCCCGGCGTGCTCCAACTGCGAGCGCGCGGGCGTTGAATGCGTGAGCACTGATATCGACGGGAGGATTGCCCCGAGAAGGTCGGTCTCGGTATCTAGATTTTGAGATTCATTCGCTGACTCAGTGCAGCTATATGAAGAGTCTCGAGGATCGCATCGCCTATCTCGAAACACAACTGACGGCTCACGGTATTGAAGATGTTGACATGCTACCTGTAGACTTTTCTCCGGCAGATACAACCGAGTCAATTCCAGCTTCCGCGATCTCCCCCGAAACGGATGGCCCGGATGGCGAGTCCGAAGACTTGGTCGGCCGCATTGCCCTGAATTGCCTACAACCTCACGCCTTCTCCCAGGGAATTGTGAACCAAAACGGCCTCTCCGTGCTACGATCCCTGCTCTCTGACCCAATGACCAAGGTATCCTGGGCCGAGAAAAAGTCCGACAATCACTCGCTCCTGGACGAGCTGCCTCGCGAGACGTCCGTCGGCATGCCGCGTCAAGAAGTCGCCGGCCGGCTCGTGGACACATACTTTGAGCACTGCAATTTCTTCTCTCCAATCATTTCTTCCAAGAAAGATTTTCTCACTATGATCGAACCCTTGTACGATGCATCTGCCTCTGACCAGTCCCTGATCAATGTCAGGTTCCGCGCCTTGGTTGTGTTTGGAACCTCCATCTTGCTCCTCAACAGAACCGACTCTTCAGTCCCGATATCAAGATCCGAGGGCTATTTTACCGCTGCCACTCAATTGTTTTCCCAGCATCCCGACGCAATATGCACGGGCGACTTGGAGCATGTTGCCAACCTCCTCTTCATCATCCAGTATGCCTGCTTCTCCTCCAACCTAACCGCCGCATGGCACTTTCTCGGTCTTGCCACGAGGCTCGCGGTCGAATTGAACCTCCACAACGAACGTCCAGGGACTGCATCTGACCATCAACAAACCAACGAGAGGAGGTGGCTATTTTGGTCCACATACACCTTTGAACGGAATTTGTGCGTCATTCTCGGTCGTCCATTTTCGATTCCTGATGAAGCCATCGAAACACCGCTTCCAATTCCACCTAGCGATGACCCGGAACGAGCCCTCGCCGTTCACCTAATTAAGAGCCGTCGCCTAGAGTCGGAGATTTACACGACACTCAACCAAAGAGAACCTTGCAATGGGGCCATTCTCAATAAACCCGCATGGAGGGAGAACATCCAACGGCGACTTCTGGAATGGCACACGTCTGTCCCTCCCATTCATCGCACCAGCCAACTCGCCCCGGCTGAGATCTTCAATGGCGTGTTATACAACGCCCTGGTCCATCTATATTATCCCTCATATCATTTCCCGAACCCTTCAAATGATGATTTGGTTGTACTTGCACAGAGTGCTACGGATAGCATTAATTGCTACAAACAAAGCTTCCGGGCAGGCGAGTTGCGCTTCTACTGGCGCACCGTCCATAATGTTTTCAGGAGTGGTGTGGCCGTGGCGTACTGCGCCCAGATTGCTACCATGCAACAGAATCCAGACTTGGACTTGGGCGACACGACGGCCTCCATCAACTCATGTTCTTCTATACTTTGGGGCATGGTTGAGCGATATCCAGCGGGTCAAGCATACCGCGACATCTTTGATAGTATCGCCAACTCAGTGGTGAATCAAAGGCGAGAGCAGATGGATCTTGGGGAGAGTCATAACATGTTTGTGCAGAGCAGTGAGCACACATCCATTTTTGCGGAGCTATCTGCGGACCTGGGAGCCGCGAACCTGCCGCTTACAGCGCTGGATGCATTATCATGGGGATTCGGGGACCTGTCTCAAGTTCACGAGAATATTTAGTAATTTATTATTACAACCGTACAATGGAATTTAAATCTCCTTTAATGGATCTGGCGGTGCAGGATCGTACCTGAGACTCTTCAAAAACTCGGTCCTGAGCTTCGTCATCGGTTGCATAACCCAAGTATTGAAGGCCAGAATATCCGACTCTTCCTTGGGATCTCGAACCGTGTTAAAGAGATACGGACTCTCCAACCGCCCAGACGACTGGTTGACTTTCGGCTCCCATACCAAGTGCAGTTTCCAGTCCTTCCATTTTATCGCACGCAGCTCCTCTTTGATGTAGAAGAGGAATCCTGTTCTTTCGGATTTCTTGTCTTTTGGATTCTTGAAGAATTCGGTTTGGTCGATTCCATCGATGGGGCGATCTGATGGCAGTAGCGAACCGGTCATTGATAGGATTGTTGTAAAAATGTCTGTGACGTGCACAATCTCATTTGACGTGACGCCCTCGGGAACTAATCCAGGCCATCGGATGATGAACGGCACGCGCAAGCTGCCCTCCATAGCCGTGTGGTAGGTTCCAGACCAAGGGCCGGCCGTTCCTCGATACGGCTCTCGAAACTCAGGGCCATTGTCCGAGGCAAAGATGAAGACGGTATTGTCTCGGATTCCTAGCAGGTCGAGGTGATCGATGAGCTCTCCCACGCGGTGGTCCATTTCCGCCATGGAGTCGGCAAAATCGCCTTGGCCAGTTGTCCCCGCAAAGTCTTTGTGGGGAAGGGTTGGAAAGTGAAGATGGACGAGGGGATGGTAGAGGAAAAAGGCCTTCTCTTGCTCAACCTGCCGTGTGAGCCAGTCTTTGGATCGCTCGACCAGCATCTCATCAATCAACCTCCGCTTTTCCAGATCATAAACACAAACGTTTTCAGATTCTTGGCCAGCGATGCCTTTCATGATATACGGCAGCTCGGCAACCTCTGGAGTGTAGCCAATGGCAGATGTAAACTGCGTCTCATCCGTGGTCCTCGGGATTCCGAACCACTCGTCAAAGCCCCGGTCTGACGGATACCGGCCAGGAATATCCCCGAGATGCCATTTCCCATGATGTGCCGTCGCATAGCCGTTGACCTTGAGGCATTCCCCGAGCGTCTTTTCCCATTCCGTCAGACCCTGCGGGAAACCGGCGGGGACAGATTGCTGGCAACCTGTGCGAATTGGGTGTCGTCCCGTCATGAGGGCAGATCGCGTCGGTACGCAGTCGCTTTCAACATTGAAGTTGTGCAACAAGAGGCCTTCGGTAGAGAGCTTGTCGATCCTTGGTGTCGCAGCTCCACGCAGGACGCCTCCGCCGTAACATCCCAGCTCTCCCCAGCCGAGGTTGTCGGCCAGCGCGAGCACAACATTTGGTCGAGTAGGATCCCGCGACATGATTTTTCCAGGATAAACAGTATGCTCCAAAGCTGGATTGGCATATTCAAGTCTCAGCCGTTATCACACTTTTATATACACTCAATATTAGAGATCCACTCGCTCGCCCCACGTCGGCGCTCACCTCCGTCGCTCACCTCCGACGCGCCGTTCTGGCCGCCGTGACTCGAGTGCTTCGGGAGTTCCAATCCTCTTTAACTATCGCTCACCTCCATCATTCATCGTCGACGGGCTGGGGATTCAGCACGCGATGCGGATACGCTTTGGCGCAATGGGCCCTTGAGAGCGAAGAGGTTGCGATTGCTGCGCCATGATAAACAGGCTGTCGAGTATAACTACAGCGCCCCCTCGCCGTATTCCTGTCGATCAACCACGCATCCTCCTGTTTGCACATAATCGTACCTCCATCCACCGCATCAATGGCAGACAAACTGGCCGCTGAATCAGGTGCCTGGGAGCAGGACCTCGACAATGTTTCTTCTCAAGAAGCGGCCCCAGAGCCGGAATGGACTCAAGCCGAAGAGAAGGCAGCCTTGCGAAAGTTGGTCACTCCCCTATCACCAAAGCCGCCCGCTAACAAACAAAGGCTCGACTTTTTCCTCATGCCCATGCTGGTCGGCGGATTCTTTGTCCTTCAGCTCGACCGCAGCAACATCAGCAACGCCCTGACCGACACGCTCACGACCGATCTCGGCATCACCTCCGACGACGTCAATCTCGGGAGTCAGCTCATGTTGATCGGCATCATCGTCGCGGAAATCCCGTCCAACGTTCTTCTCCAGAAACTGGGCGCTCCCATCTGGCTTACGTTCCAGATGTTCGTCTGGGGCCTCATTGCTCTGACCCAGGCGTGGTGCACCAATATCCATTCCTTCTACGCGACTCGATTCCTGCTCGGCTTGTTTGAGGGTGGTTATATCCCCGGTGCGCAGTATATGCTCGCCCTATTCTATACCCGGAAGGAATTGGCCTCGAGGACTGCGATCTTTTACTTTGGAAACTATTCTGCTACGGCTACGGGGTCCTTGATTGCCGCGGGTGTCCTTCAGATGGCCGGCATCAATGGCCTCTCTGGCTGGCAATGGCTTTTTATCTGTACGTCATGCCACACCAGCACTCCATCTGCCGTCACTGACAGATAATTTTAGTGGAGGGCGCGTTGACTCTTCTCGTATTTGTCTGCTTTGTAGCCTTCCTTCCTCGCAGCCCAGCCCACACAGCTCCCATCCACGGTCGTTGGGACTTTTTTACTGCCCGCGAGCGCATTATTCTTCGATCCCGCGTTGTCGCCGAAGATGAGAGTAAAGGAGAGGATAAAGCTTCAATTACGATAAGCAGTCTACTTGGAGCCGCCGTCAATTACCGACTCTGGCTACATCTGATCCTCAACATTGTCAGTCTTGCCCCGAAAGGTGGATTGCAACCCTACGGACCTACCGTCATCAAGAGCCTCGGCTTCTCCAAGATCCACGCCAACCTTCTCAATGCGGTCAGCAGCTTTCTTGTCATCATCCTCTCATTCCTCATCTCGGTTTGCTCGGACAAGACTCGTCTCCGGGGTCCCTGGTGCATCGTTGCCTTTGTCTGGTCCATCGCCTTTGCGGGTGCGCTGTTCGGCCTGCCACTTGGAACTGAGAAATGGACTCGGTACGCCATCTTCACACTCCTCAGCGGTGGCAATGCCTTATCTCAGGGTCTCAACGACGCTTGGCTGAGCATCAATGCAACCAAATCAAGCCACCGGAGTCTTGGACTTGCTATGGTGGTTATTGGCAGTAACTTGGGAGGACTTGCGGGACAGCAGCTATTCAGATCATCGGATGCGCCGCGGTACACGCGGGCGTTCTTGGCCATCTTGATACTGTATGCGGCATCGATACCAATCACTCTGCTGATAATGTGGGTTTATTGGCGGGATAATAAGAAGGGCAGGGATGAATTTGTTGCGCAGAGTGATGGTAGGATCACCAAGAGATTTGATCTATAGGCCAACCACCGACCGCTTGGATGAGATTTATCTACCACCAATTATACTCCATACTCCTCTACATAATACCGCACTCTTCCTTCAAATAGTCTTCTCGCTGTCCTCGAAACTGCACAGCTCGCTATCTCTCTGTCTTCCTTCATCACAACTCTCACACGAATTGTCCCCTTACTATGGGCAATAACGACTTCCTTCTCCTTGAGTTCATTCGGTCCGTTGGGAGGCGAAGGTGTCCGCTCTGGCGTCGGCAACGCCCAGTTACTCATGAGAGATTTAGCAGAGAGCTCTGCTGGGACTGTCCCGGGAGAGTTCAGCGCCGCAGCAAGGCACACCGCGCCGGTGAGCTGGAGGCTCGGGTGGGGAAGACCCATGGAATAAGCTTGAACGCGGATGTCGGGCATCTCGCCGGTGGTTTGCTGGAATATGGGAGGGTAGATGAGTGCGACTTTTGGCGTTCCCCTGGTTTGTGCTGCGACTTCGACGGTGGAGGCGAGGCCCATAGCCACTGCTCCTTCGCGTCGGATAGACTCTATAAGCGCGTGCTGGGCGTCCGGTGAGGGAAGAGTGTTGAGCAATCCAGAAATGGAGGCAGAGTCGATGAGCACAAAGGGATTCGCGGCGTCGATAAGCGTTACGCGAACACCAAAGGGCGCCATGCCGGGAATTGATGATGGTGGTTCGACACTGAGGGTTTGCTGTTGCTTCCCAGATGGAAATAGCTTGCCTGTCATGCTGCCCGCTGGATCGACAAAGGCGCATTTGACCTCACTCCCGGCAGTGTTAACACCCGGGATGTTGTAGGTGCCATCTTCCTCAAACTCTCCGGCGTCATCAATCTCCACCGTTTCGACGATGATGCGTTTGGTGTTTGTGTTGTAAATTCGAACATCCATCTACTTTTATTAGCTGGTGTTGTAATGGAGCATGCCGTTGGTCTCGTACCTCAGTCTGTCCTGGTCTGGGTTTTACCAATCCTTCTTGTACAGCAAATGGCCCAACACCCGAACTAATATTGCCACACGTTCCCGTAAAGTCCACAGACTCTTTGCCCACTGCGACTTGCGCAAAGGTGAAGTCAACATCAGCATCTGGCCGGTCCGAGGGCGACACGACAGCGACCTTTGATGTTGTCGACGTGCCTCCACCGACGCCATCGATCTGGCGGGGATCATTCCCTCGAGAGCCAAGAGCCGATATTAAATGGGGAGCCCATTCGATTTGGCGTCTAGGCAGGTCTCTCCGGTGCAGGAAAATCCCTTTTGATGTCCCTGCGCGCATGAGGACGCACGGCAGGACGTGGCGTGTAAGGTGCCTGGTCTCAGGCATCTGCTGCTGGATAGCCATGTTGGCAATACGAGGCCATAAACCTTTGAGGTTATCTAGACTCTGATGAGAAGAAGAGGCAAGAAGCTCCTTGGTGAGCTTCCAGGGTATCTGAGTCTGACCAGCAAGGCGATGCATCGAGTGTTGGATATTGGAACCGCCATGCTAGTGTTCCTCGCACCCTATATAAGGTCCATTTCAAGGATCCCGGAGCTGATATGGAGCCATATAATCCTAGAAATATTAACCGCACCATGTTAAGCTGTGAATTGAGCGTCTGATTCGAGCAGAATAGTCGGAGTTTGGCCGCGGGAGTCTTCTTGCTCCACCAAATCTACCCTGCAACTCATGGATCCACCTGACGGGAAGAACGGGAACGACGGGAATAGAGACGGGAGCGGGAAGTACAGCGAAGACGGGAACAGCGGGAATGACGGGAATTCGCCACTCAACCCCCCAGAAACGAGAAACTGTCCAAAGACGAACCGTTAAAGCCAAATAGTGGATCTTCAAGTGATGTCGCCTCGGCATTCGGAGGCCACCATCCTTGTTGCCACTCGTAGGCGTTGTTGTAAGCCTCAGGAGGATGTACACCGCCCGGCATCACCCCGTAGTCTGGGGTCTGGTTTACTATAGGGAAGCCTCCTCTTACAATAGGCTGTATGTTTCCTTGTTGGGGCATGCGCAGTGTCCGGATTTGGTTCGGGGCTTCCTCCGTGTCATCTGCCAGAAGTCTGGTTCCGTTGGCGTCGCTCTCTTGCAAGAAACTCTGGATGATCCCGTCAATATCCATCCAGTCTGAGCCAGGCGAATACCCGGTTCCTATGTTTCCAGCTGTCGCCACATTATGGGTATTTGTAATGAGGTTGGCGCTGTTTGTTTGCTCGATGTTTGAGGTGGATCGGCGAGGGATGGTCCTCCCTGCCAATCGACCAGGTTCATGATCTTGGTCTCGCGGCTTACTCGGCTGGTTCATGTCCAGTGCGTCGCTAGAGACTTCATCCACGGTAACTCCGTGCTTCTTCATCAATCTCTGTATAATCATAGCTGCCTTCTGTACGGCAGAGTTGGTTTCCTTGTTCTCTTGGAAAACCGCCAGGCAAGTAACCAGGTTGGCGTGAGCCATGGAATCTGGGCCGCGTTTGCCTGCAATCCTGCAGTGAATCGTCGCTGCAACGTATGTGGCATACGAAATTAGATACGGCGCACGACGGGTTGAGAAGGCTCTGTGGTAGGCACGGAGAAGGCTGCTGATGCTGGATGCGGCCGAAGCACACTTCATGAGAGAGTCGACTGAGATGGACCGAGAGGTATTGTATAAATGGCCATCGGCCACGAATGGACGATGCAGCAAGATGACTAGCACATGATGCATAGCACTAGCTAGTTAGTAGAGCATATTAAGACGGGAAAAAAGACTTACTGTAAACTGAAGATATGCGGCGGAGGAAATGCAGCACTCTGAGACTTGGATGGGTCAAATTGCAGATGACCGGGCAGCGAATCATGCCATTTGTTCAACTTCAATTGCAGCTTATCCAACATACTGGCCAGCTCCGCAGGGCTCTGGTCGAAACTCCGTTCTGTGTAGATGCAACTGAGTATATCGCTCATGGTAATCGAAAGCTTGCAAAGAAAAGTGAACGTCGACGTGCTGTGCGCCGGAGATCCCGGGTAGTCGGGAGCTGACGTTGAGTACGCGAAAGGCTGCCAGTGTTCAAGCTCCTCGTATGTGTCGAGAAACTTGATGGGCACGAGGGCGTCGGTATCTTTCAAGCTGACCGGGCGGCCTTGGTAGAGGCTCTGAATCTTATCTACCACTGCATAGATGTTAGCTGTGTTGGAAGAAAGAAGAGAAACGTACCGAATGCGCCCCAAAAGACTCGCCGCCGAATTTCGAGGTCTTCGTCCGAGAAGGGGTATTTGTTCGTCACATCAACGTGCATCCCCAAATCGACCAGCATACGAAATGCCAGCCCAGAGTACAACCAAGCAGCGCTTCTTTCATCTCCAAGAGCAAACAGAGAGTTTGTCATCTGCAGCAACGCCTGTATCGTCGTCACATCGCTGCGATCAAGCGAGCCGCCCAGCAACTCGCGAACGCGCTCGCGATACTTCCACCCCGCGGTGCGGACATCGTTGGGATCCTTGCGCACCTCGAGCCGGGGACTGAACTTGGAAGAGCCGAAGTATATGGCGTTGAGGAGGAGCTTTGAGAAGTAGGGCCCGTTGCAGGCCATGTCGCGCATGAAGGCCGGTCGGTAGGTGATGAGGAACGAATGGTGCTGGCGGTTCCAGTGCAGTGAGAGCAGGTGCATGCCTAGGTCGGGATCTACTCCGTCAAAGTCGAGTTTGCCTTGGCGGAAGTTGAGTTGTTCCATCTGGCCTACAGTGGATAAGTCTTGCGATGCTTCTTCTCTGAGCGAAGTACTTACGCTGTCTCGCGGCTTCTGCAACTAACCCTCGCTCAACCCACTCATCCGACATTCGAGGATGATGATCTGCTCCCACAGGTCGGTCTTGGATATTATCCTCAAACAAAGCACTCGTGCGGCCATGGTAGCTTGATACGCCGTTGGCTGAGACTAGGATGCGAGCAACGCTGGCCTCGGAAACACGACTGGGCGCAGCAGAACCCCAAGACTGGTCTCTATCTACATCGTCATCACGACTATTTGGGACATAGCCCTCCGTCCCAGGCGAACTGGGCGTATCGCCTTGCTGAGACAGGGTTGGGCTTGCTTGTCTGCGACTCTCGTCTCTCGCATTATCGCCTGGGTTCTTGCGACGCTTGAAGCGATGGTGTCGCTCCCGACCGGCTTCCTTGGCGACGTCATCAACGGGCTCGTAGACACAATCCCGGTCGTACGTCTTGCAATTGACGCATACTGGCCGCTCGTTGTTGCACTTGATCTGTCGACGATTGTCAATCGAGTCTTGCCGCGGGAGTGGGCGTTCTCACCTTTCTCTTGCGACAGAAGCTGCAGGCCTCCACGGCGCGTCGACGGGAACGTGTCGAAGACCGCGGACGGGAATTGCTCGAGTCACCTTGGTTAGAATCCATTTCCCGTCAAACTCGTACGAATGTTGCTGTTTGCCGTCCAACAGAGAAGACGGGAAGAAGAGTGGCAAAGAAAAGATGCCGCGGGAACAGAACACACCAGCCCATGTACTTGGACTATCCGGATCTGGTTACTGGCAATTTCCCTCTTCCCGTTGTTCCCGTTCTCCAATTTCGAGATGCCGTCTCCAAAACTCGACTCCACATTAATCCCTCGGCTCTTCATTTCGGCTCAGCGATTTGAATCAAGCGTGATGCAACTTCTGACTTCCGAGTGGATTGTCTGGCACTCCTTTTCTTCGACTCCAATCACTCCAACATGACGACCATCGCTGAGCCTCAAGTGCCAGCGGCAGCATCACTGAATCATCAGCCTGTCCCAGCAGCAAAGCCACAGAAGCAGGCCATCAACCCAGCCATCTCGCTTGCATCTGGTGCTGTTGCTGGCGCTGTTGAAGCTACCATTACAGTACAATTCCCAGCGCGTTTTCTATTGCATATTTCTAACCCAAGTTTAGTATCCCTTTGAATTCGCAAAGACACGCACCCAGCTGCATCGCAACGTCGGCGCCGGCACAGTACTCTCCAAGAACCCGTTTTCCGTCATCTCTCAGACTGCGCAACAGGATGGCTTTCGCGCAATTTACACCGGCTGCTCTACGTTAATTATCGTGAGACCTGACCAAATCCATCTTTCTCCGCGCATTCCCTAATGACATGCCAGGGTACCGCATGCAAAGCCGGCGTTCGCTTCTTGACGTTTGACGCAATCAAGAATCAGCTCGTTGACTCAAATGGCAGGCTTTCACCAGGGCGAGGAATTCTCGCTGGCATGATTGCCGGCGCCATCGAGAGTGTTGCCGTTGTGACGCCAACAGAACGAATAAAGACAGCCCTGTAAGTCACAGTCTTAACTTGCTCAACGCATTCACGGGTTGACCTGTCCAAGCATCGACGATGCAAGATCATCTACCAGACGCTACAACGGCGGCATTCATGCCCTCCGTACCATCCTCAGCGAGCGTGGAATTCGCGGCATCTATCGCGGACTATTGTCGACAATGATGAAGCAATCCGCCACATCTGCCGTGCGCATGGGCTCCTACAACATCCTCAAAGAGACTGTTTCCTCTCGAACTAGCACAAAGAACGCCAAGAACCCATTCGTGACATTTGGATTGGGCGCAGTTGCTGGTATTATTACCGTGTATGCTACGCAGCCATTTGACACGATAAAAACGCGCGCCCAGGGTGCCCAAGGCGCCACGACAGTGCAGGCGTTTCGAGGGATTTTGAAGGACGGAGGAATCAGGATGTTTTGGAGTGGCAGCTCTATGAGACTTGGTCGGCTGATCCTTAGTGGTGGAATTGTATTTACAGTGTATGAGAATGTCGCTTCGGTATTGATGGGATTGAAGAGATAGAGTGATATAGAGGAACGTGCAAGAAAAATGTTTGGTGAAATTAAGATATAAATGGTACTTCTTTCAATCACCCACGGTTTCTCATGCCCAGCAATTAATATTATTTGACCGTATTGCTGCTCGCTGTATCGATCTATCTGGCAATCACAATCACTACAACCATTCTCCAGCCATGCCCGGTACTCCTCCTGCAGCGATCAACTTGACTCGTGTTCTGACCCTGCCATCCAATCTCCACCCTGCCATGTAATCATAAGAAAATGAGGAGAATGCGGAGAATCTCCATCGTTCCCGCGGGAGCCATCACTTCGGTACGGGGCCCCGCGCGCCATGGTTCCCCGCGCCTTGGCAGCATCGTGTCTCCCACAAGCCATGAAAAGACCCAGGCCAATCTGCAAAGGGAAAGCAAATCCGCAGTGTGTAGAGGGCGTTGAGTCTAGTGAAGCCATAGTCATGTGGCAAGCTAAACCTTAGTTCCGTAGCCCCGACTTCCCCCAACATTAGAACCTGGAGTCGTCTCTCGTATATAACCTCCCTCGGCCTCCCGGATATTGGACTGTAGAATACTCTTCAGGTTCTCAGCCATAGCCTTCAGAGACTCCCATTATTGGAGCATCCAGCCAACCGCCATCATGACCGCCCCAGATGCGCACACCAACCCGGACTCCGACCGGGCGTCGATGACCAACGAAAAGGCTGAAGACGCGCAATGCATTGAAGTTGTGCCCACCAGAGAGGGCGCCGCTGTTTCGCCTCAGGATATCCAGGCTCGATTCGACCTCTTGCGTCATCTTGGCCCAGAGCGGATGGCTGAACTGAACAAAAGCGTCGTGAAGAAGATTGACTGGCACATGATGCCTTGTGTCACTCTTATGTTCTTGATGAAGTGAGTTGCTCTTATAGCTCTGCTTGACTATACATACTGACCTATTACAGCTACCTTGACCGTATCAACGTGTCCAACGCCCGTCTCGCCGGGCTCCAGGACGACTTGCACATGTCCGACACCGTGTGGAATGCCGGTATATCCACCTTCTATGTGGGATACCTCATCGGCCAACTTCCTGGAAACCTCCTCATGGCTAAGACGAACCCCCGTTGGTTCCTCCCCACTACCATGCTCATATGGAGCGCTGGAACTATTTGCATGCCAGCCATGACGAAGTGAGTCTCGTAAAGATGATATCGATCCTTACTACGGATCGCTAACGATGCTCAGCGGCGTGGGCTTTTGCGTAGTTCGATTCTTCATTGGTCTGGCCGAAGCTCCCTTCTTTCCTGGACTAACACTCAGTAAGTCAACCACCGACCACACTCGCACCGTAGTAAATGCTAACAAACCAGTGACATCCTCCTGGTACACCAAGGAAGAAAGCCCTTTCCGCATGGCCATCTGGCACGCTGGAAATACCATCTCCAATATCATCTCCGGTTTTCTCGCCGCCGGTATCCTTGAGAACATGGACGGTGTCGCTGGCCTTCACGCCTGGCAGTGGTTCTTCCTTATCGAAGGCATAGTGTCAATTATTATCGCACTGGTATCCTACGTCTACCTTCCCTCATGGCCCAACGACACCAAATTCCTCACAGAGGAAGAGCGCGAGATGGCCCAGTACCGTATTCTCGTCTCCAATGGTGGTCGTGATGAGGGTATTGGTGGGACATGGGATGGTGTCAAGGAGGCCGTCAGGGATCCCTTTACCTGGTTCTTCTGTCTTATGCATTTCGCTCTTATAACTGCACAGAGCTTCAAAGACTTTTTGCCTTCGGTATGTCTACAACTGAGCCCGTCCGTGGAGCAGTATCTAACACCTCTAGATTATGGATACCTTTGGCTTCAACAAGATGACCACGTATCTCATCCAAGCACCACCATACGCTATTGCCTACATCGCTGCCTGTCTCATAGCATGGTCATGCGGCCACTTCCAAGAATCAACGTGGCACGTCGTGATCCCTATTATTTTCTCCGCCGCCGGCTGCGGTATCCTCATTGGAACAATCAACATTGCGGCGCGGTACATTGGCATCATACTTCTCATATCTGGCACCTACAGCGGCCTCAACTTGCAGCTTTCCTGGGAGACGACTGTGGTCCCCGCGCCTCGCGCCAAAAAGGCCGCGCTTATTGCCATTGCCAACTGCATCAGCCAGGTCAGCCACTGGTTCAGCCCGTACTTTTATCCGACTAGCCAGGAACCGTTTTACCGTATGGCTGGTGGCCTGCTACTGTTGGGCTGTGCACTGACTATCGTTGCGGCGTTTTTGGTCAAGTGGAGAGCAAAGCGGTTGAACAAGGAGCTGGATGCAACGGAAGGGTGGACCCCAAACTCTGGCTTTGAAAGGGGATGGAGATATAAGCACTGAGTAGTGGCATTTGAATGTGTGTGGCTAGTAAGGACAACGCAGGAGGGATTGAGGTAGTTTGTTTTAAAAAGTCTTCCAACGATAAGGGGGTCTATTTTTGACAACCATTGGCGAAACAAGGGTGTGCCTACGGACAAGGAGACAATACTACCGCTTCCATTCACATATTGACGCCACAATAGCCAAGTCAAGAGGAATAGAAAAGTACACGTCCATGACCCCAACTGGTACGACACAGTTCAATTAGTCTGGAGATGAGGACCTTGGAGGAAATCTATCGTATCCGTGTAGTAAATCTTTGACATCGCGCCGGGGCATTTTGGTGTGGATTCTCTCAGCTAGCTCCATTGCCGAGACTTGTTCAGTTACTGTGCGATTTTTGAGAAAATGTCGTTTCGTGTAGGTGACCGAGACCACCTCCCTTGGATTGGCCCCGTTCTTAATCAATAGACGCGTAAGTAGACAGAATCTGGGCCATGTCATGCGCTGCACATCCATATAGGTAAGGACGACGTGGTGTAAATAGCCGACCTGAAAATAAGGCTTGTGCATGAGGATCGATATCGTGTCAGATTCCTTGCCGCTCGGAATGTCGACTATCACATGCTTCCACTGTGCCGGGTTGGCATCTTTTATGCCGTGGGCAATCATGCGCAATATTTCGGGATTTCCCAACCGGACAGCAGTGGGAATGAGGTTGGTTAAGGAGTCCCAATATGACCCAGGTGGGAGATGATTTAATTGTATAATTGCTCCAGCCTCGATGAGCAACTTAACAACAAACGCCGTCTTCTTTTTCCAGAAGTTCTCATGAGCGAGGGCAGCGGACAAAGGAGGGACGAGGCGATGGTCAGGACCGAATTTGTGGCATCCAGCATCGTTGGGATCTGCACCATTTGCTAGGAGGAACCGAAAAATCCTTGCGAATACAGCATTCTCACTTTCCTTTCCACGGGGGTAAAGAGAGAGCAAGAGAGGTGTAGAACAGACATGGATGTCGTATCCCCGTTCGTCGGTACACCGAGGGCAATGAACATGCTCATGAGGCGGGTTAATGTTTGCCCCAGCGGCGCATAATGCCCAGACTGCGCGTTCGTTGCCTGCCCACGCCGCGTAAGTTAGGGCGGTGATATCCACGCGGTTCGGACCGGAAGTGCGAATGACTTTCGCATTCGGATTAGCTCCGTATTTTAGAAGTGCAAAGAGACACTCATTGTTGGAAGTACGAAGGGCCTGGCTCAATGTCCAAGAAGGACCAAGACCATCGGCAAGACGGCTTGGGTCCGCTCCCTCAGCAACGGCATCCCGGACAAACTTTCCTGGCGTGCCCTGGTTTATGCCGTCAATGTGATAGTCTATATACTCCTGAGCTTCATTATGCATTCGTTGGCGTCGAGCGAAAGATGCTGCAATGAATTCTTCGTCGCGGCGTACAAGCAACGCAACTTTCTTTACTTCCTTGGCAAAGTCCTCGATCCCCCTAAAGGATAATCGGCCCCAAGCCTCTGTGCCGGTGGTATCTGGAAGTTTTTCTTTTAGCATCGAGGACGAGGCATGGCTCATGTTGGGTGAAGGAGATTTCGTGTCCGAAGTTGAATGACTGGACTCTCTGTGTGCAATCTCCTTGACGACTCGCGCCCCGGACTGTGGCGTATTCCAAGCACCAGGAATAATCGGATCTGGATTTTCCGAGAGTCGCCATGAGAGTTTGACCGGAACAGATGGTCGTTGCAGTGGTTGAGAGACTTCGGGCCAAGGTTGAAATGAAGATTTCTTGTGCTCAGTGGCTTGGGGCCGTTGTGGAGGTGGAGCTTCCCTGATGAGCTCGATGAGTGTGGGCAGCGGTCGAGATGAAGATTCCTTACGCTCAGTGACTTCGGGAACCTCTTTGATGGCAGCCAAAACTAAGCTTCCTTGGTCTGTAGCAAACTCGGCAGGGTCAACAAGGGTCTCTTTGTATGTAGATTCGGCATAAGAACTGAGAACTGTCATGTTCTCAATCCACTGTGCAACTCTTGTCCGCCTCCCAGAAGTCGGCACCTTGTTGCGGAGAGAATTTACCCGCGCCAGAATCTCGTCGGTGTTGAATTTGAGGGCCTCGACGTCTGATTTGATGACTTCTGTGTCATCCTTGATATCCTGCTCTGTGGTTCTGTATTATTGTCAGTGGCTAGATAAAATAGCATCCCGAACCATAACGCACATAGATATAGCATGTAGCCCAAGACTGAGAGCCATTGTGTAGGCCTCGAGGCTTTCGCGTAGCTTGGTAATATCTCCTTTGCCAAACATGACCCATTTCGCCGAAGTCCAGACCTTATCGTGGCGGTATTTCTGTATCGTCTGCTCGATCTGCTTTACGACCACAACGCATCCAGTAATGGTGGCATCGACCTGCACGACGAGGGCTTCAGGAAGAGGTCCATCTCGCCGGCGGGCCACTGAGCGAGTCACCGGGTCAAGCACGGCCACCAAGGTCTGCATCTCCTTTGATATCGCATCTAGATCGTCCGCGGAGTCACGGAAATCGCGGGCAAACTGTGACAGGGACAGAGACGCCTTGGCGATGGCACCCGCAAGGGAGAAGGACGCGGTGACGATGGACAAGGGATCCATGCTGGCAAATACGTGAGGCCTAGAGCATATTTCCACGCATCAGGTGCGTGTTCCCGTCTACTTTGAGGTCGTGAGTCGTACTATCGATGGTTGTGTCTAGAATATCTGGCAAAACAACAGGTTGCGAGCGGGGTTGGGAATGAGGCTGTGAGACTGGCCGACTCTGCCTTGTTGGGCCATAACAAACCAGCTTCGAGCTATTCAGCCACAATCTGTGGGTCGTCGATTGGAGTTAGGCTGTCTCGCTCAGTACACACACAATTTGCTGCTCTTCAAAAGCATCAAGGATTGACGTTTTAAGGTGCTCCTTGCCTAAACCGATGTGCTTTCGTTGCGCAAATTATCCCCGGGGGAAGGACTGCAGGTCTTGGGTTTTGGTGGAAGATGAATGAAAGACGAAGCTGCTACACAATTCCTTGATCAATATCCGCATTTTATTGTGTTATTTGCGGTAAGTTAATCTAGATTCAACTTTGCAAAATTCTTTCCACATTTCTTTTTTTGCTTCAGCTTTTTTGTCTTAGTCCAGTGTGGATATTTCTCAACGTCTATTTTACTTGAGTCGGCTTGATACCGTAAATCTACTTAGCGCTTGCTATAGTATAGTCTCGCTGATTATTAGAAAGCTTTTTTATTTGCAACTCCATGTGAGTACATGTGCCTTTATTCGAGGCGTTGAACTTGTTTAAGAGATTATACGCTGGTGCCAGGTGTTGGAGAAATCCTAAACTCTCGAGATGCGACAGATAATTGAGAGAAGTCATAAACAGATCGCAATGCCGCATGCGTGTATTATGAGCCAGATATGACGGGCTCAATGTGAAATGAACTGTGGCATTTCCAAAATCGGCATTTTTTTATGACGACTCTAGGGTAGGTATATTAGGATGTGCATGTGTAGGTAACCTAGACTTGCGCGTGGTGGTAGGGCGGTTCTCGTTCGTGGCGCATGGATTCTAAAGGACGCGATGGGAAGATATGCCTCAGGCATAATTGCAGTAGCTTGGGTAAGCATCAGATTCGGGGCCACGTCTTAGTTTTGCGTAACCTCAAGTTATGCGCACTCGCGCATTTCTGCAACGGGCGCGGCTAACGTGACGTGGCCAGTCAATGGCAACAAATGAAGCAGCACGACTTGCGACTCTCTACTCGACTCCTGAGAAATAAGTTTATATCGGATCACCTGGCGAGCCAGAAAAAAACACATCACCGCGTTATCTACCACGATCACAGGAACCAATTTGTTCATGAGAAATCCATAAGCCGACATGGCCAAGCAAGACCGAAATGCCACGGATGCAGAGGTTCAGCTACGAATCTCGCACTTTATGAAGCAGCCACTAGGGGATGATCCAACGCCCTATGCTCGACATGTTTGGCTTCCTGAGAGTTTGGCACCGGAACAGGACCAAGCAAATGCTGGACCACTCCATTATCTAGCTGAGCCCGCACCTTCAGAACACTCGAATCCTGCTATATCGTCCTCATCATCTTCACCAACCGAAGATGACAGCGATTCGGGATTTTCGCCCATTACTAGTCAGGTTGGATCCGAGTCTGGCCTGAGCGCGTTATCCCCAGAATCAACTACACGTATAGCTGATGAGGCTATAGTGGAGGAATTGATGTCCTGGGCGAGATCCTGGCTGAAAGACCGTCTCTACCCAGACAATGGCCCCAGAGCTTTGGCTGACTCCACGGGTACCCCTTTGGTTGATGAAGGAGGAGGTGCAAGCACTGAGACAAGCTCGAAACGGAGACGGGTTGACAAAGACAGCAGTGAAGGCAACGAAAGCAATAATGGTCATGGAGGTATTCCTGGGAATCACAAGGACGCCGACCATAAGCGTGATAACAACGATGATGCGAAAAACGAACAAGAGGGGGAAGGGGACAAAAGTGTTCGACCGTGTGATAATCTACGACTACTAGCTTGCCCCTTTTACAAGCGAAACCCTCGAAAGTATGGGCAGCCGGAATGGAGAAGCTGCAAAAGTGCGGGCTTTAAAACACTGCACCGGCTCAAGTGAGTATTCTCGGACAATGGGAGATACAATGTGTAGCTTTAGCTTACCTGGAACTTATAGGGAGCATATATACCGCCGCCACAGAAAGCCACGCTATCAGTGCAAGCGATGCCAAGACGATTTTAAGAGAGAAGATGCCCTTGACTTGCATTGCGCACAGCCCGTCGCATGCCAGTCTCGCCCGGCGATAATTCAGAATGGTATCAATGACACCCAGGAGAGAGCAATAAGATCAAGGAAACTCGCCAAGAAGAACGAAACTGAGGAGGAAAAGTGGCGCCGTATGTATGGTGTTATCTTCCCAGATGATACGGATTGCCCCAGTCCATGTGAGTGACCTATAGATTGAGAATCGTGAACTTCGTTCTGACAAATAGTGTCAAGATCACACTCCTGACGAGGAATCGAAAGAATTTGATCTCGTTGAGGAATACCGAAGTTTTCTCGCTCAAGAACTTCCTCCATTGGTCCGAAGACAACTCCCCGATATACTCATGAGCGATCCAGGCAACGAGCTTCGCGAACAGATTGTGTCTATGGTTGGTGTTCTCGCAAATCAACTATATGACACATTTCGAAACGAAGTTGGTCATTCGGTGTCTCAGGACTTTCCACCAACGTCAACGGATCATTCAACAGACGAGTTTCACATGGTCTCGCAATCCATGGAGACCCTGGCAGATCGAGACACCACCCAAGGTCGAGAAGGACCAGAACAAGCAGTGGTGAAGTCTACGCAAATAGACGACTTGAAAGTGCCGCCTGGTTTTCAGGTTGATCCTGTGCACGATGTGGCCTATCATGGCCCTGATTTCGATTGGACAACCTTTTTCCACTTGAACGAGGATATGGATGAGACCAATGTCTTACAAGATGGAGACTAAGAAAGTCGTTCTGTCACATTATCTCACATATATACACGGTATTCAGATAGTGCAGCTGGAGAAATATCTTGTGGGAAATCAATCCGGATGGCCCTTCTTTCACGGGAGTAGCCGACTAGATTAGCTCATCAGAATTGCCCGGGTCCTTGGGACGGACAAGCTATACAATTACGTCTCAAAATGCAACATCGACTCGGATAGCGAAGATGTTAAGGCGCTAGGCAATCCCACATGTCAACCGTTAACGATATTCGACAACTCCGACAATGAACGGCTAGTAACAGACGGGGCGATGGGATGTTTTAAGCAGGTCTTGTTGTCTGAACACGAAGTCTGCAAGTTTTCTGAGGGGTAAAAGTCCCATCTGACTTTTATCCAGGATCAGTTTACGGCTGGAGAGGCTCTTGCGCAACCAGACTACCAAGCACTAGACAAGGGAGAGGAAAATAGTTACGTTGGGTTTTCCATTCAAATCGGCCTCGGTGTTTGACCTTGTAGGAAGATTACCGACAAAAAATCGCCAAGACAGTGCGCAAGCTTCTAGCGGGGTGACACGAGCATTGCGCGATATCATTCCCAAGTTATAGCCTGACTCTGATGATACGATTTAAGACCGAAATGAGATAGGGGTGTCACCACCTCTACGATAATGAAGTTGAGTAATATAAGGGATTTCCCGGTGATCTGCCGGATCTGGTGATTCGCCGGACTTACACCAACTTGCATTCCAGACATCAATCTATAATAGCTCCACAGCCGCAGTCCCAAATCTTCCAAAATTAAACACATAATGAAAATGCAACTATAAGATATGTCTCAGTCTATTTCGCAGTCATCAAGCCATCGTGGTCGCTTGCTATTCCGCTGCGGCCGCCCGGTACCCCGAAATGCGACTACCATCTCCCGATCACTCTCAACAGCTAGACAGGGTCTTTTCGGACGAGCGGTACGGATTGGAGTGGTCGCTGCCTTCCCTTTTCGGTTGTCTTTTGGTAGATCTAGGGCCTGTGATGCTACCGGCGGCTCTGGTATGAGTGGAAGAGCGACGATTATCTCGTCTCGAACGTCCGGACTCTTCTCGCGGCCTTCAGAAGCCACCCGTCGTTCATGTTGCATTTCATGTGCCATTTCCAGATTGCGACGCTTAAGTTCTTGTCGAATCTGTCGATTGGTCTCCTTCTCTTGCTGCCTGGCCTCCCTTACCTGCCGTTTTCTCTCTATTTCCGCCTCTCGTTGCCTCCTCTTCTCCAGAGCGAGAGCTTTTTGCTCCGCCGCCTTCTGCTGTCGCTGAGCCTTTTACGATTCCTTCTGCAGAACCTCCTCTTTCTTTTGGGCGTCCATCGCCGCTTTCTTTAGGCGGGCTTGAGCGACTTTTGCTGGGCTAAACACCTGAGCTGAATTTGGATCTGTACGATCAAAGAGCAGATCTTTCAGAGCTTTACCGCGCTGTCTGCGCTTCTTTTCTTGGCTAATTGTCTCGCGGAGTCCTTGATTCTCATATCGAAGCAGTTCAACCTCAGATTGCAGGCTTTCGAGGGTGTTCTTCAGCTTTCGGCTGTTGCGGTCAGCATCGATAGAGGATTTGTCGACTACTTTGTCAATAAGTCGGCGTAAATCTCGGGCCGTAGGTTGCTGAAGGGCTAGTGATTCTACCGAGTCGCTACCCGTATTCGAACCATCATCTTTTTTCTCAGTGATCTGCGATAGGACCACTTCTGGGTCAAAAGGCAGGAGACCAGTCCGTTTCCACCCACTCGCAATGTTCTCGGAAGAGAAGGAAGTCTCAAATGCGTTCCAAAATAAAGTCCAGAACTCACGTTTCGATAGGCCAATAAGGCCTTGTGTTTTTGCTGTCCACTGGATAAGCTGATTTGAATATGCGGTCGAAAGGGGGCTGAATAGCGACACGTCCAAGGGTTGCAGCCGATGCGTGGAATAGGGGGGAAACACCGCAACGATAATCCGGTGCTGGTCACACCACTCCAGAAAGTCCATATTAACATGGCTAGAGTGGCCGTCGGTAATAAGAAGGCGATAATCACGACCGTTTCGAGCTTTTGCCTTAGTAAAGCGATCGAAAACACCGACGAGCCACTCTTTTCCAAGCTCGTGATTTGTCCACCCCGTTTCTGAGGTGGTAAAGAAGGCTGATTGATGTTCTGGGTCAAATTCATTGAGCCAAGAGTCCTGGACTTGTCCTGGTTTGCCTTGATAGATGAGGAATGGGGGCAGCGATGTCATATCCTGGCTGATGCACGCCAGGAACGTAATCCAAGATCGATTACCATCTTGCGACGCACCGAGCAATTTGCCTTGCTTTTTGACGTTAATGGAAAATACTCTCTTCGTTCGATTGATCACACCCAAGAGAAATCCTTTCTCATCCGCGTTATACGTGTTGCAGGGTAGGATGTTATATTTCTCGATTTTTATGCGGATCTTCCACTGTCAGTTGTGAAAGGGAAGCTTCGTGCATTGGCTTACAAGCTCAAAATAAGCCCTATACCTAGAGGCATTATCGGCTCTCTTTCGCGCGATGTCCAACCCGTCGAACCATATACAACCTAACTCATCTCGATTGCGTCGAACGAAGCTGTACGGCCAGTCCTTTCCGACCTCGATTTTGGCGATATCCTGGGCGAAGTTCTTTATCATAGGTAAGGTAGGGGGAATTCCACGCGATGAAAGCTTATGAATATAAGCGATAAGATCCCGTTCTTGTTGTTTTAATAGATGTGACTTATACAAACTGTCGGCATCTCGTCTTGACCGCTGTTTGCCTTGATGTCGGCGTCGCAAGGTCGTCTCGTCGCAATTGAAACGCCGTGCAGTCTCAGCATAATTAACTGATTCCGACGATTTCAGGAAATCAAGGGCCTCATCAATCGGCGCCATGGTTGTTGAGTAATTGTCGATTGATGTCGAGTGTGCGAAGTGGCGGTGATCCGGCGGATCACCAGATCCGGCAGATCACCGGGAAATCCCTTAACTCTTGCATCTAGAGCCGGAGTTGAACCGAAAGTATGCAAACGCACCGGCTTTTCTTCCCACGACCCCTTAGCCAAGGTCCTCACTTGGACCGGATATATCCGAACCTTATCTCAAGAGGTTAACCCAGTATCCTTGTGGCAATATCCGGCATCGCGTCACTTTGCCGGCTAAAGTTGCAAGGGGCGGGGGGAAGCTAAATACGAGACGGAACCGGGTTGCCCGGCTCGTCTCTGTAACATTGGGTCCGGAACTTATTCTTCCTTTCGGCTAAATTTGATCATCGCATGTGTATGGCTAACGACTTCGAATGATTCTCGTTCAAGCGTGTCTAAACTTTGCATTATACGACGTTCCAATGGCGGCCCGAAAGGAAAACCGGTAGATCTCTCCGAGACCTTCATTAGGCAAGATTTCCAGGAGGGGCAGCAACCTAGACGAGAAAATGCCACCTATGACGAAGGCTCCCGTGGAATATATAACATGTCCAGTTTCGCCTTGACTGTCGACTCTACGCTCGCAGGTAATCACATAACCAAAGATGAAGGCCTCTACTATTTTATCAACCATAGTCTCGTCCGTTTCTTTGGTCGTCACGGCCGCGGAACTCACAAGCCGAGCCGACACATTCAACAACCCTATTATTTACTCCGATTTCCCAGACAATGATGTGTTCCTCGGACCAGACGACAAGTACTACTTTTCCGCCTCAAACTTCCACTATAGTCCCGGAGCACCGATACTGCGATCAAACGACCTCATCAACTGGGACCTCATCGGCCACTCGATTCCTCGACTCAACTTTGGAGATGGTTATGATCTTCCAGCCAATAGCAATCAGCGTGCTTACCGGGCAGGAACCTGGGCTTCATCTCTGAGATACCGCAAGAGTAACGGGCTGTGGTACTGGATCGGCTGCGCCAACTTTTACTACACGTGGGTCTTCACGGCGCCGTCGCCTCAAGGGCCATGGACGAACAGAGGAAATCTGGGAGGGGGTGTCTGCTACTACGACAATGGCATCCTGATTGACGACGACGACACCATGTACGTCGTGTACGGGTCCAATGATGTCCGAGTGGCGCAGCTCTCAAACGACGGTCTCAGCCAGGTCAAGTCCCAGACTGTTTTCACCAACACGAACATCAGCGTGGACGGTCTAGAAGGCAATCGAATGTACAAGATCAACGGCCTGTATTACATCCTCGACGACAACCCCGGCGGCGCCCAGACCTGGATCTGGAAGTCGAAAACCCCGTGGGGTCCTTACGAGTCTAAACTTCTCCTCGACCGCATCACGGGGCCTCTGGCAGGCGGCAACTCTCCTCACCAAGGCAGTCTCGTCAAAGCTCCCGATGGAAAGTGGTACTTTATGTCTTTTACCTGGGCGTATCCGGCAGGCCGGCTTCCAGTCCTTGCCCCTATTCGCTGGGGTGACGATGGGTTTCCAATCTTCGTGGAGGGTGCAAACGGCGGATGGGGAGCTTCCTATCCATTGCCACTCCCGGACAAAACTGGGACCACGAAGAACTGGGAAAGAACGGATCTCTTCAAGGGAACTTCTCTTGATGTTTCGTGGGAGTGGAATCACAATCCCGACGTCAACTCCTTCACAGTCAACAACGGCTTGACCTTGCGCACCGCTAGCGTCACCACCGATATCTACTCAGCGAGGAACACCCTTTCCCACAGAACGCATGGCCCACACCCAGTGGGTACCATCAAACTTGATTTTTCCAACATGAAGGATGGAGATCGCGCTGGTTTATCGGCATTCCGTGACCAGAGCGCCTACATTGGCATTCATCGATCCGGTGGCAAGTTTATACTTGCTGCAAAGCACGGCATGATCATCGACGAATGGTCTGCTGAGACCAAGAGTCTGGGAGAAGTCAAGGCCACTGCGGCTGTGCCCAACGGCACTACAAAGGTGTGGTTGAAGGTGGACATGGACACGAGCCCCACGGGTACTGGCAATGCAGTCTTCTCGTACAGCTGGGATGGAGTCAAGTATGAGAATCTTGGACCGACGTACAAGTTGTACAATGGCTGGGCCTTCTTTATTGCCTATCGTTTCGGGATCTTTAACTATGCTGAAACAGCTTTGGGGGGTTCGGTCAAAGTGGAGTCCTTTACTGCTGCATAGGTCTGGACTTATGTTTCATGGTTAATAGCTTGTATCCGACCGGGCTTTAGCTTCATCGATGTAATACGCAGAACTCTATAAGGATGACATAATGATCGTAACGACGCAACTGAGAGGCATACAACAACTTGACTACCATACTCACAACCAGGCGTACGCTGATTCCCCCCGAGAGTCTTACACCAACGTCGAAACCGCGCCACCTCGACACATTGCGCAGAAGCAACATTGCAGAATTAGCAATGCTAGCTCAAGCAGGCTTACGGTGCGGCGTACCATAATTGCCTGTGCATTGAGTACCCTTAAACTTTCTTGCCGGGATTCTGCGCTCAAACAATTCATCCAGCTGCCCGTAGCTTCGCCCGGTGACATCGGGAATCCAGAGGTAAATCAACACGATGCAAACAAGCCCGATTCCGAAAAACATGTATCCAGTTTGGGCTCCAATAGCCTCCAGCTCAATTGGAATCACAATGTTAGTCACTGTTCCAATGACGGCGTTGCAGCCGACGGCCAGAGTAGCTGTCTTGGCACGGAGTCTGGCTGATGCGCTTTCTGCAGTGTATGACCATCTGCGAGTGAGTATTGTAGTCAGTAAACTGCACGTCTTGTATCACGATGAAGTACGAGTTCGCGGGCTTACTCACCCCGCAACACCAGGGCCGATGGTCACGGCCGCATTAAAGAGCGCAACAAAAGTAACGAGAACTGCACCAGCGGAAGCCGTGTTGTTGCCGTGATCCGCAGTGTCGATGACACCGATACCAACTATACGTGAACAACTCAGCCGAGGGTCAGATTTTTTAAGTCGGGGATGGAACTTACGCATGGACAGAGTGATTCCGATAACACCCCAGAAAACCAGATGCCATCGCCCAACAGTCCTCAGCTCGATCAGGGAAAAGGCAAAGATGGCTGCTCCCAGTCCCACGCAAGAGACGACGACACTTCCAAGCAGTGCATTCGACAATCCTGCTATCGTGAAGAAATCTGAGGAGAAGGGTATCAGCCATTTGCGTAAGAGTGATGATAGCACGAACTTACAAGCAGAATACGACTGGACGAGTTGGTTGCCGACAAGTTGCTGAGCCAAAGACGGAAAAAGGGCAGCAAATGTGCGTCTGAGATTTGGACCACGTAAACACTCAAGATACGAAGCATCGCTCGAAGATTCCTTGTCCTCGATTTCCTTCAATACCGTGTATTGTAGCTCATTCGTGAGGCGCGTAATCTCCTCGTCGGATTTCGTTGGGTGCAGACGCTTCAGACTTGCTTGGGCATCTTTGACCCGATGTTGAAGGATCAACCAGTATGGTGACTCGGGCATCATGAGCGCCATGCCGATCAAGGAAATCGTCGGGGTGGCTAGACCGACATAGAGTGGCACTCTCCACCCGCGATTATCAAAAGGGTCAGAACCCCAGGTTTGGTTTGCGACGTAAGTGACGATGTTTCCGATCATCGCACCCAGAGACACTAGCAGGTGAATCAAAAGGCTGTTGGTGATTTGGGGATGCAAGGAAGCTTACGGTTGAAACTAAACAGGCCGAGAGAGATTCCTCTGATCTCACACGGCGCAATCTCAGCGATATATGTCGGTACAGCAACTTGCATCATGCCCGTGGCCGTCCCCATCATAATCTTTGCGCCAGTGTAGTCGTTCTTATTCTTTGACAGGATCTCCACCATGACGCCGAGGTATATGTTCAACACCATGAGATAGATGCACTTGATACGGCCAAAACGGTCTGCAAACCAACCGGCAAAGAGTTGTCCCAGAAGCTGCCTAGCAGGTGAACATTAGCTTTACCGCAAATTGCAAGACCATGAACAATGACATGCATGAGACCAAAGAGTCCAGCCCAGAGGGAGAGCGTAGTGGCCGCCACTGTGTAGCTCTCAGTCTCGGAATCATACGATCCCATCGTGTTGCAGAAGGCTTGGACGCCGACTAGCGCACCGAGTAAGACATATTCTAATCCAAGAATGATGCCGTTTGTCTACGCAAGTACACTTGATAAGCAATGAGACGATGGACTGGAAGAATGCAATCGCGCGAACACTGACCTGGACGACGAGAATGACTGCGCACGTCTTGACGTTGTCCTGAATGACCGCCCATGGACTGCGGGCCTCGGCGAGTGTATCTTGCTGCGCCTGGAGAAATGCGTCTCTGTTGATTGCAATTCCCGGCATCGGCTCTTTAGACTCCTCAATATGATTGAAAAACTCCGGATTCTTCATGTCAAGAATCTTCATCATGGTGCCAATGATTGGCTTTGACGCGTGTCTTTATCGTGTTCTGAAACAGCATAGTGGAGTACGTAGGCATAGGAGGCTTAGACGAAGGATCATCCAAGGTTTGCGCCTGGACATGGTGACGGAGCATTTACATATCACGCCAAGAGAGACATGACTACCCAATTAGTTTTAAATATGGGGTAAAACATCAGACTTTCTAGGCCTGGGAGAGGAAGCACATCGCCGAAGCTGTATTCGTGTCATTCAGCGGTTGCTCTCGGCCGATGCTCTCGGCCAGTTATTAGCGTAAATCCAGTGGTATTATGAGACGAAACTCAAGCGACACATGCCATACCCCAGATTGCCGCTTTTAAGGCCTCTTTGCGGGACTGTACGGTCGCATGTCGGGAGTAGGTGGACTGCTAGGGAGCACAAGAAGAGGCTGAAGGAGAGCTCGGATCGTCATGTCTCCACAATAACTGGAACAAGACCGCAAGCCCTAAGTACAGCTGCCAAATATGACCCGCACTGACTAGTGTCCATTGCTACAGTGAGGGCGGTTGGGCTGGTGGAGTTGATGGGATAGGGAACGGGGCAAGCGGGCAGATGGGATCAGCTGGGAGGACGAGCTTCTTAGGATGATGCTGGTGAAATTGAAGAGACAGATTGAGGTTTGAGAGAAGCGCCTTAAATACAGAACATAGAGGAGGTTCTAGAGTGGGTTTGAGGTCGGGTGAGGTGGAATTGTGGTGCCGAGTGCCACCATAAAAACCGTGGGTTGAAACTGCTTGCCGACTTGGGCTACAATTTCGTGCCTGATTGAATACCTGGGTACAAGTAGATGACCAAGAGTGTGCCCAATGGCCCCAATCAGCTGAGAAGGAGCCTTCTGTGGGCTGTTGCGTCTAGTCGTCGAGACTGCAGATGGAATGTATGCATAGTTCCTCATCTGACTGAACACCATTCTCTGGCTAATGTTGCCTAGTTTCCTCATTGCAAGCCTATGTATCAATGTCCTACACAACAGCGATGTATCCTCTATTGAGGAACTTAGGCAAACCCTCGGTGTGCTAGTACGAACTTGTAAAGAAACAGGCAAGCAAAGGACTGAGCTACTCCGCAACATCTACGCCAAGACGATGGAACGCATCAATCGGCAACCAGGGAACCTCGCCAAAAGGGTTTTGCTATGGGTCTTGTGCGCAAGAAGACCAATGAGCTGCGATGAAATGCAGGATGCTCTTGCATGTCAGCCAGACCGATGGAATGAAGAAAAGAGCGAATGGGATGCATCCCACATTTCCGAGGATAAGATTCTATCCGCCTGCCTAGGTCTCATCACCATGGATACTGGGTATGTCCGCCTTTCTCATCATACTGCCTATGAATTCTTCGCCTCTGTCAGAGAGCAGGAATTCCCGGGGGCGGATGACGAGATCACAAAAGTATGTTTGGCATATCTCTCTGCTTACAGGGATCGACCGTACGTTCCTCGCCCGCTCTTGTTTGGCTTTGGTGCTCCCCGACATTCACCGGCGTCATATTGGAGATGCGAATTTTACCGATATGCGGTATTCAATTGGGGCGACCATGCTCGGAACGCTTCCACTTGCCAAGATCTCCTTGACAACTTCCTCAAAGACCCAGCCAATGTAGATGCAATCTCTGAAATCCTCGATCACTCGCTGCACCAACTGCGATCTGGGCCTCTGTCCCATCCGGAAGAGAGAACGACCAAGTTACACTGGATCGCCTATTTCGGCCTTGAGCAAGCCTGTCTTCGCCTGATTCGTAAAAATAAGTTCCCCTTCCAGCGAGAGTGGAAGAAGATGGTAAACCACGCTGCATCATCGAAGAAAATGACACCGCTTCACTATGCTGTCCTCGAAGGCCATGTTTCTGTGGCGAAGCTGTTGATCAAACATGGCGCTTCCGTCAATGCAGTGAACAGGAATCTGAAGACTGCTCTTGATCTAGCAGGTGATCCGGACGATACGAACACAGACCTCATAAACCTACTGGAAAAGCACGGTGGCCAAGGATTTGAAAGCCCCAAGTCAAAATTCAGACACAACGTGGAAATGGCTATCACGATGTACCGTCTGGTGAGGAGAATAATGTGGTATATGAGTGAATTCCGCAGATTTGATGCGGAAAGGGAAGAGGAACAAAGGAAGACGTCAAGAGCAGGCGAAGTAGAACAACAAGATTAAAACTAACAGTCTCCTCCCATGAGGAAAGTTTTCATGCAATTTGAAACATCAGCTGGACAGCTACAATACTCTCATTATTGTCTCAGGCAAAAGGAATAGAATCGACCCCTCAAGAAAATTCCAAAGCTCATATCCACGCTGCGGGAGCCTGCTGAGATGACTGGAGAAATTACCGGTTTTGGGGATGAGCGAATATCCCAGACAATGAAGGGACTGAAAATTCTCAACCTTGAACATGGAATACCTTACGTTGATGAATAAAAACGCAATAAAGCATCAAATCAATTGAAACCAACAAGTATGCTTTTCTCTAGCACTTACGGCAGCTATCTGATGAGTTGTTATATAATGACCAGTTGAGCCGCATGTTCTACAACGCCGACAACGGCTAGCCTTCTGCCGTGCCGATCTGCTTTGACTACTACTCCTCAATGTTTAGAGTGCATCTAGGTATATAGAATGATATATTTAGTTTTTTTTTTAGCTTTATTTAATATTATTAAATAGATTAAAGCTATATAGTGATTTTAAATAGTAAAAATAAATAATAAATATTATATTTAGTACTAGAAGAAATAGTAGCTAAATAATAAGATTATTATTTATTAATTTCTACTTAAAGCTTTTATTTAACTTTTTTAACTTTAATTTTATTATTTATAATTAATAATCTTAAAATAATAATTTTATTTTAAATAATAAAATATAAAAGAAATTAATATCTTTTATTATTAAGAAATTAATTTCTTTTTTAATATTTGTTTTATTTTAATAAATTTTATTTAAATAATTTATTATTATATTAATTACTAATAACTATAAGATTTTTATTATAATATACTTAATAAGTAAGTAAGTTAAATAAATAAATAAGCTACTTTTTTTTACTTTTTTAAATAGAAATTATAATAAAAATACTATAAGTTATTTAATTAATTTAAATTACTTATTATATATATAGATATTAAGCTTATATAGCTATTTACTTAGAAATCTAACTTTATAATTTTTAAAGCTAATTTATTCTACTATATTATAAAGTAGACTTTATATTATCTTAATAATTTCTATTTTTATTTTTTACTTACTTTTAATTTAAGCTTTTAATAGCTTTAAATATATTTTTATTTTTATATTTCTTAAAGCTTAAAAATTTAAAGTTTACTTAAGGCTTTTTTAGGCTTTATAAAAAGGCTTTTTTTTTGTTTTTTTTTTTTGTTTTTTTTTATTATTATTTTTCTACTACTTTTACTAGAGCTATTTTTTATAAGTTTCTTTTATTTCTTTTTTATAATTTCTATATTATTATTAGATGTTTATTAATTTATAAAAAGTAATTTTTTTATTTTTATTTTTTATTTAGTTACTATTTTAATTATATTTTAATTTTACTATAATATTTTTTTATTTAATTTTTAAAAAGTAAAAGATAAAAGCTATAGCTTATTACTATAAAAAAGCTATTTAAAAATAAATTAAGAAGAAAGCTTTTAATAAAGCTATTATAGCTACTATAACTTTTTTTATTAATAAAAAGAAAAAAAAGTAAAAAAAGAAAAAGAAGGTTATTATTACTTCTTTTAAGTAATCTTTTAGTAATATTACTATAAGTATATTTAAGAATTTAAAGAGATTTAAATTTAATATCTTTTTATCTTATATTATTCTTTTTTATAAAGTAACTTTTATTTATATTTTAAATAATTTAAATAGTTACTTATATATTATTATTAAGATTTTATTTATTTTTTATTTATTTTTTATACTTTTTATTTCTTTTATAAAGCTATTACTAATTTAAATTATATAAGTTAAATTATCTTACTATATTAAATTACTACTATAAATACTATATATTTATTATATAGAATAATTATATATTTTCCTCTTCTAACTTAAATATCTATTTATAAATAAATTTAAAAAAAATATAGTAAATTTTAAATAATAATTTCTATTAATTCTTAAGTTATACTTTTAATAGAAAAATAAATTTAAAGCTACTTATAAAAACCTCTTTTTCTAATTAATTTAATAGCTATAATAGTAAATTTTTCTTACTTATTTAGTATAAGTTAAATAGTATTTCTAGCAATACTATTTTCTAATTAGCTATATATAGATTATACTAGCTAATTGCCTCTATTAATAAAAAATAAATATAATATTAATATTAATAATCTAACTTTTTTATAAATTAACTTTATTTTTATTATTAAGAAATAAATTATATTTAAAAATAATTAATATAATTCTTTAATTTCTATTTAAGCATTTTAAGTAATATAATAAGAAATTTAAAAGGTTTCTGTTTTTAAGAAATTTTAAATAATTATTTAATTTATATTTTTCTTTTTTATTTTAAAAATTCTAATAAAATTCTATATTATATTAAAATTTAAATTTATATTCTTAATATATAAAAGTATATATAATAAAAATCTTATAATTAATAGTAGTTAATATAGTAATAAGTTATTTAAATAAAATTTATTAAAATAAAATAAATATTAAAAAAAAGTTAATTCTTTAATAATAAAAAATATTAGTTTTTTTTATATTTTATTACTTAAAATAAAATTACTATCTTAAAATTATTAACTATAAATAATAAGGTTATGAATTATAAATAATAAAATTAAAGTTAAAAAAGTTAAATAAAAGCTTTAAGTAGAAATTAATAGATAATAATTTTATTATTTAGTTTTTTTATAATTTTACTTAATATTATTAAATAGATTAAAACTATATAGTAATCTTAAATAGTAAAAATAAATAATAAG